AAGAACATCTTTATTAGTCATCTACTACATTTATAATATGTGGTGGGAATGTACTGTTTTTGAATAATATGCTGTATACAGAAAGAGAAACTACTCAATGATTCTCAAAATATCAAATAGATGGGTCTAAATATAATGAAATATATAGAATACGTGCCGCTAGAAAATTTTAAATAAAAATATATGTTCTTGTTTAGCTAATTGGTTGTTTCTTCTTGAAGTATCTATAAACCATGTGAACTATGCATAATTTATTAAAAATAAAATATTATTTATGCCTTACAAACCATAAAATACTTCAAACTATATAAGAAGATATAGTTTATTAAAATTTGTGTGTAATATGAAGAAATTAAGAAAGAAATTCTTTATATTTAGACTACTGTATATATGTGTAGAAATAGTAATTTGTTCAAACTTTAAACCAGAGTGTAAACAAGATAGAAAAAAAGACAGCAACTGGCCATATAATAGAGCACACTCTTCGAGAAGCATAATTTCAGTTCTAAATACTAGTGCAAAGTCAAAAGAGTTGCCAATAGTAAGAAATACATGTTATAACACTAATTATGTATCACATACTATGGATATTCAGCCTATACAAATAGCCGATCCGTCTTTGAATATATATAATGCATTTAAATCATTCCATGACGCAAATGCCAATACTGCATCTTCTAGCAATATTCAAGAGTTTTATTATAGGTATGTAGACAGCTATGATTCTGATGATACAGGAAACGATGCAAATGTTTCAACAATATATCTAAATCCAGAACTAACATCAGATTCACCTTCAAGGGCAACTTTGAGACCAATTTCATCTATTACTATCAATCCACTTAAAGTGGATTCTACAACTAAGTCGACTATAAACACTATGCCATATTCACGTAAGCTCGAGCACAGGTATATTATACGAAATTATACTAGCTACATCGAAAATATTGATAAGGCAGTGTTTTTAAGTTCAACTGGGTGCCTTAGATCAAACAAAGTAGACAGCAAAACAATGGAGGCAATTAAAAACTGGAATAGTGATGCAAAAACAGATATTTGGACTATGGTTAAAAATATAAATAGTAAGTTTCTTCTACTAAAGCGCATACTTCAAAATATGATGAAAACCGACCCCGACAAAAGAATGCCCAACCCATTATTCTATATTGGATTTCTAAATGATCTAGTTTATTATAATAAAATACATATGCCAGCTATAAATCGATATCATAACTACATACATACTAAAAAGAAAAGAGAAAGCCTCGGTGATATTTGGCTGAATAAAGAAGTAAATTTATACTGCTGTTGTAGTGGCATAGATAGACAAATCAATATAAAAGGAAAAGAGAAGGATATACAGCTTAAAAAAAAGTTGAACGCCATTCTTTTAATACCAGAGGTATACGAAGACTTCTATAAAATGTCAGTGAGTGCAATTAATGAGTTTAAAAAAGAAATAATGTGTAATGGCGAAAGTGACAATATAAACGAGTATTTAAATGATTTAAAGAAAGAGCTGCCGCATACATGTCCTATTATATCATATCTTATACACACTGCACAGAAAGATGAAATATTAGCAGAAAAGTCATATAATGAAATTAAACAAATTAAATTGCCTAGAAATATTGGTAAACTCATAAAAAACTTCAATACAGTAGACGTATACAATCTAGTGCTTAATACGGTTAGACTCTTTTATACCTATTATGGAGTATCGTATAGATTAAAATCAAGCCAGAAATGTGTCATTATAAATAGAACTCCGCTTATTCATATAAATAACATGTGCATGTTTCGATCACATAGTAAAATTTTAGGTGTAAATAGTGTGATGGCTCAAAAACACTTTAAATTTACCGCAAAGATAAAAAATATATGTATAGCAGAAAATAGTATGCTTAACCCGAATTTTGTAGTAATAAACCTCACAGACTTTGGATCGATTGCTGAAAATAACCCATTACTAACCATAAAAGACCACTATCATGTGCAATTTGTAGATAATGTGTGGCATACGGTTACAATGGTTCATCTTCCCTACTACATATATAGACAAAAAAATGGTACAATTAAAAACTATCAGTTTCATACAATTAAAGACATAATAAATTATCTTGAACGAGCCATCAATATAAAGGATGCCACAAAATATGGTAAGAGTGGGTGCATATACCCATTTAAGTACAGCAAGCAGAATAAAACCTGGTCAATAATGACTGAAGAATCTAATTTAAACAAAACAGTACAGACAATAGAAAGTGAAAACTGCAATATGGTATTCTATTGCATAAAAGAAAATATCTATGAAACCGAGTTCTGTTTTGCACAGTTTGTGTATTCATCAGAAGTAAAAAATAATGTTAAGGATGATAATATGGATAAAATAAGAATCCCACTGTTTCTTCCTAGGATTATGGTTTCTGGCGCTGCGCTTGGGCCTTATGACGAGAATAACATTAATTATAATGTATTTAGATTGGGCGAATATAAAGACTTAACACCAATTGACTATACAGAGGTTTATACTACTCCCCCTTTTAATAGTGATTCAAGATCTTCCAATTCACAGACTGATGATTCAATATTGTCAGAGATTAAAAGACACATGAAAGAAAGTGATCTAAATTATGCTATTAAACACTACTATAGTGACTTCTTTATACGAAATTCAACAGACTTCTATGAAGACCCACAGTGTTACTGCATGAATATTCAACAGGGAATAGATGAGAATACTTCAAATGTAAATATAACTTGGAATACAAGAATTTATGAAAGCGTCTATGAGTACACAACATACAAGTTTGACAGCAAAATACGAGATGAAAGAACGCGCATGGGTGTTATTAATCAACCTGCCCATGTTTCTTTCATTGACATGCTACAGCGCAAAAATCCTTCTCTTAATACAGCATTATATGGACACTGCTTCTATAAAAGCCATGCAGAGGTTGATTATAAAACCAGCTCTGTTTTTTGTCTGACTATGAAAGATCTTTTAGAAAGAATGAATGCGTATTTAGTGGATAAAAATACAAAAGATGAAATAATCGATCCTATTTCAATGAGAAAACTCTATAAAAAGGACTATGATCCAAAGTTTATTCTAAAAGATGTTTCAAGTGCTATTCAAAATAGTAAACTAGAAGAAATTAAACAAAGTGATGAAGGAATTCTATATATAAGAGATAATAATTATAACGGCTGTAAATATGGTATCCACTATGATATTTTAAGTTCTTTAATTAATACCGACCGCATTACTCAAAAATCACGCTTAAAACAACTAAAAAAACCAATTACTTAACATAAACTGTAAAAATATAATAAGAAAAACTTCACAAATTAAGAAAAATACTTAGGTATATATCATATTTGTTGTCTGTGTTACTTAATTATGCAGTTTATATTGATATAATAAGCGTTCTAGTACTTTATTTGTTACTCTTTGTTTTAGTCCGCATTAATAGTCTGAAATACAGTTTCTAGCTAATTTTTTAATGGTTGCCTATTTATAAAACATAGTATAAACATGATTTATTAAAAGTATAATTATTTTTTCTTTACATAGAATGCAAAGAAAATTTAATATATTTATATTAAAATATACAACTAGATTATAGATATATTCCATCTCTTTGAAATTAATCTAAACTGATTATGATCCACTAATTTAATAAAAAATAGTTTATTTAACTTTCTCTTTGGATTACAGCTGTTTTTTTCAATGTTCTTTAATTGATATGATATGCCAGCGCATGGTTATATTGTTTTTGATCTTTTTATATCGGGTTATTTATAGGCTATTTTCATGTTTTGTTATATTGTATACTTTTAGTGTAGTTTATTATAAAATAGTTAAATTCTTTTTTATTTTTCTATTCTTCTTGTAATAAACTCATATTCAATCAAATATTTCCATATAAAAAGTGAACATATTTTATTTCTAGAATTTGAAACATTTAATAGAAAAATTCATTTGCTATCATAAAATTGGTAATAAAGCATGAATAATAGAGGAGAAACGGCATATACTTAGGACAAATAAATTATTACAACAGGCCCATATAACAGAAACAAACAGTATTATATTCAATGAGATCCAAAAACAGTATAGATACTCACATATAGTAAACTTTTAACTAAAGAGAGACAACTTTATAAGAATTATGAAATGGCACCTACTTCTCTGATAAGTTTATTAAGAAGGTCTGGTTCTATACAATATTCAGTGTAAACAAGATTGGTTATGGTATGTATAGAAAGAATAAATAAAAATATAGCACGGAACTATAAATAGACTATGCCAATAAAAAGTATTTGCTTAATGTACTAGTTTTATTTCTATATGCAATAAGCATAGTATTATGCTTAAAAAATAGAATACCAGAGGGAATGGGTAGAAGTGCATCCAATCAAAAACACTAAAACATAGGACAATGCATGCATGTTCATATGTTAAATGATGTGTATAGAAATTTTAACTTAAGCAAAATACAGCACTGCATCCTCCAATGAGATTATGTATACAGCAAGGAAAGAGACTGGTCAAAGGGTTTCCCAGATATATTTTGAAATTATATAGACCAGTCTAAATATATTTGAGTATGTAGAATGGGGGGACTCAGGCAATTCTAATATAAATGCTTTATTTTTAAAGCTTATTGGTTATTTCTTCTAGAACATCTTTAAACTACAGAGTGATTGGGTTGATAGTAATTTATGGTCTATTGAAATTTAAAATAACCCGAATAGTTAAAGAAGAAAAGTATTATATTTGGACTAATATGCGTACTGTGAATATACAAACATACAACCAATTCACATATAGCAACTACATGAGTTTTTCTAATAAGTTAGAATCACTCGGCATAATAACACATATGAAAGAATTTGGTCAATGCGCTTCTTAGGGGGAAGTTACCTAAACACGCATGGAGGACTCTGTTCCGGGACTATCCCGAAACTAAGGCCCAGCGCGTAGACCGTAGCGTGAGTACTACTCGTGCGGTGGCACGTTATCTCAGTGCCATCATCCCATTGAGGAGTGATCGTATAAAGTCCTACTTTATAAGCCACGTTCCTCCACCCCTAGCAGTCAAAGACATTAACTTGTTACGGCCGCCCTAGGGGCACGAGGAACGGCTTAGAGAGAATAGGAAGAGAGTGTGTGGCGCTCGACGTCCATCCGTTCGAGGCCCCTCGAAACTTATATCAATAAACTGTTTTAAGATAAAAAAAAAAATTACTATTATATACACATTATATTTAATAAATAATCATACTTTAAACATAAATAAAAATTATTAAATCAACGCATGCCCAGTCTAATTAAGCACGAATGCCAGGAAATTTCATCACAACCCGAAAAGCCCCCATTAGATACATTAACGCATACAATAACCATCTACATCACAATATTTGCATACTTTTCCATAGGGGTTGTATCTGTATTAATGCAGGAAGGAGCCTTTTACAATGCGATTGACACTATTTATGCAGTTAAATCCAATAATTTAAAATATTTTGTATTTTATATTATGCAGTGTATTTTTTATTTTTATGCTCTTCTAATACTGCACAGAACTAATAATAAATATACAAACAGAATTCCCCAACTTTTCATAAACAAACACTCGTATGTTTTAGGATTTACTGGTTGGGGATTTTCATTACTGCTTATTTTCATTATAATCACATATCAGATAAACACATTAAAATATAGCATAGTGGAAATATATACGTATTTTTCCATGTGTATGCTTATTTCTATAGGAATGGCTCTATTATTTAAAAAAATGTATATGAAGCATTATGTCATTCAAGCACTGGCAGGGCCTTTTCTTATGCTATACCTAAGTCTTTTTATGTGTAGTGCTTTACACATTACTGCACATATTTTTAGCGCTTATTTACAGTATGTTTGGACTCTAGAATAAATATTAATAAGGATCAAATTTCTAGTTATGCAATGAGTTTCTGTATATAATAAAATGTGAATTAGTTATGATTTATCAAAAATTAATATTAATCTTCTCTTATATAATTTAAAATTTCGGGTTATTATTTTATGTATAACAAGGATTTATTCGGGTTATATTCTTAAAATAGATTTTAATTCGATTTTAGATGTCTGCTATAATAAATACAGTTTAATAAAAATATTAAAATTATTTATCCTTAGAAGATATTAAGAGTTTTAAAAATATAACCAAGTGAATAAGAAGAATAAAAATATGTATTTTATGTTAAATGGTATGTAACTGATTAGACATGCTATGATACATGGTAGATATAGTGTGATTTGAGGCATATTGGATTAAATATTTTGTATTGTAGGTATAGATTAAGTTTATTCAATTATATAGACTAATTTTGGGTATATTATAGTGTAAAACTAAATAGACAGTATACGGGGCTAGATCCATCCTTTTAAAGAAACATCAACTAGCTGATTTGTGCCTTCTATCTCACAAAGGCCGTTAATACTCTCAGATAAAACTAGCATTAGAGAAATTGGCAAATTGTTTTCATCTACTTTGACATCACCTGTAAGAATGCATTTTTTTGTTGATACAATGGTGTGTACTTTTATTTTGTCTTTTAAGTCCCAGAGATGAACATCCCCATCTGCGCCTCCTGTGATGATTCTAGAAGAAGTTGCGGGTTTTATAAGGGTTACAGGATAATACATTTCCCTATTATCTGCTATTTGCCTGTGTGCCTTGAAGACAAATCCCGTTCCTGGCCTGTTTGTGTAATCAATGCAAACCTTTCCAATAGAGGTGGCGTATGCAATTGTGTGCTGGTCTGTGCCAGAAACAAATATACTATGGGTAATAATAATATTAGAGAAAAGTGCTTTCATTCTAATAACTGTGTTGCTTCTTGTATCATACACTAATAGTGCATTACTATCTACTGTACACAAAACCTTTCCATTTTCAGCACAGCTGCTTGTTATTTTTCCTTCTATTGGCGTTCTTTGCACAATGGCACTGTCTTTGGTGTTATATACTACTACTTCACCATATATGTATGTAATAATAATATTGTGATCTATATGCCCATGAACTCCTGTTACAGACTGTATATTTATATCAGTATGTTTTGTGTGCCTGCATGCTCTGACAATTCGCTGTACATTTTCATTTTTTATTTCCCATACATCTCCATCGGCGGTTCCTATGTATACAGTGCTTTCTGTGGTCTCAAATATGGCAGTGGCTGGTGACTTAAGAGAAATGGAAGTAGCCATTCCTTTTTTATTTATTCTTACACCTCCATCCCACAGTCCATAGATTAGATTTTTTTGGTCGTATAGACAGGATATACTGCTGCATACACTGCTCATTTATGCTATAAATATTTTCTGTATTTTAGTTATAGTGCGTGGCGAGATTATTGAGGCCTTTCGAGCTTTTCTATCTTTTTTTACATTATAGTATACAGAACAGGCCAAAGAATATTTGTCTTTCTCATATAAAATCTTAATAATATCTTCTGACCGTGCAATGCTTCTTTCTATAAGTATCATTAGAAGAAAAACTAGCTTAATCGTGTTTTGTACTGTCAATCTATGTTTAGAGACGCATATAAGGAACTGTATTAATACTGCAGTATCATTACAGTTTATAAGGATATTATTTGAAATATAGTAATCCAGTATTTCAGGAATCAGATTATTCTGCAATCTTTTGATTAAAAAGCCATCTGTAGTTTGTATCATTGCCATAATCAACTCCATTATCTCTGTTCTAACAGAGTGGCTAAATCCATCAACCTCAAGAATATTAAATATTTCAACAGATACTGTCATTGTATTGTTATTAGCTATATCTGCAGTGCTGCTAAGTTCTTTTTGTGTAGAGCACTGTTTGCTTTGATTACTGCTCGGGTTCTCTATTTCCGGCAGGGTATAGACATTTTCAAGATATCCACACTTACTATGTGCTGGCTTTTTAAGACCATACATTTTTTCTGAAACTCCTTCGTCCAGTGTTTTGTACGCATATATTATTTCAGTAAGAACTTGGTAGAGGCCTTTAACCAATTGAACATTTTCAATAGTAATAAGATAAATAACCTCCTGTAAAATTCGTTGTAAGTCTTTCTTCTTTATATAAACGGTTCTTATAATTCTACTAAGTATGGGTGGAATAAGCTCCATTTCATGATTCTGCTCTTTGTTACAAAGCATAAATCCACTTCTATTTCTGTATTCCATTTGTTTAAGCACTTCAGACAGCCGCACTGCCAGACCAACAATCCTGCTATGATATCCACACGCTATGATAAGGCATATTAAGTTAAGAGAAACAGTGAGTGTTATGCCTTTGTGTAGTATTCTGGTCAAATAGTAATCATACCTTATTTGCAACTCTTCTTTTATATTGAGTATATGGCCAATGCTCTGTGATTTAATATACTCTATATCGCCTGACACTTCAAGCAACTTCATTAGCAAGTCTCTGGATAGCAAGCTTCCTGCCGGCACATTTATGTCATTGCATACATCACACAACAGAAGAACAGATTTACCATTAAGCATAGAAATAGACTCTGCCAAGAGCCTTTCTGTTTTATTAGACAGAATAGTGCATGCGAGGGTTTTTACTAAAGCATGCGCGCTAGAATCACTATTTTTATGCATCAAATCAACTAAGGGTGCATCTTCATCTGAACTGCCTATAGTTTTTTGTTCTATAAAGGACTTTCTAAGCGCTCTTAGCCAGTTAACTATTGCTTTTCTGTGCTTGTCCAGCATGTAATCAGGTATAGACTGTGCTAAAACCTCACCTGATGAACTCGCTGGCAATACTTGCACTGTCTTTTTTAGTCTATGTGTGTCACTAGAGGCTATGTTAATTACATCAGAGCACCCAGTACTAGACACGGCTATATGCTGTTTATTGCTATTGACTACAATACTCGATCTGTTTTCTATTTCTTTGCACAGTATGTAAGAAATGCATGAGTTAACCAATGGAAGAAGTATGGATGGATTATATTCAGACATTCCACTAAGCAATTCTTTCCTTTCATCTATTACTTTTGCTATGTCTGCTGATCCTATAGCTTTCATGAGTATGCAGCTAACCACACTTTTGTCTATAGATGCATATAGTTCTCTACACTTTTTTTCTAGTACTACTTCAGAGTATCTATTCATCCACTCTAAACTTCCCTTACTCAGACACACTCTCAGTATATCGGTTAAATCTATTTCCTTTGAGTGCTCTGTCTTCAGAAGTAAAAAAAGTTTTTCTTCCAAGTTTAAGACCTCTCCCAGCCTCTCCAGCTTAGAAAGAGAATATACCATTACTCTAATTATCTCAGCATGGTGTATTTTCATTCTTTGGTTCACAAGAATTCTTATATACTCAGAAAATAGTCCTGGAATATACTCTTTTCTAAAGAATTTTTCTACCGCCATTATGTGCAGACTAAGTGCATTGGGGGCTGTGATGTCTTTTAAGCTTTCAAACAAAATATATGCAGAAGCCTTTGTATTTGTTGTATTGGTAGGGTATGCCTTAATTACTTCAGAGAGTGCCACCTCTCCCCGCATATACGCAATAACGCTTTCCATGAAAAATAATACAAAAGTTCTTAAATATTTTATTAAAATATCAGATAGCAAACAAATTACTTAAAGTACCAGCCCTGTCACAATGTGCCTCTATTTACTGCTTGTCTCCTGACCTTCTAACAAATTATCTGCCAGCCATATAAATCCCTCTGTAATTGTATTTATGTGTGAAATTTGAGCACAACATGTAACAATTCTCCATGGTCTACCTGCAAATAGTATCTTAGGGTTTAGTTTATCGTACAGGTTCTTATTTACTTCATCTATTTCTGATTCTGGTATCTTGTCTATTTTATTTGCAATGACAAGGACTGGATACTTACTGGGCTTTCCTCCATTAGATAGCATTCTTTCTAGCTCTGACACTGCAGAATCCCACCGCGCAGAGTCTTGTATGTCTATGACATAAACCATACCAGATAGACCATCCGTGTAAAACTCCCATAATAATCTTATCTTGTGCTGGCCACCTATGTCCCATACTGTTATGTTGACACTTCCTATTTTAATTGTCTCCACATTAAATCCAACAGTTGGAACAGTAGTTGGGTCCGCCCCCTCAACCATTTTAAGGTGTAATAAGTACAGAATAGTTGTTTTTCCTGCATTATCCAATCCGAGCATAAGCACTTTTTTCGGGGTTTTCTTTACGAATGCACTAAGAAAATTACTCACCACACTACCCATCTAAGAATAACAAAAAATAATTTATTAAATAATTATAATTTCTCCATTCGGGCAATAAATAAATACAGAATAATAAATTTTTAATTGGCCAAATATAAAACCTAGCCATAGAACGTTTTAGACTAGTAATTTAACAAGAAAATCAATGAAGGGGCATGAGAATTCACACAATAGCACTAATCGGACTAATAACAAGAAGACTTGTTTCTACCATTGACATGCGCTACTGCGGGTTATTGCATGAGATGAACTCATTGCAAAGTGCGATCTGCCACCTATACAGAAATCAGATTGGGTTAAGACAGCCCTGGCTACTTGGACAGAACTTTCCGCCCACCCAGAAGCTATCAACTCATTTGTTGCGGCAGGGTTATTCATACCCCATGACAAGCGTAGCATTACACGCTCGCTTAGGGCTGGCTGGTTATAACAATCCAAGCCAACCAGGCAGCTTGTGCGGTGACAAAACGCTGTTATTATGCATGCCAAATACCCCATCTACACCCAGCACACCTACTAATAAAAACACATACAATCCATACAACACTACTCCCAATTCGCCTACTAATAACAATACATACAATCCGTACAAAACTACTCCCGATTCACCTACTAATAACAATACCTATAACCCATACAACGCTACACCGGATTCACCTACTAATAATAACGCCTATAATCCGTATAATAATGGGCCTGGATCATCTATTACAGAAAAAGAAGCGCACAATAACAAAAAAGAAGTTATTACAGACAAGTCCAACTTAGTAATTACAATAGGAAGCACCGATAAGCACGGCAATTCTGTTAATGACATTATATCTCGAATTGTAATTAAGAAGCCAGAGAGTGAGCACAATTTGGCAACAAATAGTAAAAATAATAATTTACATGAGCGAGGTGAACCAGCACCACAGTTCTTTGACCAAAATAGCCAGTTCAAAAACACCCAAAGCAACAACCAACCCCGAATAATGCCAAGCAACAGAGAAAACCCAGGAACTCCTTCTTTGGCAGAGCGGCCAGTAAATGATATGTCTGTCAATGCATCTTTACATGCAGAAAAGCACACTAACACAGAAGAAGGCCGTGGCAAATTGAATATAAATTCTAATAATACTGGGGAATCTCTACATGAGGATCTTGAAATAGATTATCGGGCAGAAAAAGAGCAAAGCTACACTCCAGAAAAGAGAAAACTGCGCCTAAATCCCACCAGCACTAAAAAGAAAAGTTACAAGCCGCAAAATCGCCATAAGTTGGAAAAGAGCAGAAAGACATTTATACCCCGTCATAATAAAGAAAATGACAACACTGCACAAAACAGTCCAATTGATGATGAGAGTGATCCTAGCTATAAAGAACTACCCTGCCCAGACTGTGATGCTGACAACTCTTCAAATACATCCAGTGACTCTGGCGCACATATCCAATCCAGTAAGAGCAAGAACAATTTGAAAAAGGAGTTAAAAAGGCAAAAGAAATTAATCAGAAAGGAAATTGAAAACCAGTTTAAAGAGAAGGAAAAAGAAATAAAAAAGCAACTGGATGCTATAAAAAGACAGAAAAAAGAAGACGAAAAGCTTCTGAAAAAACTGAAAAAGATTAATGATTCAAATTATAACAATCCAGCCGATGAAACTCCCTGGAAAAGAGAAAACTCCTATGACAGCGACTATCCTGAGACTGTGCCAGACAGAAAAGGATATTCTGATGATGACGATGATGTTCCTCTACCCTCCAGACACTCCAGCAGCAATAAAGAAACCCTTCAAAGAATAGAACGGGCTTTATACGACCTGGAGAGAAAGACCCCTCAAAAGCAAACCAAGCATCACTATATCAAAGCAGTATCAGAGCCAGAGCCAGAAACCAGCATAGTATACAGCACTCCTCCAGAGCCCGTGAATTATATAGAAAGAAAACACTATATATTTAATAATAGCCCACCCGCGGTAAAGAAAACAAAACCGGTGGTATACATCAGAGCCAGTAGCATACTATAATAAACTCTCAGAATAATCAAATGAAATAACACTCACTCTTACATTACTCAGATTATTTACATAAAAGGAATTATTTAAATGTATAACCCAATCCTAGCCATAAGACATTCTGTAACTTTCTATCTGTCTTGGAGATTTATCTGAATATATTCCGATTTAAATTATTTCAGTTATTTCTAGTGATTCTTTGGTGTATTATATGTCTATGTTATTGGTTTGCTTAATATAATCAGTAGAAATATAAATTAATATGCGCAGTGTATTCACATTTTATGTCCATGTGCAACGCCGACTCCTTGCATCCTTAAGACCTGTCTATGCGCATTTAGTAATAAATTCTTATATTTTTAATTTATGTTTCGAGATATTTATAGAGACTCGCTGAAGATAGATGGTGTAGACATTCAGCTAAGCAGTGACAGAAGCAGCCAAGTCTTTCCATACGACAGAGAAATCGACAGAATCTTGCCGGAATCGTATAAAACAGCAATCCGCGGCACCAAAGAAGAGAAAATAGACAAGTTTTCAGAGGGTACTTTATTCTATGTGTTTTTCAACCATTGTGGTAAAAGAGTGCAGAAGGATGCGTATGACAGGCTGATTAAACTGGGCTGGATGTACAGCAAAGAGATGAAGACTTTTTTACAGATTATTAAAAGAACGGAAGAAACTGGTCTTATTTTATACTTTGATTACTGCACATGGAAGAAAGTGACTAAAGAAGTAACAATTGACTCTGCATTTCTCAGCACCCTTGAGGAAAAAGAGAATTAAGTCTTTATTTATCGCAGAGGCAGGATAATTTTTTGTTAAATAATTGTTGGGCATATATTGGGCTATGTATTTGTTGTATTATCTGCAATAAAGTGTGTATAAGTTTGTTTATTTGCTATTTATAAAATACTCTGTTGCTTTTATGTTAAAATTAATTTATGCCAGAATTGGCAAATGCACCCTGTATTATAAATATTACATGATATTTTATTTCTTTGTTAGTGTGTGGTTGCGCTTTTATACTTAATTATTTTATTTTTTTGTATGAAGGTCTTAGAAGAAGTCTTGCCTGCTGGAGCACCAATGGAATATTTGGCAAGTGCTGAATTTTCAACTGGTGTATATTTCATAACGTATACTGGTATTTATAAGCAAAATATAACAGGAAGTGTAGAGATCTACTCTTTATGTGATATTCCATTCACATTCAATGATGTAGTTTCAACTATGCACGGGGAGCACCTAATATTTACTATTGACAACACCCAGATTATATACAATCCAATAATGAGTCATAAGAAGACAGTTTCTCTTCCCAATTCACCAATGACTGTGCTAGTAGATAATTACACTGTTATTAACCTATTCTACAATGAAATGTACGTATATAATCTATCAGAAGCATGGATTAGCAGCTATGTAGTAGAGAATAACAAGCTTATTAGCAAGTATCGGATAAGGCGATTATTCCGGCAGGAAGAACAGATGCTTTTAGTGGAGGATAAAATACTAGAAACAAATCTTAATCTAAAGAACAAAGATTACCAAGCGGCAAATATACTGTGGAAAGATGAGAAATCACGTGTTACTATTAAGAGACCAGTTCTGATACATCCAGAGCCAACTGTATTTTGTGCCGAGCCAATTATTGATATTCTATGCACTGTGTGGGGATGCATTATAAAGTACACTACGGGAATCGAGGTTTATAGTATAAAGGATAAAAACTATAAACTAGAATACATATATAAAACAACTGGTATGATTGTGAATAAAAGTAGCGATTTAAATGCACCAGAGCGGGTTTATATAAAAGAAAAGGATTCTTCTAATGCAGGCAGGGCCATTATTGTCGACATTAGTAAGAGTGGCCCAATAAAGTTGTTGTGCATAAAAAACAGCGAAAAAGTATATGCTATAAACAGCACAACCTTTATGGTCAAGGGAGACACTGCCAGAATTGTAAGATACAGAACAGAGCATAACACATACCAAGCTCCGCTTATAGAGCTGGAAAAAGAGAAAACTATCCATAAAAAAGAGACAGACCTAATTGAGTCTAGTATAGAGTATCTCAGAAAATACAAAGATATTAATTATATACTGAAGGGCGCGACAGAGGAAGAGAATGCACTTTATATCAAAAAAATACTAAATTCATTCAAGGAAGATGTCACAATTCGAGTGATTTCACTTGGGGTTATGCTAGAGAAAAAAATATCCTATGTTAAGGAGATAAGTGAGGAGATAAAAAAGATGCAAGGCACTACATCAAAGAAGATAGAAGATGTTATGGAGAAAAATGAACGAATAATCAGCAGATTGGGCCAGATTATTGAGAAAATAAAACACATACACAGTCAAGGTACAAAGACAGAAGATGCCTCATCAAATGAGCACATCAACACACTCCATCTGAAGATAGAAGAGATGAAGCAAAAAATGCAAGAACCTAAAATGGCCAAAAACTATACAAAGCTACAGGGCGAGTACTATTTGCTAAAAGAGCATACTAGATATCTTATGAAGAGATTGGAGCTGCTAGGATAGAAATATGTTGAAATATCTTAATGAAAAAAGATTGAATCCACTAGAGGAATGATAGTATAATAAAAAAATAATGGAATAAATGAACTTTATATATTTTATGAATTGCTTACAGAATTAAAAGAATACCCAGAGATCCTCTAAAATTAGTTCTATAATTATTGTAAGAATTCAACACAGAAAATTCGCAGCACTTTTAAGCATAATATAGGTGTCTTGGTAAAAATAAGCAATGTAATGTGTTAATATTTTCAATTATATATTAGCATGTATATGCCAGTATGCTTGCACCATACGATCTACCGTGATTTTTAATTAAAACACTTGTATACCTCATTGCATATAAAAGTTGTTGCAACTGACACAGCAACTCCAGTCATAACCATATTTATTATAGTGAATTTTTTCTTTGGTGGTTGAATCTCAATTTGATTGATTTTTTGGGTAATCGATTCTTGTTCATTAGCACTTGCTAATTCACTATTAGAATTATTTTCTTCAATAGTAAAGTCTTCCTGACTAGCCAATTCTGGTTTTTTGGCACTCGTTGATTCGTTATTGTATTTTTTCTCTTTAAGAGTGAAGTTTTCTTTTTTAGATAATTTAGTGGCACATCTAAATTTTATTGTATCTATAATGTATTTCTTTTCTTTAGAATCAAGCGATTCTGCATTATAAACTGCGTTTAACCGATTATTTATACATGCATTCTGCTCTTTATCAATTACAATAGGCTTAACAGAGTCAATCATATCAATGCTGTTGGTTTTATCGTGATATAGGTATATATTAATCAACATATAATCGTCCTGTAAATCATGAATAGTGTTTATAATATCAGATAAACGATTTTTCTTATTGTATACCTCACATATCAGACTAATATCTTTAGGGGATAGGCTTTGAACTATCTGGCTATGTTTATCTGTAGAGTAATTGGAAAGCTTATCGTAATTTCGTAGAATTAAACCAACCGCATGGTCTAAGTTATAGGTATTGTCCTTATTTTTGTAATATAAGTCAATTTCAGAACAAGCAGATCCTAATTTTCTTATATTCTCAGAAAACTCTTTCAAACCATTTAATAAACTCCTGTTTAGTATTGCATGTGCAAATTTTTTTTCATATAGTATATGGCGAATGCATCTGAAGTATTCTTTCAAGTTTACTTCTTTCTGGTTTATTAGAGCATTGTACCATTTCTGTGTTCTTTTTTCTATTTTTTCTATTAGATCAGTTTTTTTAAAATCTGTAATTGCACCAACCATACCTTCAATTTCTTTTTGCTTTTCCTCGTCTGATAAATCTTCTATATGCTCCAATATAGCAGCTAACCGCCATTCTTTACGAATAATTTCTTCTAGCATTAGTCTTGCTGTATCCTGTAGTATATCATCTAGCTCTCTTTCAATCTCTTTGTTTATGTATATACTAGTGTTTTTACTAACAAATCCATGTAATATCCTTAATACTCCCTCTCTGTCTAAATTATTTTCACTCTTGAATGATTGAATAAAATCTTTTATATCATTTAACATACTTTCTGGGTCAAATGTAAATTTGACTCTAATACTATTTTTGCCTTTTGCTGGATTTCCACTGAATCCTTTTGTCTCAGATAAGTTGTTTTTTGCTTGTTTGCTTATTGTAGAGCTGTTGTTATTTTGAGATGTTGTAGCATAGTTGACTTTCTTTTCATCTAAATGATGGTCCATAAAAATTTATAAAATTTGCAATGTATAAATAATTTTAATTCTATGTTATATACCCCTGAAATTGAATTTAGCATATTAAAAATTATGATCATTTATACTCTTAATTTCAGCATATTATTACTAATTATTGGATTGCCTGCAATCAATTGAAACTTTGACAGTATTTGATGTGTATTGACGGCAGCAATGAGATCACGAAAATAATGCAATATACCATATATAAAATAGAATGAAAAATGCTTTTTATTGTAATCATTAGAATATCTAACTAAGTACTGATGTATTTTTGAGTAAAACACGTGGTTATAGCCCATAAACTATGCTCTTTCTTTTCTTAAAAAGTTATGCTGCTTAAATAATCAATGGTTGATCTGATTCTCTGCAATTTTCTCAAGAAAAATTTAAGAACATACTTACACTCTAACAAGAGATGTCTGGAAATACATATAAGACTAGTAGATAAAATCATTTTCTTGCCACCTGCACTCACTGCTGAACATTATTACCTGCTGTACGGTATATAAGATAAGTTGTAAACGCTGTAAAAAATCCTGCTAAAACTAGTCCTTTTCTAGAGATTTTTTTCTCCTGTAATTGAATATTCTCCAAACCATTTTCATTACTGGTTAGTTTTTCCCTAAAGAAGCTTATTCTCTCCTTAATATAAACCTTTTCTTTGCTATTAAAGCTGTCTTCGCTAAGGAATGATTCCAATTCATCATTTATATCTTCTTTCTCTACATTACTTATAGTCTCTGTATAAATAGTCTGATCAGTTTCTTCGGTATTCTCAGAATATAAGTAGTTGTTAATATGCATGTCATTGTCGTGTATATACTGCAGAGTGTTTATAATACTAAATACATTTCCTTTCTTATTGTATACCTCACATATCAGACTAATATCTTTAGGGGATAGGCTTTGAACTATCTGGCTATGTTTATCTGTAGAGTAATTGGAAAGCTCATCGTAATTTCGTAGAATTAAACCAACCGCATGGTCTAAGTTATAGGTATTGTCCTTCTTTCTGTGAAACAAGTCGACATTAGGACAAGCAGGCCCCAATTTTCTTATATTCTCAGAAAACTCTTTCAAACCATTTAATAACCCCTTGCTCATTAAAGTCCGTGAAAGTACTCTTTCATATAGTATATAGCGAATGCACTTGAAATAATTTTTCAAGTTGACTTTTTTTTGTTTATTATGGTGTTATACCATGTCTGAACTCTTCTTTCTACTGTTTTTATTAGACCAGATTTTTCCAAATCTGGAATTACATTGAGAAGGCCTTCAACCTCTTGCTCTTTTTCCTGATCAGACGAGCTTTTTGTGTATTGCAACTTGTTATTTAGCAACCACTCCCTATGAATGATTTCTTCTAGCGCCTGTCTAGTTACATCATTTAGTATATTAGCTAGCTCTCTATCTATCCCATTGTGTATGGTTATTCTAGTATTTTTACTGATATATTTTTGCAGTACATTTAATACTTCTTCTCTTTCTGATGAGTTCCCATTCTTAATTGATTCAGTCAGGTTTTTAACATCATCTAGCATGCCCTTGGAGTGAAATGTAAGTCCAACTGCAGTGCTATTATAATGTCTAATAGGAGCTTCAGCTGATCCTTCCATTATAGGCAAGGCATAGTTTATTTTCGGGTTATTTTTGAGTTTTATTGTAGGCTTCTTTTGGCTTTGCCACGTTGTGATAAAGTTAGCTATATCCTCATCTAAATCATGGAACATAAAAAATTATAAAAAAATATTATTTTTGTACCTTAATTTTGCCATATTAAAACTAACTATTAATGAATTACAAATAATCCTTATTAAATATCCGAAATAAATCATCTAAGATACAATTAAGTTTATAAAAAATCTGATTTAATTGGAATATATTAAAATAATTATACTATTACTTAGTACATATATTATATAGAATGCCTTTTATTCTTTATACTTATTAATCCACCAGTGCTTATATTACGTATATTAAAAAGAATTAAATTATAATTGCTTTTAGGATTTCTATATTTTAAGGAAATATTTCAACCCCTGTCGCATAAATAAATAATATAAGCCTTATAGGTCAGTTTTACTTCCAGAATTGCTAAATATCGTCTTTAAATATAACCAAAAGTGGCTGTTTATTATGTTGTAGTGGGAGAAACATTATATAGTTTGAATTCTAAATATATACTTTCTTTTAAACTGGCGCTTTTTGTGGATTTGTGTTATATTTAAAAATATTTCTTCTGCTATATACACTAAAAGCTGTCTCTTTGTATACAATGCATAATAGAAGAAAAATTACACTTCGTGTGGCTAAATAATTAATCACTGCCTTTATACAAACCATTTATAAATACACCAGTTTCAAGTAAATATATTTTGCTATTGAATGGAACTACTGGATGTTTTGATTTTTGGAGTGAAAGTAATACTTTCTGCCGCTTTATAATGTCACTAGTCCATTTTGTGCACGTTGGGTCCAATGACATAATCCTTTCATCGTTTTTAAGCCACTTCATCAGCTCTTGCTTCATCCCGTTGACTTTATCAGGAAAGTATTTCATTGAAATGTCTAATAAGTTTAGGCTGTCTTTTCGCACATCAATAACCGTGCATGTCATCATAGTTTCTAAATACAGCATAATATACTCTTCCCAATTCTTCAACTCAGCTGGAAGGGCCTTTGCTAAAAACCGCTGGGTGATCCTATAAAAAAGCCCTCTCACTTCTTTTTTATCACTCTTACACATCTTCATAATCTCTCGAATCATTTCCTCTGAAATGCACTCAAGCTCTTCTGCTTCTCTTGCTCCCCGCATTCTAATTGTAGCAGAAGAGTGCTTTAGCATGCTTAATATCTTAAGCAAATCATCGTCTATTCTTTTTGAGACACCAACAGTTTTTGACCTAACAGCCAGCGGCTTTACCACTTTTGGTTTAAGCTTGTATCTTTTGAACATATTTTATAGAGCTAAATGTTTTTCAGAATACAAATTTAAAATTTTTGCTACATACTGCAATTAACCATGTGAAAATCATGCAATATAAAAACCCCTCAAATCTACCAGATGAGATTAGAAAAATAACAGGCACTTTACATTGCCAGTAAAAATAGTATGTTTATTTTGAAGACATAAGCCACAGCAGGGATAAACTATTTGGTATAATATTATGCTGGTACGCTAAAAGAGACATTACATTCGAAGAATTCGGTATATGCTGGTATCATTATATATAATTATATATTCTGGATGAATAAGATGCTTCCCATTCATAATGTTAAAAATGCCTCGAAGCATCCCATCCTTTAAGGTGAATATCTTTACCTGCATAGCACCTATGGCAACTACATACTCTTTAAAAACAAATGCATAGTTAATTGCCATAAGCCAGAGAAAGACTATATTTGACTTTTTCCTAGACCCATACTTGTTAATGAAAAATCCTATGTCAGATAGAACAACAAGATAAAGATTCTCTTCTATTTTTGCAATAGAAAGCGATTTTGACTCGATCTTATCTACATATATTGCTATGGTTTTATCTAATGGATCAAGCAATTCCTGTGTAGTGAGGTCAATTAAGTCAATTAGCTCAAAATCATTAGAACACAAAACCATATTATTGCCAAAGAATGAGACATCCATTATATCTCCTGCAATATACATTCGCCGATATGTTGTCTTTGATAGATATCCTCTGTTATCCGCTGTTAAGTTAAAGATAAATAGTTCTTCAGAACCTAGATATCCTATCTTCTTGGCAATGAGCAGAACATTTTCTTCGCTTTCATCTGGGGTGTTCTTTATAAAGGATACCTCGGTGCTGCTGATGATTTTCTGTAAACTGGGAATACTATTTAATATATTTTCATCTAGCGCAAAGCAGTGCACAGCCCTATCTATTCTTAAAAAAACATTTGACAGCTTTGAATTATACATAACATTTGTGCAGTGCTTTTTGTCTACCACCCGGACTCTTTCCCCATTCATGACCACCTCAAGGCACTCCTCACATCCTATTGCTACATTTCCTAGGCCTTCTTCCGTCCATTCTATAATTTCTTTTGGGTTTATTAGAGAAAGAGAAATATCCTTACTTTTTGATAAGTTTGGCATCTCTTCTAGTTTAAAATCATAGAACTTTGATGTTTCTACGGTTTTTATATCATTTATTACTCGAACAATTTCATCTGCTGCCCATTCTTTGCACTCTATTAAATATTCTTTTTCGCCGCATGTTATTTTTATACGTGCGCTGTCCTCATTAGGGCTGTCTACAACAGATGCATTTACTTGGTCTGGCGCCATATACTCATCAAGAAGAGTTTTTACGGTTTTCATATAAATACCTCTAATTTTAATAATGCATTCTATAAAAAAGACACAGTTGTCAAGAATCACAATAGAAACAGTTTTATACCCAGTGTTGGTAACTATTGACACTTCATCCTCCATTTTCAGCAGCCTTCTATCCTTTTGTATAATACCTACAGAGAACTCCGGCCTTTTTTTATAGTTAATTTCATGCGATAGCTGAAAAAGAGTAAAGTAGTCCGTGGAGTACTGTACGTTTTGGTTTACATGCAAATTAATCTGCTCTATATTTGTTATGGCCTCTGAAAGTACGCCGCTCTCCTCTGGAAGTGCATACTTTAATATAGCCTTAAAAAGAAGGGGGTATCGTGTTATCTTCTGCATTGGTCGCATAATAAAATGTGAGCATCCCAAGTGCAACCTATTAATTCTATGCAAAACATCCGATATTTCTGCCTCAAAGTTCTTGTTATCTTCTATAAGCATTTTCATGGTTCTGGCTGCCTGTGGGATTCTCCCCGCATACTCAATATAAATAGATGAGATTATGTTCTTTCTGATGTTATATGCTTTAAGTATGTCTACAAGTGCTTTGCTTGATATGTCCATGCGCAGAAAAACATCCTTTGGCGTGTTTCGATTTATATTCAGCCGCTTCATGAAATTTATAAGAATTGCATCGTGCAGCTCGTAAATGCTATCTGAATTACCTATCACCTGCGATAAAAATACTTGTTTGCTGTAAACATCCAATGTGGTTGTATTGACTACCAAGTGTTTTATTGTCCGCATCCACAAAACCAGGTCGTATACATATCTTGACTCTGACTCAAACAATTCATATATAGCCTGCATTCTTTTTTGTGGTACTGCTGTATTGTTTTTGCTCGTAATGGGCTCACCAGTGCTCTTCATTTCTTTGTTTATTATTTACTTTTCTTTTTCCTTAAGAGCTAAAACCTTTTCTCCTGTGCTCGGGTCTGTTTTAATTACGCAAATTTTCTTTATTAAATGTCTAAATGTTTCTTTTGACTTTGGATTTACCTTAAATCGCATTTTAAACTTTTCAATTAAGTTTTTAATAGACATAGGGCCACTACACAAATGCATTTTTATATCAACCTCGGTTATCTCCTTCTGTGTATCTTCAATTTTCTCGTCTGATGAAGATTCATTCACTGACTCTGATTCATAATCTTCATAGCTCTTGACAAGTTTTTTCAAATCCTTCCCTGCAGAATCAAGTTTTTTCTTTCTCTTTTCGACCCGTTCCACATCAATTTCTCCATCGTCATCATCAAATACTTCTTTATACTCCAACTCGTCTTCTCTATACTCTTCTGCATTCTGCTTGCTTGCGTCTTTCTCAACATGTGTGTCCTTGGATCTTTTTTGCATCTTTTCCTCGGCTTCTTCCAAAGTCAATGTTTCATACTGTATTTTAGGGGAAAACTTGTACCACTTGCTGATTTTGTACAGCTTTATTTCATTTTTTTCCTTTATCATTGCATAGTACGCGCTTTTAGAGTCCTCTGTCACTTTAATTTGTGTTTTTCTACCTATAAAAGCCCTCTGTTCACTGTCTTCTAGCAGCCAAGGAATTTTTTCTTCCTTATGCATTTTGGCGTCTTCTGGCGCCTGATACTCCAGAATTTCTGCCTTCTTTCGGGTCATCTTTGCTGGGTTAATAGGCTCCGGCTCCTCATCTTCTATCACCAAAGACGGGTCTCTGGCAAGCTTCAGAGGAGGAACCAAGTCGTCTCCCATTCCATGAATTGCTGCAATATTTCTTTCTACTCTCCCATTCACTAGAATAACTCTGTGTTTCATAAAAAATTTCACACGTGCAAACAAATGAAACCAATCAGAGAGAGATGGCTGTCTCTTTTAATTCCCTCAAATGAACTAACTGCTGATGGAATAGAAAAGAGCAATGAAACATACCAAGAGTATCTTAAAGGCGCATCCGTTCCCAAACAAACCAGTGATCTAATACATAAGGACATAGAAAGGACTAAGATTGTGTCCATCACAGGGATTTCCTCTAATTATCTTGATAAAGTCCGAGACCAGGAAAAGGTCCGGGTTGTTATAGAAAGAATTTTGACAGTCTTTGCATACACAAACAAATCAATTGGGTATGTACAGGGAATGAATGTAATATGCGCAATTATATACTATGTAATGTCCTATAATGAACAGCCATACAGCGAATCCCTTTGTTACTTTTGTTTTTTCAACCTTATGGTGGACATTGGTGACTATTTTACTGAAAAAATGGACAACGCAGAGACGGGGATTTTTGGGCAGCAGAGGGCCATACTAGAAATACTAAAGCAGAAAGATTCTCTTCTATACACGCACATAGCAAAGAAGAATCTGTTTAAAAATAGCGCATTCCACATTAGATGGATGATTCTTCTATTTTCAGCTGAGTTTGAGCTAAAAGACACATTGATTTTATGGGAAAGATTCTTTCATGAGAGCCCAAAAAGAAAAATGATTCCTTACTTCTGTGCCGCTTCTTTGGTTACACTAAGAGAAATAATAATTAATGATGATGAAATGAAAACACTTGGCTCACTAGAGGTAGTGCGGATAAATCCATACAATGCTCTTGCTATAGCAGAAGAGTTCCTTAAGGCCATTCCATATAGCACACTTTTCCACTCATCTGCTAATCCCCACTTAAATAAGCCAAGCAGAAAAGCATCGCGCGCTCCACACAATAAAATAGCTCAATAATTTTAATATAGAAATGTTTCCTGGTAAACAAATGAACAAACGAATCCCAAAGGAGCTAGAACTAGCAATCGATTATCTCTCATCCGAGTGTCATCTTGATACTCTTGAAGCCCTGAACCACACAAGAGATGCATTCCACAGCACGCGCAAATTGATAAAGGATGCTGCAATATCAGGGCAGATTGAAGAAATGTATGCTCTTGTGAACAAAGAGTATCCAGATCTGTTAAAAAAGCATCCACAAATAGTCTCCCTTGTATTCAGTCAAATATTCATAGAATATGTAAGAAATAAAAGACCAGAAAAAGCACTGGAATTTGGTAGAAAATCTATACAAAACGGGCAAAACATAACAGAAAACCAAGAACTTTTCTTGCTATTGGCATATAAAAATCCTGAACAGTGCGATGATTTAAAAGACTTAATGTCTTTGGCTAGAAGAGAAATGATTTTTACAAAGGTAGATGAAATCATAAAAGAAAAACATTTGGGGAGGAAAGTGTCACTTCTAGAATATGCGCATAAAATAATTGCATATTGTAAAGCCATTGATAATACTGAATAAATATATGCTATGCAATCACTAAAAACACTTTTTAATTCTTATTTTGCACCAGTAATTCCTATATTGAATACCTATAATAGTCTACTTATTTGTTTCTGATGTAATTCATTCACTATAAATATGTAATATTGTGTATAGTAGATTGTTAAACATATAAATGTTTTTTCATTATGCAGCCACTGTCTCTAGATATTTATTCTTGCTGTTTTCTAAATTTTATGCCTTTTATTTTTATGTTGGTTTGTCTATTTTATTAACACTACTTAAAGTATTTAATTTTAAATTATAAAGTGTACAATTTAAATTTGTCTAAATGAATAATTTGTTTTTATAAAAAAGCTCTATAAAGCTTGAAAATCACCATGAAATAATCCGAAATAATAAAAATAGAATAAATCTAAAACAATTTATTTATCTGTGTTTAAATCTATGCCTTCTCCCATTAGGCGTATATTCTTCATTGAGATTTAATTGTTTAGACATTCTTTAGCTTCACTATCTATGCGAATTTCAGCTATATATAGATTTAGCTATTTGGTCTGGTATGAATTTCTAAAAAATCACAACATATTATTATGACATATCTACTACCAAAAGTTTTTTGAAGTACTTATTCAGCCAGTGGCGTGTGCACAACAATGAGTTTGGATTGTGCTGCTGAGAAGTTATGCTTGGTTGATTAATTGGCAATTATTTTCTTTAGTAGATGTGTTTTTTTGCTGATGTGTTATTGTTAATTATGTATTTTTATCTGGTGTTCACGGCAGGAGTTGTTTAAAGTAGTAGGAGACTGTAAGTAGGCAGCTTTAAAAGTTTTTATATTTCTTTTTTATATAAAAGTGCTTCATTAATGTTTCATATTTTTGCTCGATGCATATTTTTTAATATGGTCCATCGAGTAATTCAAGTAATAATCTACCACAGCATTTTCCTTGATTAGGTTCCATACAAATTCTGGGTATTCGCTGTTCTGACTTTGCCCAAAGGGTTTTACTGCTATCTTAGACTCGATGTATTTCGGATCATGTCTGGTTTCTGTCTTTCTATTGGTTTTATTTAAATCTTTGGGGTTTACATTAATTATTCTGGCCATTTCTGATTTAAATACGTTCTTCTCATTTTTATCAGAATCATCAATCATTTTAACAGAAGCATTGCTTGTAGCAAAAAGATTTTTATATACGAAATTGTATATAAAATGGTCTTTACTTCTTTGGAAAGACAGAATATTGTGTTGTAAAAGTGCTGCTGCCGAGTGAATTGCCATAGAAACTCTAACTGTTTGGATCAAGGCCAAATCATTCTCTAAAATAGAATTATAAATTTTTGTATCTTGTGTTAATGCTTTAAAGTCTGCAAGGCAATCTTCTAGTCTATTAAGAATGGCTGCCACAATTCCTATTAATTTAGATCTATCTAAGAAGAATAGAGGAGAAAAAGACGTTTTAATGTCTGGCCTTGCGCTGAATAAAATAAACATCAAATCGATATTCTTAGAAGGTCGCTGATTTTCACTATTTCCTAAGCTAGAGCTGTTTGATTTACTCAAAAACTGAGAGCATTCTCTAATAGCCTGATCTAAAAGGTCCCAGCGGTTAGAGCCATCCAGCATGTCAGAAGTTCTAGTGAAATTTAATGTTTTACCTATTACCTCTGTATTAGGAAAATTACCTTTAAAATCCTTAAATTTGGGGGTTTTATGGGTTACAAATACATCTAAAGAAGAAACAGCTTCATCTAAACTTATATATTTGTCTAGAATTGGTTCTTCATTCGAGCTGCTAGTAGCTGTATGAGTTTTCTCATCAGAATCAGCCATCTCACGCCCTATTTGTTTTCTATTTTGTTGTATTATCGTCCAGTTATTATATAAATCCAGAAGCACATTATATGTGTCTTTAAAGTGCTTTTGCATCTCAGAAGACCATGTATGCTTAGTACCCATACGATTTAGTTTCTTGGCATCTAACAAAGACTGATATTGGTCATTTGCTAGTTTAGAAAGTGTATCAGTTTCTAGGAAAATAAATTTACTAGTCAGCTCTAAAAATTCATGAAGAGTAGTGCAATATCGCACCATATTCTCTAAAACAATGGCATGCGGTTTTTTGTTTGTGTCATTTTTATAGATTTTTGGAAGCTGTTTGTATACATTTAATATAGAATTTGGATTGTATTCTTTAAAGTAGCAGTAGCTTATTTTTGCGGCCTGCTCTTTATACATCATATTATGTCTTATGAGGTGGGAAATCCAATTTGTAGGGTCCATTGAGACAGGGCCTATATTTATCACATCGGAAGAATTGGCAGGCATTATTTCTGTGTTAAATAACAAGAAATGATGCCATACCAATTTATGTTTTTCTTCTACTACCAAAGAATTTTGGATTTCTAGAATTTCGTCATATACAATCTTCATTTTTTTATCGGCTGACATATCTTTGAACTTACGTACTTCAGCGTCTTCAGCGCTTAAAAATACCTTGGACTCCATGTTTTCATTTTGAATATCAATAAATTCAATTGAATCCGGAATTGATTTTTCATTATTGGCTTTTTCTTCCAGTTTATTTAATGTTTCTTCTTCTAGCTGATCTTTTTCTTTCTCAAGCTGCGCCAGTTTATCATTAGTAGCATTTAGATGATTTTGTGTGCTTTCTAATGTTTTTCTAGTATTATTAAGATCATTATTTAAATTAAGAATACGAGTATTCATTTTATCAGTTTTGTCTTTTTCATTGTTAAACTGAGTTTGCAAGGTTTTTATTGTATTATTCAATTCATTTTCTGATTTAGTGCTTTCTTTTTTAACACTCAGCAATTCATTCTCTTTCTGTTCTAGAACTTTTTCCAAATCATCGAATTTTTTCGTTAAATGCGTATAATTTTTATTTAAATCCGTGTGCTCATTATAAACTTTATTATATTTATCATTTAGAGCATCCAGTTTTTTTTCTATATTTTCTTTTTCGCATTTTAACTCATCTAATCCTGTATTTTTTTCTTTTAGAGCCTTTTCTAACTCTGTATTCTTTTCTTTATAGCTTTTTTCCTGATTATTAGATAAATCTATTTTTTTTATATTCACTTAATTCCTCTATTAATTGCTTGTGATCTTTGTTTAGATTATTGATTTTTGTTTTCTCATTATTGCATTCAGTTAACTTAGTTTTTATAGTTTCTTTTAAATCATTTACAGATTTTTCAAGATTTTCTATTGTTTTTTTATTTTCTTTAAGCTCCTTGTCGGTTTCTTTTATAGTTTTTTCTGCAGTTTTTAAACTCGACTCTAAGGTATTCTTATTTTCTTTTAGCACTTTAATTTGTTTTTCCACATCTGTGTTTTTACTTTCATTAGTAAATATAGTAGCAGACAAGTTTTTTATTTCCTCTTGCAACTTTACTTGATTATCATTGCATGTATTTAGGTTTTTTTCAGCACAGTTTGCTCGAGTAGTTTCTTTTATTAGATCCTTATTTAAATTTTCTATTTTAGTTTTAAGATTTCTGATTTCTAAATCATTTTCATTATTTGTTGTGTTTTTTTTATCGATCATAGTTTGCATTTCGTTTATTTTCGTATTCAATTTACATATAGTGTTTTTTTTGTCGTCTATCTCCGTGGCTAAAGTATCTATTTTTTCCTTATTTTCCTGCAGTTGACTATTAATTTTCTGTGCATCTTCCTCCATTGTTTTTATTTTCTGGTTTAGATTATCACATGTCAAATTACTGTTACTAACAGATGCATTAAGAGTATTTATAGTACTAGTTTTATGCTCTGTCAGGCCTTTTAGATCTTTTATCTCTATCGACATTTCATCTATTATTTTATTTTTATCAGATAATTCGTCTAGTAGGGCGATTTTAGTATCTTCTAATGTTTTCAAGTTATTATTTGCAGATTCTAGTTTATTATTTTCATTAGTTAATTGTGTTTCTAACTTCCTATATTCGTTGTTTAACTCGGTAATTTCATCTAAATTACTCTGATTTTTGTTTGTTTTTTCGTTTAATTCAGCTTTATAGGCATCCAGAGAATCAGTTAGACTTTTTATTTTGAGTTCCAGAGCAACCAATTGTTCTTTATGGTGTTTTATTTCCTCTATAAGCTTATTTTGTTGCAATTCTGCAGATTCTTTACAACCTTTTACTTTTTCAATATAGGTAATTACTATTTTTTTTTATCTTCATTAAGAGCACTATTTTCTTCTTTTTTTTTTGTATTTCGAATTTTGCTGTCTCTAACTTACTATTTAGATCATTTATAGTTTTCTTTTCAATAGTCAGTTCATCTTTTAACTTATTACATTCTGTTTGATAGTTATTTAACATAGTATTAATATTCTTCATCTCACTCCTTAAGTCATCTATTGTTTTTAGTGAACTTTGATATTCTTTATGTATTTTGGTGTAACTATCTTTGTCGTTATCATTTTCTTTTATTTGGGTTTTTAGATTTTTTTCTAAAGACTCGATCTGTTTGGTTTTTTCACTTATATCAGTATTTAAATTATTCACGGTTTGCATATGAGATTGTAGTTTTTCATTAATTTCATCTTCCCTTCCCATAGCCGCATTTAGTTTTTTTTGCAAAGCTTCTTGCACATCATTGTTAGTTTTAAGTAATGTTAATTTCTGCTGGCTTTCTTCTGTTTTTTCTTCTATTATGCCATTTAATTTGTTTATTTCCGATTCTAATCTGTTTATATCAGTATTTTTGTCATTTAACTGAGATTTCAATTCATCTATTGTATTTTTTTTCTCACTCAATTCAGATTGCAGATTTTTCTTTTCAGTTATGCATGTATTTAAATCCGTCTGAATGTTTTTAATTTCTGCTTCTGCTTCTTGTAGATTTTTCTGTAAACTTGCATTGTTAATAAGCATAGCTGATTTCTCGGCTGAAACTTCGTTATACTCTTTTTTCATAGAATCTATCACAGCCTTTAAATTATCTATTTCTGTTTTTATTTTCGGACTAAGCTTTTCTAATAGAGTTTCTAAGTTCTTGTTTTTTTCCTTTAATTCATTAGTGCTATGATTATTTAAGTCATTATCTTCTATATTGGCGTTTATATTATTCTGTAAACCAGATGTTTGTGGGTTCAACTTATTTTCTTTCTCCTTATTTTTTTGTATAGGCGTGTTTAGATCTGTAGTAAGATTTTTTATTATGTTTGTTACCGCTTCTAAATTGCTTTCCTGCAATTGGTTTTCACTTTTCTGTATATTATGCTGATGGGAAAGGCTTGCATACTCGGTTTCTGCGAGTTTCACAGCGTTTTCTAGATCATTCTGCTTAGTTTGTAGGTTTATTATATTTTGAATTTTGTTCTTTAGTTCAGTTTCCAGATCATTTTTCTCATCATTCTTCTCTTTTAATTTCTTAATAAAATCTTGTTCTTTATTATTTGTTTGATTTAATATTTCTTTTGTATTCGCATGCTGATTTTTCAGATTTTTATATTGTGTAGAAAGCTCATCGCGCTGCATATTTAAATCTTCTATTCTTTGTTTCATCTTACTATACACAATTATTATATAATCTATCATGATTTTAATGGTGTGGTCATCTAAAGCTTCTTCCTTGTTACTCATATTTTTTTCTGATTCTTCGTCATATAAATTTTCATTAGTAATGTTCTCACCTTTTATTTGTGCTTCATATTCTTTCAAATGGGTATACAAAGAATATATACATATTCTTTCTTTTTTTGTATGTTTTTAAAGTCTTCTATTTCTTTTTTATATTTTTTCGGCATATCGTTCATATAAGAAGCTTTATTGGTTAATTCATTCATTTTTCTTTTTGTTATAGAAAGTTGCTTTGTTAGTTTTTTTTTCCAGGCATGCGCATTATTAAGTTTGTGTTTAATCCGAAATTTTTCATTTTGGGTTTTTTTTATACATGCGATTATCTTATTCTTCTTTTTATTTAAATTGCAAATTAGTTTAGCATATTTTTTTCCCTTTTTTATAAGCAATTCTTTCTTAGCTTTATTTTTTTCTACTAGCTTGCCGTTAGTATTACTTTTATCTAATTGTTTGATCACTCCTAATTCATGTATACCGAAAGTCTTATAATTTGCTAATTCGAGCATGCTGTTTGCTATTATTTGTTCTAGCTCACTATATTCAGTGCACTCTATAATTTTTATAACCTTTTCCTGCAGCTGCGCAATGGTTAGAAGCAAATTAGATTTTTCCTGCTTTTCTAGCCGTGCAGTTTCTTTTTTTATTAGCTTTTCTAGCTCCAATATTTCTTCATGAATTTTTTTTCTTTCTACTATGCTCTGTGAATATGCATACTTGGAAATTTGCTCATAAGTCAGATTTGTACTAATTTTAGTATAATTTGTTTCTTGTTCTACTATATTTTGTTCTATCAATCGATTCTGGGCATCTATGCTGTTTAGCCTTTTTTTTTGAGCCTCTAGCATGTTTTCTATTTTTTTTATTCTATTCAGCCCAGATTTTCTAATTATTTCATGATAAAACGCACACTTTTTTCTTTTATTACTTTCTTCTGTTTCAGTGTCTTTAATGAACATGGGAGAGTTCATGCTGTCACTATTTTTTTGGAAATATAGAACATGTGGTGATATATGAGTATTTAAATTAAACACATTCTTTGTGGTGGGGATGGCTCTCACATCAGTACCAATTGACCCTTCTCTTGGAAATTCATAATTTAATTTTCCGCCTAAAAGTGTGCTATTATCCTTTTTGTATAGTATGTTACTGTACTCATCGGATAAACTATCCTCAGACTGACTCACATCCATTTTATTGGAGCTCTGCTCATCTGTACTGCTTGATTCTTTTAAAAATACAGTTGACTCACTATCAATAGTTTTTTGTTCACTCATCTCTATATTATCTCCATCTGGTATACTCTCACTTGAATATAATTCTCCTTCTACTACATGTAAGTTTGTATTGTTCTTGCGCCTTTGCCTATATGTTGAAACAACAATATAGCAAAATAGCAGAGTGTCAAATACAAAAACACATACTAAAAACTTTCTTAGATATTTCATGGTATATTTCTGAGCACAACGGTATATTTATACATTTGAAAATCAAAATGTAAATATTTATAGAATCATATGTTTTGAGATAAATTAGTATTCTTTGTTTGTTTTTATTGAATTGTTATGTTTTTTACTTCTAATATTTATTGTTTTTATATATTTTACTGATTTGTTGCATTTGGTTAAGAGAGCTGTTAGTTAAGAAATAAATTAAATGGGAATTCAATCAGTATAATAAAATAAAAACATCAATTGACAAAGATGCTGTTTTTAGTTAGAACAAACATACACGTTTTCTTTAATTAAAATTGCTATTGTGCATTCTTGCCAATAGTATTTGGAATGTTTTTAATGATTTGTAATATACCTCGAAAGTAAAATTATTTATTCTTTATACATTTATTTTTATAAATAGTGGCATTACTTTAATTAATATTCTTGTACTAACTAGCCTTTATTATAACAGAAAGACAATTTGAATAAACCTGAAAAACACCTAGAAATATAAGAAACTCATAAACACTAATACTATATTGTATTTACTATACAATGTGTGGATTTATATAAAAATATCTAGCTTATCAAATTTATTTCCATATATGTCTTAATTATTGTTTATATAGACGCATATGTAAATAAAACATAAAATATCAAGCATGTGCCAAGATAATCATATTGTATCAGTTTAAAGAAAAGTTTTAAGATACTCTAAAGTATTTATTTAAACACAGAATTCATTATCGTACTACAGTGTGTTTGTGGTTGTTGACATATTATTTAGTATATATATGTATTAAACACGTCAAGTTTTAAACAATGGCCAAGTGCATAGTATTGCATATATGTTTGGTTGGTCTCTACTCAGACTGTCTGTATAGTTTCCGACGTATTTAATTGTTTATTAGAGCATAATGTATATGCTATTGCTATAAAATTTAAATTAGAAAAGGTGTCTATGCTAGAAAAAACAATTATTGGTAAATACGGATTTATTTTTGGAATAATTTAAATAACCAAACCCATAGAATAATTTAATACAAATTTCTTCTACAAAACAAAGCCAGTACTAAAATGCATACTAATACACAAATACCTGTATTTAACAGAAAGCGATACTATACTACTTAAAGGACTATCCGAGTTTAGACAGCTTTCTTTGAACTGAACTTCAGCATAAATATTGCACCTGTTACTAAGGAAATAGCAAAAACAAATACAACTACTGCTATTATACATAGTTTCTTTTTATCTTTTGACATTTCGTATGTAGGTAAGCTATTTCTTCCATTGCTTATTTCTTTGTTTAATAGGTTCTCAAAATATTCTTTTGTAGTATACATATTTCTGCACACAACTAATAAATTGGAAAATTCATTCTCTATCATACTTTTATTATTATACAAGTATTCAAGAGCTTTATCATTGCTATAATTGCTATAGTCACCTATATAGCGATTTATACCTAGCAGAATAGAACCATTTTCATCTATTTTACTCTTTAGCTTATTTAAAGCGTTCTCACATATGGATTTTTTTATCTTTTGGTCTATTGCATTGCATATTTCTTTTTCTTGGTCTTCTGTTAGATCATTTTTAATAGAAATCTGCTCCTGGGCTTTGTATTCTTTAAATATATCATATAAGTTATCGGCGCTGTTCTTGCTTTCCCACATGTCACTTAAATCTGGAAGCTTTACAACATCAGCAAGGCTACTGAAGGATGAATTTTTTTCCTTAATTGCCTCACATATGCAATTGTAATAATCATGTCCTTTCTTTTCTAGCGTTTCGGTTTTTATTTTATTATGATGTTCCATTTAAGGAGAGCCCATAATTCTAATTTTAACTGGGAATTACAAAGTTGGTTAATCATAGGTCAATTATAATGCTTCTATAAAATATAAATCACAACAATTGGACTATTATATGCAAATTTAACAGACCAAATATTGCCAGTATTTATTGGTCAAATATTCACACCTATATTTAAATATATATTCACTATTTACTACTGTAGTAGAAATTTCTCTAAAAGACAGAAAGCCATAAGAAAAAGTCTGTCAAAAAAACATTTCAGAAGAAATTTCTATGTGCGTATACAAATTATAGTATTTAAGAAATTCTGGTTTACTAAGAACAATATGGTAAATATATATATTGGCGTATGAATACCCATAATAAATAATAAAATTATAGATATGTGAGTCTTTCAATGGATAGAAATAAATAGAATGTTGGTTTCCATGGGCGCATGGATCCCACAATTGCCTTTGAGTGCCATTGGCCTTGCGTAGCTGTCTCATGACAGACCCCAGTGATTTGATTAAGTTGTGACAGCTGCTGTCACAACACTGGAAAACTATATAAGGACGATGGAGAATAAATAAATACGTAGTTTACATGAGTAGATCTTGTTTACATTTTAGAGGCAGAGAGAAAAAAACAGCTTAGAGAAACACCAATAAACTGTGAAAATATCTGAGCAGTCCAAAAATTCTTTGCTTCTGCTACAACTTTATTTAACATATTCAGTATAGATTTTTCTATGATATTTCCTTTATCACAAGAAAAATCAAATGTACATTCAAATATCACTAGAACTAGCTAAATGTGATTTATATTTTATGACTAAGCCGTCTTCTATCACACAATGAATTATAATGCACGCAGCAGTCTCTAGCCCACTTATACAAAGTCATCTATAACTGTAATATATAAACACCTAAAGCTATATATGACAAGAATAATAAAAATTTAATAAGTCTATATTTGTAAAAGTGGACAGCCAATTGACTAAGCATCAATTTATTATAAACCTTTCCTGGAAAATTCCTGCTAAAATTTTACTATATATATTAATTTATCATTAGTAAAATTTCAATGGAAAACTTTATGAGCAACTATGATGAGCAGCCAAACACAATTGATACGCCTGGATTTGAAACAGAAACTATAGTAAACAATGATGAGTTAACAATTATTCAGAATATTGAGCAGAATGTGTATTCAGTGTCCTTAGATACAGCAGTAGAATGTGGAGTAGAGCAAATACCAGTAGACCCCAAGATAGAACAGCTTATTAGTGCATTCGCATCAGAAAATAGATTTATTACAACCAACTACAGCTCAAACGAGCAGTTGATTCGCGATGTTTTATCTTCTCTGGAAAAAAAAGGAGTTTTATTCGCTGAAGATGATTTATCCACACTTTCTACATATTTAAATGAGTATGGTCCACTTGTTACAGATGTATCAATGTCTACAGTATTAAATGACACAAATCTTGTAACTGAGGTTATTCTGACATTATCCGAGAATGCAGCAGAGATTAGCGAATTAAATGGAGAGAAGGTGCTAAGAATAGTCTCCTCGGTTGACCTTGAGAGCGCATATTCATACATGAAGGTCTGCACGGCAAATCAAGCCATAGTGGACGCCCAATCAAACATATTTAATGACATATGTAGTTCACTTACTATCAATATGCCAAATCTGACAGAAAAGATTGTAGAGTTGGTAGAAACGGCGGCAGAACCTGCAATTAACGCCATGAACTAGTCTTTATTTAGAATAAAGAATAATTTTCAATTTTTACTTACTTAAATAATGGTCAAGGTATACTTGCAGGAGGATGCGTACATTGCGAGCGGCAGCTCAGCAAGAATTTTCGGAGAAATATTAAATGAAAGGATAGAAAATAGTATAAAAATGACAAGAGATACTTTTTACAAAGCAATTCCTATAATAATCCACCAGTACAAAGAAACTCTTCAAGAGTATGCAGAAATCAATGGAAAGGAAGTCAAAATGCGAGAAGGATCGCCGGGAAACTGGGCAGACTATTCAGAGTTTTTGGTTGGTGATAAGGACATAGCAAGAATAGGAAGTGTAATATTAAAAAAAGCGCAGCAATTGGAGATAGAAATAGCATCGGTATCAACTATAGATAAAGAAGCCCGTATATATAGCTTTGGAGATAATGAGTTGTTTACTAATCTAGCACAGCTTATACATGCAGAAAATATTCAAGAAGTAATATATACTGATGAGTGTTTAGTCAAAGTGTTTACTGCCTTAGGGATAATCCACTATAAAATACAGAAGAAGAGTACAAGTACGCTAGAATTACTTGAACAGCATCTTACTATAAGCACACAGGGGTACAGCATAAAGAGCAGTGAAATGGGAAGTGTACTAAGAATGGATGACAAAGCAGCAGATTCTTTATTATCGGGGGACATCCGAATTGAAAATGAGATCAATTGTTCGACACCGCAGGGCAAAAGACTTTTACAATTATTTATAAGGGCGCCCTCTACAGACAAGGCAGAGATTATAAAGAAACAGCAAATTGTCACAGAGTTACTAGAGAAAAATTCAGAACTGAAAAAAGCTGTTAAATCGACGCCAGACACATTCACTATATGCAAAAGGTCTGGAGTGCTTACACTACAGAATATTATAAAAATACACAAGTTTTTATGCTCTATCCAGCAGATAGAGCAATGCATATTAGAAGTTAAAAGTCTTTCACATGAAAAAGCACTAATAAAAGACTCTTTAGACTATACACAGGACTTAATTAGTGAGATAGAAGAGGCAGTATGCATGAAAACCAAGGAAATCAAAGAAAATTGCACTGAACAACTAGTAGTCCTAAATAGAGTTAGAAAAGAGCAGGAACAAGAAATATATACTAAATATACTGAAGTAGTGACCAAAAAAGGTCTTTTAATATCTAAATGTAAGCTTGAAAAAACACCAATGCATGGGTATTGTGTTAAAATGCCAAGAGTAGAAGAAGGCAGGCTGACCACAGAGATAAAGCTGACTACACAGAAATCCGGAGTATTGTTTACAACAGATGCCATAAAACTAATGAACTATAAGATTTCTGACACAGAGTGCCAAATAAAAGCAGAGCATGAGTCAATACTAAAAACATTAACTGAGTCATTCTCTATCTGCAAAGGATGGATAGAGGTACTAAATCACACAGTCGCATTCTTAGATGTATTCACAAGTTTGGCAGAATATGCTGCTAATAATAATTTAGTATGTCCTGAATTTTCAGATGGGGTTTATCAAGTGCATCAGATGTATCATCCATTGCTTCCATCGCTGTACAGAAAAAGGCTTATTCGAACAAATGGGATAGAAGAGCCCATTAAAAATGATCTTGAGATAGCAGAAGATAAAAGAGTGTGTGTAATAACCGGCCCAAATATGGGAGGGAAAACAACATTCTTAAAGACGGTTGGAGTTATTTCTATATTAGCACAGATAGGCTCGTATGTTCCAGCCGTGTATGCGCATATTCCCATATTTCACCAATTGTTTATTCGAATTGGGGCATCAGATAATCCAGATAAAGGCATAAGTACATTTATGGCAGAAATGATGGATGTATCTACCATTTTAAACCAAGCAACAGAAAAATCCTTAGTTATTATTGATGAGCTAGGAAGAGGAACAAGCGACGAAGATGGATATGCAATTGCGGCATCAACAGTAGAATATATTAGCAGACTAAAAGCAATGACATTGTTTGCAACACATTTTCATGAACTGGCGCATATGCCAGGAATAATAAACAAAAGAGTAGGAAGTGTTGAAGAAGAAAACGGACTTATAATGACGTATAAAATAGAAGATGGGTTTGCAAAGAGCTCACACGGAATAAACACCGCTAGAAGAATGGGATTCCCCGATGAAGTATTGTTAATGGCAGAGAAGGCATTAAAAAGCCAAGAAGAATAAATATTACTAATAAAACAATAAAAGCAAGTAAATTTAAATCAAAATAATCTAAAAAAGCAATTTACTGGTGTTCTTCATATAATAGTCACTAAAGCTCTGCAAATTTAATGTAAAGTGGTCATATTTAGTTTACTCTACTACTGAATAAGCTAAAATGATTTTTTAAATATTTTATGGTAAATGCAACTGAAGTAACGATACTCCATGGATTTGAATTTCCAACGTATTGTAACTATCTGGAGGTTAGTGAAGATAGTAAGACGCTTTTAGCAACGGGTGGCTATAAACCAGCTACGTCACTATTTGACTTGCAGGAGCACACACTTAAAGTAGAAAGACACGCGGATTATGAGCTTATAAAAGGCGGATTTATAGGGGAAGACTGGACAAAAATAGTTCTTCTTTCGAATGTAGCAAAAATAGAGTTTCAAACTCAGTTTGGGAAACACGATTCAGTAAGCCTTCCACAGCAGTGTAGAGATGTAAAAGTAGACAAAATACATGCGAATGTAGTTCTAGCCGGAAAAACAGGAGGAATACATCAATTTAGTATGTCTACAGGAAAGTTTCTTCCTTCTATTACAACACAACTAACAAGTGCTGAGGAATTTGCATTAAACCAGTCGCATACACTCTGTGCAATTGTAGGAAGCAGCAAGCTAACATCGTGCAGTGCGCCCGATAAAAAAGGAATATGTGAATTCATTGACAGTAGAGACAATAAGCCGGTTAGGCAGCTGTTTGTAGATGCGCCTGCTACTTCCTGCGCATTTTCAGAAAACGGGATGCTTTTTGGTGTTGGCACTGAGGCGGGAATAATTTCTCTTTATGACATACGAAGTGCCCGGCCAATAATTGAGAAAGACCACAATTATGACTTTAAGATAAAAAAGATAGAAATTAAAGACAAAAAAGTACTATCGTTAGACCAAAAGGGTATGAAGGTATGGAAATCAGATACGGGTAAGGTTCTTGCTACAATCCAGCCGTCTTTTGATGTAAATTCATTTACATCATCAGAAGGAATAGTGTTTGTAGGAGGAAATTCAGAGCCAATGAAAACTTACTATGTTCCGGCACTTGGAGCAATTCCAGAGTGGTGCAGCAACTTAGAGGGGGTTACAGAGGAAATGAATGAAATGCAAAAGATGACATACTATGACCAGTATAGGTTTATAACTGAGGATGAGCTGATACTCCTTAAATTACAGAAAGAGGTTGGCAAGGCAGTTAAGCCGCATATGCATGGATATCTTATACAGCACACGCTTTATAATAAACATATTGAGTCCAACAAAAGACCAAATGAAAAATAAGTTGCTGCGTATATCTGAAAGGTTATTTAAGTAATAGATTAGTCCTTTATTTAATGGGAATGCACTGAAATAGTCCAAGGCGCACAGGCCCTGCGATAATAATAAGTATGAAATTCACTAAGAAAATTTTGTAATGGATATGGGTGACAGAGAAACTAGAAGAGAGGAGACTGAAAAGGAGCTTGATATAAGAGTAGGCGAGCTAACAAACTTAATGAAAATATTCAGAGAGAAAGTGGACAATTTAGAAAAAACTGTACACTCTTTGGAAGTAAAAATGGTTGATTATATACAGGACTTAACCAAGGCAAAGGGTGAGATTGACATATAACTTATTATTACCATAAACACAGAAAGGCATGAATAATAAATTACAGTATAGGAAATAGTATATATTCTTAGTAGATTATTAAGCACAGATACATCTTTAGACCAATGCGAATATTTAAATAATATATGTTAACCAGTATGCAATAAGTGTTCTGGTTATTTAATTGTATTTAAGTATAGAATTCTATGTATAGCCAGGCGACTTCTGGGCTATTTATTCATTCAATATATTTGAGGGATCTTTTAATTTTTTATTATGACCGGGCACGAGAGCAGTCATTCAATGAGTATATACGATACAATTGAGCACGATATGCGGCACTCCAAGGAATATTTAGCAAACATGAAGTTCAATTATATAGAAGTTCTGCATAAGTCAATATTTCTAAAAAGACTAAGAGGGCAGCCGGATGAAGAAGTTCTTAGTTCTAAAGAAGAGCTCGTATCTACTAAAAAGCAAATAGAGGAGTTTAGAAAGAAATTTGAGAAAATATCACATGAGGTTTATTGTTTAAGGGAGGAGGCAGAAAAGCAGGAGAGAATACTGCGCACAACAAAAGAAAAAGAAGCACTACTAAAAAAAAGGATTGAAGAAATCACGAACACAGAAAAAACACTAAAGGCATTTGCGGAAATAAAGACAGATCATGAGCTCCGGATATCTGCCATGGCGCAAACACAGAAGACGATTGAAGAAACAGAGAGAAAGCTTTCTGCACAGGCGGAAGGGCTAACCACTAAAACAACTCTAAAGGAGTCATTATTCACACAAAAGGCAAATTTACAGAGCAGGCTGAAGGATCTGCAAAAAACGTCAAATCAGCAGCAGGTATATCAGTATAACTGGTACAAGCAGTTTATGAGTGTGCTGTACAAGTTAGTTGGGATAAAAGTTATAGATGTGCGGCAGAGTGTTCATAAGCAACAGGAGGCGGTATATAACAGTACTGAGGACAGAGAACAAAAAAAGAAAGAAAATATAAATGAGATTAGTGTTAAGCTTCTGTCTAAGAAAAAGGGCAAAACCATTGTGATTACCTTAATATTTATTGATGGGAAGATAAACAATTATACAATTCACAAAACCGAAGGTGCTGCTCAGATTAAATCCGTTTGCTGTAATGAGCTATTTAATTACTGTAAAAAGGTGAATAGCACAAAGTATTTTATATTTGAAGGCATTTATCTGCAATTGTTTGATCCGGTGCAAGGATCTGGGTTTAGCTCCAGAAAAAATGCGTAATTTATCTTTCTCCCACTGTATATATAAATAAACAGTAATAATAGATGCGCTTATATATTAAAAAGCCTTTTATTTTTAAAATATTGGATTATTTAAAAATGGTTTTTATTTTACATAAGAATTGCTTTATCTAAAATATATTTTTATCTTCGAACTTTATTACATAAGCCTATCTTAATTCACATATATTTAGTCAGAATTATTTACAGAAATAAACTATATACAAAGACAGCATATTATATGAAAATATATGCCTTCTTTGGATAGAAAGATATTGTTAAATTTAAAGCTACGCATAGTATGCAATATAATATAACAAGTTTAGCAGTATTCAGTATAAAAGTGCATTTAATTTTGGGTTAAAATAGCAAAAGTGTCTATTGGGGTTAATTTAGCAGTCTAAATATCATACATTTCGATGTTGTGAAATTGTTCTAGGGATCTCTATAGTAGTATCGCATGCTTTACTATCCATTGGCATTCTTCTTGTTTCTCTAAAAATAAGTTGGCAAACTGGCGCTTCAAAGTACTGGAGCAAGAAATAGTCTAAGCTCCACCAAACTCCAGAGGTGATATACATTGCTAATAGAACATCAATTGTGTAGTGCAACCTTCCAACTATAATAAATATTATAATTGTTCCAAAGACTGCCCATGCGCAAAGACCCGTCAAAACATGCATAAAAAATGAGTCAGTTAAAAGATAAAATGAACTCCAGCAGTGTGCAAATGCACAAACAAGTAAAGTATGCCCACTGTATATAAGATCTCCTCCTCTTTGCCGAGACATGTCTGAAAATGTATCATTTATGGTTCGCAGCCCCTGGTCCCATGAGTCTGGAAGAGAAGTAACCATTAATGTGGTGCATCTTAGTGTATATGCAATAATTATAGTAATTATAAGCTTAAGTGCAATGAATATAGCCATTTTGTTAATTAAAATGAAAAAGGCGGTAACCCCCAAAAAACATATCATTATTATATCAACTACCTCATTGTAATTTGACTCAACTAGAAATCCGTTGTTGAAAAAACTGTTTCCTACATCTTGTAAGCTTGGATTATATGCTTTCATGGGAGACCAATAGGAAGAAACATTGGCTGCAGCATTAACTAAAAAGAGAACACCAACCAAGCAACCAATTGATACTAATAGTGAAATCGCTTTCATACCTGTTAGCCCATAGTATCCTATTAATCTAGTTGAATAATCTCTAATCACACTATTTTCCATAACAAATAAAAAAATCAAGAAAAATATTTAAATATATTATGTATCACAATATATGTGTATGCATAGACTATTTTAATTTAAGCCCCTTTTAAGGGAACCCCTTATTAAACAAGATATACAGCAAGTAATGTATTACAAATAAAGCACTCTCAGGGGTTTCCTAATGCAGGCCCCAATATAACCAATGCAACATAGCATATGCCAAGCAGATATATTATAGGAAAGTTCTTATTATTATTATAATGCATTGCAAAGCGATGCTGCATGCCATTGGTAGTGCAATTTGCTCTTACCATTGGCCTAGACATATTTTGCATAAATACTTCTATATAGGCCCGGGTATTGGGAAATCCCTCCAAATCGAATTATTGTAGACAGAAAGTGGATACTTTGGTGGCGGGCCATTTGGGCTGCATCTATGAGTGGGAATTTTATATGATTTTTATTACTATTAATTTTTGTGTATATCTAGTACATTATTACTCTCACATAAATTAAATAATTGTATACTAACAACACTAATAAAAATAATTATTTTTTTAATTGCATAGAGTTATGTATGGAATATTAATAAACTGTTTTAAACTAAAAAAATATGTATGAAAATGTCTCTATTTTATAAAATTTAATAGTTAAATAGCTTAATGGTTTAGCAGATATATAAGTATAAAGAATTTTCTAAAACATTAGTCAGCTAAGAGTTGAATAAATATGAAATAGCCCGGCGTTTATATTAAATAATAGGCATACGCATTATTAACACAATGGAAACTCCAAATAAAATTTATTTTAGCTGCTATGGATACACACAAGAAGAGCACTCTACCAAGATTAACTTGAAATAATACAAGAGTGGCCATTCTGGCACAAGTCCATGGAAGGCTTTTTTGATTACTACATGTATTAAATAGCATTGGTAAATCCAACTAGTGTGCACACTTGTTGTGCTGGATTATAGATCACAGTAGGGCAAGTATTATTAAATACTGCACCTGCTTTGAGCCTTCTTCCAATAAAAGATTTATTTTTGTAGAATACTTCCTCAGCCTGATCAGAAGACACCGAAGGGTCTTCCACTATAACAGATCCTCTTGTAATATAATAGATACAGTTAGAATCAATCTTCTTAAAAGAGTATGCCTTGATGTGGATTGTTTGTAAATTTAGTCCGTGTGCAGTAAAGTTTAGAATTTCTGTACTGGTCTTAGCGCACTCTTTATATAGTAATTTGTATGGGGAAATGGTTTTAGATTTACGAACATATTTTCTTTTTTTTCGACCAAGACAGACACTTTTGTCACCATCCACAGATATATTTGACAGTTCTATGCCTTCGTCAATTGCTCTGCTATATTCATGTATCTTTTTAGTGGGGCTTATCTCTGCAGCAGCTTCTTCTGTGGGAAGTGTGTTTGTGGCTGAATCTTTTGTTTCTTTTCCTTTTGGTAGAATCTCTTCGTCGGAATCAGAGAACCCCGTTAGCACCACATTCTGCAGGCTATCTTGAAATTCTTCATCAAAGCTTCGCCGGGGTGGTTGTGCAGGAGCGGTAGTGCAGGGCCTTTTTTCTTCTTCTGTTTCTATTACTGGACTTTTCTCTGGAGTAGATGTGTGCAGTATAGATTGAAGCGAGTCTAGCATACTAATGTCTTCATATTGTTTTCTTTCCATTTCTTCCAATTCTTTGTTTGCCATATTCCAGTATGCATCGATGTTTTCCATTGAATCTTCGTCCATACTTACTTGTTGATGTGAATTCCTTCTTAACCCTGCCAATATTTCCTGAGATAGTGCTAGTGCCTGGCCTGGCGGCTTTATTTGCTGCTTTTCTCGTCTCGGGCGTGCCATATATATATTTACGATTTTTTTATTGGGCATGCAAATATTCGTCAATTCTTTCACTCTTTCCGACATAGATGTAGATGGAAAGGCCTTTGATGAGGTTTCCAGGGGAGTGTTCACAAATGAAAGCACAACTTTAATAATGGACTATCATGCAGGATTGTTTAATCACAAAAAAATGGACAAAGTAAATATTGCACTTTTTTCAGAAGAAGCAGATTTCACAGAGAAGGACATTCCCGAGAAGTATGGGTATTTAATGGGAAATGGAATAGTATATGAAACAAAGATAAATGGAAATCGGCAGACTATAGACATTTCCTTTTCAGGCCTTTTAGTGAGTTTAGATATAGAAGTGGGCATAATAAAAGATATAAATAACTACAAGAGGCTGTATATAGGTGTTGAAGGCACACAACAGCACAAAAACCACAAATAAAATTGGCAAAATACAGAAATATGGCCTAATAATAGAATAAACGCTGACAGCACTCATTCCTGCACTTTTTATAATAGATACTTTTATTAAGCATAATACATGCATGCTGCGGCATTTATGATGGCAAGCATTACGACAGTTGATAGAATATATATTTGTGAATTATAAAAAAGGTTTCCAAATATTCCAATGTTGCTTATTATGATAACTTTTCGCACATTGAGTGGGTGTATAAGCTGCTTATTAATTATTAATTGATATTTACCGGGTAAGAGAGTAGGGACGCTTCCTATTTTATAATATGCGGACAGAAAAGAAGAAGGCCTGCTCCAACTACTTATTCGTTCGCTCATGCTCGTGTTTAGCAATACTTCATTCTTATTCTCGTCTAGAAGCTTATATGAGTCTGTTGGAAGTGTAGATAGAGTAATTCCGCAAGGATATACCCATTTGCCATCCTGCATATACGGAGAACAGTCTACTTCATTTATGTTATCTGGCGAGGGTTTATTAAGAGAGTCGTCCCGGGTATATTTCATGTGAGTCTGTGCAGCACCTTTCACTGATCCGTATATATGTGTATTGTGTTTTTGCTTATCTAAGAAAAATGAATATTCGCAGGTCTTTCCAGTGCAGTGTGTATAATCAATTATGACCTGAGAAACAGAACTTGAGAATGCATAAACTAATATAAAACCAGAAAGCGCCAATAGAGAGATTCCACTATAAAACTGCAATCTTTGGGAAGAAGTCAGTCTAAATCTGTATCGAGATAGTTTCTGCTCAGTAATTTCAGTGTATCTCTGATGAAAGATCTCTCTTAAAAGAGAGCCAATGGAAGCAGGCATCTTTTAATAATTAAAACTAGAAAATATTAAATGTTTATTACTGTAGTAATAATGTACAAAGCAGAATGACTGGGAATTCCATAAATGCTGAAAAAGTAAATAGCTCTAATTTATGTGTGGCGATGCACTCATGATAGAGCATGAAGCCCTTAGTATTCTTATCTTCGGAATAATTTTTTGAAATTCTGATTTGTTACACTAATTACATCCTGTTTAGGTGTTTTTTTAATGTGAGACACCGCATCAATCACTTGGTATAGATTAATTGGTTCGTTTCTTCCTTTTACTCCTTCATTCTCTATCCATTTTTTGTTAGATTTGAGATATGTGCCGATGCTGTCATAATACTTTGATGTTTTTCGTATAGTGCACCAGGGTGCATCTGTTTCTATTAGCAATCGGTCTAGAGGTATTTCCTCAATCACTGATGTTTGCTCATTTTCTCTAATTGACGCGCCATTTATTCCTATATAGAATCCCTTACTAACCAATCTTCTCATCTCCTCCAACCCCCCAGTATATGAATGTATAACACCTGATACATTATGATCATTCACGATCTCAAAAAAGTCTTCCTCACAGTCTCTATAGTGGAAAATATATGGCAGATTGAATACTTCTGTTTTTTTGAGTATTTCCTTAAATACCTTCTTTTGTTTCTCTTTAGATGAGTAGGTTCTGTTGTAATCTAGACCAACTTCTCCTATTCCAACAACACTGTCAATATTTAAAAGCGCTTCTGTGCTTATTATGTCTGAAACTTCTTTTCTTATTAAATTTCTTTGGTTCTCTATGGTTTTAGTGCTTAAAATATCAACAAACGCCTGTATATCCTCCTTTGTACACTCTTCTGTACTTCCTGGGTGAACTCCAATTACGCAGTATTCATTGTACTCATTTGCTATACTAATTACCTCAACTGAACTAGCTAGCGATAGCCCCAAAAAGACCATGTTTATATCATGCGACTTCCCCCGTGCTATCACGCTTTTAATATCACAGCAGTGCTTCTTCTTGCTATTATACTCTCCTAAGTATTGTGGATCGGTTATGTTTACTGCTATATCATATGGCATTCTTAATAAAAATATTTACATTGCAATAATCCAAGGAAAAATGTACACAGAACAGCAAAAAACCGAAGAGTTAAAAAGGATTCTGACACAGGGGAATATACATGGTATAAAGATACACAGGGATAAATATAATAATGTGACATTAATTAAAACACCCAAAAACCTAGGAAATTCTTATAAAGTAGGAATAGATGAGGCCGGGCGGGGGCCATTAGCAGGCCCACTTGTTTATGGTCTGGTCTATTGGGCAAAAGATCCAAAAACAGTAATATATAACGATTCAAAAAAAGTGAAAAAACAGAAAAGAGGCCTACAGCATATAGATCTATACAGAGATGAGAATGTTGGGTTTATAATTCGCTGCATATCTCCTCTTTTTATAAGTATTAACATGCTTGGTGTGAAAAACAACAAGTTGAGAAAAGCTAAGGAATCTGTAAGTAAAATGCCAAAGAAAAAACAGAAAATCCAAGAGAGCCCAAGCCAAGTAAAAGCAACAAAGGTTGTAAATGAAAGTGGATTAATAAAATTCATAATGCCGGGGAAGAATAAAGATGTGATAGCACTGTCCCCTCCTATATTTGTAAATAAGCAATGTCAAAATCTTAACGATCTATCGATTGATTGTATACTGAATATGCTAAGTATGTGTGCAGGGTTTAATGTTCCAATATCAGAAATATTTATTGACACAGTTGGAAACAAAAAAACTCTGCATGAAAAGGTTAAAAATAGAATGAAAGAGTACAAAACAATTAAAAAAATAACTGTAGAAGAAAAGGCGGATTCAAAATATCAAACAGTAGGAGCAGCAAGTATTCTTGCTAAGGTAACTAGAGATATGTTTTTAGAAATGCCAGAAGTCGTAAATATAATGTACAGTGAAGCAAAACTGCCGAGCATGCCTATTTCTGGGTATCCATCAGACGCCGCCACAAAAAACTGGATGGAACATTCATTTATTTCTGGCATAGGATTTCCATCGATATTCCGTATAACATGGAAACCGATCATGGATATACTTGAGAGAAATAAGCCCAAATTAAATCTAGACCGTGTTAGTCAGATAGGAAATATGAGGTGTCTTCTTAAAAAAGCGAAATAATTATAAATGAACAAGTATTTATTATTTAATTTTTATTTATAAAAGACCAAACTCATACACATAACTCTAATTATAAAATTCTATGGATAAATATTTATAGAAGACAAATAATTTATGACATGTAATAAATATAAAATACTCTATGGGATTTATACAATCTACACAGTATAATATTAGCGGGTTAAAAGCTTATTCTTGTAGTGTTAATAAAGCACTAAATTTATTTATGCATAGAATGCACAAAAGAAACTTTAGAGCCTTTTCAAGTAAAAGTTGTTTATGCGGTATATGTATGCTAAAGTACATAAAAAGTACAATGTATTTATTCAATGTAATTGAAGTGTTTTAGAAGCAAGACAGCACATTCTGTGCTTATCTCTGCATATTTCATTGGTTCTGTGTTGTACGTGAAGAGATGTGTGTATGTGTGCTCAGAGCAGTTGTGATGGGCATATTGAATCACGGCTTTTACAAATGTATTATCTGAGTTAATTTTATTTCTGATGTATTCAGCAGCCACTTTAACAGTAAATCTAGTGTAGAAAGCCAATATGGCGTTTCCTATAGAATTAAAAAAGGGGTCCTCTAGGTCTCTTGTGCTGTATGGGTATGGAGGCCCCATGAAAGCCCATATTTTGCTATTGCCTGGGCCAACCTCATCCTCCATAATATATGACCAATATTCTCCTAGCCCAACAATATTTGGTGTGTTTGAGTATACTGGAAATGAAAATAGAGAGTGCACAACATTTTGCTTAATTGTGTTTAAGTATTCATTTATCTTATACCTGAGTGCAACTTCATGGAATTGATTACAATCAATATTTTTATCGAATTTTGGTTCAGACTGCTTTCTTATTCTTCTAACACTTTTATAATTCCACACATTTTCTTCTAGTGTTCTTATTGAAAGAATGTTGTATGCAGTGGCTTTACTAATTGGCTGCGACAATTTGTCTAGAACATTGTCAGACAGAAGGACCTTTCTATTAAACAGCCAGAACATCTCTCTGAATCCGTATTCATCGTGCAAGTTTCCATACTCGTATAAATCTTCATTGCCTCGCAGATTTAGATGGCTGAATTCTGGCCTTCTTAGCAAATAGTCTGCCAGTCTATCAACGGTTTTTATTTGGTTATTTGAAAAATCAATGCTCTTAGCATGATCAGACACAAAGAAAATACTTGGAATATACTCAAACATATTATATGAGAGATCTGCCGTTTCTAAATTAGGCAGTGGCATATACTCTTTTTTAGATCTGTCAACGCCCGGTCCGCGGGTATAGTACACTTTGGGAATTATTTCAAGAATAGCACTAAAAACTCTGTTATTTTTCTTAGTAAAAACAATTCTATTGTGGGAGAGATTCAGTATTTTTAAAGATAGTAAATCTGATATATTTTCAGGCAAGACTTCAATCTGGTTATTTGCCAGGTTTAAACTTTGTAGTTTTGATAGACTGGAGATTGTGTCAGGAAGTTTTCGCAGCTTGTTTCCATTTAAGTTTAGATCAACCAATGTAGCCATTCCAATATTATCCGGAAGGGTCTTTAAACCGCAAGCTATAACTGACAGATCATCTAGAAGCGGGCACTCAAATAATAGAGGAGGAAGGCTTTCTAAATTTTTGCAGTTGTTAATGTGCAAAGCTGTTAACTGCTTAAAAGTGGACATATTATCTGGTAACTTTTCAATTGAGCAATTATTTAGCGTAATCGAACAAAGGTCAGTATACTCATATATTGTTTCGGGCATAGCAGTGAATTTGCAGTTATAGAAAACAAGAACCTTCACAGTTTTTCTTATCTCTAGCGACGGAAATTCATTTAAGTCTGTAAACATTTGAATATGTGCATGCTGCTTCAACAGCTGTCTCCTTTTAATTAGATTTTCTGTTTCTTCTTTGGATGGATTTGCTAATAAATCAGGATCTTCCTGATCTGACCATCTATTCCCATCAGCACAGTCGTTATCTGAAACATCGGGACTATCAAGAACAATAGTGTTATGAGAGGTCGGTCTTATATCATTTGTGCCAGAAGGCGACGGCATGTCGCTTAAAATGGATTCTAGTTCATTGTTCAGTGCATCCAACGCACTTATAGCCTTTTCTGTAGGGTTCTCTTCTATAGGTATAGAGGGCTTAGGCAGAGCCTGCTGGCTTGTATTTAAGTCTTCTGTATCTGATAATGACTCCTCTGATGACTGAGGTGTAGGAGAGTCAGTTTTATAATTAAGGGTTAATGAATCTATATCATCAACAAAATCTTCTTTAGAAGATGCAGTATATACATGTAGTGTGTCTCTTGTATTGAATGTCACCTTAGATGCTCTATTTACATCTATATCACTGTTTGAACTGATGGAGCTATCAGAGCTTGCCTGTGTACTATGAAAGAATAGCACACTAACAACTGTTCCCTTAAGAAAATGTTTCCATTTCATGAAAAGATTTTAGTCTTATGATATATTTATGCAGATTTATTGAAAATTGTATTTCCTTGTTTTAGAATTTTATACTTAAAAGGATAAATATAAAAAGGTAATTAGTATTTCCATTTGGAGGCCGGATGAATAAACATTTTCGATTTTCAATATAAATGCATTATATGAAGTAAAAAGAACAATTCAACAGATATAAATGTAGAAACATTTACTATACTTCCATTATCTGATGAATGCACATGGTGGGAGTATATTCTAGTTTTTATTATTAATTACTACTTATGGTTATTTTGAAAGAAAAGGAAGACCTCTCAAAGAAAAAGCACCAAGATATCTTCCTTCATTTCTATTTGCAAATATTAAAAGGATTAAGAAAGAAAGTATTACGTCTCCCTGTGTGTCATATAGTGTGTTCTTATTTATAAAGTACACATTAAAGGTTTTTTTCCCTTCTATTAGAGACTCCACATCTTCAACCAAAAGCCCATATCGGCTTATTTTTATTTTGCTTATATCATCAAAAATGAACTCATCCATTGGGTTTGTGTAGTATGAGCTGTCTTCAGGCATTTTCTCGTTAAAGTAATTGTAAAAAACTTTGAACAGCGCCTTGCTGTGCAGCTCATTGTTTTTATCATAGCACATAAATCCATTTCCACACATCATTTTCAAGTCATTTATCTCCATTCTAGTCAAAGATTTAGGCGTTTTTGTTCTGCTCATAGGAAGCACAGGCTCATTCAAAGTAGGAAGAAGTACATTTCTGTGCACCCATGTTTTGAACTCTTTTTCTAGCTGCTTTGTAAGCTTAAATTCTTCTACATACTCTTCATACTTCTTGATAACAATTTGCTTAGGAGGTATTATGGGCTTGTTTTTTTTCCTAAATGACAGTTGAAAGTTGATGTCTAGCTTTTTATAGGACTCTTTCTCCACAGGCTTTGCTTCTGATTTAACTGTTTGCTGCGGCGGTGTACGGAGCGATTCTGGCTTTTTCTTTTTCTTAGAAGTAGATGCCATTAACAAAATCATTAGAAGAATACAGCATGAATTTGCACAGAAATATCCTAGTATGCAAAACAAGCAAATACCACCTATCTTAATATATGCAATAAGTGCTACTCCCATGAGAACAATTTGCACCCAAAGTGACTTAATCTTCCTTTCCATGCCACTCATCTGAGAAAGGGAAGAGTCTTCTTTTTCTGTGGATATTTTCATTATAGAGAAAAGCAAAAAGTAAATTGTATATATTTTCTTCTTCTGGCTCTATAGTAGAAATTATAGAAATATATAAATTCAGCACAGCCTACAAAAAGCAGCAGTTCAACCAGAACCAACCATTGGTACAGAATGGCTATTTTGTTTTACAGCAGATTCAGTTTCATCTGTTGCTATGGACAAATCTTTTATAGGGAGGAATAAATAACAAACAATGTACTTGAGCGAAAAAATAGAACTAGATAGTGTTGCGGACTACGCAGCAGGAATAAACAGCGACTGGAGTGTAAGCGGAGATGGAATAAAAGGTCTTCTTCTGGGAATGGCCTCTGCACCGTTATTACTAGTTTCTGTGTACTTTTTTAAAGCCAGCCCAAGGTTTTTTTCAAAAGAGCATGGAATATCCCTAATGGCGTATACCGCCTGCTTTTTTTTAGTGACAACTGGAATTCTGCTATACGAATTTCCTTTCGTGATAACATCTTTTCAAATACTTCCCATACTTAACCAAATATTTGTTAGCTCCTTCTCATTCAATGTAGAATCTGTATTTGCAATTCTACTCACATCCCTTAGTATTTACTTTTCACTAGTGGGATATAATGAAATAGAAAGAACCTCTTCTTTCAGCTGGATAGCGATGCTGCTTTTTTTAATAGTTCTTAGTCTTTCTATTATGAGAGTTACATCACACAGCGATTATATTAGAAGGAGATTTGAAATTGAGAAATATTCTGACTTGTTATGCATGCTTGTTCTTTCTCTTGAGGGCGCCATTGGATTTGTTTCTCTGTGTACTTTTGCATACCTTTTCAATCTATTTTTACCAATAGTTGCATTGCTTTCAAGCATGTCATTCCTTCTGGCAATGGAAAAAGCTCTTTACTACTACCCAGCAACAGCGGTTATACCTATATTCACTATTCTTCTAAGAATAGTTGGTGCAGTGTATTCGCTTCAAATTTATAATAATGCATATAATTCCACAATTGGCCTATCCCTTATTCTTGGGTCAATTTCTTCTCTTTTTCCTTTAATATTGGCGTAAAGTGAAGTGAATAAATATTTCACTATTTATACTTAACTTTCTAAATTATTTAATGCATTTCTTTTATATTGACAGACCCAATGTATACCCAATACATCTATAGGAATATCTAATTTATATTAGCACAGTATTCTCAAGAATTTTAATTTCAAGTTGTCTAATATGCAATGTTCATATAGGTCTGTTATGTTATTTTCATAACTGTTAAAAAAAGTTTAATCTATTACAGAGTAAAAATTGCAGAGATTAATAAACTATTTTAAATCTCTTACCGATGCAATTTTAGTATATTATTTCAGTATGGCCTTACTGTAGCCTTTTAACTAAAAACAAGTTTATTTTTTTTGCTTTAGTGAGGTCATATAAGCCATGTATTGACTTACAATATAATTTAAAAATTTTTTTAGTGAGTTAATAGAAGTCTATTAAAATTCTTTACATACCTTATATAGAAAACTTTTTTATAATTAAAAATGAATCCAAACGTATGCACATAAAGAGCCACTGACCCAGAAGCAGCTCAAGCCTACGGCATTAGCATAGAAGCAAGTTCTTCTTCGCAAGAATATAATAGCAACCTGGATAATTATATCTCACAAGAGCATGTTTCTCTTCTAAAAAAAGTTAATAAGGAAGAAGAGACACCCGAAAACAATGAAAAGCAAACCAACTGGAAAGTATATGCAATTATTCTATTGTCATTGGTATTAGTTATTATACTTGCTTGTCTTTATATTCGATTTCTAGATTCTCTTCCAATTATTGACATATCTATAACAACTACTTGTAAAGAATGTTGATTATGTATTAATATAAATTTAGACTAGTCATTTATATAAATAGGCACTGGTTATAGAGTGATATTATTATATAACTTATAAAAATATGAGTATTAATTCTAATTTTTAGCTATTAAGTGGGCATTAATACCTAATAAAAACATGCATTTATATGTTCCATGTCTATTCAATTTTTATTCTAAATTTGTATCATTTGTTTTTTTGGATCATTTATCTGTCTCTATGCTTATTCCATTTTGCTGTAGTGATCAATTATTTCGGGTTATTATGGATGCCTTAGAGAAAAGATAAAAAGTCTTGTTATGTTTAGAAAATGAATATGTAATACCTAACAAATATCGAATTAAAATCTCTTTCTGACTTATATTAATAATAGAGATTCAGCTAAACCATTGTTTTTAATGATTTGTAATATACCTCGAAAGTAAAATTATTTATTCTTTATACATTTATTTTTATAAATAGTGGCATTACTTTAATTAATATTCTTGTACTAACTAGCCTTTATTATAACAGAAAGACAATTTGAATAAACCTGAAAAACACCTAGAAATATAAGAAACTCATAAACACTAATACTATATTTAAACTACGCGCGGAATAAACTTATTCTTTTCAATCACCTGAATGTGCTTGAGCTGAACAACTTTAGTTACATTTTCTGCACCAACCAAAAAGTGATTTTTTTTAACGGATATTTCTTCTAGAACCATCCAATGCACTGGGCCATCATTTGAGTTTTCTTCATTTGATCTATTTGATTTCTTAATTATAACAATATCGCCAAATTCTGGCATTTCTATTTTCTTTGTGACTAATGACTTAAACAGAAAGCTTTCCTTTGGAGGAATGCCCTTTTCTTCTAGTTTTGTTGGGCTCCATGGTATTGTTCTTCTATAGTTGTTTAGAGTGTGCCCGTACAGCATATTCAGTTCTTTAATATGCAATATTGGCTTGTTGGCTTTATTCTTAAACAGCATCTGCGGTGTTATATTAGTACAGTTTTGCTGCTTTCTGTTGAGTTTTGTAACTATCCAGTCTATTATACCAAGCCAAGTCTTTTGATTATCTGATTTATGAATATATCTTCTTAGCTTTCCCTTAAACGCAAAGAACATTCTCTCTGCCTCATTACATCCCTCATATTTTTGATTTCTTGCATTTCCATGCACATATGTGATCGGTGCTGCCGTTTGTATTCCTATGCTGTCTATTGAAATATTGCTCATACTTTTCCCAGCATAAATCCAAGCTGGCTCACCCTCCACGCGGAATAAACTACGCATAGCCATGATTATTTGACTGCTGATGTTTATACAATTAGTCAATGGATATATAAAATGATATCCAGAATATGCATCTATAATATGCAATATATGCGTATATCCCTTATTATAATCCTTATATGCAATAAGATCGATTATAGAGAGATTTAGCCTTTCCATAGGCTTAGTTGTGTCTGGAATAGGGATCTTTGCACTGTATACAAAAGATTCTTCCTTCTTTTCCTCTGCGCTCTGTTGTGTAGGCTGTGTGTCCTTTTCTGATAAATCCTGCTTTATTTTTAATTTTTCATTATACTGGCTTTCTGCTTTTTTACATCCACTGCAGTTTTCTATTAATTTACTAATTCGCTCCTTTTTAAACCCGAACCACTTGTTCTTTATTAGCCTCCACATCTTATAGAGCTTTAAATGGCCGTGGGTGGATTCTAATTGATTGAATATTTTAACAATTGCCTCTTGGTCATCATCCCCTATTGCAAATAGCTTTTCCTTATTCTCTCCTATTTGTATATAGAGCCTCTCGTTGTTCTCAATCTGAAACTGCTGGGAGTTCTTTATAAAAATCTCTAGTGCTGATTTTGTCGTGTATCTGGGAAGAACACCAAAAATTAGATAGTTTTTTATGTTCTGAATTAGTTCAATTGTTAGTTTAATTCCAAAGGCATGCTGGGTCTTCATTATTAAGGATTTCCTTCTAAAATATTTTAATATATGATTTTTAGAGATTTAATTTTCCTTTAGAAGTTTCTAAGTATTAAAAATTTATTTGGCACTTCTTAATAAGGTATAGTATAACGCATTGCAGCGCATAAATATATTTAATGATTTAGTTCGCGTATATATCATATGTATCCAAAAGCAATTAGAAATTATTTCAAAATTAATGAAAGCAGTGCTATTTATAATAATATACTGCAACACTATATAAATTGCTAAGAAGAACTCAGGCCTGTTAATAAAGACTAAATAAAAGAATATTTAATGTGAACTATGCATGATTTATTAAAAATAAAATATTATTTATGTCTTACATAACTTATATTTATTATAAAGGAGAGAAAATAGAAAGGAGAAACTCTGAATTATATAAATAGAAATATAGTCTAAAAAGAGAAAATTTATAAAGGAGAATTGAAAAATATGGATGAATAATCACAAGAAAAGAGGCAGGGCATAAAGAAAAAGAACAAAAAGAAAAGATAATGAAAGATATTTCAAAATGAATTTCTAAATGTTGGTTTTGGATAGTGAGATCCAGAACAGTAAAGAAACAAATGTTTATATTGAGGATCAAAATGTAAACATACAAAACCAATGCCAGATCAATGATTGGAAATCGTCTATATAAGGACGACGTGGATTCAATAAATAACAAGTTTTCGTATGTCTAAGTCTTTAAGGAAAAAACAGCTCTAAACAATATGTAAAACAATTTGAAGTAAGTGCAGTTATCAAGAAAAGAGCTGTAACTTCATGTTTCAGAATATAGTATATAATATGATGTTTTATTTACAATAATATGTAGTGTATTATATGATTTGGCAACTACACTGCCTCTGGAGTGCACATATTTGGTCTAAGAACGTGATCTAAAGAGTGCATAAACTCTGGAATCACTACTTTCTTTACTATATCACTTGAATTTCCATTTGGGCATGATAATGGTGCTCGGAAAATCTCGCGCACAGCTGGCAAAAGTCTTCTTAGTCCTATTCCAACTATATCATCACAGGTGTGCACAGATGTATAGAGCAGAGGACTGTTTATCTTAATGTTTACAATGTTTCGAAGTTGCTCTTCTGTGTAAATAGTTCCCTTACACTTTAAAAGATAAAGGAAGTCTTGAAGAAGAGCCTTTCCCTCTGCTTTGTCATTCATAATGGTTACGTCCATTCTTTGTAAGTTAGGAAGTGCTTTAAAAATCTTTTCAAGTGTCACTGCTGTTGGAATAAAGTCCTGCCCTCCATTCTCTGCTTTGTCAAATCCTGGGTCAAAGTATGTGAATGCAAAAAGTTTGACTTTTTTCTTTACAAGATTATCTTTAGACTCAAGCGCAGAAACAATTTCAGAGTTCATAATTGCAACATCAGTTATATCTATAGACTCAACACTTTGAATTTTGAGAATTTTTTTAAACATATTAACATATGCCGCTTCCTGCTGGGTGCTCTCTCCATACAGCCTGACCGTTTTAATATTCATCTTTTCTCGCGCAATTAATGGAAGTTCAGAGTCCTTATAAGGCTCTTTCAGCTCATTTTCTGGCAGAGAAATTTTTAGATCACTAAGATTATATAGTTTTTCTAAGTTCAGTTCCTCAAATACGTAGTCATATGGTGACACCAGTGTTTCTATATTGGCAGCGTTTGGTACTGAAATAGAAAACTTTCCCAAGAAATTTGGGCTCCTATGGTTCAGCCTAAAGAGGCAGGGATGGGATTTGTCTACACAGACTCGATCTCGATATAGCTCCGTCATAAACCCAACTTCAGTAAAGTTCATCGCAAGTATCTGCTTCTTTCCAAATTCATTTAGTGAATTATAATCATATATAACAAACCCAGACATAATTGGCTTCATTCTTCTTTCAGACCGTTTTTTTTCTATGTCTAAGACTATGTTAACAAGAGACAGGTTGTTCTGAATTCTTTTAAAGTTACCTAAAGATCGCATATAAACCACTCGAACCAGCTGGAACACCTCCATAACCGAACTGAACTGCAATTCTGGAATCTCTAGATCCTCTTGTATAACCACTTCAATGTTTTTAACTTTTAGCTGGTTATTATATAGTAGATAGTATGAAAGTCCAACATAATCTGTGTTTGGTGCTTTTTTGTTGCTAAAAAATAGCTGGATGCCTTTTTTACCCAGAACAGAAGTTTCCTTTACATATGTCACAATCTTCTTTAGATTATTGTCCTTTACAGTATTACATAGTGTAGAAAACAAATACCAAAATACATCTAAGTTAACTTCTCTTCTTAGTAACCATTTTATCCAGCTTTTACTATCAATGCGCCGGGGAGGAACTTCTGCCATCAGGACATGTCTATTTTTGTATCTAATATCTCTAAGAATCTTTAGATATTCAGAATTTGCATTTTCATTGAACTGGAGAAGTACTCTTAGATTTTCTTTAAAGCACTCTCTTTTTGTCATGTCCATTTTAAACTTTTCTTTTATATGTATTGGAATTCTTACATATTTATCCATGGAAAAAATCTCATAGAGGGCCAGGATTGTGTTTATATCTCGAATTGAGAGGTAAAGCCCCTCGTGTTTAGCAAAGTGGGGAATATTTGCCATTTTTACCATTGTTATAAAATTGTCTAGGTATACATCGTATATGTGTAGCTTTTTACCTAGCTCCCAGTCTCTTTGCAGAGTTAAAAAGTATTCTTTTGTATAGAACACCGATATTACCGTGCGCTCAAACATTTCATCATTTATATATGGTCGTACTCTTCCTTTCTTCTTTTTCTCTATATCTTCTAAGTATTTCAGAGCCTGTGTATACTTTTCTATAGGCTTAAACCCAGCGATAAAGGACTTTGGTAGTTCCTGCACTTTAGGTGTGTGGTATGCTTTTTTATTGAAAAATGCTGTATATGGAAGGATATTAATTGTCCCAGGCTCATCACTATTAGTAGATTTTTCTAGTGAAAATACCGATGGAAGAAGGAGTAACAGCATTCTTATAGCTTGAATAGATTTAGAAAGTGATTTGTGGTGCAATTTCATATCTACTAAAACACTAACTGTATAAAAAGATATAGATGAAACCGTGTATCAAGATGGGAAATAGCTGATTGATTTCTTGATGAAAAATAATTTGTTGTTTCAAAAAGTGATTAGATCTGAAACTGAAAGTGGCATGCACCATATAGATTCTACTCCATTAAGCATCAATGAATCTTAAGAAAGGCAACAGTGTTTGTGTACATAAACATATGTTATGTATACTGTATATGTGTTTAGCTACTATATATAAGCTAAATGCTGTAGTTTATACCGATTAATGTGTAGACAATAATAGTTCTTAAAATACTATCTAGTGCGCCTTATATCATATTTTAGTTTACTAATCTCATGTGTCCATCTTACTTATTTGTATATTTCAGCTGTCTGATTAGTAATAGTTAACTGTTTTCTACTATAGAATGCACCCAAAAATTAAAAAAGAGTCCATTAGTAAATTTTCAAATATTTTTAATGCTTCACTTTCTAAAATAAATATAAATAATTAAAATAATATTCTGGCAACAATGCAGTTCAATATAATTTCATGTGAATAAGATCTCAGGTCATATATAAATAGAACGGATTTATTTTTATTAATGAAGAATGTATTATGCCGTAGTGAACTTATCTATAAAATGCGGCATAAGTATTTTTGACTTCTTATTAGAATGTGCATATTTGTGCCTGCTCGTCTTACTAGTTCTTTATAAAAATGACGATAGAGCAAACAATAATATTAGCCAAAACAAAGACAGCGGCAAATAGCATAAACGAAAATATAACAAGCAACAATTTGTTAACAGACGATTCTAAGCAGTTCTGAAGTATTGTTGATTTGGCGCGCTGTTCCTGCAGTATCTCTACTGGAAGTGCTGTTTCATTCATGCTTTGAAACTTCTGTGAATTTTTATACTTTTGCACGACAATTGGATATTTTATCAGCCAGGCCCCTTTACTTGAACAGAAGACCAATAAACAAGAGCGCCCCTAGGCCGACAACAGTGACTATTAGAATAAGCATAAAGCTATCTTTCTTCACTGCATCCAGCTTCTGCATAATATTCTGGATGGTCAGTCTGTCCTTTGTGCTTTTTTGTATGACTTGGTCGATGTATGAAATATCCTCAGTGACTGCGTCATTGCATCTAGCAGATAAGTCCTTTAAATCCAGCACAGCGCGTTTAAGCGTTTTCATTTTCTCATTTTCTTCTAAAATAATCTGTGCTTTCTTCTCTTTCTCCTGTGAGTCTGGCATAAATATTCAAAATTTGTAAAGAATAAATAGAAGGGAGGTTTTATTCAAATCTCTTTGTCTTTGCTCTTCCGGTACCAGTTCTCTTAGCAGCAATCTGTCCAACCTTCTGCCCAGGTGGTGCATTTCTACCGACACAAGATGACTTTCCTATGTGCTGGTGGTTACCTCCTCCGTGTACGTGGTCAACTGGGTTCATAGCCACACCTCTAACTCTTGGCCAAGCTCCAAGCTTTCCTCTAGCCTTCTGTTTGTAGTATGCTCTTCCGGCTTTAAGCAGAGGCTTCTCATGCACTCCACCAGAGGCAATAATTCCTATCATAGCTCTGCAATCTCCACTCAGTGTTTTCTTTATACCTGATGGAAGCTTTATTCTAGACTCATTCTTATCTGGGTTGTATCCTACTACAGTTGCGTATGATCCACTGGTCTTTGCAATACTTCCTCCATCCCTAACTACTCTCTCAACTGAGCAAATAACAGTACCATCTGGCATGTTCTTTAAGCACATGGTGTTTCCTAGAGAAAGAGGAGTTTTTTCTCCAAAGTATATTGTTTTTCCAGTGTACATGCCTTCTAATGCGACCAACACTACTTTTTCTTTCTTAATAGTCTTGTCCTCATTCACCATTGTGATCATGGCAAGTGGGGCATTTCTACCTCTCTCGTGAACTATTTCTGATACAATACCCTCTCTCATCTCTTCGGTGGGCTTTGGGAATTTTGTTGCTCCCTTTTTGTACATTTTGTTTGTTCTGTTGTGAGGCTTTGATAGTCTCTGCTTCCTTAGTACTTTGGACATTCTATTATCTGGGGTATTAAAAAATAAAATTAAATAGAAACGCAAATATGAATTTGCATTGATTTAGTGCAATAAGAGAGCAATCTGTTATAATTATACTGCTGCCACAAAAACACAGAGATTGCGACGCTTTATGTACAAACAAAGCACTTCTATTCACAGCCGACTGGGCTGTTTTCTATTTTTATGCAAAGAATATTTTCTTTTTATGGATTACAAAAAACAGTTGCAGACAGAGTACAGTGAATGGAATAATAAAAAGGTGAAAAAGTACCAGAGAGCCATACAAGTAAAAGGATACACTGAGGAGCAGATATACAATCAAATAGAAAATATAACAAACATAGCCATAAAAGAGGTAGAAGAGTATTTAGTAGATTATATGAACAAAGAACCACTAAGTGAAGAGGGGTCCGCAGATGAAGAGAGTTCTGAAGGTGCCAATGAGGTAAGTGAAGTATCTGGGGAGAGTGAATCAGAGCACTCAGAAGTAGAGGATGAAGATGATTTAAGTGTATGTAGTGATAATGATGAGGCAGAAAGCAATCAATCTGAGGATGCTGATGGCGAATTATCTGACGTACAAAGTGTTGATCTGGATAAATTAGATGAAGTAGAGAGTAATGACCATGACTACTCTTCTGGTGAATTAAATGACATTTATGGATATTTAGAGAATGAATGCGAGGAGTCTGGGGATCTTTTAGATGAGCCTGCTTTGGATACGTTAAGAAAGCTTGGGAAATAACAGAACTTTTTTATGCAGAAAATATTTTCATTGACGGTTCATGGACAGACAGAAACAAATTGAGAAAATTGAAAATGAGCTAGTAAGTAAAAAACCGTGGTATGAGAAGGGAGAAGTGTCTGTGAAGGAGCGACCAAAGAATTCGCTGCTATTTGATGAAGACTGTGACTCTGATGAGTTTGTAAGAAATATTGAATTTATTCGGAATAAAACCACATTAAAAATAGAGAATACGGTTGACGTGTTGATAGAGCGAATTGTAAAGGATCGAATAAAGCGAAAAGAGTACGACAATCCCAGAAAAACTGTGCAAAAAAAGAAAGAGACTGTAATTGAAGTGGCTGATAAAGAGGAAAAAACTGTTGTTCATGACATCTTAGACGGAAGACGCAGTGAGAATGATAAGTTTATGGAACCCAGCGAAATGATTCGGCTGTTCAATGAAATAGACAGCGCATTAGTAGAAATATCAGACAAATCGTATACGGGAAGCAGGCCTATGCAGACCACAAGCAAATAGTAAGTTATATTATAATAATACCCCACATAATAAAGTCTAAGTAAGTATTATGCTCAACTATTTTAAGTGTATTTCTTTTAATTTAAAATATATTGAGAATTGGCAGAAATTAGTGCATTTTTACTAATAAGCACTTAAATTTCATGGTTATTACTATCTTTGGGCACTATTTATGTGCAACCAGCGATTAAACGGTTTTTTTAGTTTAACGAATAACCCGGACTTTCTTGCTGCCTAGTGAATATTCTATATAAAAATTCACTATGCAAGAGATTCTAACTAATATAAAGATATCTTGGTTGAATGCATTCTAAATGATGCGATATAGACAAGAATCTATCGCCACGCATAAATACAAGATAAAGCAGATTCGGATCAAAAACAAATAACTATACAGTAATGCGTATTTACTTCAACTTATCATAAACAGCATCACCGTATACAGAAGAAACAAAACTAGAGGCGCATTGCATCTGCATCTAATGATCAATGACATTTAAATTTCCTGTTACAACCTTATCATCCAAGACAGTGCCATCTGCAATACTTATAGATTTGCCCTCATCTGCAACGATAATGACAGTTCCTTTGAACTCTACATTCTTTCCTATAGTTACATTGCCACTAACAATCAAATGATCTAAGTCGTCAATGGCCACTGGGCCTTTAACATGCTTTTTATAGTTAGAAACAGTTTTAAAACAGTCTCCTACTAAACGAATGATAGGAATAGTGTCTGTGATTCTATTAGGAGAGATCGAGAGTGTTCCGTGCGCTATTTTAAAGAGTGTACTTTGGAGCAAAAACAGATCGCTGCATGTCTTAACAGGCAAAAATCTGTTGCGAGGAACAACCAGGCCCTTTGCATTCGAAAAGTATCGAATGGACGCACCGATGGCAGTTTCCAGCTGAATAACACTTTCTCCATTTGGAAGCTTTTTCTTGTTTTCAATTATTTCTAATTCCATAATGTTTTGGTCTAAGTTTTTCTTCAGTGTTGGAAGATGTATCCATATAGAGTTAGTGTTAAATATCTTGAATTTTCGGATACTTGTAAAGTCTGTCTTATTCTCTTCTGGAACCTGTGCTATTTCCAAAAGGCGCAGCGCATTATTGTATTCAATCAAGGTGCCTCCCTTTACATCAGCACGGGTTTTCTTTGTTACCTCCATTAAAAAGTCAACCTCTTCTTTAATGACATACTGCAAAATAGACAGATCAACCACAGCCTTTAGATTGTCTATGTTACTAACAAATAAGTACTCCTTTCCCTCATCCAGAAGCTTGTCCAGCATGCCAGACTCGTTTAGAGACTCAAACAGATCCCCGTGCCCCGGCGGATACCATCCATCAGACTCTTTCACAGAGGGATCTGATAGCACAGGGAGAAGTGTGTCCGAAAATATTCTGGGAAAGGCGCTCTGCTCAAAAGACCACACTCCTTTGTATTTACTGGTTAGCTTTCCCGTCTGTGTATGCGTGTTATAGCTGTTCATCAGAACAAGCGGAACACTTGTGTTGTATTTAGTGTTGAAATGCTCTAGCTGCCTAACTGTTAGATCGATAAAGTTCAAGTAGTTCTTTACTTCTATTGCACTCTTAGGCCCAGTGCACCCCATTGATGTGCCAAGCCCACCATTTAGCTTTAGAACAGCAAGTTTATTAAGAATCTCTGTGATGTTGCCATTCTCCTGTGATTGAATGTCTTCATAGTTTACCATCATTTCTGCAGGGGGAGGTGATATTTGTGACCAATCAATTGTGTCTGATCTGGTCTTTAAATACCTAGCAAATATCTTTGAAAACTTCCTTAGATCTTCTGGCTTTGCTCGTTCATACTTTTCTAGCCCTTTCAGCTCTTCCTCCATCAGTGGCATAAGACTCTCTGCCCCTCTCTGCTGAAACTCGTATGCTGTATCAACTCTTGTAAGCTCTTCTTGACTTATCCCTTCTAATACCGAAGGTCCTACTTCCTGTGAACTGTTGTCTCCCATATAAATAAAAAAGCACTTCTATTTATACTTGCTCTATTTTAACTGATCCATTCTGAAACCCTATTTACTATATTTCTGCTTTGTATTCTGTGGAATTCTATGTTTTCAGCCTTTCTTATTTGCCTCATGCTTGCATCAGGAATAGCGGCCAGTGTTCTAAATAAGTATATAGTATCACAGCTACACATAGAAGGAAAGTTTTTTATTTTATCCATCCAAACAATTTTTCTTCTTCTCCTTCTTTCTATTATAAACCTCTTTGTTTTTAGCACAGACGCCCTTAAAAGCATTTCATTTTCATCAGCTGGCCCCTGGATACTCTCTGCTGTTTCCTTAGTTATCATGATATATTCTGGGCTGGAGGCGAATGCACGCCTTTCTATTTCTCTTTTCACTGTTCTAAAAAATCTTACAATCCCAATTATTGCTGCACATGATGCACTGTTTAATAATTACAACATAACAGTTCTTACTATTATTTCGTTTTTTCTGGTTATTATAAGCTCCTTTTTAGGCGCATACTCTACTGACAAGAAAAGAAAAGATTCGATTTCATTTATGGGTATTGTTTGGATGACACTTAATTGCTTTTCATCTGCATCATATATCATTCGATTCAACCAAACGATACGAGAAACCAATATAAGCAGCACACTTGCTGCCTGGGTGGTAAACGCCCTTGCATTCCCTCTAATTCTGGGTTTCTTTGCTGTAGAAGGAACAAAGAGTATTAAATCCTCTAAGATTAAAGATCTACTTGTTATCGCAGTGTCTGGTATTGCTGCGTGCTGTATCTCTGTTTCCAATGCGCAGGCGGCATATACATTCTCTACCACTACAATTGCTGTAATTAACGCACTAAATAAACTCCCTATTGCAGCAAGCGGGGTGATCTTTGGGTTTGAAACAACAGGGCACTCCCTTAAATGGATTGCAGTATTTTTAGGAGTAACCTCCTCTATACTCTATGCAGCCTCTCGCATGCCCTCCTACCAGTCGTAATGTAAAATATAATTTTCTATTGTTTTGCTTTACTTTGTATATCATTTGAAATTCCCATTCATTAAATTATAAACTTGTACATCTACGAAATTCTTCTAAATTTATATGTATGTTTTTAAATTTATTTCAAATTATTCTCTGATATTTCATATATCCGGTACACGTCAATCCGATGGTTTAGTGAAATATTCTGGTGTATGTTATATTTACTATATGGGGCATCTGGGGAGTCCTTCCCTGCTATATATATTCTCTTGACTCTGCCATGAACTAGTGCCATTCCACAAACAAGACACGGCTCGCTAGACAATACGACAGTGCGCCCGGTGCATAAGTATTCGCTTGTACTTCTTGATACGGTTTTAATCATTCGTATTATTGCGTGCTGGAAGGCAGTGCTTGTTTCTTCTGCGCTTGCAAATGCTGTATGCAATGCTAGGCTGTCTGTGTCTGGACCCTCTAAGATTATGGAAGAAATAGCGCATTCTTCTTTATTTGTATTTAGTTTTTTAACCAGTTTCTGTATGGCAAGTGGCAGTTCAGTTGATTCAGGGAGGCCTGGCTTGACTGAGCATGGCCAGTGCGCAATTGCTTCTTTTATTTCGTTTTCTGTTCTTGGCTCTGTTTTTGGTATTTGAGCAGTGAATATTTTATTTGTATCTAAGCCCAGTGACTCTAAAAATTCTTTATACAGCCTTTCTGACTTTATATAGTCAAGCTGTGTGCACAATAGAACAGAGAGACTTTCTCCATTCGGCTTTATTCTTTTAAGAAAACCAGGCTTATTTTGGAAGTATTTAGAGACTTCTCTAATTAAATCGCTGCTGTTCTTTTTAGACACAGATATACCCAGCCATGTTTCTAGCTCTATGGGGCGGTTCTGTCTTATTCTAGAACAGTACATAATAAAAAAGTTTTATAGCGGTTTACATGAATCTAACGTATATTACTATAAATTTATTGCTATTGCCTGCAGCCGTAATGTAATGCAGACAACTTGGCCATCTCACCAGCAACGTCATTCATACAGGGATAGCTTTTAGGTTGTGTGTTGCCGCAAGCGCCAAGATTCATTCCTAGTCCAGGGGTGACCCCCAAATTAGTGTTCCAGAGATTCAGGCCTTGGCCTATTTCCTTCTGCTCATAATCATCACAGCATCCACCCAGTGACACCTGTGTTGCCTGGCTGCAAGGAGGAGCGGGCTTGCTGCACTCGTTAAGTTTCTGTTGGAATGAATTCTCACACTGGGCAGCACCAAGTATTCCTATCATTGAAGCTGGGTTTAAAGGGCATTCTGTAGGATTTTTCTTCTCGGGAATTGACTGCTCTTGAAGGGATCTTAGCATCATTGCATTAAGATCTGAATTACAGCAGCCACCTAATGTTACATTTGTTCTCTGTGAATTTAAAATCTCATTAACTTTTTTACACTGATTAGTAACATTTTCTGGACAGGTGTTATTAGCCTTCATTTGTGCTATTATATCAGTAATACCAGAAGAAAGACAGTTTCCACCCAAAGAGCTAAATTCTCCCATTCCAGGCAATCCACCAGAGCAGGAGCTAGGCATCATAGGTTGTACTCCACTACCGATGCCACCGCCCATGCCTCCTCCTATTCCACCAGAGCAGGGGCTAGGCATCATAGGTTGTACTCCACTCCCGATGCCACCGCCCATGCCTCCTCCTATTCCACCAGAGCAGGGGCTAGGCATCATAGGTTGTACTCCACTCCCGATCCCTCCAAAGGCATCACTGCTGCCGCATCCACATGAACTGCCCATATCCCCACGGGAATTTCCAAACCCTATAAAAGAGCTATTTCCACACTGGTTTGGCTGCGGAGACTTTAGCGCCATATATTCCTTTATAGCAGCATAACCACCTGTAAGTCTTAAATTCAGCATGCCCAAAAGCGCCTTTTTAAATTCAAAACACGTGTTATATGATGCAGGGACGGTTTCTGCTGTTAATACTTGGAATGGATTTATGGTTCTAATCAGGGCATCTAAGCACTCGGTTCCTGTATTTTGTGGAATAAGGCCCATGTTCATTAGCATGTCCATGTCTAAACACTGTGCTGAAGAGCTTCCAAATCTCATAATAGCTTTCTTTGTCTCTCTGATTATAGCAGACAGCTTTTCAATGTTTTCATCCCGCTTGCATGCCGCATTTGGAAGGCAGCTGCATAGCCCCAGAATATTTTCTTGTGGAATGCCTACCATTGATTCTATTGCGCCTGCTTTCACAACCCCCCCATAAAAAACTAAAGACAATGCTAGCGTACTTATGACTACTTTGATATTTATCATTATCATAGACCGATCCATCTGATTAAATACCACGAGATCTTACTCAGTTTTGAATCTCCCCAATCACTACTATGTTTTATATCCCGTGTCAAAAATAAACTCAAACAAAACAGGTTTTATCTTGCAAGCCGCCATAAACAAACAGGTTTTGTTTGCGTTTGCTGATTGACGACATAAATCACATTTAGGCAACTTCTAGTTAATTAAATCAATCAGTAAAGACTTTACATCTTCTGACTTGCAAAATATCTTCACTGTGGCTTTTGTAGAAGGCCCCTTTTCTTTTATAATGGCTTTGACCAGTATAGGCTGCTTTGTATACATAAAGATTCCTTTCCATTCTAGCGCACTGTCACTTTCCTCCACTTCCATCTTAAATATGTTTTTTAGCTCTTTGATGACCTCATTCTTGCCCATGCTAAACTTATACTCCTTGACTAATGGCGAGCTGTCTACTTCTTCTTCTGGGATGTCTATTCCAGGAGAAATGAAATCTGTTATAGATATTTCAAAGTTGTTTAGCCGAACCTCTCCAACTTCATAGTCCCTGTTGTCATACACTGAATATCCAAATGTACTTATTATCTCTGTCCCACAGAGCGACTTGTAGTCAGAAATTGGTATCTTTATGTCAACCTCAGTAGACTGCCTTCCTCGGAGATAAATCATCTCTTCACTAATGCACTTATCCTCTAGGAACACTCTTAGACGGCCTTCTTCCAACACTAAGTCAATTTTGCTTGTTATTCTGTACTGAAGAACTATAAAGTCAGAAAACGTGTTTTTAACAACAGAAATTCCAAATTCGCTCTCACTTCTGTTTAGCTCTATTCTGCATGAAGCCTGCAGCTGGGTGGAGTTGAACTTTGATTCTAACTGGCTTTCTTCTTTCTTTGTAACGAAAATATCAGCATCCTCTTCTAATCGGTCAATTACCATTTGGTTAATTTCACTCTTCTCTTTCAAAACATCGGTACTGCAGCCATCTGAAAACAGAATGTGCATTGGGTTCTGTTTATCTGTGACAGCCAGTGAAAGATTTACTGCTGGCTGCACGTTTTCTCCATCCAGTATAATTCTATTCAGCAAAGAAACAGAATGCTCCTGGGTCTGTGTGTCTATTAGTGCTCCTAGTATTTCTACAGTGACCCTAGGATATGATGAGTCCTCAACATACCCAGAAAGTATTCCCTCCAAAGACTTTTTTAACTCTTTGTCTTCTGTTATTCTCTGCACCTTTGCAATATTGTGAATAATCTTCACCTTATAGTTACAGCTTCCTGGTGCATTAAGCGCCTTTTTAAACAACTCGTCCCAAGAAGTCCCCTTGAACCTGTCGCACATCCCAGTAACCGACTCAACAATAGAAATTTTCTGTGCTTCGCCCAGTTCAGATAGCAGCATTGGAAGCGTTTTAGCAATTTTACTTGCAGTCTTTTCAGTTCCTATTTTTAAAAGAATCCCCATAGCAAGAAGCGCTACACTGCTGCTGTTTGTAAGCATGCCCTCTATAATTTCTCTAAGTGGGAGCAATTTCTGCCGGTACTGGCCACATAGCATGTCTACCGTTCGTAAAGCAGCAATTTTTATTACAGTGCTGTTTGACTGCAGTAGTCTTTTCAAGCCCTTTACTGCCCCGTCCAGAAGACTAGTTGCACTAGGAAGCAAATGCACATGCCTCAGCGCTTCAATAAAAGAAGCCATGCTATTTTCATCTAATACTAAATATTGCGAAAAAAGCTTAACTGCCAATGGATTTGACAAGTGCTTTGACAGATACCTAACAATCTGAACAGAAGTAATGCCTTTTGCAGATACGTTCTTCAAAACCCCAATTACTTCTCGGCTGTCCTGTGGCCGTACTTTGCCAACAAAAAGGATAGCATTTCCCAGAGGGCCATTTGCTTTTAACCCATTTATCCAGCTGCATCCACTGAACCACTCACTAAGCGACTGGTTTGAAAGAAATAAAAGAACAGGAACGATCATATTTAGTGTTCCATACTCTGTTTCAATAAGAGCCTGCTGCACATACTTAGAACAGTCGTCCAGCATCTGCTCTGGCGTTATTTGTAAAAGAAGTTTCATGGCTTCTGCTCTTAGCCCGTCTTTCTTTGCTATGTTATTTATTAAGGCGTTAATTGCCACAAATGCCCCAGAAGAAAGGCCTGCCACATTCCTAATGAAGGCATATGACAGTGTTTTAAGGTATACATCTCTTGTCTGAAAAGAGTGCAGCAGTCTAGATATAACTGTATCTATTTCCAGTTCAGTGAACTCAGTGTCTCTCATTTCTTTTAACACATTTACAAGTGCACAGGTGCATTTCCTTGTAATAATGGCTCTTTCTGTGAAAGCGCTCATTTCCCCTATTACCTTCTCTTTACTCTGCCTGTCCATTCGCATCCTAATAATTACAATAAATAATTATTTATAGTTTTATAATAATAAAATAATACAGAAACACATAACATAAATAAGAATTTAGATTTATTACAAATCAAAAGCAGCTGCCTTTTCTGGTGCATCTTCCTGGTCATTTTTAATCTGCTGGTGACGAATTAGTGCCTCTGCTCTACGCATAATTACTTCTTCACTTACACCAAGGGTTTCACAGACTTCTTTAGTAAGGCCTTCTGCAAGCAGTGACTGGATCATTAGCATGTCCTTTTCTTTACCCCATCCTCTGGGAAGACCTGTTGTTTTTCGCAGTGAAGGCAATGGCCCTGCGCTGATGAGCTCAAGTCGGTCGAAAAGAGTTATTTTATTTGTGAGCACTTTTGCTAGTTCTGCATCAAATCCACTACGCCGGCTTTGTCTTTTTTTCATGTTCTCTTCTATCATGCCGATCATGTTTGTCATCTCAGTTATGATATTCCTGCCTTTGTACATTTTTACAATGCTTTCACGGTTTTTCTGTGTGGGTCTTCCAAAGAGTTCAATTGCAGCAGAAACGCTTTCCCGCTCTTCATCTGTGTCTTCCTTTTTGTTAATTACTAGAAGAATCTTACGTATGCGTGAATTTAGCTCTTCTTTAGACCTTCCCTTATAAACTGCTATTTCTTTTCCCTTTTCACTCTTTACTAGGCCTACTCGGGTCTTTTCATCTGCTTGTATGTTGTAGACACCATATCCATTAGTGCGAATCTGGCTTACCAGGAGATTGTCATCCTCAATAGACCAGTTCTTCCATTCTATCTCAGTAACACCTTTGGATTCTTCGTATGGCTCAAGTAGCTCAATCATCTGGCATCTAAAAAGAAGCCGCTGCACATCTACTCCTTCAGCAAGTTGGATTGTTTTGTCATCATTTTCCTCGTCATCTTTCTGGATTGCCCACTCCAGTGCCATGCTTAGGTCGTCTTTAACTCCTTGCTCTGTGATAGTTCTAAGTGCTCTTCTGATACTCTTTGAAACCTGTCCTTTTGTAAGCCCTTCAGCCTTTGTTCCGCGCAGTTCTACAAGCAGATCAGATAGCGCTTCTTGTTTAAGCTCTATCGTTTTGTCACTAAGATCCGCCCCGTCTAATTCTAGCTTCATCTTCTGCACGGTGGCAACTCTTTCAGAAATCTCCTCATCAGACAAAAGCCCGGCACGCGCCATTTTACGAAGGATTCTTCTAAGCCTGCTCTCAGCATCTGCTGCACGCCTTTTTATGAGAAGATTTTCCCAAAAGTCTGGATCGTCTATTTCTTCTGCCACTTGGAAAGAGGCCTTGCTGAACACGTTTCCTTTCTGATCTTCATGTCTTACTACACTAGTACGCCCTTCGAGTATTTTGTCAATGTCTTCTTCACAGAACTTTTGGTTCACATCATCTGCCTCCATGAGCACACCGTACGCCCCCTTTTTCAACAGCGACTCAACCCTTCCTTTTCTGTTGTGCGCAGAGTCTCTATCCTTATCCTTATGTAGAATTGCCCTATCCAGGCCCAGCTTCAGACTTGCTCTGTCAAACATCTCTCTTTCATAGGTGTTTCTTGTGACCAGCCTGTATATCTTCACCTCCGCCGTTTGCCCAATTCTGTGGCATCTCGCCTGGGCCTGCAGGTCATTCTGCGGATTCCAGTCGCTGTCAAAAATAATTACAGTATCAGCAGCAGTCAAGTTAATACCGACTCCACCAGCTCGGGTGCACAGCAAAAATACAAAAGAGTTCTCATCCGTGCTGAATCGGTCAATTGATGCCTGACGCACATCACCACGCACAGTGCCGTCTATTCGCTCGTATAGGTATCCCTTATACTGCAGATACTCTGCGATTAGGTCGAGGCACTTTGTCATCTGCGAAAATACTAAAACCTTGTGGCTTTTATGCAGCTTTGCAAGCAGCTTATCCAAGAACACAAGCTTCCCGCTGCTCTGTATAAGAATACGGTAGTACTCGTTTCTATCCCCCATCTCCTGTGATATATCCTGCCCATTCTCCATAAGAATCTGCTCTTCCGCGCCGGCTATTAAATACGGGTGAATACAGCACTTTCTCAGCTCCATCATAATATTCAGTAGATTTGGAGTAGAGGATCCAGCTGCGCCCAGGAATTCCATGTTCTTTTCAAGTATTGCTCTGTAGAATCTTTTTTGAATCATTGTCAGCTCAACCTCTACAATTGTCTCCTCTTTTACTGGGATGCTCTCAACATCGTCCTTCATACGACGAAGCATCAGCGGCTTGAGTAAAAGCTGGATTCTCTCAACATCGTCGGCCTCTTCCATCTTGTACGCATCAAGGAAGTATTTTAGGGAAGGGAACTTCTCCTCATCAATGAAGTTCAGAAGTGACCAAAGCTCTGAAAGGTTGTTTTGTAGCGGTGTTCCGGAGAGAAGGACTTTATGATCCACCTCGATTGACCGAAGTGTTTGCGCTGCCTTACTTCTGCTGTTTTTCAGTCTGTGGGCCTCGTCCAGGACGCTCACTCCAAACGATATAGAAGAAAGATGCTCTACTCCAGCAATTGCCATTTCATATGTTGTAAGAATGACGTCAAACAGAAGCTGTCCTGCAGGTGTCCTAAACTCAAAGTCCAGCATTATTTCTCTTGCTGGCTGTGACCCGTGATATACAAGAACCCGCAGATCTGTCCAGGCTGCAAACTCCCTTTCCCAGTGTGGAATTGTTGACAGAGGAGCTACTACCAGCGCCGGCCTCTTCAGCCCGCACTTGCTTATAATAGTGTCCACAAATGCTACACTCTGCACAGTCTTTCCCAGTCCCATTTCATCTGCAAGAATACAGCTCTGCCTAAACAGCCACTTATTAACCAGCCAGGAGACTCCCTCCTTCTGATACGCACGCAGCTCTCTTCCGCCCTTAAAAACAAAAGACTCTGGCACTCTGTCTCTTGAAGGCCTCCATCCAATTGGAGTGACTCCATTGTAAACCTTCTCCCTTCTTTTAATAAAATCTCCGTGTGCCTGCTCAAACCCTTCGCAGTCTGAAAGGTGGTCATAGTACTCAAAGGTTGAAGACTCATAGGGAAACTTTTTCCACTTAGTCAAATAAATCTTTCTTTTGGTGTTCTCATCAATATACTCCTCTTCTTCTGCTATTATTCTTTCAACTGCAATAAGATCTGGGTCAAACAAGTCCGCATCATCTGCATGCACTATCGGGGCTTTAAGGAACCGCTTGAGCCGCATCTCTCCTGTCTTGGTCTCAGTAAGCACGCTCTGTGGTACCCACTCACAGTGCAGATACGACTTTCCTCGATACTTCACATAAAATGCATTTTCAGGCTCATTGTACGAAAGTATTTTTTCTACATTATCCTCTTCCATGGGCTCTTCCTCTGCTATGCTCTCATCTACCTCCTCTTCATTATCTTCCTCCTCATCCAGCCGAATTGACTTTGATGAGATGGCAGACTTTCTTCTGGGCTTTCTGACCACATCTCCGCCAAAGTCACTGCTGTGCACAACCTCTGGGCTCTCCTGTCTCTCCACTGGCTTTTCCACATGCCTCTCCACACTCTTTGGCTTGCCAGCTATTTTGTTCATAAGCACAAGATTGTTCAGATACATCTGGTACTGAATAGTGCTTGCAAGCCCCTTGTTAACATACTGATAGTTGTGTATCTTTTCCTGCAGGTCTGCCTTTTCCGGGTTCTCTGCGCCCTGGAGGTTTATTGGTATGTGTATCTTAGGGTTTAGAAATGGGCTCTGTGGCAGCATAATTCTTCCCCCTTGAATTGGGTCTTGTAGCTCTATTTTTTCCTTCTGCGGGCGCCTCTCGGATTTAGTGAGCGGCGTTTCCAAGCACGTGTCCACCTCCTGCTCCAGTCCTTTAAGAAGCTCCTGCACCTTTTCCAAGTGACCTGAAGGGTTCTGCCTCTTACTCTCAAAACTATCTAATGACAACTTTCTTGGTCTCCCCCGGCCTGTCTTCCGTTTTTTTGCTAGGTCTTCACTCTCTTCCAGCGTGTTATCTGTGTCAAATCCTGAACTGTCAGATGTATCTAAAAAATCTGTAGAGTTATCGCTTCTGGAATCTTCTTCTTTATGCATGGTAATATGAAAATTAGCAAAAATAAATAATTGTACGGATGGAGATTAAGTTTGACTTTGATAGCTGGATAAGAAACACACTCGGCCTAGTAGAGATAGACAGAACCAAAAGACAGGACAATGCCATAGTCTGCAAGCACTGGCTGAGAGGGCTCTGCAAGAAAGGCGACGTGTGCGAGTTTCTTCACGTATATGCACTGGACAAAATGCCGGAGTGCTGGTTTTTCTCAAAGTATGGAGAGTGCAGCAACCAAGACTGCCTCTTCCTGCACATTGACCCAAACAGCAAGAGTAAAGAATGCATCTGGTACAACAGAGGATTCTGTCGGCACGGAAATAGTTGCCGTAATAAGCACTATAAAAAGCGAATGTGCTTCAATTACGAAGCAGGCTTCTGTCCCCTTGGGAAAGGCTGTCCATACGGCCATCCAAAGTTTGAAATAATCACAGCCGAGTACCAGAGAGCAGAGCAGCAGAATTCTGTGATATCCAAGCCAACCACCCTTCTTACTAATTAATAAATTCAACGGCAGGTAAATACAAATTCAACCACACTTTCCTTTTCACTGTGGCTATGTCTAAATATATGCTTTATATCTGCCTTCGTGCTAAAATTATGCCATTCTATGAATCACTGAATTTATTTAATATTTCTAGGATGGTTTTATTGTTATACACCGAATAGATGCTTTATATATAATAGGGCACTAAGTAAATAACTAGAAATTTAATAAGAAATATGCTAAAATTGTATAGAATAAGAAAATAGAGAATCAAATATTTAATTTTAGGTTATTTCTTCTTGGATAGTTTCTGGATTGATGCATCAACTTTCAGCAGTTTTGCCTGCACGTCCTTTTTGCTTCGAGTGGGTGCAAATCTGGACAGAGCAGAGAATATAACATCAATTCTGTTTCTAGTTCTGGGAGGAGTCTTTGTTGCAATTTTTGTCAAAGCCTCTACCTCTGTATTCTTCCATCCATCAGAGTCGACTGTTATTTCTTGCTTGGGCTTTGCCTTGTTTTCTTTGTTCACTCTTGGGTCGCGCTTTATTGCGAGAGTGACAAGCTTTCTTATTCTTTGGTTGTCCTCTGCCTTTTTCTCGTTAAGCAGCTGCTTGTTTTCAACTGCAGCCTGTCTTCTCATCTCTCTGCTTTGGTAGTCCTCGTCCTTGCACAAAAATTCAAATGCACGGATAGACTCGAAGTTCTGCCAGAATTTGTAAAAGGCCACGATGGCAGAATCCTTTGATGAAAGATCTCCAAGTGACACAGTGTATGGCTTTACACTAAACACTGAGTTTCTAGTAAACGCCTCATCGAACACTGCAAAGAATTCTTCGTCTGTGTAATCCCTGTCCTCTGGGATGGTTTCATCAAATGCAATGAAGTCGTACAGCTTTTTTTTATGTGGGTTACTAAGAACTTCATGTGCTTTGGTCAGTGCAATAAATGATGCACCGCCATCATCTATTTTACAGGATAAGAGCCTGTCTGGGTGGAATAGTTTGGCCTGTCTTTTAAACGCATCTTTGAAATTTGCTTCGGTGTATTCCTTTGCCTCCTCCTGAGTAAACCCCATTAAATAGTACAGATCCAGTGTTTTCCAGTCTTTAATATCTTCTATTGTGTACTTTTCGAATAAGTCTCTTGGAGTCTTCATTTTTTCTACTGTTTTAGCCTGCACGGGCTTGCGTTCGGATAATCCGGTTGGTCCATAATAATGCGTTACTTTCATTAGCAGTCTATAAAATTTTTACTTTAATTATGCCAACAGAGTCCGATGCGCCCTCAATTAGCTCAGACTCAAATGAAAGCCAGGATTTAGATAACATATATTACGAACCGTACGATGAGAAGCTGGTTGAGTGGTTTGTAGATCTAATTAAGACCCACGATAAGCTTATGCTGGCTCGGAATGTTGTACTAAACCGACATTTTGGTGAGCTAAGTGTGTCTGCAAACTTAGAGGAGCAGGAGAAGCTTCTTCTTATCCACGAGTATATAAATAAGGAGCTAGTGTATCCGCCCGTGTTTTTGGGGTCTTCCTTAGGATTCAACAAGAATAACTGGAATAAAAATATTGAGAAGATTTTAGAACCCTACGGTATTAGACAAAAGCCCGTATTTTGTGCCAAGGACACTTGCTATCTCTTTGAAAGAATGAAGTATCTCATATTGAAGTACATGGAAAAGATCAGAAAATAATCAGAATAGTAGATGAATATTCTGCCTTATTATATTCTGTGTCTATTTTGTACAGATTTTGCTCTATCCAGAAATTGTAAGTTTACTGATCATTTATGCCGATACAGCCTGGTTAGTGATGAATTTTTTAATTTACATTTATTGCTTATTATACTATTATATCATAAATACAATATATATTAATACATTACCAAGAGAATTTATAATTTTAATAAAATATAATTAATGCCTTGTCTTGTTTATATTCAATAGCGTTCTTATTAAAATATATTTCTATACAATGACTGACACATTTAGAGTATTTTACTTAATTTCCATAACCCGAAATTCAATATTTTCTAATAATTAGTGCTAATTTAAATTTTAATGTAATTCTCTCCCTGCACATAAACCTAAACTATAAATAAATAGATTTTACAATAAATGGTACAAACATTTTATCCAATAAACCCAATTATAATGAAGTATATAAATTTAATCTGCTGTGCATGTGATTGACGATCCAAATATTATCTGCCATTTGCTGCTAAGTGTATCTAGGTAGTTATTCATATGAATTCTAAAAATTCTATTTTTAAACTCAGAAGACTCATTAGCAGGAACTACTGGAAGTGTTCTAAATAATTCTATAAAAATAATATTTCCTTCAATCCTTCCAATTATTTTTTTCTTTTTACAAATATCTATTTCATCCTTACAGTCATACGAAATACACTTTAATAGGGTTAATTGATCATCTATAAAGCCTTTATAATTTCCTTTTACATTTTTTGGTATTCTTGCATCATTTAAATTTTCTGATATTATGGAAATGTTCTTTTTTATGCAGCTATGGGATTTCAAATCTTTTAACTTTCCTTTTTCTATTTGACTATGTACATTGAATAAGTAATCTTGCATGAACTCTTGGTGAAATTCATAATATTTATCTGCCATTCCCCCCTTGCGTGAGTGTTCGTATATGTACCTGCCGTGTTTACTGACTTGTTTCTCTAGTGTTTTTAAATCATTATATGATATTATTTCTATCCTGTTCATTTTTATTTTATCTTTTATTTCGGTTAATAATCCCATGAATAACTCATTTTCTTGTATTTCAGAATTATTAAGAATATTTTCAGGTGTTTTTATTGTGTAATAGTATGTCTCTGCTCTTTCATATGAGAGGAGATCTTTAGCCCTTTTATTATCTCTGTACATTTTGTTTAACGAGCTGGACTTGTATATGACAAAGTATAAAAATACTAAAATTATACTGAAACATGCAGGCTTAATGAGAATTCCATGTGTATCTTCTACAATTGCCAAAATATTCATTTTTCTAATATTTTTTATTACTATTTCTATTTATACAATGCAGGGCGCAAAGAATCGCAATCGTAGTGTAGAAGACCATTCTGAGGAAAGAAGCACTGATGTAGAAGAAGACATTAGAAAACTAATGAATCAGAAATCGGAGAGTGTAGATAAAAAAAAGAGTAGTATATCAATAGATCAGGTTGAGACAACCATTTCTCTATTAAAGCAGCTAGCCATACAGTACGATGAGCTAGAAGTTTTTCTTAATTCTTATAAATCGAAGGAAAGCGAGGAGTTGCCGACTGAGCTTCTTACTGAATTAGTCAAATCAAGTAAAATATCTCCCACGCTGTGCAGGATGATAGAGAGTGTGACGGAGGAAGTGAAAGCCCTGCAGAGAGAAAATACGCTTTTAAAAGTTTCTGAGAAAACTGTTAGAGAGCGATTAGACAGTAACAGTGGCAATCAGCGCAGTTTGAAAATGGAAGTAAAGTATTTGAACCAAGCTCTAGCAGATGCTACAAAGGAAATAAAAAGGCAAAAGGATGATGCGGCAGAGGGTAGGAAAAGGATTTTAGAGCTGGAGGCATCTCTAGATGCGCAGAAAAAAATAGCAAAGGGGCTTCTTCGGGATAAAAAAGTTAGCAACAAAGAAACCGATATACATGAGGAGGAGAAGCAGATACTGCAGTCCATAATAAAGCACAAGGATGAAGAGGTAGAAAAGGCAAAAAGAGAAAAGGAGGAAATATTCTACGAAAAGCAGCAACTTCGAAGAGAGCATGAAATGATGCAGATACAGTATGCCAGACTAAAGCAGCGGGCAGACTTAAAGGAGAAAGCCTTATACACGTGCACTGCAGAGATGGAGTCACTGATTAAGCAGATGGATAAGCTATCAAGATCAGAAATGCAGAAGAAAGAGCGGCTAGAGTATTTGGAAATAAATAAAAAGAAAAAGCAGCACGACAGCGAACTAGCAGAAAGACAAAAAACAAGAAGGTATGAACCCATTACTACACCAAAGGTGCGTGCACCTTCTGCAAAAAAGCATGCAGTAGTCAAAAAGCCATCTGTAGAAAAATCACTGCATCCAGAGGTCATACCCGATGAGAGCGATACCTCTGAGCATTCTGAGTCAGTCAATGAAAGTATAACGGACATTCCTGTCTCCTTCTCACAGGCTGTAGACAATGCATCTGTTTCTGATGTAGAGTCAGTCTCTTCAAATAAAACCACAACAAGTTTTAAAGAGATGCAGCGTAAGACAGAAGAAATGTCAAAGAAATTCAGAGAGCTGGAGAATCTTCTTGGAGAGATAAAACGATCGAATGACTCAGAGTTGGATAAAGTGGAAGAGAAAATCGACCATAAAACGCGGCATGCCTAAACCATAATATTATATTCTGGCATATTTTTGCAATCTATTCATTCTACTCGCCAGGAGTTTATTAGTAGAAGAATAAACCCAAACCCAATGAAAATATATAGCTTTATCAATAAATAATATTTAATATCTGTTTCTATTACACTATAAATTACAGCCCGCCGCATCATAACCGGAAACATAATAGAAATGCTTTTTCAGCGGCATTCATTAGGCTATGTGAACTATGCCCATGCAACTGTAATTTGGAGTACTTTTATGTATAATAATTAATTAGTAGATATGTAGATAAAGAAAACAGTATAAAAACTTGTATGAATTACTTTTTGAACTTTCCTGGCTTGGTTATCATGTGATGTTGATTGGTTGATGTGCAAGGAGTGTTTTAGGTTTGTTATTTGACTGGGCGCTCTTTCTGTATAATAATTGGCCATACAGATATAAAATAGACTAATTATAATTTCATTCAGAGCACCATATATAAAGGATTTTTCTTTCAGTAAATAATGGATTATACAAAGCTTAAAACCAGATTAAAGGACAAATTTACAAAGGAATACAAGAAAACAAAGCACACTGATGCGTATTTAGAAGCAGAGGTAGAATACAAGAAGGCAAGAGAGTCCGTGAAAATGATGGAAATGGAACTGCAAGCACTCTTGCAAGCATTCACTGCTTCTTCCATATACGAAAACATAACCAGCAGCCTGGCATCAGGCTTTGAAATGGTGAAGGAGACTCTAAAGAAGCAGAACAGGCAAAGAACAGAAGTATCAAAGGAAGAGGCAGACGTGTTTGGGCTATTTGCAGGATCTTCACAGGCGCTAGCATCCAATACAAAAGGAGATGTATCAAGGCAGTTTGAGGCACTTTCCTACTCGCTAAAGAAGGTGTCTGCATCTAGAGTACAGCTGAAAGACGGGCTAACCAGAGTTATGGACACAATTAAAGAATTAAAGGATACTTCTCTAGAAATAGATGATAATAGACTTAGAATATTAGACATACGCCAATGCATAGAGTCATCTAAGTCTGCAGAAGAAGAAGAGAAATACAAGCAGGATTACACTGAGAGTATATCTAAGGTGTATGAGGATATGAAAGGATATACGCAATCGCATGAACTATCAGAGATAGCTTTGGGACTAGTTGGTGCCCTTCGTAGTTTCTTTGGAGATGCGTATGACGCAATGGCGGAAAACATAAATGAGAAGTAATTAATTGTTTCTGTTCATTTATTCATTAAAGACACTAAAAAACTTCTGAGTTGTTTTCGAATTTAGTCCATTGGATATTTCTATTTGTGTTATTTCTGATAAATCTGCCAGGGCCTCTGCGACTCTTACCTTACATATTGGCGTCTCCTTCATCGTTGCATAAAACATCAAGTGGTACATAAATGACCCTATTTTTGATGTAAACTGCGGATACAGCCACCTTCCAAATAGGTTTATGTTGTATGTTATGTCTGGTGTATACTGCAATGATATGTACTGGCTTATAGCAGAAATATCCTGTTCTATTGCTGTGTTTATGTATACCTTTCCATTTGTTATTCCACCCCCCATTAAAAAAACAACTGTTGTTCCTATACTCACTGCTTTTTTTATCTCTTCAGTATTTGTGCTTCTTTCTATTCCATACTTGTTCACTCTGATTATATTTTTACCTTTCACTAAATACACCATTGGGTTGTTAAATATACAGTATAAGGTGCGCATGTCATAAATAGTAGTATAAGTGCACAGATAAACCCTCCCACCTGATAATTTCTTATTGGAAATATTTGCTATATTTGTGAATTTGCCAGAAAAGAAGTACTTGTACAAGAATCCTGGTAAGTACAGCACTATCTTTATAAGAATAGAACTGAATATAATAGAAAATAGACTAATTCTGTACTTAGTTTGTCTAATATACGGATTAATTCCTGTCACTGGATCATTAAACTCTGTATACTTTTCCATAGAAATTATAACTAAAATATTTCGTATTTATTTCTCTCTGTGTGTTTCTGATTTTTATGAATTTTTGGCTGTCTATGACTGAACTTGAAATTATATCTTGGAAATAAATGAAATAATTCTGTTATTCATTTCTATTCCAGTGCTGTTCTTATCCAACAGATCTGCTAGTGCTTCTGTATAATACTTATTTATATTTAAAAGAGAGATTGTGTGCGGCCCATCGGTAGAAATCTTCTTATATGCTAATTTTAATGACAAGTTGAACTTTGGTTTATCTGTTATATAACCATTGTATGTATATGTTATATCAACTAGTCTTATATTGTATATTTTGCTATCTACACTTATTTCTATCTCCTGTCTTGTTTGTAGAATGTCGTATAAATAGTAAAATAAGAAATACTCATCTGATATATTGGTTACTATTTGGTTATAGAATATTTTAGTATATTTTTCACTGTTCCTCTTTGTGTTCTCTTCTTTTATTATTTCTATGCAATTTGGTGCTCTCTCCTTCTCTATAATTAAATGAAGGGTGGAATATAAAACTCCATTCTTTTTTGGCTTCATTTCTTGTTCTGTAAGATGAGAAAACTCCCTGTCGTGGCAAGACCACATGTCAATTAACTCTTCCCATCCATCTGCAGGCAGCCTTAGTACACTTGTATTTTGAATGGCTGTACAATTGCACTTGCACTCTATTCTTTGTAGTACACTTCTCATTTTGTCTTCTAATTCACTGTTTAGCTGCATTTCCAGCGAGTCTGTCACTTCAGTTGGGAATATTTTACTTGTTCTTATTATCGTATACTCGCCCTCTTTATATATTTTGTGAGGATGTTGTAGTATACTTCTGATTATTGCGTTTTCTGATGTATATTCTGGATTTTTTATGTATATAAGACATCCCTTTATTCCATCAAGTATCTCAATTAGCATTGGTATGTGAAGGCATTCGCATTTAATAAATATAAATATAGAGAAGCCGTTCAACTAAAATTTTTCAATGACCCAAACCGAGACCACTGGAAGTATTATTGTTGAGAATGGAGTTGCAGAGAATGTACTGCAAAAAGAGAACACAAAAGAAGTAGGCATAGCAGAGGAGATAGTAAGTAAAGAAGCAATAAAAGAATCTTCTACTAAAGTAGTGTGTAATGAGCACACTCCAAGAAGAACTCTTCTTCTTCTTTCACTAAAAGCTCCGGGCGCATGCAGGCAGTTAGTTAGTGATCTTATATCTCTGCTACCAGAGAACACTGCCAGAGACTCTAAGCTAAAGGACAGATTCTCAGTATACGATGTGGCAGACATTGCTGAAATGAGAGATGCAGAGAATGCACTTGTCATTGAGACACGAAAGAAAAGCCCTGCCCCAATTATGTGGGCTGTTTCAAAGAACGGGTCTACAGAGGGGTCTAAATACGATGTGATTAAGTTTATGCTGACTGGAGTGTATACTATGAGCGAGCTTAAGTTTATAGGAAATCCTTTGGCAAACACGCAAATGACAACTCTGTTCACAGAAGACTTTGAGAAGAGTTCTGGTCTGAAAAAAGCAAAGAATATTCTTTCGCAGATTTTCAACACAACCACTGCATCTTCAGCCGCTCCTACATCTTCTATGGATTACGTAGATAAAATTGCATCTTTCTTTATTCTTGACAACACAATTCACGTTAGATTCTACCACATACAGAAGAAAACCCGGGAGGCAGAAAAGATCATTGCAAGCAGATTAAGACAGGAGCAAAAGATGAATGCCGAGAAAAAGGAAGAGGAGAAGTTAGAAGAGATTGAAGCGAACAACAAGCCAGATAACGAAACCGAGGTAGACCCAAACATAGAAGCAGCAATGGCAGCCACTGACCAAGTTCCATGGTACGAGATTCATGAGTGTGGACCAAGGTTTACTCTACACCCAAGGGAGAGTGACTTAGACGACAATTACACAGAAGAAACACAAGAAAAGAATTAAAATTCTTAAATATTTATTAGATATACGTTTAAATTTGATGACCGCGCATGTTAATGTACTTCATTCCTGTTAAGAGAACGGATGCACCCACAATTAGACTAAGCTGATCTCTGTTATTCACTGAAACATGAATTACTCCAGATCGGCAGAAGTATGGAATACTTCCCATGTTTAATAAAACATTTTTACAGTGCGACTCATTCATAATCTTTCCCAAACTTCCTCCTAATTTACTAGAGTAGTGCGATATTTCTTCATATCCCTTCATCTGCACTCTACTCAGTGAGAAGGATATATCCTGTATATTCGGGATAAATATTTCCTTGAAAGCTGATGATATTTCATTATTAGAAGTAATTCCTGGAATATTCTCTAAAACCAGAAGCGACCTTCTGAATATGTTATTTATCTTTAAGAATATTTTCTCCTCTGGCAAATCAATTGTGTAAATACCATCCTGGTGTGTTATTTCTATCTTTCCTATGTTTTTAGACCGGATTTTATTCTTTCCCCTGCGAATGTCTAATGTATATCCATGTGAATACTGTGTAGATATAACCGATCGAAGGCCGCCAGCAAGTGTATTTGCTTTATACCCTGTTCTATAACAGAGAATTTCTACAGCTTCATCGCCGATGTAATGTGGATATATTCCGTGGGAGTATAAAAGAGTTTTTACGAGTGCGCACAGCTTTGGAAAGACCTTTTGCTTAATTGAGATTTCTTGGAAGAACCTTTCATACTCAATTCTAAAATTCATTAGATAGTACTTCTCTTTATGCCACCGCATTTCTTTCTGCACATCAAAGATAAATTCGAAATTCTCACCAAATAGGCTTGTGTAGAGCGTGTTTTCCTCTGTTATCCCCTCTATTTTACTGTGCTTCTCTAAGAACTTTCCAAGAATCCCGTTAAGTGCTGTGATAGATGCATCCGAGAGTTCTCCATTGTCTTCTGGCCATAAATGTCCTCGTCCTACTTTTAAATATATCTGTGTTCTCTGATCAGGAATAGCCTGTGTCTGCCGGCTATAGCTACCCGTGTGTATAGACTCTAAAATACTCACAGGGAAAGAGCTTCTCATTGCTTCTAGTGACTTGTTAATGGACTCATGGCTCTTCTTTTTATTTATTCCATTATATTTATGTGTGACTGTTTCTAGTGCAATTGTTGGTGTAAGAATTTTTCCTTTCCTTTTAGATGCTTTATTTTTATTAGACTGTTCTGGGACTGTTTTTATGTCAAATATTTTACTGAGCATTTCATATCTAACAGCATCCTGTGTTGGTGCATTTAATGAAGCACACACTCGAATATCTCCATTATCAAATTTTCTATACTCCACTTTATCATTCCATAAATCCTTAAACTTACTTATCTCCTCGGATGTATTAGAACTCTTCTTTGCAGTAGCATGCGGTCCAAGTATTAAGAAGCTTGGCTCTTCAGTGTACTTTATGTGTAAATAGTACTTCCCATGCTTTTCTGCTAAGTAGAATGAATCTAATACCTCTCTAAACACCGCCTGAAGTGACTCCTTCATATATTCAACCTCTTCCTCAGCTGTACTCTTTTTATTTGAAGTATCTTCTATAGCATACTCTACTAATTCATCATAACACAATGAAATCCCATTTAGCTCGCACTCTTCTATATCTCTAAAGAATATGTTTTCCTTTAATTTCTGATAAATCTTCTCTTTTGTTTCTTCTTCTGGAGTAACTGCTTTTACTGGATTACCCGCTAACTTATGCTTTCTAAGCAACTGTTCAAGCAAAGGAGACAGTTTCATTAGTAACTAAAATTTTTATACTTCTTTCAAATACTTACACAAACCAGTGCTTAACTCTTACAGTACTATTTTTACATAATAGTTTAATTATGAGATTATCCTGTATTTATTACATATTCATATGTTGTATACAACAATTACTTAGTATTAGTTAGTTATCCACTGCATGATCTGTTTTAAATTACTTAATTTCTGTGTTATGTATATTTTTGTTTAATTATTATTATTTAATTAATTAATCTATATACATCCTTTGTTTATAAACACTTATTATTATTATTATTGTGTAATATATTCACATAATTTACTTTTAATAAGCTAATTAAAATTATTTACACATAGTATATGAATAATAAGTCTAGCACTGTAATGTAAACAGATCATTAAATAATACACAAACAATAAAAAAACTGTGATATATTAATATAGGTCTATAAATATAGTATACTACAATAAATAGATATGGTAATAAGCACGGGAAGAAGTACAAGAACAATCCTCTTATTAATAGGAGGCGCTATAGCTGTAGGATGTTTAATAGCAACAATTGCATTTTTATTTAGTACACCAAGTACAGAAAATATTAAGAAAAAAGAAACTCCTAGAGCATCCAGTAATTCTAACACAATCAACACAAATAACTCAGAACAAAAAGAACCCACAATTGATAACAATTTAGAAACAGATAGTAACATACAAATAGAAAGAACAGATTATCCATACAGTGATTCTAGTATTTCGAGCGATTTATGCAGTGATTCTAGTATTTCGAGCGATTCATACAGTGATAATACTCTACAAAATTCTGCAATTAATACAAAAACAGAAGTTAATAGTAGATATACATCATATATGTATAGTGCATATAAATACCAAAGAATACTGCCAATAAGTGACCCAACAGATCCAAAGCCAAAATTATCTGTTGGTACTTCTAATGCTATTCTGGATATACAGAAAGTGAATTATTCATTTGACCCTAAGATTTACATAAACACAGAAGATTTATCTGCCGATGCAATATGCTATTATTTAGATACTGCATTAGACTGTTTAAGTGATAAGAACGATTTCTGGGGACTTATAAAGAACATTGGATCTAATATTCAGGAAAGAACCAAAATAGTAAATGCTATATTGCTTTTATACAACATGAAATCTCCTAATGATTTTAAGAACTCATTTGATGAATTATTCGAAAATAGTTCTATTGATATTTACTTATTTCAGGAGTTACAGCAGTTTATTAATAAATTTGGACCAAAGATGTATACGAAAGAGGAAGATCTAAATAAGATACATTTAGATAGTGAATTCACAGTGGGAGATATCATAGAAAGTAAGAACAAGTATAGCAAAGTAGATTCAGACCATTATAAAATATTTATTCCATTAAGTAGTGGCAATAATTCTTGTTTTTTAACTGTAGCTATTCAAATGTTATTAAATATTCCAGAAATTCGCAGCGATTTAATTACTGCGATAGATCATGATCTAATAGAACATTTAAAGAAAGCAATATGTACTTTTTATTTAAATGATTCTAATTCATTGAATAATAGCATAGATAAAATTTTCACATACAATGATGTTTTTAATGTGGTTACAAATCTATTCGAGTTATTACATGAAGCGATTAAAGATCCAAAATGTAATGATAACCCGAATGAAAATGAAGAACAAAATGAAGAACAAAATGAAGAACAAAGTGAAGAACAAAGTGAAGAACAAAATGAAGAACAAAATGAAAAACAAAATGAAAAACAAAATGAAAAATCCGAGTTATTGAAAACTAAAAGGAACGAAATATATAGCATTCTAAATACGAAGTTCAATTACTCTATAGACGGTACAAATAATTACTTTAATACAGAATCTGTGTATGCGTGTTTATACAATATAATGTGTTTATTTTATACAATGTGTCCTGCCTACAATAATAAAAAAGTAGAAATAAGAGGTAAAAGAGTTATCAAAGAAGAGGAATATTCTAAGTACTTGATTAAATATGTCATTAATTCAGAAGATAGTTTAGATTTAGTATGTGAGGATTTATGTGTTATCAAAAATCCAGAAATTTACATAGTAAATGAAGCCAAAGAACTTAATCCAGTGTTAAATGGCATAAGTCTATATTCTAAGTCATCTATTATAGAAAATTATTTCTTCTCTGCATATTATGTGGACAATCAAGAACAGATAAGAAAGCCCGTGTGGTATCCTGGGTTTAACCAATTCCATAAACTATCTGCACTTAAACACTATATACACATGTACTATAATAAACCTGAGGATATGATCCATTTGTTCTTATACAACAAAACAAATCATACATGGTCATACGATGCTCCAAGTAAAACCAAAATCATTAAAGATGTACTGGACGATTCATGCATTCCTGTTTTCTATTACATTCCAGAAACTTTCGGGCCAAATAAGATTACTCCATCATTTTTATTTGTACAATTCAAGAATACATCAGAAAAAGAAAATTCAAATAGTCTTCATCTTCCATTATTTTTAAGTAAGCTACAAGTACTACTTCTTAAAAAAATACTTGTAGAAAACAGTAAAAATACAGACTATACTGGATTCATAGTTGATCCTATGAAATTAAAAAACCACACACCATATACTTATAGCTATAAAAGCACAAAAAACATTTTAATATACAGCACTCTATTGATTAATGACTGCGATAATCTTTTCTGTCCAGACCACACTAATATTGAATTTGCAGTTACTGCAAATTCTATTAAATTAGAAGATGATAGTATCACCAGTCCCAGCATAGCATTTTATGCAAAGAAGCCAGAACTGTATAGATACTACACTATTCGAGGCGCAAGTGACATAACAACCCAAACGAGTGTAATTAGAACATTTGAATTAAACAAAAATTCATATTATGCGGTTAACTCAATAGCATTGAATATAAACAATAATCATTATATGACAAAGCTGTTCTTTAATCCATGGAATGGTGAAACACCATCCAGTTATTTCTGTGATGGAATCGTCAAAGACAGCGTTAATCATGCATTGAAGCACAAAGAAAATGTAGAAATGTATGAATGTGTTTCTATATGTTCAACTCTAGATAATATTGAGTATAATATACCAATTATAGTACAAGCATGTAATTTGTTATGTGAAGATACAAGTGCTACTGTTGTATGCTAAGACTAGCATAGACCTACGGCATACATGAGTTACATTGATAAGTGGTTAACGCGACAACAAATACGCAAATATAACATTGTTTGGGTGGTTGACAGAGTATACGTTCAATACAAAACAAAGTAAGGAACTCAACTATAAAGAGAGTTACATTTTCAATAAACATTAAAGTATCTTAATGACTTTTTCTAAGAAATCAACTCAATGAAATACTTTTATTAGAAAGAGATCAAGAAGAAGTTATACTAGAAAAGAGTACTAGTATTATTTTTGATTATTTCTGAGTATATTAGTACACTATCATACTGCTTATATCTTGTTATATACAAAAAATAATACCAAGTAAAATCAGTAGTTATTTATTCTATAGTATAAGTATGTATATACAAATCAGAAGAAAAATACAATTTTATAGGAAATAGGACTCAAATAAGATTATGCCAGAACAGTCTTATACAGGCATATAATTAGAATAAATAGCAATTTAATAAATACTTCTAAGATTAATTTAGTACTTCTACATTCACTAACCGAAATATGAAACAACTTATAATTTATCTGTAAGTACAGTCATAGCCAGAAATATACTATAATTACTCTAATAATACATATAATACTTTAATATACTGAAATATGTGCAAATAGCATAATAAAGTGAATGTTTTCAAAATTTTGAAATAATTTAAAAAAGGCTCAATAATATTCTGTATAGAAGAACAAATCAGAAATATTTTCCTAACAAACAGGCCGGGCGTAAAGGGTCTATAATATAGAAATGGACTTAAAATATTATTAATTAGTGCATTTATTAGAGCCTAATGGGGTTAATTAATATGAGCTGTCTAACCCCGATTTTCTTCGAGTCATATTTACATATGGCTTACGATGTACGGGCTTTTTACTAGTAGGACTGAAATATTTAACCACCGCAGAAAACATTGTCTTTTTAAATATTGCCTCGTATGAGATTACCATCACTGTATATCCTAGTGCAATGTTTATTAATATTATTAATATTATTAATACGCTCAACAGTTTCATTCTCTTTGCAATTTTTGTTTATTTGACTAAAATAAGATAGACTAAGGAGAATTTCACTTAATGGATCAATAAAATACATTTAATAACATTTATTATTTATGTACAGAACACACTATTAAATCAATTAAAGTGCATTTAATTATAAATATAGAGACAATTTCGTAAAAACATCCAATTATAACGGGCATATTTTCATTTTTGGTGTGTTCTAATTAAAGATTTAATTATACTTAATTGATTTATCGGAGATATTTGAAATATTTCATAATTTAAGGAGGATATATTGTGAAACTTTAAAAATGTGTATTTTTTATAAAACTGCTATTAGAAAATTAAAAAATGTTTTATTGCCTTTTGTAATCTTCTGGATATTGATTCAAATCGGATAACTATTTATTCCTGTTTTTCATCAGCTGCCCACGCTTTCAGCGTGCCTCTGTTCTCTTCATAGAATCTGTTTGAGTTCTCTGCTGCATCAAATCCTTTCTTTATAGCAGAGACCCAGGCATCGTCATTATTCTCTTTTCTACTGAAGAACTCTCTGCACACTTCGATATTTTCTCTGGTGTACTGAACAGAAATAAACACTTCAATAAAGCGAGCAACATTGTCTTTAGTGGTTAAGAACTGCTCTTTTATATCATTAAAGCTAGATAAGAACATATCCAGGGTCTTTCTCTGCTTCTTATTCCTGGCAAGACCATCTGCCATTCTGAACTTATCCTGGCTTTTAATGTAGTGGTTTCTCTCAGAAAACAGCTTAAATGCATCTGCCACATTCTCTTCACTGAAGGAAATGGCACGGACTGCCCTTAGCTTCTCATTCTCATCTGCCGTACTACTCTGTATTATACTTTCAAGGTATTTGTATGCCTTCTCCCCTCCAAACTTAGCGTAAGAAATGTACATGCTCATCTTATAGTCCTTGTGTACTTTTGAAAGCTCGTTTGTTTCTGCAAGCCTTAAAACCTCTTTCTGTATAGGAGAGTCCTGTATCTGTGAGAGGCAGCTCACTGCAATAATTGCTAGCTTCTTTTCTTCTGCATCCTCTGGTGTGGTTTCAAAGTTTAGACGGCCATCGATGTATTGCTGTAGAAGGTTTGAAATTTCTGTTGAAACAGCCAGTTCAATTTCCTTGTCTTCCTTAAATCTGTTTCTTATCATTTCTAAGTATTCTGCTACAAGTGCCACAACAAAGGACCTTTCAGTCTTTGCCATGTATTGCACAAAGTTCAGAGAGTAGAGTGCACTCTTGTGGCCGTCTTTTGACAGCCTAATTACATCTCTGAATATTCCGAATCTGTCAAACTGTGAAAGCTTATCTGACTCAAGTAGTGGAAGGATGTGCTTCTCAAGCATTTCATCAGAGTACTCTATTAAATAAAAGCCAGTTGCATCTGCATTAAACATAACCTGACCATCAACTTCTGGAAGCTCTTTCTTCTTCTCTGAAAATAGTATAGACTTCTCCTCAGCCTCTGATCCACCTGTAAATATTTTCTTGGTTAAGAAGATCATCCACTGCTCTGACCGCTCTCCACTGACTGCAGAAAGGTCCTTTGCAGGCAGGTATCTTGACTGTTTCAGAGCAAAGTTTCCGTCTTTCAGGGAAACCTGTACTTTAGGGAATCCGGGGGTATCTATCCAGTTCTTCATGGAATTCTCAATTTCTTTATCTCCACTATCAAGCTCCTTCCACAAATCGTTAGTCTCTGTGTTCTTGTACTTGTGCTTCTGTATGTAGTTACGTAAGCCCTTCATGAAATTCTCTTCTTTCAGATACTTTGACAACATGTGTATCATAGATGCACCCTTTGAGTATGAAATAGCATCAAATATGGAGGATATTTCTCCAACCGACTCTACCTTCACATTTATAGGATGGGTAGAAAGCTTTCCATCCATAATCATTCCTCTAGTAATGTCGCTTTCTAGAAACAGTTCCCAAGGATTATACACAAGCTTCATGTCCCCTGCCATGTACTCTGTTGCAAGAGTTCCTGCCCACGTGGCAAATCCTTCATTCAACCATAGGTCATTCCACCACTTCATTGTCACAAGGTTTCCAAACCACTGGTGAGCCAGCTCGTGGCACACAGTCTCTGCAATGTACACTTTGTTTATTTCACTTGTACTGTCCTCTCGGTAGAGAAGAGATGAGGACCTGTAAGTAACAAGTCCCCAGTTCTCCATGGCACCTGCTGAGAAATTAGGAATAGCCACCATATCCAGCTTCTCCATCTGGTACTCAATCCCAAAGAACTCTTCAAAGAATTTCAAGCACCGCACAGCCACCTCCAAGGAGAACACTCCCGTCTCCTTTTGGTTCAGCGGAGTGTACACCTTGATTCTCTCCTTCTCAACATAGTCTAACTCTCCAATCACCCACGCCACTAAGTATGTGGACATAATAGGAGTTGGCTTGAAAGTGTGCCTGGTGTAAACCGCACCTTTCTCCTCACCCTCTGCTGAAACCATCACATTCTTCTCTGCATCAGCCAGTGCAGCATTTGACAGAACAGTAAACTTGGATGGTGCTGTAATAGAGATGTTAAATACAGCCTTAAATTCCGGCTCATCCCAGCAAGGGAATGCCAGCCGTGCAGATGTAGCTTCAAATTGTGTAGAGTAAATATATCTAGTCACTCCCCCTTCTTTATCCTCACTCTTATAAAACCCTGCCATATCCTCAGATATTTTACCAGTATACTCCATTTCTATTCGTATTTTACTCTGTGCCTTCAACCTCTCCTGTACGCTTATAGTAACAATTGAATTTGGTGTTTCATCAGATAGCCCCTTCACAGAATTTGTCAAACCAATATCTTTCTCACCACCAGATCCTAAGCTTACAACACGAATAGTATCAATACTTAGTCCTTTCTTATGGAAAGATATTTTATCAGTATCTTCATGTACATCTGCCATAATAACAACCACCCCTTTAAATTCACTTGTGTTCTCTTTTACCACTATCTGCAAATCATATGTCTCTGGCTTTATACTGGTAGGCAGCCTTAAATCCATCTTCTCCCCTGTTGGAGCACTATCGCTTCCCTTTGTCATACACATAGTATAGAAAAAAAAATGTCCTATATATAGTAATAATATATAGTAAATTAAACTAGGAATATTATACATATTATAATAACAATAAAAGAGAAGTACAAATATATTCAATGTTTATTTATTATTACCAGTCACTGAGTAAAACCCAATATAAAGCACTTATAATACACTGGAACAATCAAAGGACCTAAAGAACATAAACAATTATATTAGAGAGGCATAATCCGATATCATAAAAATACATGAGTAATAGGAGTATACATAAAGAATTAAAGAAAGGTTTATTTAAAGATGTAAAGAATTAGAATCGTAAAATATTTCTGAATTACTGGTATTTGGATTATTATACTCCAAAGACGTCATCAATTCGTATAATTGACTTGGCTGTTTGTGTTGATAGAATTAATTGGTGTTTCTTTGAGTATGCTCCTTCCCAGACATTATCAGCAATTCCTTCAGATACTTTTGTGATGGGGTCTTCTCCCATATTACGTGCAAGTGCCATGGGAAGTTCTTGGAGTGCCTTTGAATAAGCACTCCCTATAGAACCTGGCATTTTCTCAGAGACCGTCTTTGCACAGAGCATATCAATTGCACCGGCTCCTTTGACTACCTTTGGGTCTCTTATTACATTTCTTACTGCGCAGAGGACATCCTGTATACTCCTCTTTGTTTCTTCAATGATAGCTGATGTTCCCCCTCTTACAAGAATAGTTACTGCACTGGTTTTTTCTGGGTTCTTGATTCGTATACTGTTGTTTTCTTCAATAACACTGCCACTTCCCAGAGAGTCTTCAGATAAGTCTTCAAATCTGGAGACTATGTGTGCTCCTGTATGTATAGCCGCCATTTCAAGCTCTTGTGCTCCTACCCAGCGCACTGCAGAGATACCTTCTTGCATGAGGAGAGAGTTTGCTTCATCATCAAATCCCCACTGGCACAGGACAACTGTAGCACCGGACTGCTTTATTCTTTCTATCATATCTGAGAATATCTTTTTCTCGTACTCAGACAGTTCCTGGAACTCTTCCACAGATGTAATATTAAGATCGTGCTTGATTTTTACCTTAGGTGGTTCAAATGGGCACGCGAGTATAGCTATTTTCGCATTTGGTACTTCTTTTGCCATTTGGAAGTGGCTAAACTCCTTTGAAATGTATACTCCTTTAATTAGTTCACTCTCTCCCATACGGGTCTCTCCCTCTATCTTAATTAACTCTAAGTTAGTCTCACCCCGTGCATCTTGTACTGCTTCAACTGCCTCAATTGCTATACGAATGTAGTTCTCAATATCTCTGCTAACTACTTTACTGCTTAGTGTACTCTGTGCTACCTTTTCCATTATTTCATGCAGGTCACTCTCCTTAGGCTCTACTGAATTCTTCTCTATAACATCCAGAGCTATACTCAGAGCCTCTTCATACCCTCTGATTATTTTCAGTGGGTGCATGCCTTTAGCAGCCAGTTTTTTTGCCTCCTTCAGCAGAGAAGCCGCAATTATCACCACACTAGTTGTTCCGTCTCCTATCTCATCATCCTGTGCTGTACTAAGCTGTGTTATTAATTTTCCCATTGGAGTGCCCTCAATATCCATTTCTTTCAGAATTGTAGCCCCATCGTTCGTTATGGTTACTTCACCATCTGCGCTTATAATTGCTTTGTCTGCTCCAAATGGTCCTACAGATGTACTGAGCGTATCCACAATACCACAGAAATTGTCTATGTTTTCTGCTAGGACATTCTTTTCTTCAGTTTTCTGCCGTGTTTCCTGTTCGCGTATTAAAACATATGGCCTCCCATACTCGTCACAGAAGTTATATACCATAGGGTAGTAAAAAGAAAAAGTATTTCTCCAATAAAAATTTATTAGCCTAGAGGTCTTTCTTTAAATCTTCTGCCTGGCTTGGAATACTCACATCACTTATTAAATCCTTTGCAGCCTCAGGGTCTGACTCTTTATCTAGATCAAAGTCTGCATTGTAATCGTCTGTAAAGTTCTCATGCTCAGCATTTCCGAACTTCATGGTATTCATAAATTCTTTCAAGAACCTCTCAAGATCTTCCATGTTTGGTTTTTCATTTTCATGCCCTTCTTCCTCTGGAGTCTTCTCAGCAGGAATTTCTTCTATTATAGATTCTTCTTTCCCCTTTACTTCTTCTGCTGAATGCTCTTCTGCTGGCTTTCCCTTTGCTATTTTTTGTTTTATGTTTGCATACACTTTCTTTGCATGAGGAATTGCTTTGTTTCTTCCAAAGTCGTTCACTTTCTCTGCTATGTGCTTTGAATGGTTCTTTATTTTGCTTCCTATGGGCTGAATATGTTTTGTAACTGTGTCTTTTATTCCACTTATACCCCCAACTTTTTCATAGAGGCCTTTTGTTTTCCTTTTAATTCCTTCTGCATACGACATGACTTGCTCTCTTATTGTCATACATTTTATAACAGATATAAGTAGTGCTACTAAAAGGACTTTTCTCATTATTTTTACAGAAATTTTAAAAATAAATAGTTAATTACTTCTGTGATACTTATCGACATATTCTATTCTCATATAATAAAGATGATTTGTCAGAGTTTCAGATTATTCTCGGGCTATATCATACAGTTCTGCATATAAATATACTTAAATATTTTATGTATTATAATATAATACTATATAGTACTGTAACTGAGTATAACAATTATAACTTTTCGGGTTATGCCAGGTTGTCATTAATTTATTTCTGTTGAATAATTTAATTTATTCGGGTTATTTCTGGTTTTATTGTTTTTATTAATTATACAAGTAATAAGCTCTAATAAATATATTCAATCATAAATTTATACTTTTATAGTTTAAGAACAATTAAAAATATAAAAATATAAAATATTTCTATTTATTGCTTATTATCATATTCGATATTTAGGGATAAATTAATTTTATGTTCATATTCGGGTCGAGCATATTAAAATAATTCAAACCCCAAGAATATAATTCATTGTCATTGCCATAGTAACAATCTAGTGATGTAATAGGCAGATACTTCATAGTTGTCGCCTGGTGAATGTACATATGCTATTATTATACTATTTAAATAACCAAAAATTATTTAATTATTTTATACAGTCTAACTATACTATTAGATGACTCATGGACTAATTCAAGGTTATGAAGTGTAATTGTATCTGAGTATTTATAAAAGCATAATTTAAACAAAAGAGAGTTTTTTAAAGTGGGTGAGATGTAAAGAGGAGTATTTCCTGCTTGTTCCGATTTTATGTTAATATCTGGTATATCTGGGAGTGAGTGATAAATTGTACTTCCTACTTTGAAGTAGTAGTCATCTGCATTGATTTGGTTATTGGCTTCATTTGCTATTTTAGATATCCACCAAATCTTATTCAAATCTGACAAGTTATACTTTGAGATATACCCACAGACTGTGTATATGTACAGGTTAGTTGACATATCTGGCACTATTCTTTTAAGGAATGGATGGCTTCTGCCGACTTCTTCTTCTGGGGATACAAGAAGACTAGCTACTTCAGATATTTTTTGGTAATTATTTGTGTTATTATCAATTACTGTGGATAGATTGGTCATGCCGGTTATTTGGTATCCATAGTCCCACCAGCTTAAAATAACAGAGTCTTTCGGTAGGTTATACTTCATGTAGATTGCACTCTCTCGGAAATCATCTACAACTGTTGGTTTTCCATCAACTACTCCATCCATCACAACCATAACTTGTTTCTGCTTGCTGTGTATTGTATTATAACATGAGAAAGTATGACCAAGCATGAGTATGCCCATTGCAATTTTTAATGGTTTATGCACGAGGTATGGCTTTGGGTTCTGGAATGGCTTGTAGAATGAATGTGCAAACATCATTTCACAGAATGCGTCTCCCACGTATATGGCTAAGAATGGAATGGTCAGGAATGCAAACCTCTCCATAAATAAGAACATTAATGAAGACAGCATAAACCCAGCCTGAACAAGAAGAAGAAGACTTTTCTTTTTTTCATACTTTAGTCTTTCAGTGCCCCATATCATCAGCATAGGAGACACTATCATATATGGCCCACATAGTGCAACTGCCTGGTCTTTTGTTGCTGGCTGATGTTCTACTATTGAGGATACAAGGGGATGTGCTCTTTTTTTATATAGGACATTATATACTTTATCCTTCTTTTTTACTGCATTTAATAAAAGAGCAAGTTTGTCTCCTTTACTTAAGTACACACCAATTATTCCTATACACAGCCCAATTAGTGCCCCAAATACTCCAAGGCATTTTATTCTTGTAGAATGGGTCTGCTGCATTAACTGGTGTCCTATTTCTAAAAGAAGGAATGTAAGTACTTTCCCTATGTTCACTGGCTTTACTACCCAGAGAAAAGGTGTAATACAGTCTATACTTGCGGTTACTACAGTAGTACACAGAAGAACTCTCCAGTTACTATGGGAGAAAAAAGTATGCACATAAAGTAAGATCTCAGTGAAGAGACTTCCTCCCCAGGACAGGTTAAATATACCCTGTACTACTCCAATAATCAGGCCAAGTATCACTTTACTATTTACAGATGCATTTTCATTCTTTATACAGCGTATGTAAATGTACAGTATTAGAAGAACCATAAACAGAGACAGTCCTTCATAGTCATATGCGCCTGCTATTGTTTTTTCAAAAACACCTCCTGCCATACTGAATACCGCCATTGCAATCCATACACGAAGTGTTTTCTCTGGTTTTGAGAAAAATTCATTTGATACTTTATACATGAGAATCAGACACCCTAGGAACAGAATGGGCGGTGTAATAGAGCATACAGTATAATGAGAGACTCTAACAAAAATACCAAGCAGTGAGTGAATGCAGTTAGATAGAATAAACATAGCTGGGTATGCCGTTCTGTATATGTTTCTTCCCTCAGGAATCCATGTTTTACTGTTTATCCACTGAAAGTACTTTAATATTCCATTGTTCCTGATGTATTCTGAGCACCTGAAATTAAACCAGGGATCAAACTCATTAATTAGCACACCGTACCTAAACAGAGGACTAAGTCGCATTAAGAACGTGTACATCACTGAGAATTTACATGCCATGACTGTGATGTATGTAGCATGTTTTGGGAATGAGGAGTGTTTATACGTGATCTTACTCATTTCTAAATTAATAAGAATAAACTTTTAGCTTTAATTAACATTATATAGTACTTAAACACAGAATCAGAAAAGCACTGAGAATTTCATGTGGCAATAGTAATACTCGCCCTGTACTAAATTTTAAGGATATTTCCAGAGTGATAGTGTGTGAGTTCTCTTTTATTTATAAATAAGTGTAGAAATACAAATTATAGTAAATATGTGAAATAACTTTAGATGGATTTATTAATCTAAATAATAGATAACTTAGTTAACTTCTTCAACAGTTGGTCCGCTTGCGCTTGCTCCTGCATTTCCTCCAGAGAGTTTAGAAAGGTATGGGGCAAACTCTGCCTCAAGAGCCTTCTTCTTCTCGGTGTACTCCTCAACAGTTCTGTTAAGTGCAGATGGGACAGCCTTGATCCATGTTTCTCCATCTGCAACCTTTGCAAGTGCCTCGGCCTGGACTGATGCATCGAGCTTCTTGAACATCTCTCTAACTGTGTAGAGGTATGTGTCTACTTCGGTGTATGCTGTGATAATAGCTCTGTTCTTCTCATCCTGCTCCTGGAACTGAACTGCCTCTTCCTGCATTCTCTTGATTTCATCCTGTTCGCTGATGGTTTTTTCCTTGTCAATGGTGATTGCCTGCTCACTTCCTGATGAAGATTCACTGGCAGAGACGGAAAGGATACCGTTGGAGTCAATGTTACACTTGACAACAATCTTTGGCTCTCCTCTTGGTGCGGGTGGGATTCCACTGAGATGGAACTCCCCAAGCTTGTGGTTGTCTGCTACCATGGCTCTCTCTCCTTCAAAGATCACAATAGATACAGCGGTCTGGTTGTCAGAGTATGTACTGAATGTCTGGGTCTTTGTGGTTGGGATAGTAGTGTTCTTTGGCACAATTGGAGTGAAGACTCCTCCTGCAGTCTCAATACCAATGGACAGAGGAATGACATCAAGAAGAAGAAGCTCGTTGTTTCCTTCAAGAGTCTCTCCGTTAAGAACTGCTGCCTGGATAGCTGCTCCCTGTGCTACTGCCTCATCTGGGTGGACACTCTTGTTGAGGGCCTTTCCATCAAAGAAGTCAGAAAGCATCTTCTGGACCTTTGGAATTCTTGTGGATCCTCCAACCAGGATAACCTCATCAATCTCTCTCTTTGAAAGCTTTGCGTCAGAGATGGTCTTTTCAACACATGGCATAAGCTTGTCAAAGAAGACCTTGCACAGAACTTCAAACTTGGCTCTTGTGAGGGTGTGGCATAGATCTATTCCCTTGTGGAATGAATCAACAATGACCTGGACAGATAAAGAAGAAGAAAGAGTTCTCTTTGCGTTCTCAATCTGTGCTCTTAATCTAGCCAGTGCTCTTGCTGAAATGTTTGATGACTCAATATTGTTGTCCTTGGCAAATGTATCTGCGATCTGCTTGGCAAGAGTGTGGTCTAAGTCGGATCCTCCCAAGTGGGTGTCTCCTCCAGTGGCCTTAACCTCAAATAATCCCTTCTCTACAGTCAGAATGGACACATCGAATGTACCACCTCCAAAGTCAAAGACAAGGATTGTCTTCTCTTTGTCATCTGTGGCCTGGTCCATACCGTACGCAACGGCAGCTGCAGTTGGCTCATTAATGATTCTGAGCACTTCTAATCCTGCCATCTTACCTGCCTCCTTGGTCAGCTCTCTTTGGTCATTCTTGAAGTATGCTGGGACTGTTATAACAGCCTTGCCTACTTTTCCACCAAGATACTCCTCTGCACAGTTCTTTAAGTATGAAAGAACTAAAGAACTTACCTGCTCTGGGTAGTACTCGCTGGTCTTTCCCTTGTGAGTTACCTTGATAATTGGTTTGTTCTCATTTCCCTTAGTAGTAACCGTGAATGGCCAGTGGGTAATGTCCTTCTGTACATTTGGGTCATTAAATTTGAGACCAATAAGTCTCTTTGCATCATAAACTGTGTTTGCTGGGTCGTTTCTTGCATTGTTAGCTGCTGACTCTCCAATAAGTACCTCGTTGTCTGTGAAAGCAACTATGGATGGGGTTGTTCTACCTCCAGCCCTGTTAATAATTATTTCAGCCTTTCCATTCTGCATTATAGACATACATGAGTTAGTTGTTCCTAAATCAATTCCTATTGCGTATTCTTTATTTGCCATGGTGTATAAAAAAATAAAACTTTTTTATACTTTTTTATTTCCGGAATTTTCTGTTTTTTTCTATTTTATTATTCTTCTAATATTCCTTCTGTCATAATATTTTCTGGGTGTTTCCGGGTGTTTCAGTAAAATATTTCAAATATTTGGGTTATTCTATAAAATACAGTTAATAATTGGTTAAACAGAATAACAGATGTAATAGTACGTCTAATATAACAATCCAGTATAATTAATAGATATTCAATAGAACATACCCCGAATAATCTAAATTGTACATTGTTCATTGCACAGTATTTAAATTTCAGCTTGTTCTTGCTTATTTTGAGTTATATCTTACTTTACACTATATAACCCGAAATAAAAGGGGTAAACCAGAAAAAGTATTAATTGGTTATTTGCATAGAATAATATGCTCAGTGGAATGTGCGCTATACATAATGGATTTATGACTAATTCATGGCTATTTATAAATATTTGCTTTTATTCAACTAATAATTTTTCTGTAAATTTCAGTTTTATTCTTATTTTTAGTTTGTTATACTTATACAGTTGAATTTTCGGTTTATCCTTTTATTTATTTTTGGGTCCTGTCAGATTCTCTTTGTTCTTATATGCTTAATTATGGACTAGGCAGATTATATAACTAAAAATTGAATATATCCAGAAATTAATAATATCTCCTTGGGAAGTAATCAATCAATTTACAGAAGGCTTATAAGCTATAAAAATTTGAAAAATAAAAATTTATTATGAGCAGACAAACACGCACTGCACTCAGATTATTAACAGTCAAGCATATTTTATCTGGAATTTGTTACATTCTATTAATACTTAGTACAATAGAATCTGCACCTTCTAAGAAAAAACCACGGACTAAGAAGAAGAATAGCAATAGCAACAATAATAAGACAAATGAGAACAAATGCACCAACTCTGCTCTAAAAGAAGTAGAACTAAGATATCCTGAACCAATACATGACATAATGGGTTTAATTAAGTATATAAGTCGGCATAACAGCACGCGCAGATCCCAGAGAGATCCTTACACCTCTTCTGGTTCTTATATACTAAATCCACCATCAAAGGTAATTATGAAAATGCTTTCCTGTTGTGTGAATAAGTCATATTTTTTTATGAATAATATGGACACATCCGCATCAATTATAGTAAACCATGATAAGTCTAAAACCAAACCGTACACATGCTTTCAAGATGAAAACGATAATATAATAGCAAATTCTATGTATACATCTAGCCAATCCATAGATGAAATTAATGAACCCTTTCCAATTACAATTGAAGTTGAGAAGTCTTCAACAAGTATGCTAATGGGAGTTACTAAAAATTTCATTGTGAACACAAGTCATGATTATTTATGTAGAACCAGATATCCAGCACTGGAGACTTATCTAAAAATTCCTTCTGAGAATATTTGGGATAATTGTTTCATAATGTATTCTGAGTATGAAAATGAAAATGAATTAGATAATAAAATAGAAAAGAAAAAAGAGGATAGTCAAAGTGAAACAAACGATTCTACTAATTTTATAGACAAACTTCCCAAGATTTTGATGGTATGTTCTTTCAACTGCATGAGTAACGGAAGAGTATTTCGGCATTCTATAAAATTTGACATAAATAATGAATTGTTTGGTGTATTAGCCTCCGTTCTTGCTGGCGATTCTGTTGCCCCCACCTATATTCTAGATGATGTATATACACTGCAGTATAATTCTGCATATGATATATACAATGACGATGTAAATGTAAAATGTCTTATAAATGACTTTTCATTGATAAATAACATCGGGCGTAAATTATACGAAGAGTTAAAACCACCACTGGAAACAGCAAAAATATCAACTATTTTGAAATTTCGGTCTATGTTCTATGCATCTACACCCTTAAAGGACAATGATATGCGGCTGAAGGAAATTCAAAATGCTTTATTTGACGAAACAAGTATGACGGCTCTGATTATTTACAACTTAAACCTAGCTACATCTTACTTTCTAAATTACTCAAAAGATCCAAGTTTGAATGGAAGTTGTGTCTTTGATAAGAATGATACTCTAAGACCAAAGAAATTAACTGAAGTTATAACACAACCTAGTTCCATGAAGTCTAATTATACAATGGGAAGCTTGAAATTCACAGACCCAGAAATCAACTCTTCAGTTGAAGTTGATATTTCGATTACTAATATTTCTATTAAAGTAGAAAAATCTAGAAGGGTTATCAATCATATTAATCATGCTGGTATTTACATACTTTTCAATGATCCTAATGATCCAGACATTCTTTATGTTAAACATATAGTCCAAGGTAAAGAAAATATTTTTGCCACTATAATTAAGCTACATAGAAATGATCCACTAACTTCCAAGCTTCTGTCTACTTTAGTAAATTTGCCAGGAAAAAAAGGCGACAAAAATTCAGTGAAAACTCAAGAAGATTTAGCTTTTTATGTAGGCAAATTAAAGAGTGAGTATGAATATAAACACTTAATCACCTCCTGCAGCCTGGATATAGCTAATGGTTGTGCACCCGAACCGGTAATAAAATTGATAGTGGAGCACTGGAAGTCACCATCCAATTCCACTTATGGTAAAAACCCCACTAATAATAAGTATCAAACTATGTCTGATAAATATTTCCCGAATCCACATGACCGTGTGTTGGATGAATATAAATTTATACTGAAGATGTGTTCCAAATTGAAATTATTAGAAGATATAAGATTCCAAAATATATATATCAGAAAAATCATAGACAAAAATTTTAAGAATATATGCGAGTTATATAGTGCTGAAAAAGAAAAGAAAGACAGTGAAAGAAAAAAAATAGCTGCTAAAAGAAAAGAAGAAACAACTGAAGATTTAGAAAACAATCAAACAATTGAAAATCCATCTAAGGAGAATCAATTGGTTTTGAATTAGTTTATCAAATCGCATCCTATAACCCGAATTTTTGGTTATACTAATTAATAAAGATAAGTATTAATTAATAATAAGAAAGTGTTTATTTCTATAATTAATGTATTAGTAATACGTATATGTGCAGTATATTGTAAGTAATTTACAACCAGAAACTAATTCATAGTATAATGTATATATATAATTATACTATGTTATATATAGTATGTATACGTGTGGTTTATATGCATAGTGTGTTATAGTCTTGCATATTTACTGCATATATGTTTATGCATAGTGTGTAATATAATATTATTGTATATATATGTAGTGCATATGGTTTACGCGTACTGTTCTTATGATGTGTGCTATACTGCTGGTGTACGGTGTATTGTTCTTATGCTGTGGTATGGCCTTGTGTTATAATACTGTATCTGCTGTGGAGTGTATATTGTGTTATAGTCTTCTTTCTGGTTATAGTAAATATGCTGTGTTATTTTTATAATTAAAGTGTATTATACTTTTTTAAATAAATGTAAGACATAAATAATATTATGTGGAGGGTTTTAAATCTTAGAAATTTAAATAAAACAAGAAATAATCAATAATATAAAATATATATAAGAAGAAAATAGAAATATTTAACAATGAAGATATTAGAAAGCAGAAGAAGAAACAGTATTGTGATAATATTTTATATTCTGATGATAAATACTGTTCTGTATAAAGTATTCCCGTATAAAGAAATAATTACAGCTAATGATATAAAAGAAGACATTCAAACCTTAAAAAGCACCTGTATACACCTTAAATGGGATAATCTTCTTTCTATTCCTGTAGAAGATTCAATTATTTATCTAAATGAGTATAGGGAAAGTATTAGAACAGTAAGCAGAGTATTAGAGAAGTATAAAAATATTTTAAGTAAAAGCATTCCACTGTATAATCTTGTTAGGTGGCTTAGATTAATAACAGATAAAATCATAGAAAGGTTTAATGAAATAGATGAGTATATGAAAAGAGATTCTAGTATTGAGTGTAAAAGGGAGGGATTATATAAATATTTTAAAATGCATTTGTATAAGTTAGAAAATAGTCATAATGAGTATAAGTATGAGAAGTGGATGTGCGATTTTATAGAAGAATTATTCCTAGATAAAAGGTTCTTATATGAGAATTATTACTATTCTTGTATTAAAGAGCATCTTCTAAATAAAAATAAATTAAAAAGAGAAGAATTACAGGGCGTATACAATGAGTGTATAAAAAGAATAAAAAATGTCGTTGGGAATAGGCAGAATATAATAGAAGGAGTACAGTGGGAAAAATCCCCAGAAAGCATAGAAAATAGTGTAGGAGTACTTTTTATGCAAAACGAGTTATTTTCACTTTTTAATGAATTATATGTAAGGACGTTTATACGTATGAAAGGGTATTTCCCTGTGGGATTTAGTAAAGTACTTCTTTTTTATAATAATGTAATAGGAAATAGTATAATATACAGAAACAACGTATGCAGATCACATGTGTTCACTATGCTGAGTCAAGAGGTATTAGAGCCATTGGTGGAGGAGAAGTATTTTATGTATGTATATAATTCAATGCCTATATGGGAGACTCTTTTAGGTAAAGAAGTAGATATTCTAATAGAAGCACGGACAAATACATTTGAACAAATATCTATAAATACGGATAATTGGAGTAGGATGGTTAAGAGTTGTTTTATTAAAGAGGAGTTACCAAAGATATTAAAGAGTATTTGGAGTGGGATAGGCAAAAGTATAGACAGAATTAATACATTAATTGATAATACTGAGTATCACGGGAGTATATTAGAACAAAACCATAAAAAAGCATATATAAAGAGTTTTATATGTGAAATTGAACGAACTGTGCAGGAGGATATAGTTGGAATATATTCTCCCATGAGTGTTTCATCAGTTTTAAAAATATTGCATGTAATGGAAGATATACCATCAGAGCAGACGCAGCAAATAGAAAAATTAGTAGGACATCGGTCTTTTGCAGATTTATATAAGGATGCATACCACCATCCACTATTTCTGGATAGAAGTTATTCTAATGCGCATGAAGAGAGCAGTACCAGCCAGAGTAAAGAAAGTACTATTAAGTATAAACCATTAATCACGGGAAGCACACCGTATTCTAATAATATTGACCTTCTTGGAGTTATACTGACGTACCACAATATTCTACTGGGAAATTTATTTACAGCTGTATGTGCGCTTCTCTATGAAAAATGGACTATATTATTTGGGATAAGTACATTACACATAATTGACTCAATAATAGAAAATGAAATGAAAGCACAATACCTTCTTGTTATAGCATATGTGTACAACAATATCATAAATCGGGTTATGTCTGTGGAAAGGATTAATATGTGCTTAAAGCAAGAAACACATAATATTATAAAAACATGCAAAATAAAGCATACTTCTGCCTTATTACCACATACTGAAATAACTCTATTAAACATAGATAAGTATGTTAATCTATCAAGACTAATGTCTGCTGACAGAATAGCACTGGGATATCCTATTCTGCAGTATGATTCAAGCAATATGCAAAAACTAATTAGTTCACTTAAAGATAAGTACAGTGCAGCTATGGACTATATTGATTCATATTGTGTGCTAATGAAGGCGCAAACAGCAGTGTATATGCAGCTAGCCCCCAAGTACATTATGGGAATATACAGACCGTATTTATTTGACACAAAGTATGTACCTATGGCATACTACACAGATATAATAGATACTTATTTATACACTGATGTATATAAAGAGTACAACCATAAAGATGTACTGAAAGCGTGTATAAAAAACAGTAACGAACGAAAAGATAAAATATCTGACGCAATCCCAGGCATGAGTGTAAAAGAGTACCAAAAACTTAAGAATAGTCCGCAATTGTCTTCTATTTTGCAGTATTCTCAGGAATGTTCTATGCTTGAAATGCTTTATATGGGGGTGCTATATGATAAAGTATTACGTAGGCTGGTTTATAAAGGAATAGGCATTTTTAACGCCAGTATTTTTAGGCATATTATGCCTAATCTAATTGCATCACCAGTTATTTCATTTTTTGAGTCATTTTTTATTACATGCTCATTAGATCCTAAGACAGAAAAAGAATTGGGTTTATGTGAGGGCAGAATCAGTCAAGTATTAAATGAAATAGTGAAAGGCAGAGAAAGCATATTATTTCTGCAATCTACAAAGTACAAGTCAATTGACATGTTTCCTGCTATAAGTGACTTGCAGGCATTTCTGTTTCTAGTGAATAGATTCAATATTCCAGAGCAATCATCTGTATTACCAGAAGAGAACATAGTAGTATTAAAGCAAATAGAGCGTATGAACAATACAACACCAGAAAATACTGAATGCATCAACTCTGTAGCAAATGACAGGATATATGCATGGAAAAACAAACATTCTAGCAAACATTCACGCGATACAGATGATTCTGTACAAATACAGCCGGTCTGCTCAATATTATCAAGTAAAGATAGAAATACTCAAATGAAAGAACTATCAACAGAAAGCAGTACCAATATTAGTGAGTATATATACTCTACTATTGGAGTTGCTGTAGCAGTTGCTATCTCAGGAATTATGATATATTACTTTATTCTGTCCAAGTATGTATAACTCAATAAATACAATTCGAAATAACTTGGATGCTCCCTATTTAGTAATCTGTAAAAGTTTTTATTAGTAACCAGACAGTATACAGAATAAATTACTGCTTATAACCAGAAATAACTGAAACTCTTCATTATCATGATGTTTTCTGGATTCTTAGTAAAACAGCAGTAATTATCTTATTACAACCACACCTAGAATTATAAGCTGTGTACATATATTGTGTCCATATCTGACACACCAATATCCTTAAGAAGTGTTTTTTCTGTACTAAAATCAATCTCACCCGCTGTAGAAATAAATGCCTTTGGTTTTTTTATCCCAAAGTCTGTTTTTAGTATGTTTTTAAGATCGCCTACAGTTGCATCTGTTTTTAAGATATGTAGTTTTTTCTTTGTATCATGGATTATTTTAATTCTAATTTCTTCACTGTTTGGACTGACTGTTTGTGTGTCTCTGTTAGCTGTAAGAGGCCTTATATGAGAGTTTTTCAATGAAACTGTCTGCATGGCTATTAATCCATCTATTTCTATTTGAGCCTTTTCTAAGTTATTCTTTCTGTCTTCTTTTATTAGGTTTCTGAGTCTTTGCAGGTGATCTTCATACTCCCTCTTTTCTTTTTCTTGTTTTTGTCGTTGTTCTTCTTTTTTCTTTAGAAGAATTTCCTTTTCTTCTTGTGTTCCCTTCTCTTGCCCTGAGCTGTATGCCATTATTGTTTTATAAAATTATTCTATATTAACTCTTATTACTATATACAAACAAAATACCAAATAAATACTAAATTATCAGAGTGTGAACATATATAGTACCATTTGGTATAATCGTAACCAGGCAGCAATTATAGCATTTCTTATACAATTTTAGTTATATTATTTGCAAATTTCATATATATTAGAACTATCTTAAATAGGATATTTTATTATTACATGTGAATTATGCATAATTTATTAAAAATAAAATATTATTTATGCCTTACATATAAATACATATAAAAGGCATTATACTGCATTTCTATTTTTATATTTTAAGCGTTCATTCGAGTTATATTAAACAGGGCGTTTATTACTTTTTTAAGTATATTTCTGTAGCTACTTATAATAGAAATATACCGTTTCTAATATAACTCAAAATTAATTATGATTATAGTAAATAATTAGTCTATTGAGTGGTTTATTGTTTAGTATTAAAATATAAATATTATATGGGTTATTATTAAATATTTAACTGTTATAATGAATATATCTCATGTGAGAGAACTATTTATGTGAAATACTGGTATGCCTGGATTATTATCATAAATAGAGTATTTATATCGCCAATTCCGCCAAATGGTGTGAAACCATCTGGGTTTACATTGTTATAATTTAAATCTGAGAAGTATAAATCTGCAATAAAATGTTTTAAGCCCATGGAGACAAGCTGTACGCAGAAATGTGTAGACTTTTTAGAGGCACAAGACCAAAACAGAAACAGGAAATATGTCGAAGAAATAAAGAAGGCAATAGAAGAGAATCGCAGGTCAATACCAATAGACTACTCTGACATGTTCAACCATGACCAAGCACTGGCAATAGAAGCAAAAAGAAACTTTCCAAGTGTGGAGAAGCACATTTCCAAAGCCATAGAAATACTTACGGCAAAATATTGCCCCGAGTTCAAAAAGAAAGGAATATCCACAAGAGAGGAAGAGTTTATTCCCTGTATATACGGACTTGATGTGATATATTCAGTGAGGGATCTTAAGACTGGCCTTCTTGGGCAGTTAATATCGTTTTCAGGCATAGTTACACGATCCTCTCAGTCTAAGCCAGAATTATTAGAGGGCACTTTTGAGTGCTTAGAGTGTAAGGCATTAGTGCGAGGTATTGTTCAGGAGAGAATATACAGACAGCCACTTGGCTGCATAAACCCAATGTGTTTAAACAGGAGTAAGTTTCGGCTGTGCGTGGATGAGTCTAAGTTCAGTGACTATCAAAAGGTTCGTGTACAAGAGCCCGTTGGGGAAACAGGAGACTCACAGGCAATGCCAAGAACAATTGAGGTTCTGCTAAGAAATGACCTGGTTGAAATTGCCAAGCCGGGTGACAGTGTGATTATAACAGGATATTTAACAGCCTCACCCTGCATGAGAGATGCACTTGGGCACAGCAATACTACCAAAGTTGGTCTTTCAAAAGCACCAGAGGCAGATGCTGTACGAGGAAAGATTGCGCAGGGAAAGGGGATTAACCACGAGCTGATTTTCTTGGGCATTTCTGTGTCAAAAAGACAGAGCGATCCGTACACTACACTACTAGAAAAGAATCAGAAGGTAGAAAATATTACTGCGTTGGATAAGATAAAGGTAGAGACAATGTCACAGACTCCAGGGCTCCTTTCCAAGCTAGCAAACAGTCTTTTCCCATCGATCTGCGGGCATGAAAATATTAAAATGGCAATTCTTCTTATGCTTGTTGGTGGCACCTCTAAAAAGACTGCAGAGGGAATTCCTTTAAGAGGAGACATAAATATACTTTTAGTGGGTGATCCAGGAACAGCAAAATCACAATTTCTTAAGCAAACAAGCACATTAGTCGACAGAGGAGTATATACCTCAGGGAAAGGATCCAGTGCGGCAGGTCTTACTGCAAGTGTAATAAAAGATGACACCGGTGAGTTCAGCATTGAAGCCGGTGCACTTATGCTAAGTGACAGTGGAGTGTGCTGTATTGACGAGTTTGATAAAATGGATGAGAGAGACAGAGTTGCAATTCACGAGGCTATGGAGCAGCAGTCTATAACAATAGCAAAGGGAGGTATACATGCTACACTCAGTGCCAGAACAAAAATACTGGCAGCTGCCAACCCAGTAAAAGGAAGGTACGACATGCGAAAAACCCTCCGGCAGAATGTAAGACTATCCCCGCCAATTATGTCCAGGTTTGACTTGTTCTTTATTCTTGTGGACAGCATTAGCATAGAGCACGACCAAATTATCTCCAACCACATTCTTAAAAGCCACATGGCACACGGAGAACCAGTCTCACTACAGGACACGTTCTTTTCCATTGAGGATGTTAAGACCTTTATACGCGTGGTAAAAACAAGAGAGCCAGTTCTGTCAAAGGAAGCAGGAGATGCAATTGTACAAAAGTATCTGGAAATCAGAAAGAACAATTCCGTCCATGCATTTAGTGCGACTCCCAGGCAGTTAGAAAGTATTATTAGGCTAAGTGAAGCAGTTGCTAAAATATTTGGGTATACCACAGTAACAGAAGAGTGTGTTGAGCAAGCATACCTTCTTCTCTCAGGATCCATAATGAATGTACTAACTGATGACATAAGACTCTCAGTAGCAGATGCAGTTGGTGAGAGGGTTTACACAATTACATTCGATGAGTACATTAAAATGACCTCTTCTTTAGTGAAGATTGTTCAGATGAACGCCAGAACAGACGGAATCTCCAAAGAAGGCCTTATTAAAGCATTCATTGAAGAAAACGAGAGCGAAATCCCGACAGAAGAAGAATATTTCAATATGCAAGAAAAAGTATCAGGACTAATTGACCAACTGATATACAAAGAAGGTGTTTTTTATGAGCAGGGAGAGAACAGAAGTATTCTTCTTCATCCTAATTATAATTTGTTTTAAGAGTGCAAGGATATTAATTTTGAAGAGTCTTCAGAAACAAAGCATTCCTCATTTGTCAGTGAGATTCCCGCTTGGTGTAACATCATAAGACATGGGGTAATAAAAAAATAATTTATATAAGCAAAATAAAGCACTTAAATAAAATTGAATATTTTTTGAATTATGCACTAAAAATAAACACATTTTTACTACATTCAGGCGCTATAAAGAGCAACAAACAATCTGAAACGGCCCAAATTATAAGATCAGAAAACATATCAGCACGGTTTAAATATACAACAACAATAATACGATAAAACCCAAAATGAAATTTATATCATATGATCCCGGATGTTAATAATTTCTATTAATATTTACATATACTTCTAAATTTATTTAAAATTAAGTATTATACAATGGTTATCTCAGATAATAAACTCGATAATAAAAATACCGAAAATGCTTCAATGATTAACACAGAATCATCACAATGTATTGTAACTCCACATAATATCCTTAATTTTACTGAACTGAATAATTCTTCAGCAGAAGATACATTTTTTATTTTTTGGTTTATTTGCGTATACAGATTTATATGTTTTGTATACATTTTTATTATTTTTACTATTTCTATTTCTATTGGTTTTATTATTTCTGGTATATTACAGGAAATTAAAAAATATTCAGAAATAGAATATTTAAAGGATCTGATACTTGGAGGAGTTCTTGGGATATCTCAGTTAATTAAGTATACGATTGATAGAAACAATTTTTATATTTATATCATGCGTATACCACGTAAGAATATTTATTCATCTCTTTTATATTCTGTAATTATTATTAGTAGTATAGGTATTGTACTGGGGATTATTATAAGCATACTTTTTAATAGTACAGAAACAACTGAGATAGTATTAAAATCAACAAAACATATGGTAGAATTAGGAATATTTACATCTATTATGCAAATTATAGAGGTGGTGGGGATATCATTATGTATTTTAATTTACCACAGGACAGTTATATACAGTGACAAGTTTAAAAGAAGAATTATGGGGATTGCATTATCATTAACTATGTTTATAATTTTATTATATGGATGGTTTGTGTACTATTCAGTGATTAATAAGGATATTTCTTATTTGTTATCTTTTTAGTGGTGGGTGGATTTTATTTCAGTAGTAATTGTAAAGGATTTATGATGAGCAAGTGTTAAATTAAGAAATTTTAATGTTTTATTTAGTGCGATGTACTTGTATAAGAAAGATTTAATTTTTATAATATATGAACTTATTATTATTAGAAGAAACACTAAATATTTAAAGATTTATTGCTTATTTCATATTACCACATTTTTATCTTTTTTGTTTCTTTTTTCTGGGGAGTTCTTCAGATTCTTCTTTCTCATCGGACACAACAAAGCTATCTTCTTCTGAGCCACTTGCATTGCTGTAGGATAGATCTTCTTCTTCCTCCTCCTCATCCGATTCTACTAAATCTTCATCTGTAATGAATTCTTCGTCATCATCCCCATCAGACTCTTCTGTTGTGTTTAGATCAACTGCGTCGTCATCTGGGTCTTCATTCTTCTCATCATTTGCGGCCTCTCTGCTGGGTTGCAGAATTGCCCAGGCACCTCCCTCGTAAAATGCCATGGGGTCATCAAGGACACTTTTCAAAACGTTATTCCACTGTATGTTAACCTTTGTCTCAGTAAAGCATATGTTCTTTGAGTCAAAGAAGTCCATAAGCCAGGGCACTGACATAGCAGAGACACCGTGCACGTGAACAGGCACTTTTGTTTTATCCTTCAGCACAAAGACCAGATCAGAAGTGGTAACACCAGAAACTCTTCTTTCAAAGTTCAGAATTTCTATGTCCTTAAAGGGCAGGACAAAGAAGGGGAACTCTGTTAGATTCACCAAGCACTCTGAGGTGGGCTGAATAAAAACGCTCTGTCTGTGCGGGACACCAAAGAATCCTTTAGATATGGGCTCTTCCAGAATGATACGGGACTTTTCAGAAACGCACATGGCAAAGTCGTGGAAGGCATCGTTAATTTCTTCTCTGATTCTCTCCTCCTCTTCTTCTGCGTATATCTCGGCATCTTCGCCAATTATTCTGTTTCTTGTTTTCCGGGTATCATGCACTGCGTTTGCCACACAATCTCTAAAGAACTGTATATCAGAGGTTTTCTTTTCTGCAATTGTCATGGGGGTGTGCAATTTAAAGTGGAGAAGACTCGGAGACTCCGCCACACCGTGTTGTAAGAACATGTGCTTTATCTTAGAGAAGAGGATATCTACATTTCCTGCCTGCCTTGAGTGGTATCGAAGCCCGTTTTTGTGCAGCTCGACTGTGTTTGCCACATTCTTTTTTGTACCCATTCTGTGATCACACCGCATAAAAACATTCTGTAGTGTTTCCACTCTACCTGCAATCTCCTGCAGATCTTCCTGCTCTCCTTCTTCTATCTCCTCCTCTGTTTCCTCTTCTTCTTTCTTGAGGTTATTTATTTCCTTCCAGGCCGTCATTACGTTCTCTTGTGTGTCCTTTATAACCAGAGACAGTAAGTTGTTTGCGCTGGTGGGCACGTCCCTATCAGGCTGGTAGAAAGATATTTTCAAGTATCCTATTCCATCCTCAATGGTTTTTGTTGCGGTTTTAATCACATCGATGTGGAAAGGGACAGCTGCACCAAATACAGGAATAATTACACTGAATGCCCTTCTGTCCACCTTTATAATAGGAGTTCCACGTGGTATAAGAGTTTCTTTCTCGTAAGAGATAGTCTTTTCGGCAGGTTCTTCAACTATCTCCTCTTCTGGCGCCTCTTGCATTTTGTAGAAGTTTAGCTGCTCTTCAATCAACTCGTCCATTAACTGCTTTTGATGCTCATTTATCTCATTGGCCCTCTCCAGTTCTTTGTCTCTGTTACGCAGTCTTCTTCCAGAAAGGGTTCTTTTTGTCTGCTCTACCGGCTTTTCAAAGATATAGTCCATTACATTCATGCTAAATGGTGTAAGCAGCCTGGGCACGCCCTGGTCAATCATCACAACATTATCCAGATGAATAGTGCCAGATCTGTCATCCTCATCTATCATTTTTATTAAGTCATAGAACCCAACAGACACGATAAAAACAGAGTTGCCCTGTATTGGCAGATTCTCTAATAGCTCTGGAGAAAGCCCCTCCTCAGGCCGAATCCCAATGCTGGGGCCTATTTCTATTTTCATTTTATGCATCAGTTCGGTGTGATATTTTGGATCAACTACTTCATCAAATCGCTTCATTGTTTCTTCTTTAATCTGCTTCGGTGTTTTCCCAGGTGCTATGTTTTTAATAACATATTTCATGAATCGTAAATTATATGCCAGGACATCCCTGCTCTTCTTATTAGGATCAACTAAAAGAGTTCTTCCAATGTGTGAACAGTGCCCCTTGTATGCAACCCATAAATAATAACTGATTATGTCAAAGTACAGAAGCTGTTCGTTATACGCATTAATAAACTCACCCTTTGCTGTTCTTGTTTTCATATACTGCCCTCCACTCTGTATTACTGGCTTAAAGCAAAGTTCAATGTAGGACTGGTCCAGTTCACTGGGAAGCTTCTTTATCTCTACTTCCAGAGCTGCTTCTATTTGTTCACTCAGCTCCTCGTGTATCACTCTGTCGTCTGTTTTTAATATCTGTCTAATCTTCCCCTCTAAAAGCAAGGACATCTGTGTTGCAGAGAGTGCAGCCAGTTCCATTAAATCTTGCTGCTTCCTATCCTTCTTCACAAGTGCATTTTCAATGCTTTTTGTTATGTCCTGCGTCTTAAAATTACTCTCCCACTCAGTCACAAAAGACCCTCTGTCCTCACTCAGGATGCCTAAAACCTTATCGCCAGTCACTTCCTTTATGCTATTGATTATTTCTGGCTGATTTGACATGTCCTTCAACCGGCTTAGTGTTCTGATATTAACTGTGTCTTTCAGTTTTTCAAGTATAAAGCACTTTTTTATGCTTGAAACAGCAATTACTTCAGTTCTTCTGATGATTAATGAAGTAACCGGGAATTCATACCCTAACAGATAAAAAAACATGGCAGAGTTGATTCCGTATGAAAAAGTACTATCTCTCTCCCCGAATGTAATCATTAACCCATCCACGTCTTCTGGAAGTGCCTGAATAATATTTTCCATTCTCTCCTTAAATGTCTTGCAGTCAAGCTCTACCTTTGCCATTAAGAAATAAAAAGAAATCTCAAAAATAATTTAAATAAGAAAGCAGCACAGGGAAAGAATCCAAGGCATTAAAAACAAAATAAATTACTGTACAGTGTACAAATAAAGGATCAAATACATGTCTTATACACAACCCGATATAACCCCAAATGATTGATATATTTAGGTTATATTTCTATAATAACAGAATGTTTAATAGAAATAATTTGACATAAGAAGTATTCTGTTATACAGGAATATTCTATGAATAATTAAATATTTCAGTTTATTTATAAATTTGCCACTTTGGGTTATATTCGGGTTATTATAAACAACCTTCTAGTTATATTTCATTTATTAATATTTATGGTAAATGCTCATTAATAATATTTTTATAAAATATTTTATGATTGAAAGCATTGCACTAAGAAAGTTCGCAGTTTCGTATTTTCTGGTTCATCCAACAAAGCCACTTTGTAATTTGGTTAACAGAATTACTACAACGATAAAAAACAGATTCTTTATAGGGGAAGTGGTTTTTATTAAGAACAAAGAATTAACTGGTCAGATAGTAAAAATTACCAAGAAGGGCTACATAGTAGAGATACACGATGATGAGACGGGAAGTACTCCGCAGAGAGAGGAGATTTTAGCACAGGATTTATTAAGGAAAGACAGTGCTACAAAAAACGAAGTACTGTTATTTATATTAAGCATAACAAAGGACACTCCTCTTGGGCGTATAGTTGCAAATAATATTATACAAGAACTTGGGATATTTAAAGGGCAGAAGCCAATTATAAAGCAGGTGGAGAAGGCTACTGAGCAGCCGAAGGTAGATAAGAATGCATGGTTAACTCCGCCTAATCAAGAGAAAGAGAAGGAGAAATTAAAGGAACTGTCTGAGATAGAGGAGGCACGAGTACAGAAAAAAACAGATCAGATATTATCGATATATTCAGAGAAATGGGAGCATTCATCTATTTCTACACACAAATTATACAAAAAGGTTATTTCTTTGTATAATGGGCTGAATATTTTCTGTGAGTTTTTAAAGACTAAGGAGATGTCACTAGAAGAGTTTATATCTGCAGTGTTTGCAGAGAAAGACACGCCTCGCTTGGTAGATATATTTTCAAAGCTTTTAAAGGCAATTTCTCATGAGAGGAGAAAGTCTGGTAAAGAAGGGCTTAAGGATATGTTACACATTGCATCAAATATGATATATGAAAGCGAGCACATGAAGGAAGTACTGGACATGATTACTATCGCAGGAGAGAAAAAAGAAACTGGGTTTAATAGGATACAGTGGTTTGCAGGAGATGCCGCACAGAAAACCTGGCTGGCGTACATTAAAAGCTTTGTATACGATATAATGAACATATATGACATAAAAGTAAAGACAAACGAGTTCATGCCGTACACTCCAACCAAAGCAGAGAAAACAGAGAAAGTAATTGAGTCTTTAGCAGTAGATAGATTATTAATGATTTCATTTATGTTTGAGACTATAATACTTGGTGTCCGATTCAGAACGTATTATGACACATTGCTAGAGGAGTACAAGGAAAAAGAGAGGGAGCGGCTTTCTCTTGTGCAGGAGGTAAAAAGACTGAAGGGAGAGGTACTGGTAAATGAAGGAGCAGATGAAGTGAAAGAACAAATTGAAGAAGCAGAGAAGAAGTTAGAAGAACTCAACACAGAGTGCAAGCCCGAAGCTATTAGAAGTGGTATATCAAAGTATGGAGATATTAATTTTATACTTGTAGATGGAAAGTTAGTTTATGAGTATAATGAAGCCTTCTTTATAATACAGGAAGACAAGTGGGAGTCTTTTATATCACTGTTTGATATGGATAAGAAGAAAGACTTGCAATTTGTAGAGACAGTAAAGAGGTATTTAAGAATATTTCAGTAAGTAAAAGTGTGTATAAGTAATATATGTCTAATATACTCCAAAAAATACTTTATGATATCCAGAAATAGGAAAAGCGAGAGTATCTTTATTGAGTATATCTGCCATCGGGTGTTAATACTAATGATCTATCTAATTGTTTCATGTTCATAATGCTTTTAATCTTACTAAGTACATTATTGAATGAGTCGTTTCCTCCTATAAACCTTCCATTTATAAATATCATAGGGAATGTTTTATGGCCATAGTTGCTGTACGTTATTTCTTTCAACTTTTCCAGTAGAGGTGCATGATTTACCTCACTGATTGTCTGAAGAAGGTTTGAATAATTTAGTCTATTAATCGTATTTAGAAATTCAACGCAAAATGGGCACGAAGTTTTAATTGCTGCGAAAATGGGTGTGCCCAAGATTAAGGATTTGAAATGCTCTTTTACATCCCCAGATACTTCTGCCATAAATAAATAAAAATATAATTGTGTTTATATTCAAGAGGAGAGTCTTTTTATAAAAATATAAAGTACAGCAAATACCAGAATTAAAAAATTTAGAATGTATCAGAGGGTATATTAAGTACATTATACAGTATAAACAAGTGATATAATCAGAACAATCATTATCACGATCTGAAATATATTTAAAAATCAAATCATACAATTTATGTGCATAACCTGAATGTCTTATATGGTATATTAGATTTAGTGCAAGGCACTGTAATCTAAGATGTAATTATGTACTGGGAATTGAACTCTCTGACAAATTGTGACGTGTGTGAAGTATATTTACAATAGGCATAAGTGTTTATTAGTCTTTATTATAGTGAATATTTATTTATTTGCAACAAACTGTTCTAGTACTTCTGTGGCAAGCAGTGATATATCTGGCGCATCAGATGAGATGCATAGAATTAGCTGGGACATAAACACTTTTGATTTAGGAACAGGGAGTTTTCTATCTATAATCTGCTGTAATACATAAAGAATGGCCTGCCTCTGGAAAAACGAGAATTTGACTCTTTCTACTCGGATGCATTCATTATAATTTTGGAGGCATCTGTCGATCCAGTCATCTGAGTATTCATTCAATTCATGTTTAGATGCAAGAATATGACACAGAGTTTTTGTTGCAGATAAGTGCAGGATGTGCAGGTTTTCTTTAATTGTGAACTCCCAAAATGCCATAACAACTGTGTACACCTCAACCACTTTTTCTCCTTTAAGTATTTCTGTAAGCATTTCCAAAAACACAAGGTGGTCTTGGATTCCTCTTTCTTCTTCCTTGAGCCGGTGTGGGTCTTTTCTGGGCACATCAGGCATAGCATCAACTGAAGCGTTAGCATCTTCTGGTGGAGGAAGTCTAAAAATTTCTCTGGATATGAGTGAAAGGTGGCCTAGTGACTCAGTAGATACTTCTAGCTGAAGTATTTTCTGCAGACAGCCTATAGCCCTATGCCAGCAGTGCATATATGTTTCTTTTTTCTTGTGGTACAGAAGAAGAGTATCTATGGACTTTCTGATTATTTCTGTTGGCTGTGGTTCTGTATGACTAAGCAGTTCATTTTCCAACCTCTCTATGCACTGTATAATAAACTGTTCAGACAGTCTTTCAGAGCGCGTTCTTGGGATTGCTATCCACTCCAGAAGAACCTTTATTCTAGAAATACGGCAGGTTTCATCTCTTAATGATTGAATTGTTTCAAATTCCAGGAAAGTAAGTGTTCCTGAGTCTTCAACTGTATTATTATTTAGCAAGTGTGTAATGGTTTTGAAGAATGTTACAGACATTTTAGTCTGTACTTCTTCCGGTCTAATTTTTTTATAGGCCTGCTTAAACATTTCCACAAGTGTCTCAAGAGATTCATCTGGCTGTGTGTATATAAAGCAAATATCCGATATGGTTGAAAATAAAGACACGCTGTACTTTGTTGGCAAAGAAATCTGCAGCCCTGGTGTAATGGCAGAGATCACTGTGCCTTTCATATACGGATCGGAGAAGAATCTAACAAATATCCTCCCGATATATCTCCACAGCGAGTAGAATCCTTTATACTCCTTTATTTCCCCGAAATAGCTAAAAATTAGGTTAGACACACCAAAAATGATTTTTTTGGCACTTTCCAGTGACCTGGCCGTGTTTACATCATCTGTTGTATACGGCTGGAATGAGCAGCCACCTACTCCGCGGCACAGACATTTTTCTTCAAATGACAGATAATCGGAACCACTTGAATTTTCATCGTGTTCGCCTGAGTAAATTTCTTTTTCTTTAGTGTACACTGCAGCAGAGAGCAGTCTTTTCAGGAATGTCTGGATAAGAGGCTCCCACATAAGAAGATTCACTTTTTGACAGAAATATATAGTCTCAAATGCTTGCACTATCGCAGAGTCCCTTACATCATCTCTTTGATCATACGCCACACTGCACAGAAGACACATTGTAGCATAAAATATTTCCATTTGTACTTGCCGTGAGATTCTCTCCTTTTCTATGTGTACGTATTCTGTTATGTCTCTAATAGAAAACAGTGCCTGAAATGATATGTTGTCCTCTATTATAAGCTTACAGCACATGCAAAGCAGTTGGTGTGTAGATACAAGGCATTCATCTGGTAAGTACATTAGCATGCGATCTGTTATTGTCTTAATTGTTTCAAAAACAATTCTTCGTATTTCCTCTTCCTCTGCTGCGTCAGACAGTATTTTGTAAATACTCACCCACCCCATCCCAAAGGACGAGCCTGCCTGCTTTATTCCATCAGATATTGACTGCATAATAATTTTAGCAAGTGAAATGTCTTGGCTCAGATTCTTTATCTCAGAAAATACCAGAATAATCTCTGGAAGAATTCGAACGTGCACGCCCTCGCCCAATCCAGCTGAAAAATACTCGCTTAAGAAGTACACAACCTGTTCTTCTCGTACTAATTTTGAACTATCCATGCCTGGCACAAAGATTTTCTTGATATACGATACTACTTCGTATGGGAAATCCTCTATTTTATGGCCAACTGATAAAAAAAGATTCATAAAGCGGTCTAATGGAATATTGCATGACCCGCACACTCCCTTCAGTGCACCTTTCAAACACTCAGAGTTACACTCCATCAGCCGGTTAACTGAAACATTCCATGAGTCTAAATCTGGCGCACTATCCTGGGCATAAGAGGACAGAATAAAAAACTCTCCCCATGTGCACAGTATATCTGCATAACAGAAGGTAAGCTCAAAAGCAGAAATAAAAAATATCTTTGGGTATTTCTCTGCTACTGTGTACACTGACTTAATCACAGAATTAAACACAGAAATATTTCCCTGTGCAATACTTGCAGTATGAGAAATAGCCCCCTTTATCATTGCAAGTGGTTCTTCTGGCCAACCCTCAGATGAACATGTTATATTTTCTATAAGGTAGCTAAAATATGGAATAAACAGTTGCAAAATATCTGAATCTTCTAATCTACCTGCAATATCAATAATCCTTGACATTTTAAGTGATTTGTTCCCAACTATTTCTGTTTTTTCTTTTGCTTGTATTAGCTTAAGTATTTCTTCATTTTTTTGTATCCCAGTGATGTCTAACAAAAACCGTTCGTTATTAAGGCCAAACAATTGTTCTGATAGGTATTCGCTGCTCTTAAGACACGCCAGAACTATTTCATATGGCAGAGCGTACAGAAATTCTCCTTTGAGTAATTCTGTTTCTTTCTGAATTTCTAGTTGACATATTCCCAAGAGAATACTTATAATGTTATGGTTACTCTGAACAATATTTGAAATTATTTGCATAAAGATTGCAAAGGATACTTTAGTCCTGTTAATATCAACTCCAGATATCTCCTTCATTAAGAAATCTATAATCACTTCTAGTAACTCTTTGCCTTCTGTTGTATTCAGTACATTCTTTGCTGTTTTACTTGACATACTAACCAATAACAAGTCTAAACCAAATAGATCTGGCTCTTTTGAGAGGCTAATCAGCACACTTACTACCTTCAAGCAGTCTGCTTCTGCAGACTCCTTTAAGCTTGTATCGCACTCTTTAAAGCCACAGATAATTTCGGGTCTTTCAAAAATACACTCAATCACATAAGATACTGTTATTTTTGCAGTAACTGTGTCTTTGTACTTTTTTATCAGACTAATCCCTATTTTAAACAGTTTAAAAAGGTTATCACCTTTCACTAGCAAAGGATCCTCTATCAGTGGCTGTAACATCTGCAGTACTCTTAGCTGTACTTCAGAGTGTGCCTCTATTTTTTTTTCGAACTCTTCCAGAATATAAGGAATGAACTCTTTAGATATGCTATTTCTTGTAATGAGCTTATGCAGAATTTGAAGAGACTGAAAGAATAATCTGTTTTTGACAGGAATCTCCTGTATTGATTTTACAAATGGCAATTGTGCCAATTTCTTCTCTTTTACATACTCATAAAATTCCTTTTCCTTCCCTTGGTACTCCTCTATTAGTGGCAAGGCAGTTTGCACTTCTTTTTTTAGTGTGCTGTTCTTCTGTGAGTGCTCTTTAAGTATTGCAAGTAATATATTGTTCATTTCTGTCTGCATGCTTTAAAAGTTCTGTTGGGTAAACAAAATATTGAAAGTTTATTTTCATTCTGGTAATAAATGAGCACTAGAAAGTTGAAATTATCTAACTGTAATTGAAATATGTGCTTATAATTCGGCATATAGTGATATTTTTATGGTTATGTGCTTTTATTGTTAGAAATAGTGTATAAAGTATTATAATGCAATTTGGATTTTTAGTGTATGTTATTGTTATTATAAGCCTCTTCTAGTGAACAGTCCATTATATATGCGCAATAAACCGATATGTACACCCCAAAATCATGGTAGTTGTATAATTTACCTGTCTATTTTAAATGTTGGCATAAAATACTCCTGGTTTTAAATTTATTCCCTCCATGTGTGCTTGCATCTTGTGCACGTATTAAATATTGTCATTGGTTCATCTGCACTTCTAGTTTGCATTTGGTAGTAATTTGCTTTAGTGAATGAACACTCTGGGCACAGTGCATTTCTCTCTGGTAGTTCTTTAGGCTTAGACTTCTCAATTAGTTCTACTTTCGGAGTTAATTTCGTCTTTGTCCGAAATGTACCAGGAATCTCTTTTCTGTAATTGCACTCCTCGCAGAGAAAAGTACTTCTAGAATTAACTGTTTCCACTGATAACCTGTTCATGCACTTATTACAGAACGGCATTTCTCTGTTTTTTTAAAATATTTTCTATAAGTCTTCTAAAGACTCTTTCCACATTTATTTTATTCTTGGCTGATGTATAAATTATTTCTATTTCTTTATTAACAGTGTTCTGCTGGTTCTCTGATATATTTTCTGTATTTGCCATAAAATCAAATCCTGGGTCAGTCCGTGGTATTTCAGGATTATGCTGTGTTATTTGAATGTACTTTGTCTGCTGAGTCTCTTCCTGTGTTATGTCATCTGCTTTATTTGATGCACATATAAATTCAGTATCTTGTAAAGTGGGATGACTCACTGTGTTTTCAATGATTTTCTTATACTCATCTGTACCATACGTATCATACACAAAGAGTACACCATCTACTCCTGAGTAGTACGTATCCCAATATGCCCTGATAGATTTCTGTCCTCCTATGTCTAATATTTCTATTTCGTACTTGTTTTTCTCCACTTCCATTTCTGTATTTACTATTTGGTACCCATACGTTGGCTTTATGTCTGCTATGTTCTGGTTTAAATATGCCCGTAATAAAGATGTCTTCCCCGCATTGTCCGGCCCTAATATGACTATTTTTAGTCTTCTGTCTTTCTCTAACACTTTCTTTATTATAGCAGCAAACCTCATCCCGGTATAAAAATAGAAATATTATGAATGGACTCATTTGGTATTTTTTTGCATTTTCTGTCTGTGTTTGCTATTAGCCGTACGAGAATATTATTCCTGTTGATATTATTTTAATTTTTACTGAGCTATATGAAGAGTTTAAAAATAGAAAGTGCATTTCTGTATGTTAAGCTTGCTTCATTACTAAGAAAAACAAAGGCGTCCTTTATAACAGGCGCAGGTATATCCACCTCAGCAGGCATTCCTGATTTTAGGTCTGAGAATGGTTTGTTTAAAGAAATTAAGAAGAAGTATGGGTATTCTGGCGAGGATATTTTTACTTATTCTATAGTGCACAGCAATCCTGAGCTAATGAATATATATCTAGAATTAATTTCACAGCTTAAGCAGTCTTTAGAGCAGATTGATCCCACGCCAACACATAAAATGCTTGAATATGTTCAGAGGAAGTACAAATCAACAATATATACGCAGAACATTGATGGGTTAGAGAGAAAAGCAGGAATTATTCAGAATGTACACTATTTACACGGGAGTTTAGACAAGTTACTATGTACGTACTGCCAGCATAAGACAGACTATACTCTTGTGTATGATTTAGTTAAGAAAGAAGAGTGTTTTATGTGTATAGAAAGAAACACCAAGAGAAAATCAGAGGGAAAGAGGAAGTGTCCTATAGGCATTCTTATGCCAGATATTGTACTGTATGGAGGACCGCACGATACATCAAAAACAGCCGCTTCTGTTATTCAAGAAAAAAATACGTCGCTACTTATTGTTATGGGCACTAGTTTAAAGGTTTACGGGGTGAAGAATCTTTTAAAGACGCTTAGTAAGACTGTAAAGGGAAATGAAGGAATTAGAGTATACGTAGGAATTGAACCGCCAGCAAAACCCATGCAGGTTTATTTTGACTACTGGATAGAAGGGAAGTGTGATACATTTTCAGAGTTATTAATGGATGCAATTAATGGACCACTACTTCTTAAGCAGATTCAAAAGGCAAGTGGCATGAATGGGATTATTGATTCTTTAAAAAGACTTTCCATTGATCCATTTAATGATCCCAAGATAGCGCTTAGAGCCATAAGCACGTCTAAAGATGTAAAGAGTTAATGATTTATCTGATGAATAGTCTTATTATGTATATTTTCTCAGTAAAACTCCCGTGTATTTTGGCTTATAGTATAAATGTGATAATTTGTATTTCACTTTCGGGCTATAATATAATGAATTCTGCTGTATAATTATTTTCTGTATTTCTACTGTGTTTAAAGTGCATTTCAGATTTTGAACTCAATGTATTTTTTAGTTATTTCTGCTGTGCAGTGGCGTTTGTTTATGGGTGGAGCTGGTTCTAGATTAATTTCTGTCTTTTGTAAATATTTTATGAATCTGCGGTTTAGTATAGATGCACTGCAGATGCTGATTGACTTTAAAGCGTCTAAAGATATTTACCCAAGCAGGGAATTAATGACTCTTTTTAGTGATTTACTACCCATCACCAGTGACTCTTGTTTACCTTCATTCTTAGCAGAGTGTGCGTATGAGTACTTTTACTGCAGCAAGCAAGAGGGCGTTCCAACGAGAGAGGAGTTTTTGGAGTGGACTAAAAACTGGATGGAAAGCACCAGTGCACGCATTTTACGAATAAGTCTTCCCAGGGACAAGTCGGTGGTAGATGAAGCAGGCACGCACTCTATCACCACAGGGAAACAGGAGAAGAACTTTCTTATTATAGATAGCAAGGAGATTAGCAAAAACAGTCCAGTGCACAAGTCCAGAAGAGAGTTTATACAAAATCTAAAAAACAGGCAGAAAGAGACTGACCCATCGATAAAGAGAGTGCGCATGTCTATGTCTGAGGATATTTTAGAGGCAAGGAAGGAAGTGCTTAAAATCACACGCACACCAAAACCCCGTATAAAAGATGTACCTATTGAAAGCAGCAAGTCTATAAAAAGCAATCTTCTTTTCTTTATGACCAAAAGAAGCACTGAATGCACGGATAAGGCAAGTAATCTATTTATAAAGTATCCAGGAATATTTTATGGAAATATTTCCACTATCCGGCGGTGCAAAGAGATCAGTATCCCCACAAGAATGGTATTTTATCAAATACACGGCCAAATCCGCCCACCATTTTATGCAGTGAAGGACTCTAAAAATGCTTTAAACCCCGCCCACACAAGAAACTCCTGCAGAAAAATACTTCCTGAGGAAGAGTATTTATACGACTCAGAAGAAGAATGGGTAGAAGAGGATGGGGAGAGCATTGACAAAGATTCATCAGAGAGTGATGAAGAAGAGTCTGAAGATGCCGAGTGGGTAGAGAAAGACACAAACGAACTGTTTTTTGGAAAAGGACAATTACCGCGTATTGACTATCCTGTATTTACTGTACGTATGGTTGATGAGGCCAAAGTAGAGTAGACAAGTTCTTATATCACATAAATAAATTACTAAATTTCAGACTAACTCTGAATAAATAAGATTTTAAACTATATCCATACATAATATTATAAGTAATTAATGCATATAATAATTCCATTCTCATTTAGTATTATTTACTCTGTTCTGGGAGTATTTCCTCTAAATCTTCATAACCCAAAGCCCAATTAAATATTTATTAAGTTTACATAGTAATAGTCTTACGGACTTCTTCTTTAAACCAGCACTGTATTAATATTATTAAACAGCCAATGTATCTTATTAAAGAACTCCAGGCAAACAATGCACGTACACTTATTAATAATATTTAGAATTATTCTCGTGCTCCCTCCTAATACGCTGTATACCTTCCACACTGTCCATATCCTCAGTTATCCAGTTTTTTAAATCATCCCATCTGCATGGCTTTACTGTCAATTGGCACCACCATTCTTGAACTTCCCCCGTTGCTTCTTTTATAAACATAGCAATTCTCTCTGCATCTGTCTCAGCATTCACTTCTACATTATTAAGAAATGACGATATGAGAGATTTTCTTCCATACTCTCCTGTATATGGAGAAGCAGCCACCCATGACTGTTCTTCTTGCTCATTCACAATTTCTTCATCTGTGTTAGTATACGCATTATCCGTGTCTGCTGGTTTTATCTTCTTTTTTCCTTTAGTAAAGCTCTTAATCGCTGTTTTTATCTTCTTCCAAACACTAAATGTACTTTTCCTTGTTTCAGCCATATCTTATTTTTATTTTCTGGGTATTTTAAATCTTTATTAAGATCTAAAATCAATCCCCACGCACAGATATATTCTCATGCATAATATATAACACAATGCATTAAAAGTACTTTATACATAATTATTTACACATACCAAACACTATCCACACAATGTGTACAATATAAATTTTTATACGCTATGTATCATATGTATTATACACCCACATTACTTATTACACATTCTACAAATAAAAATGTACGCATTTATTTTATATTACACACTGTATAATAATTAACCAGAATTTATTACACATTCATCATAAATATCTCATTAGAATATTTCACAATAATTACACCACCGTGCATTACTTTATAACCCATCTGCTAAAACTTAAATTTATTACACACTGTCTTTTATATTTTAAGTTACACCCGTTTCTTTTTTTTATTATAATGGAGTCAACCGCAAAGAATCTGGCACAGCCGCACATTGACTCGTACAATCGGTTCATTAGCACCACACTACCAAAATTAACCCATGCATTCGAACCAGTCAGTGCAACGGACAAGTCGAATAATTCAATCACAGTACTGCTGGAATCAATCCGCATTGAAAAACCAAGCATAAAGGAGACCACCGGAAGGAAAGTCCAAAAAAGGAGCATCCTGCCGTATGAGTGCAGACAGACAGTGCAAACATACCAATCAGAAGTACTCACTGACGTATGCATAAGCATAAACGGAATCGCAAAGACCCAGGAGGTCTCCCTGGGATTCATTCCCGTCATGGTCAGGAGTGACTTATGCTACCTCTCCAGTATGTCGGATACTGAGCTAGTACAGGCAAAGGAGGATCCGGCTGAGATGGGTGGCTATTTCATATACAAAGGATCGGAGAAGATATGCCGGCTACTCCAGATACAGAAGAAGTACGTCCCATTCGGTATTTACAGGCCGAGTATGTCCAAGAAGAACAAGAACATGTCCGAACATGCCGTCTCGTATAAATCAACCAACCAGTTCGGGCAGAGCACTTTATTCTCCCTCCACTACTTCACTGACCACTCAATCAAAGTACGCGTACGCCTCCTTAAAAGAGAGTATTACATACCACTGCACTTAGTATTAAGGGGCCTCTCAGGGAAGACAGACCAAGAGGTAAATGACTCATTCAGGGCCGTATTAAAGGATGCTGATTTAATGGAGTATGTGGACTTACTCCTTCAGAGTTTCTCATTGCACGGGGAGTATACGCAGAGGGAGTGCCTGGTGTACTTAGGGAACAAGTTCCGGTTATACTATCAGATGTCACACACTGAGATGACGATGCAAGAGGCTCGGTTAAAGAAGTCCGCCAAGAACTGGGAGTACACTACGACCGCACAGGGTAAGTCACCCTCTGAGGTAGAGTGTGATATAAGCAAGTATCAGGACTGTCTTACGGATGAGGAGGTGGGCGTACGGTTCATTAACGACACGATCGGATCGCATACGAAATCATTTAATGACAAGTACAATTTGCTGATCCTGTGCGTATCGAAACTATTCCAGCAAGTATCCGGCCGGGTCCCTTCTGATAATGGGGATGCCCTGTCATTCCATGAGACTATCACGATCGGAGACACTCTCACGGAGATAGTCACTGATAAGGTACAGGGCATACGACGGTCATTCCGGAACGAGTTAATATCCTGTATACACTACTTATCCATATCTGTTAATAATCCGACCGATCTTAACAGGATCCTTAAGCGGTGCTTTACTCCATTCACTCCGAGTGTTAACCGACTGCTCGCATGCGGTGTCCTGTCGTTTACTAATTTAAGTGCGTACGCCATGATGCAGCAAGCCGGGTTTACGATCGTAGCTGAGCGGCTTAATTACATGCGGTTCTTCAGTCATTTACGGAGTGTCCACCGGGGGTCTTTCTTTGAAGCCATGCGCACGAGCACTGTAAGGAAACTTCTCCCTGAATCCTGGGGGTTTTTATGTCCTGTACACACCCCGGACGGATCACCCTGTGGGTTATTAACGCACTTATCCCATGCGTGTGTGGTATCCCACGAGACTTATGCCCTCCCCGTGCACGAACTCATTTCGTACGGGATGGTTCATTTAATGAGCACGCTCACGGGCGTACCTGTACTCCAAAATGGCCGTGTCACAGGGACTGTCTCCCCGGACCGGGTCGGGTCATTCATTGACTCGCTCAGGAGGAGGAAATTACGTGGTGACAAGTTCAAGTACGCTGAGATAATTTATAATGGGGATACGCTCAGCATTATTAACACTCCGAACCGGTTCGTACGCCCGCTGGTTAACATAAAGGAGGGCTGCATTGAGTACATCGGATCGAGTGAGCAGATGTACGTTCAGGTTGAGGGTCTGGCCCAGTGCACAGCGGGTGTATCTGACAAGATCACTCGGATGTATGCGTGTAATAGCAATCCTGCCATGGTGTACAGTGCCCCCACGCACCGGGAAGTCTCCCCCACGCACATGCTGAGTGTAGTGTCTGGGAGCACTCCCCTGGGCAATTTCAATCCGAGTCCCCGTAATATGTACCAGTGCCAGATGGCGAAGCAGTCGATGGGCACCACTCCGCATACGCAGAAGTACCGGACTGACCAGAAAGTGTACTCATTGGACTATGTACAGACACCTACACTGCACACGAATTTATATGCGGAGTACGGCCTGGGGGAGTACCCGAACGGGAAGAACATCACGATCGCAATTCTTTCTTATACTGGGTACGACGTAGAAGATGCGGTTATTCTTAATAAAGCGAGTGTCAACCGCGGGTTCATGCGGGGGTGTGTCCTGAAGACGGAGACTGTGAACTTCAACGACTCGCCTGAGTTTGAGCTTGGCACACTTTCGTGTGGTGAGGGTCTGCCCGAGGTTGGCCAGCTGATCCCGGATCGGGGTGTAATTTACACGACCGTTAACACGAAAGTGTTAGAGGAGAAGGTTCATAAGAACAGTGCATCAGAGAGTATGCGGGTCAAGCACATTTCGGTGTACCAGGGTGCGGGTGGCAAGCGATCGGCGAACATAACTTTAAGGATCCCGAGGATTCCCACGATCGGGGATAAGTTCAGCAGCCGGCACGGCCAGAAAGGGGTCTGTTCTATCCTGTATGAGGATGAGGACATTCCATTCAGTGAGTCCGGGGTCACTCCCGATCTGATCATCAACCCGCACGCATTCCCGAGCCGTATGTCGATCGGCATGTTTATTGAGAACATTGCGTCCAAGGCGGGTTCTATCCTGGGTACGCCGATGGACGGCACCATGTTCAAGTACGGCGAGCACGGGAATCCTTCATGCAGTAGCCGTATAGGGAGTGCTCCCTGTCCAGAGGGTGGTGTAAGTGCGAGTGAGTATTTCGGGGCCATGCTGGAATCAGCTGGGTTTAAGAGGGGTGGTGGTGAGACTCTTTATTCAGGTGTCACTGGGAAGCCTTTATCCGTTGACGTATTCTTTGGTATTGTATACTACCAGCGACTGCGTCACATGGTCAGTGACAAGTACCAAGTACGCACGATCGGACCTATTGATCCTGTGACTAAGCAGCCGGTCGGGGGCAGGCGGCGTGGTGGAGGTATCCGGCTTGGTGAGATGGAGCGGGACGTGCTTATATCACACGGTGCATCTTCATTACTAGCCGATCGTATGCTTACGTGCAGTGACCGTGTCGTATTAAATGTGTGCAAGCAGTGCAGCACGCTTTCATTCTTTCAGAGCTGGATGTGCTCTGAGTGCAGGACGTCCAGGAATCTTATCCGTGCAGAATTTCCGTATATATTTAAGTATCTTGTAGCAGAATTAGCATCTGTTAATATTCAGTGCAAGATACAGATGGAGCGGGTAGAGGCATAATAAACAGAACTTATTACACCATGCGCATTATATTATATTAATATTTTATGTAAAATTTACACATTACATATTACAGTATGTGCAAAATATTATAACTTATTACACTATGTGTATTATATTATGTGAACTATGCATGATTTATTAAAAATAAAATATTATTTATTACACATTATATTATTATTTATTACACATTATATAAAATATTATAACTTATTACACATTATGTAAAATATTATTATTATTTATTACACATTATGTAAAATATTATAACTTATTACCTATAACTTATTACACATTATATTATTATTTATTACACATTATGCATAACTTATTACACATTACATCACAACTTATCATTACTTATTACACATTATGTATTATTTATTATAGCCCGATATAACCCTAATTATAATTCATTCATATTTTATATTACTGCATGGTTTATTATTCTGCTTTAATAAATACGCACAGTACAAAATTTTCATGCGTTAATTAGTAATTTTTCAGAGGTGCAGAAATTTTCATGAACTCACAAGTTATTGCACAGTTTATGTCACACGATGACACTCCCCTGGGAAGTGTACTACAACTACCCACAAGCATAACACTAGAATCCCTTAAAGTACTTCTACCACCAGATACACTTGACAGGGACCGAATGAGAATGTTCATCCACGGCTCAGAGATTATAACCACCCTTGGAGAAGCCCATAAGAAAGAGAAAGTTGAAAGTGAGGAGATACTCAAAATATACTGCTACCCAGACGACCCACCAAAGAAGACCCGTGCACCCGGGTACTTGGCATCTTCATGCTCTGGCCATACAGCAGCCATCTTAAGCGTAAAGCAGAGTCCATGCAAGCAGTACGTGTGCAGTGCATCAGGTGATGGTACGGTCAGGTTCTGGAGTGCATCCACAAAGACCCCGATTAAATCAGTAAAGTTATTCCAGCACTGGATCCAGTGCATTGAATTCTCACCCGACTCGAAATGGCTTGCAGCCGGTGCCATGAACGGAGGTGTGTCCCTGATTAGCATGGCGGACTTATCGGTGGTGTACTCCAAGAAGATCCACAAGGACGGTGCCACTTCGATCGCATGGCGTGCGGACAGTGAAATATTCGCGACTGCCTCCAGGGACAGCAGTGCCAGTGTGTGGAACACGACCGGGCACGTAAGGAGTACATTCCATGAGAAACCTGTCATATCCGTAAAGTATTTCGGTGACTATTTACTCTCCGCGGGCAGGGACACCACCATAAAAGTAACCGATGATTCGGGTTCTGTTGTACAAGTGCTTAGAGGGCATATTTTATGGGTTACTGGCCTGGCCGTGCACAATGGGAGTGATTTAGGGAGGTACTTAAAGAAATCAGCAGGTGCTGAGATGGGTGCAGGCAAGGGGTTCTTTGTAAGTATCAGTGATGATAAGACTGCTGTTATGTGGCGGCCTTCTTGGGTTAGTGATAATTCATGGAGTTTCCTGCCCGTACGTAAACTGACTGGTCATAAGGACGTACTGACGAGTGTAAGTATTTCATTAAATGGGGCGTACATATCCACATCATCATTTGATAAGACCGTTAAGTTATGGACATCTGTTAATGGGTATTTATCACACACGTTCAAGTCACACACGCTGTTAGCGTATCAGACTGCATTTTCTACCACAGGGAATTTACTTGTATCTTGTTCTGCTGATAAGACGGTTAAAGTGTACTCAGTTGAGAAGAAGACGCTTTTATCCGATTTTGTGTGCAAGGACCAAGTGTTTGCGATCGACATAAAGGACGGCATGATCACAGCCGGAGGGAAGGATAAATTAGTATATTTCTTTACATAATCATATAATAAAGTGCACTTATTAACCGATCGGATTGAATAGTTTAATATGTATACGATCGGACAGTGTATTAGTGCATTAATAAGACAGCCAGACAGACAGTCAGTATACTAATAAGACAATCGGACAGGCGGACAGACAGTCAGTATACTAATAAGACAATCGGACAGGCAGTGTATTAGTGTATTAATAAGACGGTCAGGCAGTGTATTAATAAGACGGACAGACAGTGTACTAATAAGACAGTCACTTATACTAACCCATACACAGTCACTGACTAATTCACTAATCCATACACAGTCACTGACTCATACGGTCGCTTATACACTGACTGACTCATACACTGTCTATCTGTCTATCTGACTGACTGACTGACTCATATACACTGTCTATCTGACTAACTGACTCATTCATACACTAACTTATACACTGCCTATTTATCTGCCTATCTGACAGACTGACTCATTCACTGACTGACTGACTAATTCATACACTGTCTATCTGTCTATCTGCCTATCTGACAGACTGACTGACTCATACACTGCCTGTCTATCTGCCTGTTTGTCGTCTATCTGTATATCTGGCTGTGTCTCGTTCATTTCTTATAATACGTTATACTTATACTAAATAATTTATTCTTTATTGTACACTAACCCGTTATAGTGCCCTTTATAAATCCACAATCTGCTCATTTGACTTTATGCTCATTTTATCCACTAGTCTCTTAAGATAACTTGTGCTCTGTGCACCTGCCTCCTTTACTTCATTAAATATTATACTTTCGATCCTTTCCTGTACGTCAGGGATTGATTCTATCACATGCTCACAGCTCTCCATAATTGATATGCATCCGTACCTGTCCTTATGTATAACTGTGGATATCATACTTATAAATGTATTCTTAAGTTCGGTATCTTTGGATATTATGTCTAGGCACAGGAGTACTCTGTTTATATTCTTATAATACATTACTGTATTAATGATGATCTGATTCTGTGCACTCACTGTGAGGGACTCCTTCATCTTTATGAATATTTCAAACCCATCAAACCCGGCCGTGTCCAGTTGCAAGGAGACTTCTTCAACTGTGCTCCATATGGAACTGACCACTTCTGTGTTTTTAAGTTTGAATGCCTCTGAGGTTATTAATGCCCTCATCCACTCCTTTACACTGTTCATCTCCACAATGGACAGTGACTTATTTGATAGTACCGATATAATGTACTGTAGTAATGAGATAACTGCTGTTGTTATGTGCTTAGATGGCTTATACTGGAACCCTGCTAGTACGTGCAGTAGAGTACTAAAGTGTGCTGATTCACAGACTGTGACCATCTCCTGTACGGGGATACCCCCCGTGCTTATAAGGGTTTCAAATAACTGTGATACGGTGCTGATCCTTTCTGACGTATTCGTAAGCGTAATGTATGCTAGTTTACAGAGTGACTTAGTCTTACCATCCTCTAACTTCTTCTGCAGGGTAGCTGCCATCTCCACCACCGCATTATCCGGGATGTTCCTGATTTCTTCCATAATTTCAGGGATCATTAAATCGGGGAAGATGTCTTTTTTGTCTTTTTTAGGCTCCTTCCCGAACGTGAAAATATTCCGAAAGAATCGCGGTGCATTCCCGGAGTCGTCCCTGTGCAGGGACAGTCGCTCGATCGCATCAATAAATTCCGGCCATAATTTGCATAGCAAGTACTTTAAATCCCCGATTATTTTAATTAATAAGTACGGGTCACGTACCATTCGCAGTGCACTCACCACCGTATCACTCATCCCCAGGCGTGCGCACACTTTTATGTACGCCTTTATTTCTTGTGGTGTCCCCCTGTGCGTGACTGTTTTACTGATACTGTACGTATTAATCATATAGTTATACACAGCCAGTGTACAGTTACTGCAGTACTTATACCTCTCACTGGGTGCCATGACCGTGTGTAAGTGTACGTCTGACTCGCACTGTTGCTCAGAGAACTCTATCTGCTCTGAGGATACGTAATTACTCTTCGGTACTTCTAGCTTTCTCTGTTTAATCTGTCCGTAGAGTGTCTCAATGTACTCTACATCCACATCCTTACACGTCTTCATGATTATCCTAGTAAACTCTTCTAAGGAGATCTTCTTGACCGTATTCACATTATGTATGCTTGTGTTAATGTAAATAACTGCCATTGCTATAGAAATGACCGTTTCACTGTCCTGCTTCTGGTCCTCAGAGTATTTCTTAGAGAATGCCGAAATTATCCTGTTTATTTTCTGTCCCTCCCCAGGGAGTGTAAAGCTCAGCAGGAACACTCGCAGGGCCGTGACTAAATCGTACTCTGAAAAATCGAATGACGAGCAGAACACGTCTAAAAATGCATCTGCCCCTTCCCTCCCCAGGCACTTCCCAAGCATCTGTAAATTTGTATCTGTATGCGACCGTAATAACCTACACGCACTCAGTGCAGGACTCTCCCTGTACCCGATCACTCGCATTAACTCAACTAACCCGTCAACCTCTCCTGTCTTATTAAACTCCTCTAATTCTACTTCTACTCTCTGCTTGTTACTTGCATGTACTTCTAAATCCCTTGATACGCCGCAGTAGGCACACTCCGACTTACGCCCAGGGTCCTTTAACAGCCTAATCAGAGGCAGCGTACTCTCCTCAGAAACCTTCTCAATCACACTACCAACCGTGCACTTACTGGTAATGCGTGTACCTACGTCTAAGAACAAGTACTCTAAAAAGGACTCCTTACAGAATATGGGGAATATCTCCGATACGGGGCCAGTCTCCCTCTCCATGTACGTCTGAAAGTAGAATGGTTCGTAAAAACCCTTCCCGTGCATCATTAAAACCAACTGGTTCGTATTCCTCCTTATACAGTCAAGTACGACCAGTCTTGATAGTACTTTCGTTATCCTCTGTGATGATAATAGGACCACCTCTAATAAAGCAGGGCACATAATCAACTTGTCCTGGTTGTCTAATAAACTGTGTATAAACCCAGGGTACTTCCCTAAGAACTCCCTGAACATACCCGGTATTAAATACCCACACTTTGTACTGGTAATGAATGACTTAGACATAAACAGCGTACAGAACACTTTAAAAATGCTTATCCTGTGATCGGGTGTGTCCACCACTTGTAGCATTAGCATAATTACCTTTAAGTATACAACGACTGCCCTCTCCACATTCTTCTCATTCTTCAAGAATTTCATCTTACCAAGCGACCCTGGGATCCTCTGCAAATCGGGTTTTATGCCTTTGTTTAAGAACTCTTCGAGTAGTTGGTGGAATACGTCTAATACGGCGTACTTCTCATTTGAGTGCAGTGTGTCGCACTGGAATAGTTCATTTATTGTGTTTAGTACGTATTCTATGGTTATATTCATATCCTGCTGTATATTCCTGTTCATTCTGTCTATTATCTCTTTTACTTCTTTATTCCCTTGGTGGGTGAGCTCTTTTAGTCTTATTGCTGTTCTGGTGAGTGTATCTTCTTCTTCATGGAGCATTATTTATTTTTTTGTTTTTTTATTAATACAGGCATATAAATAATAGAGTACTTTATTTCTTACACAATGTATAATAATAAATGTCATGGTGTGTGGCTGATTATACAATGATTTATAAATAAAGGATGTAAATAATATGGTGTTTATGTGTAGGTTGTTTTTGTGCGGCCATATGCCTGCGTACACACCAGAACCCGTTCGATCTCTGAAGTTAAGCGCGTGACAGCTTTGATAGTACTGCGATGGGAGACCGCGTGGGAACACAGAGTGCTGCACTTTTTATATTTACACGTGCCTGCGAGTGCCCGGTGCAAGTTTTTTGTGCACACTGTGTAATAAGTACTTTGTGTGTAATATGTTTTGTGCTTGTCCTGGATATCTTACTAATTGTGCACTATATCCTGCACATGCTTAAATATTTTAACCCACTGTGTAATAAATAAAATAAAACTCTTCATAGTTTATACACAGTACGTATTAATATTTAATAAAATTACAACTTTATACACAGTGTGTAATATATTTTATTTAAAAATTATTCATTACTTTATGCACATTGTGTATTATATTTTTATTACTTTATGCACAGTGTGTAGTATATTTTAATCAAGGATAATAAACATTCTATTTTTATAATTCTTTTATTACTTTATGCACATTGTGCATTATTTATTACTTTAACACTATCTATTACTTTATGCACACTGTGTAGTATATTTTAATCAAGGATAATAAATATTCTGTTTTTATAATTCGTTTATTACTTTATACACATTGTGTATTATTTATTACTTGAACACTATCTATTACTTTATGCACAGTGTGTAGTATATTTTAATTAGGGTTATATCGGGTTATCTTTCATTTTATGATCAAATAGTGTGTGGTATGAGTGTATCATTAGGATATATCCTATAATAATACATATTAGTATAAGTATAATAGTCACTAATCGTATAATGTACATAATATATGACACAGTGTACAATAAATTATAGTTATTTAATTTTATTAATAGAATATTCCATAATGAAAAATTAGTTTGACACTTAAAACAGAATTTCAAACAAAAATTGTACTAATTAATTATTACCATATAAGGAAATATTCCGTTATTACCATATATGGTAATAATTAATTAACACAAAAATACTCATTCATCACACAAATATTCAGGTTATTTCAGTACACTTCTCACTTTTTCAACAAGATCTTTCAATTTAGGATTATCCCGCCACTCCCTGCAAATATTTTTAATCCTCTTCTTGGCCTGGGATTTCTCAATAATATCCCTAAGTAATAATAATAGTCCTTCTACCACAGACTCCCTGCACTCATTCCCAATCAGCTCGCATACCTTTATAAATACCGTAAGCCAAGCACCCTGCGAATATTTTTCCAATACCTCCCTGAGTAAATTTATAATAAATAACTTATCTGAGACTGTCCCCTCCTTAGCCTGATCAATTAGTCTACTGAATATAACATGACCAATATCACTGGGTGGAGTGTACTCCATGATTATTTGCTTAATTGTACTGCGGATGGATTTTGACGTGGGTGAATTTACATGACTAATTATCTCTAAAAACTCATTTGATGGGACTTCATTAATGAAATACGTTAGGATATCCTTATAATTATACAAATCGTACTTTATACTGCTAATTAATTCTTCTTTTGAGTTATGATCCAGTACGTAATTATTGTTAAATACGGCAGACCTTATTATTTCCAGTGCAATAACCCCGGCTGAGTCTAATTTAGTACGCATCCTTAATAACCGCACGGAATTATCGATTATTTCACTGGAGATGTCAGAATTCGGGTTATTTATGTACTCCTCCTTTAACAGGGTTAGTGCCGTATTTAGTACATTATCATTTCTACTGTGTAATTGAGTGAGTGCCTGATTTAGTGCTAATTTATATACGGGATCATCCCTACGTGCAATAATTACGCGTACAGCTGCTTGGTGCAATAAATTACTTGGTTCTTGTGACTTAAGGATAGTTTCAATCCTGCCAGATGGGAGTGTTTTAAGTGCGAATGTGTACACTTCAAGTACCCTGCAGTCAGTGAATGAATTATTCAACAGCGTACATGCCCTCTTTGTAGAGTATTTTTTAAATACGGCCGTGGTGATGTCTTTAAGTGTATCCAGTGCAGAAGGGTCAATTATATACGACGTATTCAAATATCCACTTATAATTGGGATGAGTCTATCAATTCCATCTGCTTTTGAGAACAAATGGATAATTCTGACTACTGCATCAAAATGTGAGGATATTTTTTCTCTGTCCTTGATCCAGTACCTCTCCAATTCTTTACAGAAATAGGTTGCGGACGTATTTATTTGTTCCTGTGTGTACTTCTGTAAGGCTGTGAATACTTTTATTTGCAGTCCATTTTTATTCTGGGCTGTGTGATTCTCTGAGTCACAGTCATTTTCAGTGTGTGCATTTGCGGTTTTTGACACTGCAAGTTGTGCTGCTAAGATCCCTGTCCTTTTTAATTCTTCATTTAATGCGGCTTCCTCCTGTTCTGGTGTAAGTGTTATTATGGGGACTTTTCTTTGTTTTTTATTCAGGGTGTGTGCGTGTGGGTCACTGTGCCTCTTTTCACAGGGTGAATGTACAGGGATCGTAATGGACTTCTTAGTATAATTATTTAAGATCATTTGTACTTTCCTGGGTTTATCAGGGAGTGTTTCCAAATGGATTCTTAATTTTTCATTCATTTCCAGGAAGTCTCCTATAAGTGCGTGTACGACATACTCTCTGAAACTGTCTCTTTTAAGGAGGGTGTACATATACTCCTGTACTATTTCGTATATTATACTGCTGCGTATACATTCTGTATCCTTACTAAGTAAATCTTCTATTTCGTTAGGCATCACTTCTGGGCGGATATGTGCACTTGTTCCTTTATATGTAAGTGTTCTTGTACTCTTATTGTATGCCCATTTAGAAACAGTCTCATTTGGTAATGAACTGTGCAAGATCTTCATTCTATCTATTATCTGTACGTAATGTATTGGATAATTCGTATCTATTATGTGCAGTATTAAGAACAGAGTGATATCTCCCTGGACACATGAAATATCCTGTGATAAATATTCGGGTTTACTACAGGAAATACCCTGCCACATACTTGTACTGTTAGTTAGTCCAGCAAGGACGTACGGTTCATATTTCCTATAATCATTTATGATAATACTCCACAGACTCTTTGATAAGTTTATGCTCATTAACACTTTCTTCTGGAGTAGTACGGGAAGTGTACTAAGTATACTGCAAATATAAACAGATCTAATTAACTCGTCTCTTTCAGTGACCTCTTCAGAGAATTCAATTATTTCTTCAATTTTAATCGTGTGCTCCTTTGTGTTTATGCTTGTACACCGAATATTTGAATGTTCCCAGCACTTATTCAAAACCACAGAATCAGATTTATCCTGGAGTAATTTCAGTAATAGCCTGATTATCTCCTTCCTCTCAGATGTTTTAAGTAATCTCATAAGGTCATCTTCTGAATACGCCTCATTTATAATATGCATCCCATGACACACTGCAAGGTTTACTACTTTACTGTCCGGTATAGACCCATTACATGCCATATCCACATATTTCATAAGAAGTCTCTCTCCTGTTTCTTCACATGCACTTTCATCTTCTGGTATACTTAACACAGTGCGTATAAACATTCTTATTTCTTCATTTAAATCACTTATCATGGATACTTTAGAAATGATTTCCGTACTGATGGATAATAGTACAAGTATTCCCATATACTTGTCTGCTGTATACATCCCATTAGGATCAGATATAACCCTATTTACTATTTTTTGAAATATTTTTTGTTCCTGTGGTAATTTATATTCTTTGTTCGTGTACACCACAGCTATCTCCAGAATATTCTTGGGGTATAATTCAGATATAATCTTATCTATTACATCCGTATTCAATTGGTAATGGATTAATGCTTTAATTATCGTATCTGTTGTAAATTCGTTGATTCTTCTGATTAATACGTCAATTTCTAAGTATACCCATAATGAACTTATTGATGAGATCAGAGGTAGTAGGTAACTTACAATATTTTTCATAACTGGTTTTGCAACTTTGCCCTTTACATCATTAATGAGTAATTCTGTACACTCTCCATCTAATTTATATAAACAAGAATATTTTTCTATTTCAAAGTGTAAGTGCATATTCCTGTCTAAGAGTAGATTTGACAGGAAATGGGCCTTAAATGCCTTAGTGCATGAATTAATCAGTGATAATACCCAATCAGGAATGTCCCTGGATATTTTCAATGCTTCAGATAATGAAATGGCTAAATATTGCTGCTTTTCTCCTGTAAATGCATGCTTTATGATTACTTCAGGGATTTCTGTGGTACCCCATGTGAGAATTGCCACTTTCTTTATTAAGTAGAAAATACTCCCAAGAGAATCGGCGTCCTTTTCATTATACGCTGCTTCTAATAGGGAATTTACTATTCTTATGTCTTTTGTTTGTATAAACAGTGATTCAGCTGCTTTACACGTAATTTGCCAGTCATCTTCATTATGTGCATTTATTATTAAGAAGCACACTTTTTGGATTATTTCATCTGGTGAGCCACCCACTAATTTTTTAAATAATGGAACTCTTCTGGCCCCTTCTTCTATAATTTCACTCGGGGTATTATTTCCCACTGGCTGTTGTATTTTTGTAATTCTTCTGGCTATGTCTAATTGTCTGCGAGAATTCATAAAAAATTTACTTTCATGGATAACGTATTTATACGGGATAACCAAAGTATAAAATCGGGTTATACATGGATACTGTATAAGTATAAGTGGATAGTATTACTAAAAGAAGAAACAATAACCCGATATAACCCGGAATTATAAATATTCAAGTACTTATTAGAAATATATTCTGGTTATATAAGAAATAACGTATTATTACCACAATAAATAGTCAGATATTAATACATCATAAGAATACGTTTATTATTTCTATTAATATCCTGGAATAACCGTTATTTTTATGGATTTATGGATTTGGACTATTTACTCAGTTGATAAGTCGCCGTATGAACATATCTCAAATACTCTTTCAGACCCATTAAAGAAAAGGAACTGTCCTTCACTCTTCTCAAAATCACCGCATACAGAGAATATCTGATTATTATGCGTATGCGTAAAACAGTCGTAAGAATCCCCTATAATCATCCCAAGGAAATCTTCTGTATAGGATAAGTCTGTATAATGAATAAATGGGTTAAACGATGCCTGTGTTAAAAGTGTTTTACTCAACTCCCTCCTAAAATCCCCATTAAACACACACTCCTCGCGTATCCCATCTATTAAATCAAACGAGCCAACTAAAAATACGTTATTCTCTATTTTTACTTCACACGGATTTGTCCCCAGTGAAATGTTCCTGTACACAGAACACTCTCCGTGCGGATAGAAGTACTTGCTCCCAACTCCAGGAATCAGTATAAATTCAATCTCCTTGTACTCCCCAGATATTTTATTCTCTATCTCTGTACGTACATTTATTATGTTCACCCTTTCATGTACCATAATAATCACAGCGCATAAATTTATTTCATATTCTGTGTACACCTTCAGTATATTATTTATACGCTTTATGGATTCTTCTGTGGGTATAAACTGTGAGATCACAATAAAATTAGGAATAGTCAGGGTTGAACTATTATTGTGAACTTTACTTTCTGGTAAATGTATTTTTTCAACAGAGTACCCATTTTCTGTGAGCACTCCCTCAAATCCTGCACAGACTCCCCTCCCTAAAAAATATTCATTTTTTATTTCAGAGACAGTGACAGAATCATCTTCATCATCAATTTCTACACGGCCAGAATCTGAAATGCGGACCATCCCGAAAATAATTGAATTCACATTCGGTTTTAGTGTTACAATTGAATTTTTCTGTTGAATAATCCTGTCTTTAAGGATTTTGTACCTTTTTATACCTTCTGGTGTATATTTCACTGGGGATATTTCGATTGTTCTTCTTTCCTTCTTTATGTTTTTAATGGATTCGTGCACGGCTTCTTGTGTGAGTATCCCTGTGGTATAATTTGCTTTAATTATATCTGCGTATATTTCTATGGTGGTATACGTCATGTGCTGTTTTATGTATTTTATTACATTTTGTGATAGGGGGATTTCTCTTTCCTGTGTGAATATTCTGTATATTTCCATGTCTGACAGGGTTTTCATCGAGTCTTCTGATGGGTGTGTGCTTTCTTTTTGGAGAATTCTGTCACTCTGCATGCATGAAAAAGAAAGATTTCCATTTATATTTTAATTTCGGGTTATGTCGGGTTATGTAAAAATATGCACAAAGTACATTTACACCAGTAATTAAACAATACTCCCATGCGTACCCCCATCCCATACGCACCCATCCATTTATTCATGCATTTCCCATGAATTTCACGGTATTTTCACGTGTTTTATGGTCCTCTTACGGCGTACAATAAAAAAGAAACAAAACCAGAAAGGTCTCCCAGGAATTTTCAGTTAGCCTTTTATTTAAAAGCATTTTCTGTGGACCACAGAAGGACCGCACTCATCATACTCAGCCTTACTGATCCACATTTGTTGGAACGTACCGAGTGATGCTAAAATTGATCCACCAATCCATACGCTGTACTTCCTCTCAGGGTTAGCCACCACCTTCACCTTCATGGAGGCAGGGGCCAATTTAGAGATTTCATCCTGCATTCTGTCAGGCATGCCCTGGTAAAGCGTAGTACCACCAGAGAGAACAATATTTGAGTAAAGGTCCTTTCTTATATCCACGTCACACTTCATGATTGAGTTAAAGCATGTCTCATGGATACCGACAGTCTCCAGTCCCATAAATGCTGGCTGGAAGAGTGCTTCAGGTGCTCTGAACCTTTCATTACCAATGGTGATATTCTGGCCATCTGGCAGTTCATAACTCTTCTCAAGCTCACTGGATGTCTTTGCCATTTCTGCATCAAAGTTTGGTGCCACGTAGCAGAGTGACTCCTTTATGCTTCTGACTATTTCTCTTTCAGCTGTTGTAGTGAATGTGTACCCCTTCTCAGTAAGGATTCTCATGAGGTAGTCAGTCAGATCCCTCCCTGCCAGATCCAGTCTAGAAATAGCGTGTGGTAATGAATATCCTTCATAAATGGGCACAGTGTGGGTTACACCATCACCAGAGTCCAGTACAATACCGGTGGTCCTTCCACTAGAGTAAAGTGAGAGGACTGCCTGTATGGCCACGTAGAAGGATGGGCAGTTGAAAGTTTCAAACATAATCTGAGTCATCTTCTCTCTGTTTAACTTTGGGTTAAGTGGTGCCTCAGTCATTAGCACTGGGTGCTCTTCTGGGGCCACTCTTAACTCATTGTAGAATGTATGGTGCCAGATCTTCTCCATTGCATCCCAGTCATTCACTATCCCGTGTTCAATGGGGTACTTAAGTGTAAGGATACCTCTTCTGGTCTGTGCCTCTTCTCCTACATAAGACTCTTTCTGTCCCATACCAACCATAACACCCTGGTGCCTTGGTTTACCTATTATACTTGCAAAAACAGCTCTTGGACCATCATCTCCTGAGAATCCTGCCTTACACATTCCAGATCCATTATCTATTACTAATGCTTTGTTTGCTTCGTCTGCCATTTTACAGGGGGAAAACAAAAAGAAAAATAAATAATTAGGAAATTGTTTGTAATTTGATAATTATTCATTTTTAAATAAAATAATGAAATAATTATTACCAAAAAGGGATAAAACAGTTATAAATAAGTAAAAACGGAATATACCAAAAAAGGAAAGAAAAATAAAGAAAGTTACCAAATTAAGAAAATCAAAAAGATATTTATACAATAATATATAATAATATATGTGCAATAAGTAATGGTTATATATTATACAATGACCAATAAGTAATGTACAATGTGTCATAAGTAATGGTTATATATTATACAATGACTAATAAGTAATGTACAATGTGTCATAAGTAATGGTTATATATTATACAATGACTAATAAGTAATGTGCAATGTGTAATAAGTAATGGTTATATATTATACAATGACTAATAAGTAATGTGCAATGTGTAATAAGTAATAGTCTTAATATAGTGTAATAAGCATAGTGTAATAAGTAATACACAAAATATTATACATTACCTATTACACAATGTACTATAACTTATACACTACTTATTACACAATGTATAATTAATTAATACTATAACACTAGAACTTCTTATGCTATTATTAATATATATTATAATATATTACACAATGTACATTAATATTTATATTCTATTATTTATTTTTATTCTATGTGTATTATATCTTATTAAAATATATTCAATACCTCTTCAAAGTATGTGCATATCTTAGAACAACAAGTGGCAGCAGATAAGGCATAAGAAGACAATGACAAGATATAATCCATGCCTTTGTTAGGGTCATCACCACTTGATATTGCATTGATATAAAATACGTATGGTGGTATTTTAGTATTACTTATTACACTATGTGTATTATATTCTGCAGTACTATCATTATATAACTTATTACTCATAGTACTATTATTATCACTTATTATACTATGTGCATTATTTATTGCACTATTATCATTATTTACTGTAGTATGTGTATTATATTCTGTATTATTTTTTTTTATTATATCATAGAAGTTCTCTCCCTCCTGTGATAACCCTATTTTTATACTGTCGTTGCTTATAAAGTACTCTATCCCTTCTTTCTCTACTTTCATTAGTTCTATTCTACTCTCTTCTGAGTATATCCTGTGCCTTTCTAGTAATTGTACAAATAGTCCATTAAACCTGTTGTATACTCTTGGTATACGAATGGACTTATTTAATTTTATTATTTTTTTTGTTGTTAGTTCTATTAGTATTTCTAGTTCTCCTGCCTTATTCAGTGGGGAGTCCAGTAGGGTTAGTAAGCACTGGTGTAAGATATCTGGTCTGTACTGATTTCTGTTGATTCTTTTTTTTGCTTCATTCATGTCACTTGATAGCAGGAATTTGCCTCTTTTTGTGTTAATTACTTCAATGTTTGCATTCTGTAATACTACTGTCACCATAAAATAAAATTAAAAAGACAATGTATAATAAATAAAATATTATAAGCCACACATAGTATACAGTGTGTAATAAGTAATAATTAGTGTGCTATGTGCAATAAGTAATAGTATGTGCAATAAATAATAATTAGTGTGTTATGTGTAATAAGTTATGTGTTATGCGTAATGAATAATAATATGTGCAATAAATAATAATTAGTGTGCTATGTGTAATAAATAATAATTAGTGTGTTATGTGTAATAAGTTATGTACTATGTGTAATAAGTTATGTGTTATGCGTAATAAATAATAATAATTAGTATACTATGTGTATTAAGTAGTGTGCTATGTGCTGTGTATATTATATACTATGTGTATTAAGTTATGTGTATATTGTGTAATAAGTTATATACTATGTGTAATAATTAGTGTACTATGTGTATTAAGTTATGTATGTGCTGTGTATATTATATACTATATGTATTAAGTTTTATTATATACTGTGTATTATTTATTATGTATTGTGTATTATTTATTAATTATTATACATTGTGTATTATTTGTTTGTGATAGAGTAATCTAGATCTACTGCAGTGTTTCATTAAGGTGAATGGATTATTTGTTTATTTTATGAACAGAAGTACAAGAAATGAAATAGTTTCGGGTGTTTTTGGTCTTTTAAACACTAATACCACAGGAGACGATAAAAATAAGGAAATCTTCTGTGAGGAGGAAGTATCCTATGAAAAACCCTCTTATTCCTATGCCACACTAATAACACAAGCAATAATAGACAGTTCAGAGAAGAAATTAACACTCCGATCGATATATGCATGGATTATGAGCAAGTACCCTTATTTTAGGAGGCAGCGGGGTGGCTGGCAGAATTCGATAAGGCATAATTTATCACTGAATAAATGCTTCTATAAGATACCCAGAAGTAATAATGATCCAGGGAAGGGTTCTTATTGGACTGTTGATTCTGAGTACTTGAATGTGTTCAACCCGAATAACCCGAAAACAAAGAAAGAGTGTCGTAATGACAGGGAGAAGAAATATCAGGATGTAGAAAAGTCTTCATTTTCAGATATTTTAAACACGGAAAGGAACTTCTTTGATTCAATTGGTGTCTCAGATAAGCAAATATTCAGTAAGTCATATGATTCATTAATATTTGATGGTAATTTACGTGATTTAGATGGGGACAGTTTTGAGAAACTTTTATCACAAGGGGATGGTTCATTTAATGGGAGTACTTCTGAGTACTTTAAATTCTCACGGTAATACTATGTAATTAAATACAATAGATTAAAATTATTCATTATTTATTATACACTGTATACTATATAATATATAATACGCATAGTATAGTATATTATAATAATAATTGTATACAACTTATTATATAACTTATTACACACTGTATAGTATATTATAAGTTATTATTATTTATTACGCATAGCTTATTATTTATTACTCATCATACACTACTTATTACACATTGTATAGTATATTATTTATTACGCATTGTATAGTATATTATAAGTTATTACTCATCGTGCATTACTTATTACATATAGTACACTAATTGTTACACCATAATGCATTACTTATTACGCATTGTATACTAATTGTTACTTATTACTCATCATACACTACTTATTACACATAGTGTATTATATTATAAGTTATTATTACTCATAGTATACTAATTGTTACTTATTACTCATCATACACTACTTATTACATATAGTACACTAATTGTTATTTATTACACATACTGTACTATATTTTATGTATTTATTATTATATATTATACATAGTATACTATATTATACTGTATTTATGCTTTATTATTTATTATAACTTATTACACATACTGTACTATATTTTATGTATTTATTATTATATATTATACATAGTATACTATATTATACTGTATTTATTACTTACTTTATTATATACTTATTCTATTATATATTATACTATGTGTACTATATTTTATGTATTTATTATTACTTTATACTATATTATTAATATATATTATACTTCTTCTATTTTTACTGCTTACTTTAATTATGCTACCTTTATCTATATTTAATGAACTTATTTGTATATTTAAGTTATTCTTGTACTCCTTATCATATAATAAATAATTATCCTTTAATATAACAGTAGAATTAGTTATACTAATACTTACTACACATAGTATATTATATAATGTATAATTATACTTAATACTTATTATATGTTTATGTGCAGAACATATGCTACAATTATCATTATATTTTATGCCTTTAATTCTTCTTATATTATTATTAATATAATAAACATTATCATAAATATTATTTCTTACACATTGTATCATAAGTATTATAATATTAGCAATAATTGAGTTAGTAGTGATAATAGATGGAATCGTGTTGTCTAAAATGGTCTTAGTCATATTTATATCTGGTACTGTAATATTATACTGTAGTGCTTTATATTTAGATAGTAAATGGACTAATTTAATACTATTATTATAAGATATATTACACAATGTGTTAATATTAATATTAAATAACTTATGTATCGTATTTATTGTATTAATAGATACAGTATTATCACTGATTGTATCATAAGTATTACTTATTACACTATGATCAATATGTTTTATATTATCACTGATTGTATCATAAGTATTACTTATTACACTATTAGTTATATTTAATCTATTAATATCACTTATTACATCATTAGTAATATATTCTATACTATCACTATCACTTATTACACTATTATTATTATCTTCTATACACTCTATACCATCAGAAGTACTATCACTTATTACACTATGTGTACTATATTCTATACTACCATCATCACTTATTACACTATGCTCATTATGTTCTATCTCATCAGAAGTACTATCACTTATTACACTATGTGTACTATATTCTATCACATCAGAAGTACTATCACTTATTACACTATGCTCATTATTTTCTATACTATTATCATCACTTATTACACTATGCTCATTATTTTCTAGTCTGTCTATTATATCATACTTAGCCCAGTGTACACAATTATGCCATTCTTTAGGTATCTGTCTTAGTGTACATATGGGATACGTCTTTACCTCAGTTATATTCCTGCACTCATAACACTCCGTATGCTTATTATGTATTACATACACTTCACCATCATACCCAGATGATCCACTCTCTATTATTACTGTATTAGACAGGATCCCCATCATACTTATATGCTTACGGGTTGGAATATTATCAACACAGCTGATTATTAACTGAAAATTTTTAAAAAAATCAACATTAAACTTTTTATACTTTATATCATCTATATAATAAGATATTTTTATATTTTTAGTATATTTACTTATTCTATCAGAGAGTACTTCTGCTTTATACTTGTTTATATCTGAATTATTGTAGAAATATTGTCTATTAAGGTTGGATAACTCTATTTTATCATTATCTACAATGCAGAGGTCACCTTTATAGTGTTTTATCAGAAGATTTACTACTTCTGAACCTATCCCACCTGCACCTATTAGTAAAATACTGTTGGTCATTAAAAAAATAAAAAAAATAATATATATAGTGTACAGAATATATTACACATAGCATAATAAATAATATATAACCCATAACACATTATATAATACACACAGTACAATAAGTAATATATAATACACATAGTATAATATGTAATACACTAACATACTAATATATTTATTACGCATTGTGTAATAAGTATTAGTAATATCTATATAAATAAAAAAATTTTATATTCTATGGAGAATACTTGCTTCAGAGACGCTCTCTGGCTACAGGAGAATATCTTATCAAGAGATACATTAATGGAATACTTCTCATACTCACAATTCTATGATAGGAATTGTAATAATGAAGTACTTAAAATGCAAAATATCCACAGGAATAATGATTCTTTAGATATATTCCTGACTAAAATGTGTGGTATACAGTATATTATTACGTATGCAATAGAACCAACACTGTTCATTATTAAGAAGTGTAATAGAATATCACCAGATAAAATAAATGTATTAGACTACTTCTATGTAATGAATGGTACAATATACCAGTCACCAACAGAAAAGGAAGTATTCTCTACTAGATATACAAATATTCTATTTTCTATGTATAACTCATTAGAAAGTATGCCATTCTTAGAGACAGCTCATTTACAGACTGAGAAGAAGAAAATAAGTACAGGGAGAGTATCTGGTTTATTTAATGCTTATTATACTGATTATATGAGATAAAATAGAAGATATATCTTATGCTGTTATACGCATATTTAATGATTTATTTATACTGTTATTTTTATATAGTAATATTCGGGTATACCAGTAATTTATGTGAGAAAGCTTGAATTTCAATGGATGTATGGATAATTCGGGTTATAATGATTATACTGTTAATATTAGTTGATATATTGGACTACTTCATGTGATGTAGTACTAATATTATTTGGTATACGTTATACTGTATAGTATACGGTGATATGTGTAAGAATTACAGTGTTAATTCGGGTTATATCGGGTTATATGTATGGTGATAATTGGTTATTATATGGATGCAGTGGTATTTACTTAATGCGAAGTATTTTTCTGGAGAGACGGGATGCTGCGAGTCTTTTGTTTATTTTTCTTTCCCAATTTCTTATACGGCCAATTGCCTTGATTGATTTTATTAGCTGCTTTTCCTTTGCCTTGAACTTAACCACTAGACTGGCCTGTATTAATGGATCACTCTCTGCTTGGTACTGGTCTATTATCTCATTTGCATCTGACATTAGGCCGTCTATTGCCCGCAGTATCTCCTTTTCATTTAAGAACATTTGGTCTACAGACCTTTGTATCTGTGCTATTAGTGTGCGCGTATCCTGCTTTATCATGTTGGTTGCATCCTGTATTGACTGGAACTTTTTCACTACTTCATCTGGCTCTGGTATGTTATTTGCATTGAGTCTAAAATATGTGGCAGGGTTACTGGTGGCATCTGGACTGTCTGGGTCTATGAATTTGTGCAGGCGCAGAAATACTTTTGACTTGAAAGAAGGGAAATTATGCATTAGCTTTTCAAATACCTGCAGGAAAGAGTCTACATTCTCGATGGGGGGTTTGTGCGTATGATTCGGCAGGATATCATCTGGGTTAAGTGCTGGGTTCGGCTTAACCAGGGCAGCTGAAATAATTAGTAATAGCAAAATAGTCGGTCTTACAGTTATTCTCATTATTTTTCGTATTGCTAATTTCCTTATATGAACTATAAAACGTTGTCAGAAAATCCACAAATAATTTTTGTTTTCGCCCTAAGACATGCGGAAAGATTGGTTGGAAAGGTCTCTTGCCTGAATTACTCCAGAATATTCTCAGGCGTAATTTATTACCAATGGAGAATTTCTTAACAATTTCAACTTGTAACCAAAGATGCATCTACATAATAAACAATTGAAAATTTATAACTGACTCAGAAATAACCTAAAAATTAACTTAGAGCACGAGAATAACCCGAATAAAGTGAGTGTAATACACCTTAGAGATATTCACAGTATACCATACACTATTTAATATTTATAATACTATTTATGTACATGTGAATTATGTAGCCATAGTAAATACAAGTTAAATTTAAATATACTCACTGTAGTAAAGCATACTAATAGTATACGATGTACAGGTATATTTATACAGTAAAGTATGTTCTACATATAAATACTGCGTTGGCTTATGAGTATAACAATAGACAGTTTAAAATTTAAATTTTACCATGGTGGACAGATACCTCTCAAGAATAGAGAATTATGAAAGTATTTCTTTGCTTAAACAAGAGTCACAATGGGAAATAAGCAAACATCCTACTGCAGTATGTGCAGTAAATAATATTATATATTCAGGGACTAAAGATGGATACATATTTGTGTATAAAGATGCACTTTATACAGAAAGATTCTGTCCTATACCTTCTAAAGTACTTGGGATAGAATCACTCCCTACAACAGGAATAATCACTCTTCATGAATCAGGAACTATTTCACATATAAATCAAAAGGCAGGCACACTATCACACATAGATGGGTTTATCAATGGAATAATACATAAGAATAGTCCTTGGATTATTTCAGAGACAGATTCAGGCTTATCTATATTTGATTATAATAAAGTGTCTATGTATAATACAAATAATGCAAATACTAGCAAAAATACACCACGTAAAGTATTCAGTGCAAGTAATGAGAATAATTATATTTTACTGTGTGATAATACTGTAAGACTAATAGACATAAGAACAATGAAAGAAGAAATAGAAATAAAAAATATAAAGAATATTAAAGCAGGCATATTTCACTCTTCAAGCATAGAAATGATTATATCACAGGAGAATAGAATAAAAAATATAGACATAAGGAATATTTCTGTAATAAAAGAGATAAAGACTAAATACACTGCAAGTATACTACATGAATATTCAGATACATTAATATATTCAGGACCAAATCTGTTCACTCGCTGTGTATGCCCAGTTACTGGCCATTCATTATTTTTACATAAAGAGTCTTCTTGTCAAATAGTATCAAGTGATAGTCTTATACTAATAAATAGTAGCAGAATGATCACAGAGTACAAAAAGCATAAATAGTCACAGAATAAAGTTTATGATTATGTGTAGACAATTACATGTATAAAGGTTTATTGTATACCAGGGGTTATTCCTGATAGGAATACTTCAAATGGTGTATCTTCAAATAATTTTGCTACATCCATTATGTAAGCAGGCACTTGCTTATTCACTAAGCGTAGGGATATTTCATTTGTAAAGTGATTACAATTGTGTCTTATTATATGGTAAGTTCCTTCTGTGTACAGGTCATTTATTACTTCTAAATACTCTGCGAATTCTTTTTCTGTGACTTCTGTGTCACCTAAGTCTATTTTCTTCACAGGTGCACCGAATGGACTTGTTCCTGGCAGGTCTTTTCTTATGCCTGACATGAAATAGTACTCTTTTTCATAAACGTATAATGAAGTGTGCCATATGCCTTCTATTTTTACTCCAAGGGCTGCTCTGATCATTTCAAGCGCTGCGTCATTTCCTATGTTGTATACCCACAGTTGAACACTTGCCATAAACACAAATTATAATATTTTCTTTTATTTCGGATGAACAGATGGAAGTTTGACGACTTTGAAATTGGGGCATCTTTAGGGCGAGGGAAGTTTGGGAAGGTGTACCTAGCACGGGAGAAGAAATCTGGGTTTATAGTTGCGCTGAAAATATTGTTAAAAACAGAAATAACCGGGTGCAATGCAACCAAACAAGTCCGGCGCGAGATTGAAATACAGAGCCACATGAAGCACGAGAACATACTTCGGCTGTATGGGTACTTCTACGACGACTTAAATGTATATATTATACTGGAGTATGCAGCAAAAGGAGAAATGTTTAAGCTTCTCCAGAAAAAGAAGAGGTTCACAGAGCAGGAGGGCGCAAAATACATTGCAGAAATGGTCCAGGCATTGAAGTACATACATACTAAGAATGTGATACACAGAGACATAAAACCAGAGAACATTCTGATAGGGGCAGATAATAAGCTGAAAATAGCTGACTTTGGATGGGCAGTACATAATATTGACAGCAAAAGGTATACTTTCTGTGGTACAATGGACTACTTGCCACCGGAGATGGTCTGTCATCAGAAACATGACAAGTACGTGGACATATGGGGAATAGGAGTTCTAGCATATGAATTTGTTGTGGGAAATCCTCCTTTTGAGGCAAAGGGAAGCACTGATGAGACATTCAAGCGGATCAAATCAATTGAGTTCACATTCCCTTCGTACTTGTCCAATGCATGCAAAGACTTCATTTCAAAACTACTTGTACGAGAGCCTGAAGAAAGACTTTCCATAGACCAAATACTGACGCACAGATGGATACGAACAAATACCAGAACAAAGAAAGAATAAATTGCGAATAAGAAATCAGCAAAAGTGTTTCTGCAGTATTCTATCGCATGCTGTACTTATTTCATGCAAATTCGGCACACCTCTAATTATTTTGATTTTCGGGTTCAAGCCATTTCTGGTTCTGTATTCAACAGGAAAAGCAGCAGACCATAAATATATGTGAAGTGTTGAAATTACTGAGTGTAAAATAAGAAATTGCCATTTGCATTTTGTGCACTAAATGGTAATCAGACTTATAAAAATATCTGTATATCATAAATAACTGGTCATTATGTAATTTATTTTGGTTATATTTGGGTTATTTAGATGTACCCAGTGCTTATGCATATAATACAGTATAACGGATAATTATAATATAAAATTACTAGAATAACACTAAATAGCCAGAAGTGAAAGAGTGTTTATTAGGTATAAAATGGATTGCTGTGGGCAAATAGTACACTCTACTGTTACTTGCTATACAGCAGTTAATAATTGCTTAGATGGCCTTGGATTCTACTGTTATTGGTTGAATTCTGGTCTATAAATGTTATTATTAATCTGTGTTTGGTGTATGAAAGAATAAATTAATAATTCTGCTGTTTCATTTCTGGAAGATTTCGTGTTTTTTATTTTCAATGGGAAGTACAACAAGCAAGTGCATTTCTAACTCACTGCACGTGATAAAAGTAAGAAGCCAGTCAGCCGCTGACAGGTACGGAATACTTCCAGTGCTTCATTATATAGTAGAAATCAATGGACAAAGCATATCCAGTGAAAAGGATATACTAAGAATAACCGAGTCATGGGAGACTGGGAAGGTACAGCTGCTTATGTATGATGTCCGGTCAAAGAAAGAGTTCTTATTGGATATGGTTAGGGAGAATGGGGAGAAAATTGGATTTAGCATTAAATTCCATAAGGGTGAGAGAGCTCCATATACATTCCGTGTTTTGGATGTGGAGTATAACTCACCTGCCTTGGAGTCTGGGCTAAGAAAGGATGAGGATTATATCATAGGGCATGGTAATGGAGGGTTCTCTTGGGAGAATGAGTTTGAGAATATGCTGATAAACCACAAAGGAGGGCCTGTGGCTTTACTGGTGTATAACATAGGAATGCTAAGCATAAGAAAGGTGGAGATATATCCTACACTAGATGGAGAGATTGGGTGCAGCTTAGGAGGTGGCATACTCAATGAAGTGCCATATACAGATGCAAGCATAGATTTAGTGGAGGAAGTAGTAAAGCCTAACCGCACTGCTAAATGTATTTCACCAGCCATGCCTATGGCTGTGTATACAGAGGCAGTTTCTGGCGGGAATGAACAGTCAGTGCAAGAAACAGTGCAACAACCGTTACAGGAAACAAATAAGCAGCCATTGCAGAGAACAGTGCAACCTCCACTGCAAGAAGCAGTAAATACCAATTCTGCACAAGGCACGCCAGAGGCAGAAGATACAGAAAGTGTAACAGATGCTGTAACAGCAGAAAGTAGTTTACAAGAAAGTGGCATGAATGTGCCTATAGCATACTCAGAAGAAACAAACGAATATACTATTGGTGGCATTCCCACTGAGACTGCTTTAGCAGAGAAAGTGCAGGATATGCAGATACAGAGTACTGAGTCTGGCCAAAGAATGTATGAGTGTGAGGTGAATAGTGAATTCCCTTTAGATGCACAGCAGGGCATGACTGATGAAATAGCAGATGAACTAAACTCTGAAATACGAGGAAAGATGCTAGAAGAAGAGCTGCACCAATCTTTATATGAAACAATGCCCACTGATGAAGTATCTGATGGTTTCAAATGTCAAGCGTTAGAAGATGAACCAGTTTCTTCCCCAACGGTAGATCACATTTCAAGAATATCTAGTTCGGATTACAAAGATATTTTAGAGAACTACCAGATGGAGAGCACGCAAGACAACTCGATTACTGCCCCGTATGAATACAATACATCTGCGAACCTGGCATCAAATATGCTAAATGGGCAGGGTACAGAAATGTATGACTATATAAACGCACCGACTATAAACCAAGCAGAGTACACTGCAAATAATGTGCCATATGAATATGTGAAATATAAAGAATATGATTCCCGACCTGCACCATACACTGAGCAAGTAGAGAGAACACAGTCGCGCTATTCTAAATATACACCGTCGCCAGAAAGGCCTAGAGAGCAGCCTCCGCTATATGCAGATAAATCACAGATGTATGAGCAGCCGCCCACGCCAGACTATACGCAGGGCTGGAATAACTTTGAAAGAAGCTACACTGTAGACAACTCACCAGATGAGTTGGAAGAGTACGGCCGGCCAGCACAAAATCGAGAGATTGAATATGAGCAGCCTCCACTGTATAGTAAATACGACCCGAGAGATGGCATGGCGTATGAATACTCACCTTTCAATAATCAGAAAGAAGAGTATTATGAAGAAAAAGCAACTAAAAGCAGAGACAACCATGAGAAATCACCCACAAACCATGCTGTATACGAAAAAGTGTCTACACATACAGAGTATAAAAAGCCCGATAGCCATTCAGATAGCACAAAGAAGAAATCCTCTACACATGAAGAAAAATCCGAGAAATCTCATAAAGATGGTGAAAAAATAACATCTACTGTTGTGCATCACAAGAGGATAGAAGATTCCCACGAGAAGCCTATAAAGGAAACAGTCAGGGAAACCGTGAAAGAGTATGCTCCACCCGAAAAACCCCATCCTAAAGAAAAGCCAACTACAGTAATCAATCAAGCATATAATGAGTATAATTTCCCACCGCATGATCCCAAAGAGGCACCTGCTCCAAATACATTCTATCCCTCTGAATTTGATGAAAGCGTGCCAGGACCTCTTGCAGGGTACATCCCAAGCCAGCAGGCATACAATATGCTAAATGGCGGACCTGCTCCAGGTGATGTCCGTGTGTATCCAAGAGAAGAAGCCTTACAAGAGCCACTAGTAGGAAATCCTTCAGAGAAAAAAAATAAGCGAGACCCTTTCTACCTGCAGCCAGGAGATGCTGGGTATACCACAGATGATTTTTTTAAGTAGTTCTTAAATAGCTAGAAAGATTTTAATCTTTTCTAATTATAACCGCTGAATAAAGAAATATTTTATTTTCATGGCTATGGTTGGGCTGTTTGGTGGGGTATTTTCTTTCCTGCAGTCTATTCTTATTGTTTTATACGGGCTGCTTATTTTAGCAGGGAAGGCTTGCAGCGCACTAAAGAATTTAGCAGCACTAGAATACCATATGGGAAAAGAAGGAAGAAAAATAGTTATATTTGCTGTATCGCAGATGCTTTCCAGTTTCAAAGAATTACTGCCGCTTTCTGCTGAAAGAGCGTATGTGGAAAGCAGAGTGTACTCAGTCCATGCAAAGCTTAAAAGTGCACTGGACAAAAAAGAGCACAAAAACGTAGCTACATTACTTGTAGAGAAGGAGACAGAGGCACAAATAGCAAATGCTCGTGTTAAATACGCTAAGAAGTACTTGATGTATATTCTTAAATCTGCTGTTATTATTGTTCTGCTGTCTAAGATGACCTATCTCATTTTTATTTTTACTATTATCTTTCTTATGCTGGAAATATGTATTAAGCGACAGATCCAAAAAACAGAAGAAAAGAGAGAAAGAATTTTTAGTTTGTACTGCGTAGAACAGGACAGAATATACAGATCACTTGATAGAATGTATGCATGTGTAGAAAGAGCGGACAATGACAGAAAACAGACTCTAATAAGTGTAAACACTGTATATTCTCAGATGTATAAAGAGTATAGCTTGAACTATTTCTGCGTGAGTATAGAGATATCTATGTGGATAATTATTGGATCTTGCTTATTCCAGATTTATTCTCTTGTATGCCTTCTTGTTCTAAGTAAGACCCAAAAGAATTTGGCATTTTTTGTTATAATATATAAGAAAATAGAAAAACTAAGTGGCTGTCTTATAAAGCTGGTATAAATGTGCGTGGTACTGTATTATATTATTTAAATCCCACGCATATATTTCTGTATAAAATACACAAAATGTATAAAAATATTAAATAGTATTTAGATTATTTTTATATTTTGTTTGTTATTCCTTTGTGTGCTATTATCCGATAAATAAAGAAATGGATTTTCAGATATTCTAAGATGTAAATTTTTAATTACACTAGAATACGCGAAACAATCAATAATGATATTGTAATAAGCTAAAAATGGTTTTGATTGTTATTTATTAACTGTGTTATTTTGTAACTTCCTGCTTATTAACTATTCTAGCGGGTGTACACTGTTTTTGGCACAGATGTTATTTTAGTGCATGTAATGTAATATGCTTTATTAAACAGAAAGCGCATTAAACACAGTCTTATTTAAGAGTATAATACATGTACTATAAACACATAAATAAAAACCAAAGAATCAGCATTGTAAACAGCCTAAAACAGGGCAAGGAATGCTTAATTAACTTCCTATTACTTGTTTCTGCTGACAAAAACACCAACAATAACACAAATACCAATTACAACAACAGATCCTATTAAAATTCCCTTCCAGTTTGCTGCAAAGAATCCTTCCTCTTCTGAGTCTTTGCTTTTGATTTCATTAATTATATCCTCTGTTGTGTACATACTACTGTATAGTCCTCCTATGCAGGATTTCATTTGAATAGGATCATTCTTGTTTGCAGCTTGAGGTGTATTTATGTTGGTGGCATGAATATAATACTCCTTTCCTATACTCTTTGCTTCATACTTCTTCTTTAACTCTTCTAAGTCAGAATGCTTAATTCTTAATTTTAGAGTAACTGCAGATACTGATTCTTCACTACTCTTAGCTGAATTTAAAAACTCAGTTGCTTTATCCAGGTCAATCTCACCAATTATTGTGTGTCCATTTGATTCATTAGCATTTTTTAAACAGTCTTCTTGTGTTTTTCCATCCTTTAAGAAGTGCAGCTTAAATGTACATTGTTCAGTTATTGTAACCTTGTCCACAAAAATTTTCAAAATATTTCCTTTGTCATTTCTACTATTGACTAATTCAGAGTTAGATACTCCTAGATTAATACCAAACTCAGCATAGTCATAATACTTTACTCCTGTATTTTTATCATCCTCATCCTTCTTCTCTCCATCCTTCTTCTCTCCATCCTTATTCTCCCCATCCTTCTTCTCTGCTGGATTGGCAGCAGCTATATTTTCTTTGGGCTCTTCACTCTTTCCCGCAGGCATTTCTATTAAGTATTTGAAATCTTCTTTAGATAATACGATTAAGTTTTCAGATTTTTCAGACGGTACTTCACCTTTTGTAAAAGTAGTAGCTATGATTGTGTGTATAAATACTCCTACAGCTATCGCTAATCTTATCTTCATGAATTTCATTAAAAATTAAAAAATTAAAGTTATTTATATTTTTAATATTTTTATTTTTATCAATATTTTGTGTTTTAATATAAAAATAAACAATTTTTGCCCAATAAATATTTCATTATTTTGTTCATTTTTTGAATAATTCTATTTTGTATAATTTTATTTTTAAACAGAGCATTCCATTGCTTATTTTACTTTATTATCCTTAGAAATACAGGAGTAAATTATAGTGAATGCTGTATAAATTATTCTATTGGTCTACTATATACGTATAGTGGGTTCTTTTATAATTATATTAAATATTTGGTAACATACTCCGTACTTAATAATATTATTTGCTGGTTTTGGATAGTGAGGCCCAGAATACCAAACAAAATGATGATGTTTGGAGTGTCAAAATATGTGTGTGACAGCTTTTGTTATTGGAAGTTGTCTACTTCAAGGAAAAAACAGCTTTATTTATAAGTTTATATTCAGTATAATTTGCACATTTTATGGAATTTTAATTTATTTTTAAGTAATATTACATAGTAAGCCATGATTGAATGCTTTCTGTGTTTCTGGGTGATGCAGTAATTTGTACTTTATAATTTAAATAGTGAGTGTTTGGGTTATGATATATAAACAAATAATAAAATTGATAGTGGTTTATTAGCATAAGTGTTTGTTTATAGTAGAAATATGATATATGAAATAAACACATAATATCTTTAAAGATACGTTTTGGTGGCATTGTTTATATATCTCGAGACCTCAGTAGTCCAAACAAAACTTGTGCGGATTGGTTGTTTTCGGCGGTAATAATTCTGTTTGTCACTATTGTTTGTGTTTTTTTGTTTAAGTATTTATACCAAATGACGTCTTTATGGACTTTATCTGACCACAAAATAAATGGATTGTTCCATATGTTCAAATCATAGTCAAGAAGAATATTTGGATAGTTAAAGTTAATTGTTATTGTTGCATTGGTTTTGTACTGCGTACATATTTTGAACTCTTTTGACGCTGTGGGGTCTAAGCCATTGAGTGAAGTAGAGACAGGGTCTATAGTGGGCACTATCCTTAGGATGTCATTCTCCTTTTTTATTCTTTCGAGGTCATAAGGTATTGAATTGTTTCTGTTGTACCAGCTTATTAGGCACTGGGAAATGTCCATATTATTTATGAATACTGCTGTCATAAGTCCCTTAACTTTAAAATTGCTCAGGATTTCGCTTCCAGACGGGCCTAGTATAATTCCCCGGCCTGGTACCACACCATGTCTTATTTTTCCTGAGTAATACTTACAGTAGTTGTTGTTTTTTTCTTTTCTAATGCAGGAAATGGGATAGTCTAAACTGTTAATTGGGTTGTGATTAGCAAGTTCTAAACTTCGAATGTTAGTTGGCGCACCACATTCTGTTAGTGGAATAACTACATTTCCTATAATTGCATTGATTAGTGTTCGGAACATTATGTCATTTAGTCTAATATTGAGCTTCAGATGAAATTTGCTTTTTCCTGGGAGGCATTGGCCATTCGGGTTATATTTAATTGAAATATATACAATGTCTTTATCATTGCAATTATATATAGATACCACACTATCGCCCCATGAAAAGGACTCGTTGGATATAGAAGTGGTATAAGTCTTTCTAGATAAGGAAATAGGCAACTCGTCACTGTGGCAGTCATACCTGTCCTTAATCACGGCTATACTGTTGCTATTTCCTAATTTCAGCCGATAGAAGCACTTTTTAACCTCTTTTTCGAGTGCTGTGTTAATTGTTTTTATTACTGGGAATTCGCTCAGTATTTTTTCTTTTGTATCGAGCAGTTCTTTCATCCTAGGCAAGAACCTCGTAGGAGTCATATTTTCAAATCTTGGAATTGTATCTGCCATGTCGTCTATCTCTTCCATGCATTTTATAATGTTTACTATGTTCTTTTCTATATCTTTATACGAAAAGATCTTTTCTTCGCCCACTATAATCGGATGCTTGCCTATCGCATTATACCTATTGTCATCCATCTGGGTGTATAAATAATGCATTTTACGGATAACCTTCTTGCTTTGCTGCAATACCAAATATGTATTTTCTACTACAGAAAGTATAGTAGAATACCCGATTCTAGAGTCATTATCTAACATATTCATTTCTTCTATTAAGATTTCTATGTAATTCTCAAAACTTTCAATATGCTCTCGCATTTCCTTATAAACATACTGTACCTGTACATTTAAACTAGGAAGCTCTTCAGACATTTTTTTAACTGAGCTTTGTTTAATATGATTTCTTTCTAAATTGTTTTTTTCTCTGATGCCGTCATTTTTTATCTCATCTATAAGAATGCAGTTCATTTCCTCTGAGCCACCTATATCAAGAATTATTTCTGTTCTCGTAGAATGATCTGTAAACCGTTCCATAATCATATCAAATGGCCTTTCATTGTTTTTAGTAGACATTACTTTAGTGCTTTTCATTCTTCTCCATGTATAAGCATTTCTATAGTTAATAAAATTAATTAAATCTGTCATGTTTCCTATGTTCTTTGGTTCGGTTAAATCAATATTGTCTTGCTGTGGGTTGGTGTCTTTTTTTGGTGGTACTTCATTATCTGAGCAAAATATCCCTTTTATTGCTAATATACTTAGGATTATTACTATTTTCATAAAAAAAAATTAATTTGTCTATTTCTTGTGCTTATCTGATATTTGATCTAAATATCTTTCCATACCACTTATTTTTCTGTTCTTGCGTCTAATTTTTAGATGGTATCTTATGAAATGGGGGTTTGCCATATATTGTAATAAACCAGAAATTTTACTATATATTAGTGCTTTTAAGTTATCGTGTATATGTGTATATGTCATATACTTTAAGAGCACTTAAATCACAACTAAGTTAATAAATATACGATTTGTTCATTGGTCTAGATTGATGTCACAGTTCATTTTTCGGGTAGTTGGTGAAATTGGCATGAGCCGCCTATATTTACTTTTTATACCAAGAAATCTTTGCATTTAAGATCAAAATTGGCCTATCCACTGGAATATACTAATAAATAGTAAAATATTGTATTTTATGTGAGACATACTACTGAATTATAATAATTATCCATAGATATAACCCGAAATTCTGTGTTTTTATGGTTTATGGTTATTTTTATTTTGCCATTTATTTAAAGTTGTTCACTTTTATTCTAAACTGAAGAGTTTAAATACAGAAACGTTTTACAAATTTATAGAATATTGCTTTAGTTTATATTATAGGATGAACTATATAGAAAATAGAAGCCATATACCAACTTATACAAAGTCAAAGGCGTGCTGACATGGGAATGTGTAAAGCCACATATCTAGATTTGGCAGAATAAGATATAAAGAATGGTGGCATGACACTGCTCCTGGAACAATACTCAGAAAAAATAATGATGTGTTCGCAATTAATCACATACAATTCACAGGAACAGTTAATGAAGTTAGTATATAAATGGAGATTGCTGTATAAAGAGTTGGCAAGTGCATGGCAAGAGCCAATGCCAAGAATTTGGAAATCATATAAGGAAAAGAGGAATCTAAAAATAGTCTGCAAGAAGTATATCAGAAACGGGTATTATGCTAATTAGTGCTGAAAGCAAACTCATGACCAGAATATACAAATACTTTGAGACCTGGCCTTTCAACAGTAGTCAAAATTCTCATTATAATATTTTACCAATTTTACTTCAAAGTATTATAACCGGGATTCAAATAAATTAGAGAAATAAATAAAGAAAGCATATCACTACATACTAACCTAATATACACTATGGCCAAACAATTCATTATATAAGTATGTTTGTATACACATAAATTATAAAGAATACTCTGAAAGTACTGTGAAATATAAACTATTGTATATATTGCACTGCATATATACCATAGAAGTAATTTAAAATACTTTTAGATTGTAAACATAGTAAAAGTTATACATCCAGAAATCAAATAAGCACACTATGACATGCGAATAATCAGAAACAAGCAATTTAATATCCTATGCACAATTCAAGTCCAACCCGAAATAAATGAAATACTTACAAGTGAATGTTTTCTACTCTTTATTTGTTTATAGCATAGAAACAGCTGCAAGAATAGCTACAAATGCAAATCCTAAAGAAATGCTTGAACTGCTGCTGTTTGCGGTGGCCTTTGATTTTTTGACTACTTTGCTGGCGGCTCCACTGTTGGATGATTCATCATCGGCACTGCCATTGTCGCTCTCATCCTCTTCATCATCCTTCTTGGATGATTTTCCACCCTTGCCACCCTTAGATGGGTTTGCTACGGATGTAGAGTCTTTTCCGCTACTAGAAGCAGTTAGGCTACCGAAGAATACTATGCTTAGAATGCAGATGGTTAGTAATGCAGATATTTTCATTTTATTTTTCTGTCCATTTCATCTATTTATACCTTTGATTATTCACAGAACATCCAAACCTTGTTCTAGAATGAATCTATTATTGGCAATATTAAAGAAAATAGACCAAATCAGCTGGAAAAAGATCAATCTAATAACAAAATACCTTAAATATAAAATAAATAATTAAAAAGAATCCTTTATTAGACTAATAGCACCTTAAGAAATAAATTAAAATTACTCAAGAAATTAAAAAATAATTAAGAGCTTTCTAAGCATAAACTAAAAAGTAATTATAATAAAAAATAATTCAGAATATATAAGAAGAGATATACAGACAGATCTAATCCAAGAGCCTATGTATTACTAGAAAACAAAGGATAAAATATACTTTATTTTAGTAATAAGCAATAGTTACTAAAAGCATTGGTGTGTGTGTAATAATACTTATTATAGAATGACTTATGTTTCAAATATGTAACAAGATTACATTTCTAATTATATTATTCACATAGAAATTTAATTTGTATATATTACTGGTCTTGTTATACACTTATATACAATTTCGGGTTATTTTATATGAGTTTATTAGTGAGTGCTATGTGCATAAGATGGAGTAGAGTATACACCGTGTATTAATTAAAATTAATCTGAAAGTAAAGCTGAGAATAATTTTATTTATTCGTGGATGTGCTATATTACTTATTACTAGAATTGCCACTATAATTCGTGTATGGCATAAAAACTCTATTTATAACCCGAGTGAAGAGTTAATTATATGCAATCCGAAGTTTAATATTAATAATGTGAGCGAATATAAACTCCTGTCTTGTACATTGACCGTTTATTGACATTAATCATATATTACACAAAATAAATGACAGGCAACTGTCAGCTGCCATTTAAAATCATTAATTTATGGTATATATAGATGTAGAAATGGATGTATAATGTATTATATATCTACACTATATTTACTGTATATAGCCTGTATTCAGTGCTCTACAGATGGTATTAAAGATGACGTTAGCGATGGATACGATAAAATGTCAGTTAATAGTGTTATAGTAGATAAAACACAGTATTTTGAATATATTGCCCTGTGGTATACTGCTATATTTTGTGTTTTACTAAGTTTGGTGGCATTCACTATGTGGATATTTGTGTACTACGATTTTTTTGGGTATGAGACAGTTTATAACTACGTGTATCCAGATTTTAATGCAACTATAGAAGAGTGCGATAAGATAGTTTCGGCTAGAAAGCCGTTTTGTGACATAAGCAATAATAGAATCACATACCATAATACACGCACACACAGTGAAATGCAGGTGCCGCAGTGTGATTACTTAGGAAGTATAACGGAGAAAGAGTTGCCAGACTATATATATAACTCTATTATAGGGTATTTGCAAAGTAAAGGAAAAGAAACACATCTAATCGACACATGCAATAACTCAGAGTATGTTCTTATAAAGAATATGAACTTTGCAATTGAAGAAATATCTAATAGTAAAATAGGAAATGCCTATCCAGAACAAATGAAGAGAAGTATAGGCTGCATAATTACACAGTGGATATTAGACGTAGTCAACAATAAAATAGAAGGGTATGAGATTATAAAGAATGCCATACTGTCAACAATACAAGAAGCTTTTAATAGCTCATCATTAGAAATAATTGAAGAGTTAAAAATACTATCCAGACCACTTTCTGAAATGTCTGCTGAGGGATAATAAAATTCACTTAGTATCTCGAGGTATGATACAAAAATAGAAGGAGATAGTAGAATATTCATACAATAATCGCTTGTGTCATATACTCTTCTATACAGTCTAATATGTTGAATTATATTAATTATACGTAATTGTCTTGTTGTCTGTGGACTAAAAGTATATTAATAATTCAAATTGGCTATATCTTGTTTGTTCATTTATACTGAGCAGTAACAGGAGAAATATTTCATTTCGTGTTATTTATATTTCAGATTGCTTTGAGTTGTTATGATTTATTTTATTGCTAGGATACAATTCTGTCTAATAAATAGGAGTGTTCTTTAATATTTAATTTAATTTTTGGTGTATGCACTTATATATTTACTTCTAAACCCGAAACTCAGAAATACCAAGATATGAACAGAAATATTAATCTATTTTATTATAACTAGGAATAATATAAAATTTAAATATTGTACTTAGGCCCACTAACATAATATATTCACATAAAATAGAGTATATATTGTAGAAGGAACAATTTGAAATAGTAAAATATCTTAGAATGGGCCTAATAATTAAAGAGAAAGTGAATATTACTCTAAAAGTTATAATATATCACCAACACTCACTTTGTGGTTTAATCACTCTATTCATTATCTTTGTAAGTATCTTTGGGATTGTTTTTACTAGGCGTACTCCTCCGCATAAAATTATATTCTTTTCTAGTTCTTTTCTGTCAAGTATTTCTAATATGCTGTCAATATAGTTTTTAGTGCGTATGTCACCTGGAGATTTGCCATGTGCTGTCAAAAAGGCAGAGAGCTCTTTTATACGAGATGGTGCTAGAAACACATCTATATTTCTATCTGATAGTTTATTGTGCACATATGCGCACTGACTTTTTACAATTATTTCTATTTCTTTATTCTGCAATAGTTCATTTAAGTGAAGACAGTCTAAAAACAAAGAACGAAATCCAAATAGAATGGAAAGACTGTGCACATCAGGGAGGCGCCCCATTAAGTATTCGTTCATTATTGTTCTTCCCAGAGCAATTCCTGTTCCTGTGCATACAATAAAAATATCCCCCTCTACTAAAAGTTGGCTCTTTTTAATATCAACAGAGACAGAGCATCCTTCTTTTAAGTGCGCCAAATACTCAGAACATACACCAAGTATCTCTTTTTTATAGTGCTTCATTTTTATTCTGCCAGATGTTATGCTATAAATATTTCCCTCTCTTTTACTTATTGTATAATACCTGGGAAGTATTTTTCTAATTAGTTGTGAATTAACTGATATTTTTATATAGAAATCAATCAAAACATCTTTAAATGACTTTTTGGGTTTTAACACATATGAATAATACAAATCATACGACTCGCTTATACTCTTAAGTTTATCTAAGTATAGATCTTTAAGCTCCTCATCGCACATAATTTGTGCATTCTTTTTTTCCTCTACCATTTGGTAAATCGTTTGTATATGATGGTGCATGGGAATAGACTGATAGTCAGTGTGTCTACTAATATGATTGACATCATCAAAGAATATCTTTGAAGAGACCTTTTGATAGCACGCATTCTCTGGGGTTATTGCCAGAACATCGCCAACTGTATAGCCATACTCCTTCTTATCTACAGCAAACAGATACTCATATACAGAAGAATACATTGACCCATAGCTATTCAAATTTTGGTCATACTCAGTTGTGGGCATAGAATCCTCACCAAATATTTGAAATGTTTTTGGGTCTGATAATGGTGAAACTTTCTTTTTTCCAAGATATGTTCCCGTGCACAGAGACTGTTTGTTGCTGCTATTACTGCTAGAATATACTTCTTTTTTATTTCTAGCTATTTCCTTGTATTTTGAAAGAATTGCAGCTTTTAGACTTTCTATCCATGGAATATACGCACTGTATATGCCCATTGGATCCATTTCATCGCAGTCACATCTTTCGCACAGAGGGATCCCGCCCACTTGCTTCAGTCTATTAAATAGTCTTTTGGCAGCATAATTGTATTTTGGGTATGAAGAATCTCCTAGACCAATCACTGCAAAGTAGAACTCAAACGCATTATTCCAACTCTTCCTCTTCAACTCTTTCCAGAATCTCTGCATGTTATATGGTGCATCTCCATCCCCCGTTGTGGAGCATACAAATATTACAAGCCCTCCTGTGAGTATATCTGACACATCCAAGGAGTCCATATCAAATATGGATATTATACAATTTTTACTGATTTCTTCTTTTTTCTCTACAATACTGCTTGTTGTCTTGGCTTCACTTACTTTTTCGGTATTTGGCCTGCTGTCCAATGTATTCCTATTATTAGATATCATTTGTCCTTCTTTGCCCATGCTATTTTGGCTAGTTTTCTGAATAAGCTCTTCTTGTACGATATTTGTGGCGGGTTTTATTCTCAATTCTTGTAGATTGCGCTTTAAAAGCTCTGCCACCTCAAAGGAGTTTCCAGAGTTCGATCCAACACCGACGGGAATAAAAAGCATCGAAAAATTGAAAATTGAAAATTAAATGACCCAAGCAATAAAGCAGCTACCAATAAAAGAATTCGACTCATCCCTAGAAAGGCTGGAAAAAGAGAATTTTGATTTAAAGCTGCAAATATCGCACCTTCGATCAAGGCTTAATGAGCTGACAAACTCTTCCCTCACGTTCATTCCAACCTGTGACTGCAAAAGAACAAAAACAGAGACAAAGGATGTTCTCTCTGAAGTAAAGGTAGAAATGAAGAACCTTCTTGACCAGAATGAAATGATAAAGTCACAGAATGCGGCCCTTCTAGAAAAGCTAGAAGAAGTCCAGTATGAAAATGAGTCTCTGCGAAAGGACTGCATAAAGCTTTCCCATCACATCAGCGAGAAAACAAAAAAGGAGTCAGAGAATAAAAATGTTCTTCAAGAGATGAAGGACGAGATAGAAACAGTAAAAGAAGAGCTGGAAGGAGTAGAAAAGATAAAGCAGCAGAATAAAATGCTAAAAGAAGAGTATATGGCCCTTGATAAGATATCAAAGAAATTAGAGACCGAGTACAAAGAAGAATACTCTACTTTTACAGCAGAAAATGCGTCTCTTAAGCAAATGAATGCTCATATAAAGGAAAGGATGAAGCAACTAGAAAGAGAGGTTAACGAAAAAAGTGAAATGAACCGGCAGCTATCAAATGAAAATCACGAGCTAAGCAGGGAAAAGATGGAATTACAGCAGAATATAAGAAATTTGGAATCTCTACGCCAGAACATACAAAGTCAATTATTGGTAAAAACAGAAGAGGCAAAAAAGGCAAAAGAGGTCGGAGAACAGCTTGTGAATGAAATAAGATCAAAGAGCAAGCACACGCAACTGCAGAAAGAAGAAGTAGAGAGAAGAGCGGAGGACATAATTAAAAACAGAGATGCAACAATAATCCAACTGAAAGAGTATTTAGCAAGGAGTACAGCTAAGATGCAGAATGTAAATATAAAAGTATCGACAGTTCAGAATGACTTGTGCCATTATGTTAAATACCTTACGTCACTGATCCAGAGGATAACAAAGATGTCAAATGAAGTGGATAGGTCTAAATCTCTGGTAGGTGCAACTCTTAACCAGTGCAGGTCAAAGATAGTTCATATAACCAATGATTACTCACATAAGCAAGACACAAAATTGCAAAAGGAAAAAGAGTCAATGCAAACCATTATACTTGATGCAAAAAGAGAAATTGAGAGAATAAAGGCGGAAAAAGACCGGCTGCTAACTGAAAGGGATGATTTGGTAAACAGGCTCCACATTGCCCCAAGCACTCTTAAAATAGCCAGAGATCTTGGTGTGAATGAATTTACTACAATAGATAACCTATTCATTACATGGAAAAATACACAGGAGCAATTGTTAAGAAATATAGAGAGAAGGCACAAGGAAGAAGAGGCTGGCAGAAACAACAAGTTAGAGGAGTTTCAGAAAAAGCTGGCTGAAGCAGTTGCCGAACTTAATTTCTGCCGGGCCTACCTTGAAGAAAAAAAGAATATAATTAAATCCATTCGAAAGCAGCAGGGCACGCCCTCTATTCTAAGCAGAATAGATGTATTGAATAAGTAAAATATTTTCGCATTAAATAGAATTATTAAATCTTTGTTTTATTGGTTTAAGCATAAATAGATTGTTTATTTAATTTTTAAGCCTTGATTTTAGTAGGCGAATGCTGGATTGCATCCCTTATGGCGAGAATATGCACCAACATAGTATTTAATATTATATTCTGCAAGGCTTAACTAGGTAGAGCAGTGCTTTAAAATTCCATAGATTATGGCACAATTTACCTACGCATATATCATAAGTTGCATTTAATTACGGTTTAAGGTTGTATACTAGACTAAACTAAATTTGGCTGTATACAACTGTTTAAACAAAGAAATCTACATAATATTGTCTATACCACATGTTTTACTGCTTTATTATATCCTCATACCTGTTTTTGCGTGTATTTCTTCTGGTATCATTAGAATTCTTATTTCAACAGGAGTGGGGATCTGCGACTTAAATCCCTGTGACCAGTCGTACCCAACAGCCACTGCCAAATACCTTCCTGTGCTGTTAAATGCTGTTGCTGTGACGCACTTATCTATTCCTGATGAGGTTGCGGTTGCCCCAGGGCCACCAATGGCTACTCTGCACTTTGCCTGTCTATTCCATAGCATAACTACACCGTCCGTTCCTGCTGTGAGAAGAGTCATAGGGAATGCTGGGTGATAATGTACTGAGTTAATTGGGTATGCATTTCGATCAGATGAGTTTTGCTTGCATCTAAAGGAGTAATAGAGTGTGCTTAATCCATTTCCTGGCCGCACTGCAACAATCTCTGCTTTTGACCCAGTAGTTCCTACTATTGCATCCTGTCCATCATTAGAGCAGGAAACACTTCTTAGCTGCCACAGGCTTTTCAGTTGGTACTTTGAGGCTGTCTGGATGGTTCCATACCCCATTGAGGACCCAGGCCTAAGCTTGTTCTGGTATGCGCTGTTTGTTGGTACTTGTATTTTCTCTAGGGTGTACACATCGTATGAAACAATATTATTGCTCAGCAGAATGGTAATAGTGCTCATTTTACTGTCCATTCCGCAGACTTTTTCCTCCATTAATATCTCCTTTGGGGGTGCCTGCGGGTTATTTATATTCCAGACCTTAACAGTCTTATCCCAGCTTCCTGTGACTAGAGTTCTTGCGCTTGTAAATGTCATTGAACTAACGGCCAGTGAGTGCCTGCCAAGCTCTGAAAGATTTCCTGTGCCCATGTCAACAGCACGCACAACACCATCTGCACTTCCTGTAAACAGGTACATTCCATCGTTAGAAAAACAACTGCACAGAATAGGCGACCCATTTGGATTCGGTATTGATGTTTTAAGAGCCATTGACTCGTGCACGCTTGGGTTGGTTGGCATGTAAATGTAGACAGACCCATCCCAAGAACACGCCGTAAGAATATCACTCATTGGGCTGTATTTAATTGACGAAATACTATCAGTAGGTGGCTGCTGTACTAAAAAGTCAGAGAGCATCACTTCCTTATTTCCCTGCATGCTTGTGGTTGTATTTGGATTGTACATTCTCTTATAAAGTCTTAAAATTTTTCATGCTTTTCACTCTTTCATTTCGAAAAGCAGTACTAACTACTCTTCTCCCAAGACAAATACACTCTGTTTTAGCAGAACTCGCACAGACTCACGCCCCGCCCTCATTTTACTTTCTATTTAAAACCGAAATTTACTCTTTTTAGCAATATACAATATATTTGTATAAATAGTCAAAGAAGAACCGACTGAAATAGCCAGATATATTTTAAACTCATATAGTACTTCTTCTATTTTCTTTGCCTATACGTAACCCGAAATTTATAGTTCTACAAATATTTTTAGCTACACAGAATCCATAATTGTCATTAATAATTCCCTACACGCATCAGTATCTACTATAGGTGCTATTGGCATTAAAGTTAACCATGAATGTACAGTCAGAATAATGCACTTAGCAATAGCAAAAAATTCAAACAATAATCAGGGTTTATACCCAACCATAAATATACTGCTTAAATGTTTTCAGGTTGTGTTGCTTGCCATATATACCAAATAACCCGAATTTAGATTTTTATAATAATATTATTAATATTTAAATAGTTATGTTCTGCTTTAAAATATTCCAGAATATTCTTCATTTTTATTATTTATTTCTAGCTATATTTACTCTGTGCAGTATTTATTATTTTTTACTAAATAAATCGTATTTCTAATAAAAATAGATTTTTTTCTATTTAAATAAATTTTTTTAATCATTTCAATATGATTCAATCACGGAAAGCACCAATCAAGAAAATAGTATTGATATTATCGACTGTGCTAGTAGCTGGAATATTAATATTATTGCCAGTACTGTACATGAGAAACAAGCCAGTAACCAAGGCAGATGCCCCTATGCAAATTTTAATAGATGAAATAGATGACACATGCGAGCCAATTACTCGAAAGGATGCAACTGTTTTACCATTCGTAATTAAGGGAACATTCATACACACACCAGGAGTGTCTTCTGTCTATGAGAAGGAGAACATCATCCCAATTAGATCGCTAAAAACTGAAGAGAAGATCAAGAGCAAGCCCGGCCTTTTCCAAAAAATAAAGAAGTGCTTCAGAAGAAACAGCCAAGAGACAAATAAAGTACCTGAAATGCCAACTGAGGAAGAAAAGATAGATCAGTTAAACAGCACAAAGAACATTCTTACAAACTACGACATGTCTTTTATTAAGAAAATTAATGGAATGAAGTCTAGAGAAAAACAGATGAGTATTTTAGAAATAAGAAAGATGATTCTTAAACTAGCAACTGTTCTTCCATCTAATGTTTCTTTATTAGATGAGTCTTCTGATCTTTTCTGGCTAACTGTGTACTGCTCTGGTGACTTATTGGTTGACTGGATGGCATACACTTTAAGTGCTGAAGAACTGAAGAGCATAAAGAACGAAGTAGAAGAATTATTCAACTCAACAGAAGATTCATCTGTTATTAGATCTGAGCTATTCAAGATTCTGAAAGGATTTATTACAAAGGTATCCAGCAACACTGGTCTGGGTGGGCAAATAACCGAGGCAAGAGAGTCTACTACCGCAATACTAAAGGCATACAAAGAAACCCAGGAAATGATTAACGGCTTAGAAGAGTCATGTGAGACAGAGAAGCTTTTCTTATCTCTTGACGTTCTTTCATACCTCATCCCAATGACCAAAGAGTCAAATGATATAATTTCTAAGACTGTCAGCAATGTACAGAGAAGGCTTATCAATATGACGGAAGGCATTAAAGTCAGACAAATGAACGAGTACTTATGCATTACCAAAAAGTACAACTCTGAAATAATTTCTGCAATTAACTTATACATGAGATTTATTGCCGATTTAGAGCAATACGTTGGAATTAGCACTGTTGAAATTGAGAATATTAAGAACATTGAAAGAATTAACGAGTCTACATACGCATACGACTTTAAGTCAGATGCATCTGCTTCTCAAGTAATTAAAGGTGCAAACACAATAATTACAAAGGCTAACGCATTATTTAAACAGTACATTCATCTTTTAAGCATAAGAGACAAAGAAAACGACTACTCAATTTTCATTCTGGATGACAATGCTGTTATCCCAGAAGAAGTAATTAGCTCAGAGGTATCTAATGAAGAAAACTCTAATGAAACACCAGTACAATCAATAGTTGAATAAACATTTAGTTTCTAATCCTACTAATCACATTAACTCTACTCCAATTTTTCTATTAAAATCCAGTCTATAAACATAATACTATGCACTGCATTAGACTAATATTGATACTGCAATGCACTAGAAAATAGATTCTTTGTATTAAGATGGGCGACCATTTCTTTACACTTTACTTTAAATTTTGTATATATACCTCTAATAATTATATAACTAGAAACACTATCACAATCTACTCTTTATTTAAGAATCATTTACCAAAAGAGTTTAATCCTAAGCTTTAATCTGACATGAAATTGCTTCTTTCTTATTGGTTTATCATTGTATGCGCTGGCTTTTGTGGCAAAATGGACCACTTATCCTATTGATGAATAAATATTCTGTATAAATCTATTTTATAAAAGATTTTAAAGGCGTATTCTTATACAGATCAGGGATGAGGCTGCACATACTGATTTGCGCTGCATATTGTTATCATTCTATATGTGTTTACACAGTATTATGCACTAAATTCTGAAACAGTGTTACTAATAAATACATACATTAAGTAAACATTAAATGAAATTAGTTCTTATTCTGGCACTGCTGAAGACTCACATTGGAAAAGTGCTAGAGTCTGTTAATAATCCGCTGTTATATTTAGCAACCGATGGCTCAACTATCCAACTAAGCCCGGTTGAGCACACGATCAAAATAAAACGCAGAAGGATATACATAAGAAAAGATAAAGAATATTACACAATAGGTGTAGAGCCGGATGAAACAAAGATATTTGTTAAAAAAGAAGTCAGCCCAGTATACTTAACCCGAAAGTCAACAACCACAACGCATGAGGAGTATAAGCCTGGGCAGGGCAAAGAGACGTATAAGGAAATACACTACAGACCATATAATAAACCAGAATTACCTTTAGCAGTGCATACGGAATATCACTTTCATGGTGATCCTAGAATGGCACGCAATCCGCATGAAGATAGCCGCCCGCCTGAGAACACACGGCCTGTGGATCGCTATCCGCCTAGGCAGTCTCCTCCGCCTCAATCTGACGAGCCGTATAGGGAAAGAGAAAATCCGTATGAAAGCTCTCCTTCTTATAAAAGCCTGCCTAGAAACGCGTCTTATACAAGCACTTATACGCATATGCCCAAGCGAGAAGAGCGCTATAAGGAAGAGATGCCACATCCAGAAGAGGTGCCGTATGGGCCGCCTCCTTTTACGTACATGCCGCCACACCAGCCATATCCATATGCGCCAGTTGAGTTTCCTCCATACCCTCCCCCTATTCCACCAATAGAAGCGCATAGAGAAGAGTTAGATGAAAAAGAAATTGAAAGTGATTTTGGTATAAATATTAGTCCATTTGATGTGAAAATAGTGGAAGAAGGCGGAAGAATAATTCATCTGCGCCGAGAAGGGAACAATCACTGTCTAAATTACACAGGAAATCAATTCTCATTTAAGCCGTGCAGTAATACAGATGACATAATTAGATTTCGGGTGCTAGAAAGAGATAGTAAATCAGACAAAATAAAAACATCGAGTCCTCCAAGGCCACATGCATACAGTCCACCTCCGGTGGTACATATGCCTGTTCAAGAAGCCACCCATGAAATAATTCGAAAGCCGCGTGCTCGTGTAAGAAGGAGTATTCAAAGTCTTAGAAATGATCTTAAAAGGACACGGGATGAAATAGAGTCTATAGACTCTGAAGATCTAGTCTCTAGCGACTCTCTAGACTATTCCTCCAGTGAGCCAAGAAATAGTAATCATATTGTCAAGCACATAGACGTAGTTAGTCCTAAATACAAATATAAGTTAGACTTGGGAAAGATTAATATGCCAAATTATTCTAGACAAGCAGACACTATGTATGATAGTATAAAGAGTAACTTAGACACCATGGGCACTCTTTTGAATCAGTCTAGTACACTGCAAGTGCCTAAGTATGTGAAGACTCACAGACGAATTGTTAGGCCTGTTAAACAGCGGGTTGTTACAACTGTTCCCGAGGAAATCTCAGAGGATGAGGCTATAGAGAAGGCCATATTGAGCTGGAGTAGAAGAAAAGAAAAAGCAAAAAGAAATCCATTAGAAGAGGATTATCTTTCTCTAAGAAAAAAGAGAAAAAGGCTTCACAAAGAAAGAGAGGAGATGGACAGAGAAAAAGAGAGAATGGAAAGGAAAGAGAAAGTTAGAAAAATAAGAATAGAGCCAGAAGAAGACAGTGACAGTGAGGGTTTTTCTACCAGCACTGCCCATAAATTAACTTATAAGATGAAAAAACCACGCCCTGAAATGTATATGCATGTGAAAAAAGAGAAGTGGCCAGATCTTAAGGATGATATGTATGCTGAAAAGGCGTATGATTCATCTGACAGCTATTCTGCCAGTTATTCTATGAATGCTGAACCACATAAGTTTAAGCATACTAAGATTTCTTCTGCAGCGATGCAGATGCCAACTCAATTCACTGCACATACTATACACAAACCGTTTATTAGAATGGCCAGGCCCCATCCTAAGCAGGTGTTGTTACACCCTATTCATGAAATACATGTAGACCATGCTAAGGAAATGGTTGCTCCACTGAATACTTCTGTTACACTTCCTGCAATGCATTCGCCTGCACCAGTGCACCAGATAGTTAAACCTACTCCTATGGTGATACACTCTCCGCATATAGAGCATGTTACACATATACCACTAGCTACCCCCATTACCCCGATTACTCCCATTGCGCCTATTACTCCTACACCAATGCCCACTATACAGGCTCCTTCTATTTCTGTGTCTAGTACTGAAAGTATGCCAATTTCTTTACAATCCCCTACTTCGATATCTGCCATACCGCCAGCTTCACCTGCCACAATAGCCACGCCTCCCATGTCAAGTGATGCAAATGCAGTGAATAATTTACTATCCTCATACTTCTCACCAATTAGTACTAACCTAGTGGATAGCAAGCTTTCTTCTCCCACTGCCAATAAGTTTACACTTCCTCCTATTTCTACGAAGAATACAAATCCATTCGCTTCTACATTGACCTCGACAGACACAAAGCTCTCTGACAACAAGAAATCAACTGCTTTGAAGAAGAAAACATCCAAAGCAGAGGTCTCCTCTATTCCAAAAACAGATAGTGGGTTAATTGATAACCTTACTAATGACATACTAAAAAATAATCCATTCAATATGCAGTCTGGATTATTGGGCAATAACCCCATGGACGCAAATCTATTTAATTCTAGCCTAAATTCGTCTTTACTACCAAGCGCAGCAACTAGTAAAGATACAAGTATGTTTAGTGGGCTTGGCCAGAACTCGCTACTAAGCAACACAGCTTTATCTTCTAACCCGGCCCCTAAGCCAGCAGAAAATAACTCTTTTGGCCTAAATGGTCTTATGTCAAACCAATTTAATATGAACTCAGCAGACACATCCTCTATGATTAACTCAAGTAGTAGTCTTATGAACAGTCCATTTTCTGCTAATAGCAACACTAATCCATTTGGAAATAATTTTAATGACTCTATCAGTAAAAACCTAACTAAGTCATTAGATAACTCTAGCACAGCCAACAACACTGCAGCAGCCAAACCAGTTGATAACACTATGCTATATACAGACACTCTCCTGAATAGCACGCCAAGGCCTAAAGTAGAACAGAACTCTATGGATTTATTACAGAATAATCTTCAGAGCCTATTTGGAGGCGGCACTGATAAAGAAGACAGCATTACAGTAAATGGAGTTCCACATACAGCTAATACATAAGAGTAAGTCAAGATAGATTGCTTAATTATAAGTACACATAGATATTCTTAATCTTTATCGTAAATAAATTATAACAATTATTACCTTTCTAAATAAAAGTTGGCTCTGCTTATTCATATAGTGAATATACTTCATTCTTTAACCGGAAACAACTCTTACTCCTTCACTACCTTATTGTAATTTACCTAATCATACTATAAAATATTTATTTTTATATTAATAAGTATTTTCATTCTGTTATATTTTTTTGTCATTTTCTAATTTACAAATTATATTTCTATGCATTTTTAAGTAAGAACCAGTTTTCTGTGTACCTCTCTCTATAAACAAATAGATATAAAGTGTGCTTTTCAGACTATTTCGATTTAATAGATATAACTAGAAATTGATCCATAATTCCTTTATACTGATTGTATACTAATATTATTTTATACCAGACTTTGTTTATATAATAAGTAGTTCATTCTTTTATTATTGAAAAATCACTTATTATATACCCACTGTGGATATTTTTATTGAAAAATCACTTGAAAGCGACATAAATAGAGCTATAGTTGCGGCTATGATGACCAAACAAGCGAATATAACTGCTAGCGTGAGCCATACATCCGAGTTAATCTTTTTATTCTTTTCTTTTTTTGTTAATTCGCTTTTTATACCTTTATTAACTCTTTCCAAAAGAGTAAGATGTTCTTCTGTGGTAGAATTAATAGGTGGTCTATTGAATCCCTGATCTGTCTGTGCTGGTTCTTGTTCTATAGTAATAGTACAGGTCTGCCCCGCTCCTTCATTCATAGCTTCTTGTCCGTGGAGTGTAGCTTGATTCATTTTCAACGGTAAAAAATAATTTAATATATAACCCGAATAAAGGATAAATTATTTTTTAATGCCTAAAAATAATAATTTCGAAAGCACCCACGAAAAAATAATTTTCTATAAAGTTTTAATAATTTTATTCTAGAAAAATGAATACCGCAGTTAAAACAACCCCAAAGCAAATGGAATCAACCTATGTTATGATAAAACCAGATGGCGTAAAAAGAAGATTAGTTGGAGAAATTATCTCTAGAATAGAGAGAAAGGGATACAACATCTCATACATCCAGACAGACTTCGCCACTGAAGAAATCCTTAGGGAGCACTACAATGAACTTGTCTCAAAACCATTCTTCCCAGGTATAATTAAGTACATGACCAGTGGACCTGTAGTTAAGCTAATTGTAACAGGGCACGAGGTGGTTAAAGGCATGAGAAAGCTTCTTGGTGCCACAAACCCAAGAGAGGCTGATCTAGGCACTATTCGTGGTGACTTGGCCAACTGCGTTGGAAAGAACCTTTGCCATGCATCTGACTCTGTGGAGAATGCCCAGAGAGAAATAGGCATATGGATAAACCAGGAACTACTTAAAAATGAGTTCCCTATGGATGACTACAACTTAATATACGAGAAATAATAAATTTCAGATTATTCCCGTATCAAATATGAAGAATCTTGTTTGTTTTGTTGTTTACTAAGTTATTTGTTTTTATACTGATATAATATGGTCTGTTATTTAGGATTAACTTATCCTTTACATTTTAAATTATTTTTATATTTCTTTCTTATTATTTATTGTAAAGTGTTCACTTTTATGTAATAAGTATAATATAAATAATGACAATTAAAAATTAAAGTATTCCATATTTAAAGCAACTTATAAAAAAGAAAAAAACAATTACCAGAGAGAATCATTAAAATCCAATCTATATAGGAGATAAGCACAGTATGTTCAGAAACCATCTGAAAATTATAGTATTTATTATAAGTTTAATAAGAGTAATATGCCAATAGAAATGGAAATTCTTGCTATTATATGAAATGGCATACAATATACATTAACATACCAGATTATTATATGTATTTTTGTGTACGTGATTTATTCTATGCTGATTATGAAATACCTTGAAATTTACTGATAGTATAAATTAAGTCTATTTCTTCTGATGTATCCAGAAATGTTTATGTTTAGCACTAGAGTTATTGTATAAGTAAAACTTAGCACGTAATATATATTAAATTATTTAAAAAGAATATTTGCGTGTGTAAATGTACTTCTATATGCAATAATATATTTATAGTAGAGCAATTAGTCTTTTTAAATTGAATAGTCCGGAAATGCAGTATAATCCATCATTCATAATAAAATATTATTAGATTTTTTATGAATAACAATACAGACGGAAAAGACACTCTCCTGAACAAAATGAAGAAAGCTAAGTCTTTCTTTGATACAGTACCAACAGAAAAGAAGCCATTACTTCCTCAGGAGATTAAACTAAAAGAACCCGAAAAAACAGTATCTTCTCCTGCTAAGCCAGCAGTGCCAGAGCAGCCACTTCTTTTCTCGGCGCATGGGACGCTTTACAAGAAACATGAAGCCAAGTGGGTAGAAATCAGCCCTGGGCAGATCCAAGGAAAGCCACTGCCAAACAAAAGAGTACAGCTACTGTTTGTGTTAAATAACACCCGGATAGTGCTTAATTTACTAATTTTGGACATTTCCCACATAAAAATAACGGGCAGCACAGTGGTATTTACAGGACTCGATGAAAACAAGCAGCCGTGCACAGGGTGCGTTCGAATAAGCGAAAAGGATGCACAGGCCATAGAAGAGACAATAAAAGAGGAGCAAAAAAGTAGCTGCATCTAAAAATAGAAGCAAAAAAGTGTAAAAAATGTCGCCACCCGGGATCGAACCGGGGACCTCATCCGTGTAAAGGATGCGTGATAACCACTACACTATGGCGACACACTATACGGTAAACAAGGCGATACATCCTGCGGGTATGTAACAGATTTTCTACATTGAAGTAATAAATAGTGACGGTTTCTATAGTTACCTTTACATAAGACTTACTGGCAAACAACAGAATGGAAATTGAAAAGACCGTAGCTGGAAATGCTCCACCAGAGATTTCAGTGCCAAGCTCAATTACTCTTTCTATTTTATCAGTTGCCTTTGCCACAACATATCCTACAATTCTTTCCTGCATTATGTCTGATCCCGACCAAGTATTTATCTCTTTACTCGCCGGTGCATTTTCGTTTCTGACAATTCCGGGAACCAACTCAAGGGCCAAGCTAATTGGTGCGTCTGTGCTTTCTCTGCCGCTTTTTTTCATAGTGGATGGGTACCTCCGAGCATTTCTTATAGGATTTCTGCAGGCGTATGGACAAACAGTGGCAGAAATCCACACAGCGCATCTTTCTTTATTTTCATTTAGAGAAGCCGCACTTTCCCAGCTGGGGATTCTTCTAACAATGCAAACCTGCATGATTTTCTTTTTCTTGTCATTCCTGCCTGGGTTTGAAGGTGTGTGCAAGTCATTTATTTTCGTGTTTTGTTTGATAATGCTGGAAGTTCTGGCAGTTGTTCTTCTTGTACCTGAGCCGCCATCTGAGATGATTGTTAGCAATAACTTAAACGTGCTTTATAACGAAGTGTATTACGCACTAACAAAGCTACTGGGAAATACGCCATTCTACCACTTCCACCGGGAGTATACTGAATTAGTTGACAAATACAACAAGCCAAGAGTTCCTGCACACTTGAAAATTAGTACTATTCTAGAAAAGGTAAATATATCTTTTATTTCCACAGGCGTGGGTGGGCTACTCTCTACCACAACTAATAACATATATCTGATCATCTACTGCAGTCTTAGTATGTTCAAGTGGGTGTTTAGCAACCAGCACAACAAAGAGTATATTATTCTAAGCACAGTAAGTGTTGGTATAGTTCTTCTTACTATGATAGTATACAATGTAAAACCAATATTCATTATTCTTATAGGAATGAGTCTTTATCTAGTTCCATCCAGCGAAGGATATTTGCAGCTTGATAAGTGCCTGATTGGGGTGTCTAACAGTATAAGAAATGCACTTGGTATGTTTGTATTTATGATTCTATGGAGAGAGCAAGTATTGGGCTGACTCCCACACCAGAAATGCACACTAGAAATGAGATGTTCGAAAAAATCTCAGTGTGTAAATAAGCACAGAATATTCTAGCACTGTATAACAATAGCGAAAAACCCAGACAGAAATTACTTAAAAAAAGAAGTTATTTACAGCGCAAGCACTCTACTTTTATAAACATTTGAATTTCGAAGTTCGTGGTTTAAAGAAATCAATTAATTGTATTTCCGGTTGTATTTTAAAGCAGAGAATACTGGCCAAATAGGACTGCAGGCGGCTACTATTAAAATACTTCCAATTGGCTATTATTTATAGAATGAAATATAATAAATAAACTATTTATTCTTATGAACCAGGGAGAATATACTACTTTTTGGAGGATTTCTTTGATTTACCCGATGGATTACCTTCTTCAGCTTTATTATCGCCTTTTTTGGATTTCTTGCTTCTCTTTCTTGATTTACTATTTGGCTTTGTGTCTTTAGATTTTTTGCCTCCTTCTTCCTCTTTTGCATTTATGGCTGCTTCTTCATCATTATTTTCGGGTTTTTTGCTATCTGTAGTTTTTTTGTTTCCTTCTTTCTCTTCTTTTTCTCCATCTTCATCTCCATTTTTATCTTCATCATTCTCTACTAGACCCTGTGCTTCTTTTAAAGCTATTCCTGCGGGTGTTGCCCCAGCAATTCTCTCTCCCGCACCGATGGCCTTTGAGAAAAACGGGCCTAGAAAGCTATTTGGCTTATCACTAGTGCTATTTTCGCCGTTTTCTTTCTTATCTTTGTCGTTTTCTTCTTTTTCTTTCGTGGATCTAGTGCTAGTTATATATGCTATTATTACTATTACTGCTATTAAGAACTTATTCATACTTTCTATTGACAGCTGTATATTTATAGAAAAGACTATCACTTTAGCTAAAATGCCCCAACCAAGAATAAGCAAACTCACGAATCAGATGGCATCACTATAAATATGATAGAAATGAAACCTGCTAAGACTTATTGGCCAATAAAATTCGCAAAAACGGCCAATTGTCTATTTATAAAGTTTGCAGTGCATGCAGATTAATCTTTACCTATTGAACGATCCAATTGCCAAAGGAAAGCGTTCTACAAATTATATACAGTTAACAGAAAGCATTGCGCACTGAATATCATATAAAGAGTACAAATTGTAGAAATTTCTACCCCTTTATTATCTCCTAATTTTTTCTTATAAAAGTTCAATTTCCTGTCCATTATGTATTAGCAGAATAATTAAAGTGTACACATAATAAATAAGACAATGTAAAGGCTTTTTAAAAATATAAAATTGTTTCTGTGTATTTTTGCTGTCTATCCGCATAAACAAACTACTTATGAGCCTGCTTAGAATTATGTTGTATTATATATGCAGACTGGATGTGCCTAACATAATAATAAAGTGTCTTGAATCTAACCACATACAAACACATATCTCCATTTCATATTCTGTTGAAAAGTATCCAGAAATTACATTTATTTCCAACAGAATATATGTACTTCAGATACTTCTTGTTATAATAGTAAAGAGGCAATCTATCCCTTTATTCCGCCTATTGGGGCCAGTCTGCACACCTTATTTGACAGCCCAGACTCTTCGCAGTAGTCAACCACTTTCTTTATACATTTGTATGCTTTGCTAGACTCTTCTCTTATTTTGTTGATATTTTTAACGCGCATGGATACATCGGCACTTTCTAGTTCGTTTTTCAGTCCTTCTTGTGTAATTTCTTTATTAGCATCTTTCCTTCGCAAAATTCGGCCTGACCCGTGGCAGGTAACATAGTCCACAGACTCCCCGTTTTTTCCTGCTGAGAGCACATAGCTACCAGTGCTCATGGACCCCCCCACAGATACAACATGAGGATATATTGTGCACTTGTTAGAGTCATCTGGCATACTAGACTCCGAATTGTATAAAGACGTCTTATTAATATCTCTCGCAATGCTCCTTTCTTTGTCCCCATATGGAAGAATCTGCGTACTCCCCTTTCTTATCCTAAGCACTTTTTTGCCATCTCTTTCTTCTAATCGCACAATATTATGTGCAGAGTCACTTATTACTCGCATTGTGATGCTACTGCCGCTTTTTATGTTTCTCACTCCCCGGGTGTCTTTAACCTCTGTCTCCTCGGTATCTCCCATGCTTTGTTCAAATGTTTGTTTTAGAGCTTCTTCTACCTCTCTTCCTATCATGACTCGGTTACAGAATGCAAAGTTACTACATGCATTTACCATCTCAAAGTAGTTTTCTGCCATGGGATCATTAATTGGTATTTCCACCTTTTCATCATGCACATACTTACTTTCACATCTCATGCACTTCTTTAGTAAGTCTGACACTGCGCCGCCACCAACCGACCGACTGCCAGTATGCACAGATATACAGACCATATCAAGCTCTAGCCCCAGCTGCTTACATATTTTATCATCAAATATTTCATTCACTACCTGTATTTCAACATAGTGGTTTCCATTTCCTAGCGTCCCCAGCTGTTTTTTTACTGCTGCCCTCGGGGCTTGTCCCAGCAGCTTTTTAACATTACTAACAGGAAGACACCCTTGTGACTCAGTGCACATAGCATCCAGTTCTGTGGCCATTCCTAGCTCTATTAGATAGGGAATTCCTCGCTCAAGGATTTTATCTGCATCAATCTCTTTTGGAAGCGGGCACGGCCTGTCGATTATTCCTATCTGCTCAAATGCACGAGTCATAAAAGCCTCTCTAAAAGGAAGAAACTCGCTTTTTTTGATGTTTGTGGCCCACAACCTGACCCCGCAGTTTATGTCAAATCCTATCATTTCTGGCACAACCCTGCACTCTGGATGTGTCGGGTCAAATGAGCAGGAAATCCCCACAGGAAACTCTTTTCCTGCATGCGCATCAGGAAGTGCAATAAGTCTTGTGAGATACGGCCTTTCAAGCATTTGAACTAGCTGATCCAGCAGAGTGTCGCCAGAATCTCCGTCAGTTAAGATATGATAGTACTCAGATGGCGAGTAGAACATCCCGGCTGTTGTATTAAGAGTGCTTTGTAATATCGTCAAATGATCCCCAGTCTGGTTAATCTGTATGTCCTTTAGCATGCCATTTTTTTTGCTTTCTGCAATAGAAGCCTTCAAATCGTTTAAAAAGTCTTTCATTATCTACTGGGGCACAAAATAATTTTTGCTTTATTTGTGTCTGGTATAATTACTACTGGCTTACTCAAAAAGGAAACTCAGTAACTATTTTTATGGAGTTATTAGAAAAGACCAATTTAATCCGTCTCTCTCTTAAATAGTCATCTATGTATAAATATATTCTTACTGCACATACAACATCTATATTTTAAGATTATATATGAGGAATGTGACATAAAGTAAAAATAAAAGCTGTCAATCACAAGTCTACAATATTTACTGATCTGAAACCTTTCGAAAAGCGCACACAGTGCATGTCATAACTTCTAAATAAATATCTTAAATAATTTTTATTTCTATCCCTGCAGATAAGACAATAAGAGGATGAAGAGACTTGCACAGAATAATTTTTTTAAGTAAGACAGAATGCATTACATAGACAAATAATTATTTCTTATTGCATATTCATTACTAAAATTATGTTTAAATACATATAACCCGAAATACTGCACGAACATTTGTAGATTTAAGTCTAATTATTCTTTTCGTATATCTCAAAGTACCTTTCGTACTCACTTTCACTCATTCTCTCCTTGTCTTCTTCTGTTATGTCTTTGTACAGCTTAGGCACTCCTTCTACCTCAACTGTTTCCATGCCTATTTCAGAATTCTTGCTAGTTGGGTCATTTGCTCCTTCTTCCTTCTCATTTGAAATAACTGCTGCTTCTTTTTCGCTTTCAATTTCTATTTCTGGTATGCTTATTTTTTCTTCAGTCTCCTCCTCTGCAAATAGTAATTTATTAGTGGAGTACTCTCTGCCCTGCTCTTCGGGCGCGTCTGCATCCTCTTGCATAGCAGAGGACTTTCTTGGCGCAGATTCTATTCCAAGGCTTTCTATTTCCTTTAGCAGAATAATAATGCAATTTACTTCTTCCATTAGCTTTTTGAATATATCTGAAGCAAGCGTCTTCTCATTTTCAGAACTTTCCTTCTTCTCTTTCAGCTCGCTTCCACAGTCGCTGCACCTGAATGTAAATGTGGTGCTGTCCAGAAGAGACTGCACGTCCAGAAGAGAGTGGGATATGTCGCACTTCTCGCAGTGATACATGATTTTTGTTTCTTTATCACGCATTTTAGTCTCAAGCTGTTTTGTCATGACAAATATCTTGTACTTCACAATATTAATGATCTGTGCAAAGTTTAAAGAGAATGTAGTCTTTGTTGTCTGCATGCCATCTGGCTTTATATCGTTTGTGGTGACAGAGGAGAGGATCTTGTCGTCCTTCAGTTTTACTGCCAGCCGGTTAAACTCCCTTGGAAGAAGCTTCATCTTGTCTGCCAGGTCGTCTTCAGAGAGTACCATGTGGTTCAGCATTATGTCCATTATGACCACGTGGTGCGGCTCATAGAACATTCTTGTTATTCGCTTGATCAGCTCTTCCATTGGGCTGTTCGCAGATGACATAGAAGAGATACAAAAAACTTTGCATATATTCCACAGAGACAAAGACGGTAGAAGCAGAGCAGGCAACCCAAACAAGATACGGGGACACGGAGAGCATCTGTGCATAATATGTGTCGGGGGACTAGCTCAGTGGTAGAGTGTCCGCTTTGCATGCGGAAGGTCGGGGGTTCGATCCCCTCGTTCTCCATTTTTACTTTTTTTTGCACCTCATCCCTGTATAATATGGAAGTAAAAGAGCGCAAAGAAGAAAACACCGCGGAAGATCATACTCTCGAAACAGAAGAAGAGCAAATCCGAAAAAGAAGGGAAGAGTACACAAAGCTGTCAGAGAAAGACGAGATTATTTTCTCTGCCTCTGCGATTCTTTACAGGTTCCAGCTGGAAACCAAGTCCTGGGTTGGGCGTGGAAAGGGAAAGCTGCGTGTTTCTCTTGAGCCAACTAGCAAGAAGTACAGAATCACTCAGATTAGAGAGAAAGTATTCAAGCTTGGGTGCAATCACTACATTGAGGCAGCAACTGTTCTTTCAAAGTATCCACTGGCAGAGCACTCTTGGATATGGACTACATTTGGAGACGACTGTGGAGATGGTTTAGACCGAGCACAGAAGTACCTGGCTAGATTCTCTACTTTGGAAGAGGCAGAAGATTTCTTTAATGCGGTTGAAAAGGGACGAAAGACCGCCGAGGGCGCCAAGAAAGACCCAGTTTCTGAGAAGAAGGATGTTAAGGATGTTGAATCTGAGAAGAAGGATGTTAAGGATGTTGAATCTGAGAAGAAGGATGTTAAGGATGTTGAGTCTGAGAAGAAGGAGGCCAAGGATGTTGAGTCTGAGAAGAAGGATGTTAAGGATGTTGAGTCTGAGAAGAAGGATGTTAAGGATGCCAAAAAGTCTTCTGACTCTGGCGTAGAAGCAAAGGAAACACATGAGAAAGAAGATGTTAACTCCGAGAAGAAAAGCAGCAAAAAAGATGAAAGCTTTTAGATGAACTGGAAAGAAGCTTGCTTGGAACAGTTCTTACTTGATTGATCATTCATTAATAGACAAATAAAGGCTTTTGTTCTAACTATATCTTAAATATGCAGTGGGTTCGTGTAAGAAGCACACAACTAGTAATTTGTTTATTAAAACAGACTGCTGCATATTTTTATTTGTTCTCTTTTTATATTATTATTACTGGGCAGTAAATGTGCAGATTATGCTTACTAAGTGACTTTAAATTTGAAATGACCAAAAATTATTAATAAGGTTATTTAATCTGTTTGTATGCAGTTTCATTTTCAGAACTACTAGGCCTTTTAGCTTTTATATTGTTATAAAACAATGTTTCACAATTACAAATTGTAAAGGTTAAATTAATACTTCTTTGTGTTTTCAATGAGAACAGTAAAAGAGAAATTTACGCAATCTTTCCTTCTTCTGAAAAGATCGTTAGAAATAAAAACTCTTCCAGAGAAGAAAGAAAATTCTCCAACTGTAGCAGATTTGCTTAAAAAATTGAGTGAAATAGAAAGTAACAGCATAGACAGGAACCTTCTTATACAAAGCACTGAAAGAAAGGACAAAGAAATAGAAGAAATAAAGGAAGGGATTGGATCTCTTTTAAAAATAGCGAATACTCAAGAGGAAGCCAGAAAAGAGAGAAAGCAACAGAATGAGATAAAAACCCAGGAATATTTGGAAAAGCTTGAGAAGATGGTATCTTCTAGTTCTTCATCATCAAGTTCTTCTTCCAGCTCGTCCTCAAGTTCTTCATCAAGCCCGTCTTTCTCTTCTTCTAGCTGTGACAGAGAGTGTGATGAGAAACGGGAACAGAAGAATGATAAAAAACCCGCGGAGGATGATACTGATTGTGTGCTGACCAAATATATAAATTCACTCTTTGTGCAGAAGCCATTAGAAAAAGGAAAGCCTTCCGTGCAAAAGAAAGATCGCATTCCGCCAAGTAAATGTTCTGCAGTAGCAGAAGATTCAAATACCAATATGAAGAACACTCTTAAATCCTCTGTAATGTCTTCTAATAAGACGAGTGATAAGAAAGGCGCGCCTTCTGGGATTTCAGACGAGAAGAATCTGCGCCTTGTTCTTACTCCAAATAAACCGAGTAAGGGAGCATCTGCAGAGAAACCCACAAAGAACACCAGAGCACATGTGCCCACTGCTTCTAGTAGTGCAATTCCTGTGGCCAAGCAGGTGGTCCCTATTGTTATTGGCGGCAAGATTCGTGCTAATTCTTCTTCTATACCAGAACATGTTCCAAAAAACAATCCGCCTGTAGAGGTTAGTTCTACACCAGAAAGCAGCCCCAGCACAGATGTATCTATCTCCAGCCCAACTTTTAGTAACCCAGAATCTGATCGAGTAGAGGACAAGCTGCAGTTCATTAGCAAGCAGGGAACTGTGGAAGACGATGCCAGGCTATACGGGATGATCACTAAAACTATTGAAAAAATGAAGGAAAGAAAAGATTTTGAGGCCATAAAAATGTCCATGCAAATGGACATAGCAAGGAAGTACATAAAAGACTTTATTGACCTTAGAATAGCCATGCAGAAAACCCAGCCAGATGTAACAAAGCAGGATAAAAGAAATAAGCGAAAGAGACAGCAGCGAACATTCGACTAATCTGCGCAATACAACTATCCCACTTTTATTTTAAAATAAATCTCATATTCTAGCATTACAATAAAAGCTGAATTTTCTACTCTATTCAATATTTAAGTCTGCCGTGCTATACTATCTGCACTATATAACTTCTTTGAGGTGTATAGATTGTGCTTAACCATGAATGCGCATAGCATTCTGTTTGTCTAGTAGTATATATGGTGCTCTTGCTATCTTGTGTGCTTGATGGTTTGAGATGTACTTTCACTATAATAAAATTATATTTTTGGAGTATACTTTTCTTTAAAAGTCTTCACTGTACATAGTTTTTTCTGAAGAGTTTAATATAAAACAAAAATATTTAAGGCATAAATAATATTTTAATAAATGATGCATGGTTCACATATACATTTGTTTCGGCACCTTTACGATGTAGTAGATATTAAACATTTTGATAACCTATACACACACTAAATGTGCTATTACTATCATATAATCATACCGAAGAATTAAACTGGATAGCACGGGAGTGCACAACCATCTTTTAACATGGGTTATGTTAAAACTGGCCTATTTTCATATGAATTACCACCTTATTGTTTATTTGATAATTCATTACTTGTAGGACATGTCTAATTTGGTCTAAAACATTAAGTTTCATCATACTGTTTATATATTGAAATAAATAAATTTATAGATATGAAAACAAATATACATAAGTTAACTTTCTTCCGGGTGCTCAAATGTATACTTATACTTTCTATAATATCCAAGACGTTGAGAGGATACGCTGGTCCAGAGATGCTTACTAGTGAAGTAATTCCCAAAAAGAATGAGATCCCTATCATAGTCTACATTCCCCCAGAGGTGGAAGACATGTACAGAGAGCATGGAATAGATATAGTTTCCAAAGTCTTATTTGTTTTTAAAATGGTTGAAAATGGAATAAATAAAACCCTAAAAGAAATAAACAGTGAAAAATACTACTACTTGGTACCAGAAATAAAAATCCCTGACGTGGATCCGCGCAATAAAGCATGCCCTATAACAGTCAGTCAGCTGTCACTTTTTCTTTCTGAGGTATATAATAGTGAAGGCGGCACTTTATCTTTTATATACATTACACTGTGCCAGCTTCCCCTTATTAGAAAGCAGACGTTCACACACCGACAGAAACACTTTTATATCACACAGTCTATTAATGGAACACACAACACAATGACTATTATTTTCTCAGAGGTGGATACGTCTGCACTAATTAAGTCACTTGCTAGAGCCATTCTTAAGGCGTGCGATCTACACAACATAGAGCCACTTTCTGTGCGATCTCCTATAGACATTGCACATGGTATTCCATTCGGTGTGGATATTTTAAAGGAAACTGTACAAGAACTTCTTCTTAAAGAGTTTGTGCTGTAAATACAAATTAAATACGCTTAAAGCAAAATAACAAATAGCTCATAATAGCTTAAATTCAATTGCAAGGCGGTTAAATAAAAATCTACAAAAGTCTCATGTATATTTAAGACAGCAGACAGATACATTGCAGTGGTAATTTTATATGCATATTTCAGCCATATAATGCACAGCACATATTACAATAATTCTAGCCCGTGCTATAATATCACTTACCATGCGTAATCTTTTAAGCACCCCTTCCAACTAGCGCCCATAATTTTCAAAGTATTTATTTACTAACATATTTATTGGCAGCTGGCTCCAAATTCTTTTATCTTTTAAGAACTTATGTGTTTTAGGTACACCTAAACTATAAAGTAAAGACTGAAATATAAATAAACATATTTTATAAATATAGACGATATACAGATACTTTTAAATAGGCAATGTTTAAGCTGTTTTTTCCTTAAAGACTTGGACATACAGTTGTTTTCTTCGGAAATGGCATTCTTAAACTTTGACGTTTATTGAATTTGTATACGTATTTATAAACCGTATAATCAATTTAATTTATGTTAACTTGTTGTGTCAATAAATATTTCTAATTTAATTTGTGCTGTTCTGTTTATGTAAACATTCTGATAACTTATGTCATGCTACACAAATGCTAGTCTTAGCATACAACACAGATATTTTAAAATGGGCATTGTTTAAGCTGTTTTTTCCTTAAAGACTTAGACATACGAAAATTTGCTCTTTATTGAATCCACGTCGTCCTTATATAGAAGACTTCCAATCACAAAAGCTGTCACTCACACATTTTGACACTCCAAACAGCATCATTTTGTTTGACATTCTGGATCTCGCTATCCAAAACCAACAGTTTATTTAAATGTCTAATCTTCTGATTATATTTTCTTTCTTGGAGGTATATATAATTTTTTAAATTTCTTAATGAATATTTACGATAAATTCAGTTATTCTAAAAACAATTTGTGTATAAAAATAGACCAGTATTTATTATTTATTTGAAATTATGCCGGGATTACACAAGCTGTTTTATTTTCTGCGCACAGTTCTGGTGGTATACTCACTTAAATGAGATTTAGTATAGTGGGTATGCATATACTTGGCTGGGTTTTATGTTTCAGTACAGAGCCGCCTCTTATTTTATATTTTTATGCGACTAGAGAATTATCTCTTAATTTAGTTTTGGATTATTTGGGATTATTTCATAAAATGATTATTTATCTAAATACTCTTCTTTTCAGTGGGTTATTCCTGGTTTGCATCATTTCGTGTTTGGCTGCGAGTTACATGGAAAGATTTTTGCAGTGCCTCAGTGCTTTTCTCCTTTCTTTTTGCCATAAGCTGCTCGCACAGTTTAATATTCTGGGTGTTAAACCGAGTATTTAAAAAATGGCTTGGATTCAAGGACTTTTCTAATGTTTTTACAAGATCGCTTACCTTTGAGGGCGCGGTGCGATCTTCTGTGCTTTCAAATGCCTGGATGTGCTTTTTCTCTTCTTCGCTCTTCTTCATTTCAAAAAACAAACCCAGAAATTATCTTTCAATGTTTCACCCCTTTAATGAAGGTATTGACCACCAACTCTTTCTGGTGCACTTCTATGCTACGCTTTGTTATAATTGCCTAACTGGTGGAAACACACCATCTACAATATCATATAAACTGCAGTGTGTTAGTTTTACAATTCCTTTTCTTCCTGTAGATATCTCACTCATTGTATTGACTATAAAAATACGCCCAGGGTCTATTTCACACACTTCATACGCAATTCTATCACTTTCCTTGTTCCCGAATCCAGCATATATTCTGCCTTGAGACATCAGCCCTTTTATTTCTGAAATTACTGAAATTTTGAATTCTTCTGGGCCCTGTACCATTTCTCTATAAATCGCAGATAAAAGCCGGCCTGGGAATAGAATTACAGGGCCGGCTGGAAGATTCTGCTCCTCCTGCTCAACTCTTTCCAGATATGCCTTTGTAAACCCAATATGCCCAATTGGGCGGGATGATAAGTACACAATTTTATACCCATTTTCTACAATCTTATTATACAGCGCTGCAATGCCCAGATGTGTCCAGTCCTTTCCCATTGCACCATAAATATAGCCAACAATATCGCTTTTTGTAACAGTCCCATCAATATCTGAGATAATGATTTTATCTGTTTCATTCCATAGGTATATGTTGCATGTCAGAAATATTGGTGTCCCGGAAAGCCTGTATACTGTTTTGTTTGGCCCAGGCACCAAATGCATTTTTTCTATGTAGGTATCTGGCAAATAGACTTCTCTTTTTCTTCTATCTGGGGACTGCTCTATCCGCACTCTTTTTCTAAGTAATTGCTTGATCAAGAACTTTTCTGTATACTTTTCATTCATTCCATCCACTCCATCTGCTTCACTAGACTCGTACATTCTCTGCCCTTCTCTTCTCTCAACACAGAAGTACAGCTCGCTGAACAGACAGAATGTCATGTAAAAGACAATCTCTGGGCTGCCAGCCTCAAATAACCCAATAACAACCATGTCATCCCCCAAAAACATTTTAATTCGGTGCTCATTAAAGACCTCCTCTATCTTATTGGGCACCACTTGTTTAAACATGCATTCACTAAATACGTACTGCCTGTTTCGTATGCACTCGTGGATTCTTTCATAGTTTGAAAGAAGGAAAGCATAATTGTCGTCTGACTCAATGAACATTTTGAAGGACTTAAAGGGAACATTTACTAAGGGATGGTCTGGGTGGCTTTGATTGTGGAAGGAGAAAAAGACATTCCCCTCTCTGTCTAAGCGAGCCTCAACATTCACCACTCGGTCATTCACGGTTAAAATTACCTCTCGGGATGTTTTAAATGACTGCACATTCCCGAATCTGGCATGAAATCCAGTAGAGTGGAATCCCTTTGCTGTTTTACAGACTATTATATCATTGGCTCCGCTTATTTGTCCTGGATGCATATCTTTATAGAGATCTGTTACAGAGTTAAACACTCTCCCTACAAAGTTCATAGAATGTAAAAAACATCTTCATTTATTGTGTTTGTTTCTTAATTTGTGCAAGAGTATTTTCACTTGTTTCCAGCCATTTGTTCAGCTCTGCTGTGGACGCGCGCAAAGAATTGTCCAATTCCTCCTCTGCCTGCTTTAGCTGGGCTAATTCTTCATTGACCGCATCAGTTTCTTGTTTAAGAAAAGCCATAAGAGAAGAAGCCGGGTCAGCAATGTGTGATGCCAAAATACTAGAAATGGTCTGTGGACATGTAATATCGTACAGGGCAGTGGGCGGTTTTAGTAGCAGCACGTCTAGCTTATTAAGTTTTAGTGGGATTGAATACTTTAAAAGCAGCTGAGTAAAAAGTGCATTAATGTCTTCTTTAACATTTTCCTGTATCTGTGCCTCAGTGAATAGCTGTGTAAGCATCTTGTCAAAGGAGGATTTTAGCTTTACAAGGCGAGGTCCATCCATTTATAAAAATAATTTATGCACAGTGCGTATATTATGCAGGGCATTCTACAAACATCGTGTAAATACTCGAAAGTATATTAGAGAGAATACGCCTGGGAATGGCCCAAGTATCTTTATATCCACAATAATATCCATTTAACAGATCGTTTATTTACTTATTTGGCACACTTTAATCACTTTTATAATTTACACATGGCATAATGCATAATAGCAAGTAGTGTAATAGTCCAAAGTTCATATGGGAAATCAGTATGCATTCGAAATTACACATATCCCCCAGAAGAAACTTAGTCACAAACTTTCTGTATATAGTCCTGAATAATATTTAAATATCTTGATGCTTCAGTGTGATAATTTAAATATATCCCAGTAATTGTTTGATATAATCAAAAATCTTATTTTTCTATGGTACTAATGGATTTATTTAACACTAATTTATTTTCCTTTTCAGAAAAGCCCTAATTTAGCAATTTATTCTATTAATTCTCCAATAGTTCTGCGTATTTTTGCAAAATAAGCTTGATTGGAAGCAGGTCTTCTCCTGGATTTAAATAGCAAGTTACATATGCTTTTTTGCAGCGAATGACTTCTTTTATCTTAGATGAAAGTTTGTCAGAGTAGTCCTGGGTGTCTCCCTCCTGCACGGCGTATATATGAACTTTAGACAGCTCTCGGTCCATGAAGACTTTGAAGGAAATGTCGCCCAAAGACCCAGCGAAAGTTTCTTCAAAAAACAAAGGGGGTGCGTTATTCATGGAGAACCAGCGCGTGCAGTATTTATAATAGCACGGGGAAGCATCAAGGGGCATTTTTGGCAAAAAGAAGAAAATGCTCCCTCCGAGAATCGAACTCAGGTCTGCACGGCCACAACGTGCCATAATAACCACTATACTAAAGGAGCCAATAAAAAATGAAAATCCAAATACGACTGGAGTGCCACGTGGGCAGTATAATACGCTCTTTTTTTATTATGGGGATGAAAAAAGAGCTGAGAGAGTGCTTTAAAAAAAAGGAGTCTGGGCTGTTTGGGGGATATTCCAAAGAAGCGTATATCCAGGAGGTCGTGAAGTACATATTCGACAGATATGAAAAAAAAATGTACTCGGAAAGGCCGGCACAAACGCAGAATCCAAAGAAAAAAACGCGGTTATCATCATTTGAGAATTTCACGGAGACAACTTCGCTAAACAAGTGCACGCTCTGTGTGGTTGTTCCAAATGCCGGTCTTATTGCTGAAATAGTGGGCCGGATTATGGCAAAGAAAAGCGTGCTCGGGGAAGACATAAAAACTGCGCAGTATAAGATTATTGGGGATGAAAATGATGATTTTATGCTTCCTATGATGTACACGGGAACGGGATTTGAGGAAACTTATAATATGCAGGCGGACATAGTGATACTAACCACAAAAGCACTGGTTTCATTTGGGGACAAGAAGATAGACAGGTCGAAGTATTTTATAAATACCACGGAAGAGTTAGAAGACTTTACAAGAAAGGCCAAGCAGGATCTAAATGTATATGCATTCCTTTCGGGTGTAGACACCGTCATTCTTTTAGACGCCGACATTCTTCTTATACAGAACTCAGTGGCGTTCTATGAGACGCTAAAGATTTTGGAGGAGGCAAAGCCTGCACCAAAGCAGTATATGAATCTGCGGTATCTGAGCAGTGGAGAAGAAAAAAAGTCTTTTATATTTTTGGGTGATGTTATCCCTCCAAAGCTGGTTTCTTTTATAGAAAAGATGCCCAGCTATGTGATAGTAAGCAAGAAAGGGTGCGCGCAGGAGAGGCAAAGTAGCAGGCAGAGGGAGCCACTGTGCAGTCCATACAAGGTCTGCCTAAAGGCAAACCGGCATACTTCGTCAGAAAAGTATGCAGAACACCACATAACTAATCTATCAAATGAGTATGAGCGGTCACTGGTTATTGTAAGAGACTCTGTAGAGATGGAGGCCATCAAGGCGGAAATACAGAATGCGTCTGGGTATACTGCCAAGACAATATTATTTATAGATGAATTTACAACAGAAAGTAAAATTAAGGAGGAGTTAAAGAAAGGATGCATGAAGAGAGTGTGGGTGATTACAGAGCGGTTTATTTTTTACAGAAGAAAGAGGCTTCCACGTATACTTACACCATATAACCCAATAAAGGTGTTTGCGCCGTATATTGTAAATCCAAAGCTGCTGCAGACGGTGCTGATCAAGGTGATTGATCCACAAGAGACAGAGCACGCACTATATAACAGCCCAATAATACTGACCGTGTCAAATGATGCAGAGCGATACTTCATAAGCGAAATATGTGGGAGGCCTGTTGCACTAGACCAATTGTTTGAATATACAGATGAAGTAGTTATTGAGTAAATACAGGTACTTTTTATTTCTTGTACTGCAATACTTTCTATATGTGCACTGTGTACTATATATTAATACATTTTAAAATTATCGCCAGATAAAGATATGCTAATTGTATTTGTTATATTAAATATGCAAATACTGGGATATATCTGTGTTTGGAGCATGTTACGCAGTATTGTTCCAGCCGCAGGCGCTCCCAAATCAACAGATAGAATTTATGACAAAATAAAGAAACAGTTATAATCAGAAATCAGAGTATAGAAGTGTTTGACACTATAATTTAACTGTACAGTTGAATAATTAGATAATTTTACAATTTAGGAATATTTTAGCAGATTTGCATTATATACAATAAATGCTATAAATATATTTATAGCCACGGAAGAATTTAAACCATAAATATTTTTAGTTTTATATGGAAAATATGCAGCTGGATATGAAAGTAGCCCCATTTGTTGTTGCACTATCGGGTGTTGTTTGCATGCTTATATTTAGTGCAATTGGCTCTGTTGTTGGGTCTGCAAAGGCTGCTTCGTCTGCTGCTGTTGTGGCAAATCGTGGGACAGACATAATTACCAAAGCATACTTACCTGTGCTTTTTGCGTCTGCTGGGTTCATGTATGCGCTTATTGTGACCTTTTTCTCTCTTCGGGAGCTAAAAGTTGATATGCCCGTCGAGTCTGCAGGAAGGGTGTTCACTTCTTGTATTATATATGGAGTTGGAGGCCTTTTCTCTGGCATTGCAATTGGAGAAGCAAACAAGAATGGAATTGTTAGGCTGAGCGAGAATAGAAAAGTGTTTCTTTCTCTGCTTATTGTAAATTCAACAATCGAAATGGTTGCTGTATTTTCTCTGATTTGCTCAGTTATGATCCTACTTGTTGGAAAGTAGTAACAAGAGTCTTTTACATATGGCACTCTATAAAATAGAAGAATGATTGGCAATCGTATTTGTATTTCCAGATGTACTTACTCACAGCAATATAAATAATTCCATATATAAATGTTATATGAGGATGTTAGTATATAGAACATTTGTATTAGTTATGGTATTATATAGATGTAATAGAGCGGCAGTATAATAATAACCAGAAATATACATTCCAGAAGTTAACATACGGCCATTTGCTATGGGGCATGAACTGCATAATGCCAAGCGCTTGCAACCGAATTAAAGAAGAATATATAAAATCATCTGTGCTATTCAAGACAGCAAATAAATTTGGAGTTAGAACTTATTTTTTCAGAGCTCCTAGGAGTGTTTTAAGATAGTTTCAGAGAATAAATATAAACGGATAGATCCAAACTCAGATGGTAGATAAGGCTATGGCAGAGGAGTGGATGGGGCGATCGATGCAAAGGAGCATGGACGCATATAACAGAATTAAAATGAATTTGACAATTCATGGGAAACGAGTGGATATTTCTCCAAAGTACAAAGAGCCGGTGGAAAGGGTTAAGCAGGTGATAGAAGCGCTTGATGGGATAGAAAGAGCAAAGTCCATTTTATTGCTAGGAAGCGTGTCAAACCTACCGGCAAAGCGCCTGCAGGAGTACAAAGAGTACAAGAAGATACAAAAAGATCTTAATGCGTACAAAAAAACTGAAATAATTTCAGGGCTGCTTGAAAAAATACAGGCCCAGCTGCAGGAGACAGAGCATTTTCTAGATGAAGTGTGCAAAAAGAAGCTAATACTCTCCCTACAGGGGAAAACCCATGAAAACTGGGCAGAGTTTCTGGTTGATAAAAAAAGGAAAAGTAAGTTATTTGTGGTACTTGTGGAGAAGTATGCAGAAGCACTAATAAAGCATAGTTTAAAGGATGGAACGGAGGCAATATGCAATATGTCAAGTGAGATAGAAATTCTTGCAAAGCGCGGGTTTGTAGATGAGCAGGTGTCTTCAGTGCTTGCAGAAGTAAATCAATTTATTGGTATGCGGCTAGTTCACCAAGTTGGAAAACAGTGCTACATCTTTGTTAAAAGTATTAGCTCCCCAATAAAAAAGCTAAAAGATTTCCTTGAATTTTTAGAAAGCTTTTTGTCTGCAGAGATTGGCTCTGTTATGAAAAAGCATAAAATACACCAAAAGGTACAAACACAGCTAGCGCAGACGTATACTACACTGTATAAAGAGGCAGAAGAGCAGTTTATTACAGGGAAAATAAACCAAAAGAGGCTGTTAGACAGGGACATGTTTTATTTGATCAGATCTCTTCATGATGCAAAGAAGTTCTGCGACTTTCTAGATGTAAAGATAAACATACAGAAGAAATTAGAAGAGTTTTATAAAATATCAGAAAAAAAGTGCACACAGGCAGCATCGAAGTGGGAGGGGTTAATTTTTTCTTTAAATTCAATTTCACTGATTAATGCACTAAAGAACAAAAAAATTCCAGAAAATGACGTAGTGCATGAGCTAGCACAGGAGATGAGAAGAAAAGTAACAAAATCAGTTGAAAATCCAGAGGTTAAAAATAAGATAGGAGAGCTATTACGGCACATTGAAAAAACATCAATGAAGGCTCGGCACTACAGCATGCCAGAAGAGCACAGGGTGTATATTATATCAGAATACAAAAAAATAGTGCGAGAAATAGGAAATAGATTTGGAGGGCTGGATGATGTAAGCGACTCACATTTATCATCAATTATTGAGGGATTTTTTAATGGTCCGGTAAGAAAAATAACAGAATAAGTTTTAGCTAGATATAAGTAAATAATAATGACAGAATATACTATTCTAGAAATAACCCGAAGACAACTATAATTCACTGTTCTACCTTTTTACAACCAGTGCATATTTATAGAAATATAAATGTGCTTTTTATAGTGAATAAACTCAAAATAAACTATAATTCTAATTTAAATTTAAATTTTAAAGTGTTCTTGCTCCTTTAGGATGGGTACATTTTTATGTATGGAGACTAAAAAATAATAAATTTGAGGATAAAACTGAATTACTACTTTTATGTATATTAGACATAGATAGGGGTTCAAATATTTCCATCCATACTCTATTAAACCGAAGTATACAGAATTTATTAACGTACAGAAATACAATTAGACAAATATTATAACAAGACAGTAAACCATTCATAAAAACAAATCTCTAAATTTTATTCTGTAAACAAAAAACTACATATTCTTATAGAGTTTTTAATCGATAACAGTTCCTATAGAGTTAAACAAGACATATGTTCTATAATTTAGCATTATTTTAGAATTTAGAGTATTTCAGCTTTAGATATAAGTAATTACAGTTTATTAATCATTACCCAGCAAAAATCTTTGTATTAAATAGATGTACAGACTTATTAAAAGCAATTTTATACGTTCATACATTGAACCATCAAATTCATCCATTTCTATAGTAGAATTGTTCATGAAGTTTCAGATACTACTATTGCTATTCTTATTTATTATTTTAATTTCATCTGTTTAGTTTATAAACAAACCATTAGGAAATAAATATTTTGTCAATTAAATGGAATAAGTATAATATTCAATTTAAAGGAAACAACACAAATTCAAAGTATAGATCTTTTATTTTTGAAAGAAGCTGGAGAAAAGCTGTAATATTTAACTTTTAAATACTAACAGATTTTTCAGCTAAGAAATAATATTGAGTTTCCAATAAACTATAATACTCCTCTGTTATAGTATAGGATTCCACCGCTGCCAGCTATTAGTGTAGCAGCAAATAAGAAACCAGAACGAATAGAGTTCTTTGCTTTATAAACAAAGTTTTTATACTGTGTGGGCTTAGTGTTTTCTACTGAAATTCTAAATTGGTTCACTCTGTCTGAAATATATTCAGAAATGAGTATAGGGTAACTTCTACCGGATATATACTTTTTTAAAACCTTTCGATCAACCAAGTTTCCAACATGGCAATCTGCTGGGCTTTTCATAGATATTCTTTGCACTTCGGTTTGGGAATGGATGCCAATCAGATAGTTAATGTCTACATATTCATTCTTTGGGTCAATTATTTTGTGCAAAGCTGAAAGAATTTCTTTTACAAAAATCCAGTTTTTGCTAAGCTCAAGAAGTAGGTTTCTGTCCTGCTCACACAGGGTGTCATAGAATTGAGAGTTTTCTGGGCAGAAAGGAATCTCTAAATTGTGTTTGTTAGACTCAAGCAGTTCCAATGCACGATCTATGTTATAAACACCGTTCTGGTTCCTTTCAAACAGATTTATGGAATGGCCATGGATGTCTACACGCTCTTCATCTAACATAGATACAAACTTTTCTAGGTTAATAAGTTCAATGGGCTTGTTAAAGTGGTTTATAAAAGCATGTTCAATAAAAAGCTGCCTAACGTGGGTTAGGTATTCAATAACATCAAAGTCTGGCAGAGAGAGAAGATGGGCGTACCATGCATTGACTCTTTTACTAACAATTGGCAGGAACCCATTCTCAACAACTTTATTAATAGTTATCTGTGTGTTATCGTTATTTGCAAAGAAGTTTCGATAGTCTGCAGTAATAGGGCACTCAGATGTTAAAATTCCATTAGCTGTCACCATATTCATCCGTATTATTCCTTCTAGAACATGCTCAGTTATACTGTTGAGCAAGTCTATATGTACTGGTTCTACAGTACTAGAAATATCGATTTTTGCATTTCTAGCTATAATGCGAGGAAGCTTTCCATGTAAGAACTTTGGAGAGTACATGTAAAAATGGCTTTTTGCTTCTTTTTGGTCTTTCTCTTTTTTTATATTGTCCACTGCCTTCTTTATTTCAGGTTTATTCGCGCCAAGTGTTATATATCTGTGTGCGTTTGTGCCCATTGGCAAATTATTAGTGCTATAAAGCAGCAGTGTAGATACTTTTCTTCTAGCTGAGCCGATTGTAGACTGCATGCTAGTATTGGTAGATCCGCCTAGGGTAAATATTGATTTTAGCTTATTTATATTCATACTAATTCAGGGTTATAAAAAATTTATTCAATTTAAATCAAAAAGTGCACATTGCATAATTATAATCTTATGGAAGGCCGCTATAAACATCAGAACGTTTTTAGAAAATCTAGATGAGTTAATGCCTGGAAATTTTTAGTATACTGTTATACACAAATTATGGCATAAATCCAAACAATATACACTCGGCATACATATAAAGTATAAAAATCCATGAATGATTAAATAAAGACGACTTGGTTAAGTATATTCTATATAATTTGGGGCTATAAGCAGTGCATGAATGCATTTTCTGAATTAAGAAATACTAGTACAAAGTGGTATAAATTAGAAATTTAAACAATTAAATAGCATAGAGCAAATTAGTAGAAAATTATTCTAATTAATATTTGTAAGTCATAAATAATATTTGTTTTAATAAAACGTGCATATATTATGATTATTTGAAGCAATAATAATAATTATGGAAGTGGAACAAATAGCAACCAGCGATAGTGAATTGGAATGCATTGAACATATAATATTTTTAAATGAGAAAATAAAAAGTGCATATTATGCATATATAGAAAAGGCCGGCTTAGTAGATTCTTCAGTTCTAAATAGCGAAGATATATTTATGGATGCACTGAGATATATCTTCACAGGAAATATTAAACTGGCAGGGAATACAACAGATGATGAAAAGGCGTATACTATTGCATTAATACGATATGGTATATATGAAATATTTAAAGCCCCGCCAAATAGATATATAAGAAGACAGAAACAGGATCTATTGAATTTTCCATTAAACAGCAGTGGAAAGAGTCAATTAAAGAAAAAAGAAGTAGTAAGTTTTTTTCTATCTTCTTTAACACATGTCTCACCGGAAGAAACAAATGGCCCACATCCAACTGCATTCACAAATTTACTAACAATAAATGTAGATAAGTGGATGGGTGTATTCAATGATGCTGATAGTGTGGGTATTATATGCATACCCAGTGCCACCAGATTTATTGCAAGCCATTTAAAAATACAACAATTGTGGATGCCATTTATCACATGCAGAAGACTACATGCATTGCATAACAAAGTAATAGAATACTCTAATAAAAACAAAAAGGCCTGCTTATTCACTGAATATAGTCTAGACGATTTATATACGCTAGGCATAGATTCTAATGAGGGCAACCAAATTCGTCTTTATAAAGGACTAGAGTATATGGAAAAGAACCAAGATATTTTAAGAAAGAAAATTGATTCTATAAGCTTTGCCTTGATTGACAAGACGCGTACGCCAGAAACAATACAGTCCTTCATTAATGATCAGATAGACATGGAGAACTTTTCCATACTTATGAATATGTGCCAATTTATTGGGCCTATATTTTCGCATATATTCCTAATGTGCTCTGTAATATCGTTGGACCCATATTTCTTAATACACTCAGAAAACATAAATGCAGTAGAAACAGAGATTTTAGAAAACATGGCAATAGAGTGTCACGAAGAGGATCCGTGCTGTGTAGGAAAAAAAATCTTCACCTCAACAACCAATATAATATGTGTTGCATTTATGTTTAAACCGATTTCCACAAGACTTAAGGCAAAGCTAGAGAGAATTAGAAAATATTTAATAAAGGAAATACAATGGATTAAGAATAAAGAGGCGAGAATAGACAAAAAGCTACTAGAAACAAAGCAAAATATATTTGAACTTACTGGGCATGGATCTAGCCCAGGGACTCATGAAGAAAGGCGCATGATAATAATGAATTTACTTCAAGAGTATAATTCGCCCACTCTTCCAGTAGAGGTAAAAGATAAAATCAATGTAGCCATTAGACTAACAAATAACAAGCAAAGGTTAAAAGTATCCATAGTTAAAAGAACCAAAAAATTAGATAGTATTTCCCATATAGTGAGCGCACTTGATACCGTAAGTGGAATAAGTGAAGTGCAAAGGCAGTGCTTATTAAGATACATACAAGAATACGCGAATACACTCAAAATTACTCTTCCAGGCATAAGTACCTCCTTCAGTGATTCTGTTACTACTGACACTCTTTCTAGAAATGCACCGAGTATAAATGGAAACTATCGGCCGCCCAGTAGCGGAAGAACAGTTAAAATTATAGAATATTGCCAGAAATTAGATGATAAACCCCCATTTAATTTATTTACTTCTATACAGTATTATGCTGGGGTTATATACAAAATTACTTCTTCAAGGTATATGATGCTGCTTCTATCAATATATACTGTATTTATGCTATGGTTTATATTTTTTATATACATATCGCAACAATTAACATTATTTTAATAAATATAAGATGTTACTCAAGATGGATAAAGCCAATCACTCGATGCCCTTCAAATCTTATATCACTAAACTGTTTTAAACTAAAAATATAGAAAAAGCAGTGCATGGTAAGAGATATTTAGTATTTTTAGGATTCAGTCTGAACATATACAGACCCTGAAACTCCTAATGGCATAGATATGTTATATCTTGTGCTTAAGTATACGTTTAATACTTCCCAGAGTCTCCCCTAAGCTGGGGGATGCTTTGCTTAAAATTAGAGTTTGATCTGTTTCTACGCGATCCTGGTCTTTTGTTTTGGCGGAATCTCCATGTGAACTGTCACACTGCTATATCCCCCATGAGGTATTATGTCTGAGTGGCTGTATTAGCACATTATTAACTGTTTCTAATAAAGTAAACAGAATAAATTTTTATTAAACCAGTTATTACATGTCTTGCTGGTGATATTAAATATTTGGCTATTTTGATGTATTTTGTAATACTTAAAGGCATTTACTGTTGGTTTCTATCATATGAGAAATCATGCCTATTGTGGGGGCCTCACACCCACTCCTGCGAAGTCTTATAGAGCTGTCATAATTGGAAATTGAATCTATATAAGGCAAGAATAATAAAAAATTTGAATGAGTTTTAATAATGTACAAGGGAGTAACCAACTATTACATTAATTAAAAATATTTTTAATTAATAATTACAGCTATTATCAAATAGATATTCAATTTTTCTAAATTAATAACGTATCAGAATTAAATTTTTAAATAGTTTTCAATAAACTGTTTTAAACTAAAAAAAAATTAAATAGTTTTTAAATGAAGAAGCAGCAAATAGAATATGAATTTAACATAAAGAACCAAAATTTTAATCTAATCTTAAATAAAGAGGAAATTCAAGCTAAATATAGTAAATATAAAAACAAAAAGAGCAGCATGGACACATATGACAAGGAACAAAAAGAATTCAGTATAAACAATATTTTTTATGACCATGTATTTGTAGAGTCATGCACAGGCTCGGTAGAAGAAAAAGAGTTTTTTCTGGCATTTGCAAGAAATATTATATACAGTATTATATATTTAGAGATAGATATAACCAAGAAGGAAGATAGTAAGGAGATGGAATTGAATACATTAAAAGAATTTTTAAAAGAAGAATTACCGTTCGACTTTCTAGATGAGTTAGATTATTTCGATGGCAATCTATTAGAAGATAAATTAATAGAAAGCGAGGTAGTAGTTAATAAGATAGATTTTGATTTACTAGTAAACCATGTGAAAGCATATTTTAATGCGTGGTTGAACCGTTTAAGCTTTTTATATGAGGAAAAGACGCACCCTAATGTTAACAGACATAAGTACATGCAGATGGTAGTTAAACACTTCAAAATGAAAAGACAGATAGAAATCATTTACAGCAATAAAAAAATAATGAGCCAGCTATATGAACTAAAGAAGAAATATTATAAAATTAGAAAATTTAAAGTTGCCATGCCTGAACTAAATTATTTATACTCTATACGGCCAGGCAGTGACACTTATATAATTGAAGAAGGATTTGACTATTTAATCAATAATAAATCTGCTGAATTTAACCTTTCAGATATTAACAAAATTATAAAAGGTATAATAGAAGAGAAAAACGAGGAAGATAAAAATCGTAAAAAGCGCAAAAATACTAAAAAAAAGGATATAATAGAAGAGAAACCGAAGGAAGATCGTAAAAGGGGCAAAAGTATTAAAGGAAATGAAATTAACTATTATTTAGAAAAGGCGATAAGCGCCATTGACAAAATAATTCCAATAGAAATATTTGAAACCCTTTTATCAATAGCATTCTATGAGGAAGATATAAAAAAGGAAATGCGCGTATTTTATCTACTAATAGATCCTTTCCATATAAACAAAGACAGGGCATATTTAAATGGCACTGCAGCCTCAAATTACTTTAATATTCCTCCTCAGTCAAGGTGTGAAAACCAGGAAGCAACTGATAATGCCAATATTATACATGAGGTTAAGTTAATGTTAAATATAGAGTTGTTGGATATAATGGAAGACTCAGTGCTATTTTATAATACACTGCTTCGCCAGGAAGATACGAATAGAAGCGAGTTAGAGTATATACATTCAGAGATAAGAAAAAGAAAGCTTGAAAAAATTACTCTAATCCACCAATTACATGATATTGAAAAAGCTAAAAACTCTGATGTACTTGCAGAGACAAATACATCAGCTTTTGAATTAGAAGAATTGTCTAAAAAGATTAAAGATATAAAAAATGAGATAAAAAAAGTCAGCAATAAAATTGCAGCTGAAAATTCATTGTTGCTAGCAACGAAAAGCCAAATAATATATAAAAACGAATGGTATGATATTATTGAGCCCAAGGATAAGCATCTTTTTTTGATAATACAGCCTTTTCTAAAGAATGCAGTAGATAAATACATCGATGCACTAGGCATTTCTGCCAGGATGATTTTTACAGAAGATAACTCCATTAAATACGATCCATTCGAACAATTTGGTGAATCATATTATTTGGACTACAATAGCCCAAGAAAAGACTGTGTAAAAAAAGAAAATTCTGCACAGGCCATAAAGAGAACTCCAAAGAAGACTCTTAAAAAAAGAGCAAAGCAAACAAAAAAATCATTTTTTACAAAGTATAAAAAACCTGTACTTACTATGGTTGTTCTAAGTATTTTAATGCTATCTTCATTAATAAGTTTTATACTTCCAATTATCTATGCTGATAATGCTTATAGTTAGTTTCAAAAAAAGAATTCTTTTGATTAATAATAGGTGCAGTAGGCACATATAAAAATAAATTAGAATTAATTGCTAAAAAGAGTTTTTTAATAAAAAGGTATAGTATTAGCAACAAATAAGTCTATTTATATATAACACGAATTTCAATTTATGTGATATAACCCGAAATTTTGATCTGCTCTGATAATACATTGTTGTGCAGTAGGTTTATGCTATATATTATAAGCCACTGCCTACATTTCTCCTGTGTATTATTGCTGTACATTTTTCAATTTAAATGTATTCTATCATAGACACTGCCACTATACCAGATATACATATAAGTATACACACCATACCCATTACTACTTGGATAATATTTCCTAACTTTATCTTAGTATTGCGCAGTCTTTCCTGCATTTGTGTTTTTAAGTCAGTTAGCGCTGCTTTGTTATTAAATATATTTTTATATAAGTTGTTTTCAATCTCATTAATTAGAATATTAATATTTTCTATATCTTGAGTGAATTCTGTGTTTTCCAATAGATGCCTTTTTTGATCTATCTTTAAAATAAATGAACTAGCTGCATTAAAGTAGTCTATGATTAGTCTGTTTGCATTTTTTAGGTCACTTTTTACTTTTGTAATAGTTTCAGGTATATCTGATGAGTCATATGGATTTTCTATATCCGATCTGGCTTTTATTTTATCTTCTATCACATGTATTTCCTCTAGTATGTCTTCTATATCAAAAATCATCCCTTGTGTCACCAGTATTAAGCACATTGTTTCTTCTAGTTTATACTTTATATCGCCTTTTATTTTATCCAGTGATTTGTCTTGATGCAATATCATAATATGAAATATAAAATTTTCTATTAGATAAATTTAAGTTTTCTTAAATAATATGTTGGTGGGTATTATACCCTTAGCATACATCTGAATTTATTGCAAAGCGCATTTACAAATATACTTCCGTATGAAAAGTGCTTATTTAGGAATATCTCTAAGATATTTAAATCTCGAGCTATTTCTGAATATAGGGGTGTTTACAAACGCATATGCTATAACAGAGAAAGGATTAGATGCTATATTCCCAATATACAGGTGGTTTGTCTTATATTATAATATAACCCGAATATAACCCGAATGTATACAGAATTAAATATGCATGCATTTGCATTCTATAGTGTAGTTTAATTGGAAAATAAACTTGTTCTAAGTGTACTTGTTTAATGTTTTTAAGGAATTTATAAATAACGTTCTATGAGGTTCCTGGTGTATTTTCTCTAGGATGAATTAGTTATTTTTTTTATTTTTATGTCATTTTGACCTCTAACAATGGCATTGCATCAAATGATATAGATAAACATAGAATATTTCCGCGAATTTTACTGATTTCTCTGTATTGTGTTTCTTTTTGGGGGTCAAAATGGAGAGAAATTTTGGTGTGTTTTTATTATAAAAATATAAGAAGGTGGATCCCACACCTAGAAAGCCTAGGCTTTTAAGTATAGCCAATAAACAGAAATATATTCAGATAGTACATGCAATAATTTTCAATCTTCATTATTTTTTGTTATACTTCAGAACGTACTAGAAACGAAAGCGAATTCGATCTAATATCAATAATTTTTTATTGTTGTCTATAAATAGCGAAGCAAAATTAAAAATTGGAGGTGGCTCGAGCTATCCTCCACCACAACTTGCTTTTTATTTTAGCTGTAGTGAAGAGCAAGTTGTGAGAAGCAGTACTTATTTGTTTGTGGTCCATCAGTGCGTAGGCAGTGTCCTTATTGGTAGTGATGCATGGAGTGCTTGTCTTATAGGGGTAGGTGTAAGATAATGTGGCTTTGTGCATATAATGGAGTGTGTCCTAGTCTGTCCGGGAGTTCAAATAAATTGTATTACTTTCCATTTTGTTTTCGGGTTATAGCATGCAGTGCTACTGTCTGTGCTGTGGGCTTCTTGCTATATATAATAGTATAGTAGACTTAACTGTGTATGTATATTAGATGCACTTCTATTTTTGAGGCCATATTAAGCGAAACCCTCTTATATTACAATTGTATTTGTTTAATTGCATGCTTGATAAGATATAATTCAAAGAAAAATAATTTTATCACTGCATAGCTATTTGTGCATTAAACTATTTAGAGATAGCATATATATCAGAGGTGGTTTTATAAATAACTATAATTTGCTTTAACTATTCATTCGGGCTATAATATATTTACTGCTTGAAATTAGAAAACGTGATTTTGCTATATAGTGTTTATTATTGGATTTTTATATAAGAAGTTCATATTATATGACTTTTTCTATTAATGTAATTATAGAAAAACATTCATAGAATGCTTTCTATTTTCTAGCTTTTATTTATATAGCTATCCTATCCACACTTACCTGCTGTTAACTTATTTGATAATATTTCAGAGAATGCCTGCGTGTTAAAAGATAGAACTCAAGATATTATAGTGTAGCCCAAGTTTAGACTTTGTATAGTTAACATTCTTTACAGTTATATATACTTCAGAAGCATTATAAACCTCATCTGGGTTTATATTTTGATGATCCTTTAACTTTTGAATATTCTTTTTCAATATAGGACTAAGCATATGATGCATTTCATTTTCTTCACTAAGCAAGCCATCTAAGTGGGATTTCATTATTGGGCATAAAATAGGAACTTTAATGCTCTTTGTAGCGCCATTTGGTGTGTATATACAAACTCCGTAGCGAAGCATATCCCGTGATACATGCATTCTTTGTAGCATGTTTAAGAACAAGAAAAGTACTTTTTTGTTGTATTCTTTCTTTATATTGCTGCTTCTAGTTTTTTTAATAGAGCTTGGTGTAAATTTTAAATAATAGTTGTTATATTCTCCTATGTTATAGTGTTTTTGCATGTGCCATGAGATTTCTATATTGTAGAGCGAATAAAAATTCTTATCTATGGATATATTCTTTTGCTCAATATTCATGATGTAGCACACACAGTCTTCATACGCGCTATTTGTGTCTAATATGTAGAAGTCACTGTAATAGTTTATATCGCGCCTATACACTTTAACCAATTCTATAATTCTTGAACTTATGTCTTTTCTATCAACTATCGTCTCCAGCCAATTAGAAAACTCAACAGGAACCAAGTTTTTATAATTAGAGATGGAAGCAAATCTATAAAATTCTGATTTTAGGACATATGGAGAATTGTGTACCACAGATGTCATTATTTTGGGAAGAAATAGTGGTATTCTAGGGGCATCCGTGTTTAATTCATAATCATTAAACAGCTTTTTTGCCTCTTCTTCATTTTCCTTGTATGCCATGTCAACTAACTTTGCACCTACGGGATTTAAATATGCAAACACAAACTCAGTATTTTTTATATTTTCTTTAATATAGTAGAATACAACATCAAATCCAGAATTGTTCATTTCCTCTATGGTTTTGTCCATATCACTAACAGTCTTATTGCTTGATACTTTTGTCTTTTTTGCCAAAGCCTTTTCATAATTATCAACTATTGACCATGTTTTGTTGATTCTGCTATATTTGAATGGGTATACTCTGCTATTCTGTGGGCGCCCTTTATATCCTTTAGTAGAAAATGTTTTATTTATGTACTCTTTTATTTCCCCAAGTGTATGAATTTGGTGGTATTTCGTAGTATAATTCGTTTTTTCTACAAGGAATGGAAGGTGTATAATGTGCATACGATGTGTATAATTATCTACCAATTGCACGTGATAGTGAAAGGCGTGGCTTAATTCTAGAGACTCTTTTTTTATATGCCCATACGTGACCTTGCTACACTTTATTTTATCTAGTAGTCTTTTACATGAATCTTCGCGGTTATAATTAATTTTCTTAATAACTTTCATTAATATCTGCATTGAAACCACACCCTTTCCTTGATATTCAGTTATATTTGTTTTTGGAATTTTTGTGTACTGCTTTCTGGCCAGATAATTTTTGTCTAGCTCCACCATAGATTGAGTGTTTCGGATATCTGTGGATACATTTTTCATAATGTTTGTATTTATTTGATATAGATATAAAGAATACTTATAAAACTCGATAAATATCTTATATACATACTGATATAAAGCAATGTCAGTAAAGTCATATAACTTGTGCTTTTGTATTTTTTTGTATGATGATTTCATTATTTCAGTACTATTATGAACAACCCCATATAAATATTCTATAACACAGAATTTCGGGTTATATGTGCGATAAATACTACTATCACAAAATTTATTTGCGATAATATCCTGCAGCTGACCAATCTCCTTATAGTTCATATATAACAGGTCCTCATATATTTCGGGAATTGATAAAATCAATAACAGCTGCCTTTTTAGCCGCCGGGCTTTTAAAGATTTGTTTTTTTTCTTATAAAAGCTCGGTATTTTAGGGTCTACGTATGATGTCATTATGCTTTCAGCATGCCAAAGAAGGTTTATGTCTTTTTTAATGTATATGTCACCTAGCGTAATTTCATTGTACTTTAATGGCACTAACACATGGTTTGGTAGAAATTCTGTGGGCTTGTTGTAACAAGTTGCTTTTTCTCTAGTTAAATACTGATGTAAATCTTGAAACATTTTATAGTAATAGAAAAAATAGCACATATTAAAGGATTTATGTCTTAAATCTAAATCTTTCAAATAATTCATAATAAATTCTAGTCTAATTTGGATGCTTTCTTTTTTGATCACACAAAGACCTATCCATATATTTTGGTTCTTTAAAATCGCATTTTCTATGTACAATGTTAATTTCGATATAACTTCTAGTTCTATTTTCGGATTATTAAACAGTGGTGCTATATGCTCTTCATCTTGATTATTTTTGTTTAATGCGGATATTTTATGTGCATTAATTATATTTGTAAAATATATATATTCGTCTGAATTTTTAATTACATGCTTTACTAAATGGCGCCGAATAGCATTGTTCTCTTCTAGCATAGTGTGCGTCCTTTTTCTATTCATAAATGATGTGTCTACCAGATAGTTGTTTAGGTTCTGGCTATCTTCTTGCGCCTCTTGATTAGCATAGATATATGGCTGTGATGCAGAAGTGTTCATAGAAGTGTATGGCGTTATATTCATATGAGTATTAATAGCATTAAATAGTTTTTGCAAATATAGATTAATATGCGGGGTATATGTATTTTCATTCTGTAGAATATGTCTATGGGAAGTTGAGGTTTCTGATGAGCACCCTCTTGATGCACTAGTAGATACAAACTCATTTTGAACATTGTGCATATAATTAAATTCTCCATTATTTTGTACACTAGCTTCTATGTTAGAGTGTTCTTCTACCATGCTTGAATCAAATGCATTTGAATTTGGCATCCTATCCGAGGCATTGTTTAATAAAATACTTCTTAAAAAACCACTTTGACCAACCTCTGCATTTTCTGTTTGTGTATTACACGGCACATCATTGTAATCTGATTTGTTTAAATTGCTTCTTGCGCTGCCTAACTCAACATTATTATAATTTGTTATACATGAATCATTATCTATAACACTCAGAATATCTTCAAATTCCTCATTCAGTGTGCAAACAATAGTGTAAATTGATTTTAGCATAACTACCCACCTCCATATACTTAAAGCAATAAATAGTCTTGCATCTCTTCTAATTGGAGTTATTTTTCTCATTTTCATATTTTACAATTTATATCTATATATATTTTGTAATATAAGCATGATTCATTAAAAATGAAATATTATTTATGCCTTACATATTTTATTCCGTGTATTAAGATAATTTAATCTAAGTGCTCTTTTTAGATTAAATTATTGAAAAAAATTATATTATAGATTTAAAGAATATATTTGTTATCTGATAGACCCTAACACTTAAATAATACAGCTCCTATTTAATGCGTATTTCATAATTGAATATAGCCACTGTAATAATAATAGTCATATAGCAGAAGTAATTTTGAGTTTATGTGTGAAACAGGAATTTAAAATAAAAAGCCATTCGAGGCTTACGGACAGAGGATATTATACAGCTGGGGTAGAGCAGCAGAGCCAAGCACTGCCTTATAAATAGCAGACAGATTGGAGTAGCCGTTTATTTAATAATAGGTGTACTGGCTGTGTACATGAGGATTGCACTGTACTGTCTGCTTACAGTAAATCATTACTAAACATATGTATATGTAATTGATACAGCGGCTTACCGCGAGTTGAGGTCCAGCTTACTACACAGATATCGCATATATATTACGCCTATGCCAGTGATATAGTATAATCCAATACAGCGAAGTTATAAGCAGTGTGCTGTGGTAGAGGTACAGGAAGGGGAATTCATGTACGCGCTAGTGCCTTATTAAGTCGGTGCAGACTACGCAGCGGTTCTAAATGTTAGATGTACAAGCATCAAGGGAAAAAGTAACATGCGTCGAATTACCTAATAAAAAGATTGGAGCATAATCTAACCCATATGGCTCCCCCGAAGGGATGTGATAGTAGAAGACCCCGCCCGAGTGTCGAATTGTCGGGTTCTCCTGCACCTCTCAGCACACCACTTATAACTTCACTGCACCAGAAAGAGAAGCAGCTCTCCGGGACACTGAAACTCAGAATGCGAGGCCTTTAAATACCTTCAAAAAATAATTAATTTGTCTAAGTATGGTAGAGAGGCCATGCACTATACGCATCTAGATCCATTTAAATTAAACTTAAGGGCAATTGCATGAATTAGAAGGATCTATCACAAGAATAGACTAAATATACAACAATATATCGGTGTATAGGCATATTAAAAAGAGTGTTTACAGAGAGTGCGCAGTAAGGCTGGTTATACTTAGACGTATTCCTGGTATATCAAGTGTTATAGTGGCAAATAAGTAATAGATATACTCTGTTCTGTGATATATTTATATAAACAATAAGACTAATATAATTAGAATTGGATTGGCATGTAAAAATTCATTTATTCTATTGTATATTATCCTGTTCTGCTGTAATTAGTCTAAGAGAATAAAAGTAATAATAAGTTCTGGTGGTGTTGTTTTGTTTTGTTTTATTCTGTTATTTTTATGTTAAATAAAACGACTTTGTGATAAAAACTGGTATATAAATTATATGTACACATTCATATTTTTACAATTTTATATATTTAAAAGAAATTATAAAACTAGAAAATAATTACTATAGTACAGAATTTATTGATATAAGATTTTAGGGAGGATCCTGGCAGATGGTCTTCAAGCACTACACACTCTTCCCTATACTTCCTAAGCCGTTCCGCATGCCTCTAGGGCAGAGCCTATATAGTATGGAAAACTATAGTATATAAATATATATTAGCACAGAACATATCCAATTAGACAAGAAAGCACTTTAAACATAAAAACAAGGCACTTCAATATTATGTCATGCTTAGTATATTAAAACATCTAAGCCGGTTTTCCCTTCCTTGCAAGTTTGAACTCCTATTAGTAATAACTAAACTTCGTATTTATTAAATTCCAGAGACTATATAAAAGTTTATGCTTCTATTATTTATGATCGCTACAGGCGAATTTACATCATAAATGATAGAAGCACATATATTAACATTATGTCAATTGTTCCATTACTCTACACAGTGCAATGTCACCGCTGAGGCGCGTATGGTCGCTGAGTGCCCACAAAGAACCAACAATCTACATATCCTATCTTAACTAAAATAATAAACTGCTATAAATATTCTGTTACAATCATATAAATATCCAGATGTAGCTGAAATATGTCAATAATGTACCAGAATTGTTTTACAATATGAAAAGAAATTTTTACTATTAAATGCTCAAATAATTTCTATTACTTATTCTATGAGAAGAACATAAATAAAAGGGAATTTATAAAAATAACTAAAACATTCTATAAAAATTATTTTTATGCGTGTAATATAGAGTATAGTATTATAACACATAAAATCTTGACATAAGCAGCAACATTAGAATTTATATATTCAAAGGATTTATTATAATCACATGTCTAATCAAAATATGTTCTCTATAAGTTTATTAAGTTAGTTATACAATAACTAAATAGAACTATAAACCATGCTACAATACTCTAATATTGTAAATAATTATTTATGTATGTGTGTATTAAATAACTAAAAAGTTATTCATTTAGAGCTACCACTACTCATGGCGTCAAAAATTGCTTTAACTCCCAAAAAAGCCCCTATTAGTGGTATTAATGATGGCTTCAGGAATAATGCCACAATAAGAAATGATATGATTATGGTCACAATGATTCCTCCTATTATTTTAGCTGATTGCTTCTTTTTATTATTTGACATTAAAATTTTTCAATTCTGATAAAATTAAATATAGTTTTCTTGTCGAATAAAAGTATAAAAAATGGAAAACTTTTACCCCTGATTTTAATGTTAGCAGAGACAAAAAAGTCCCACCAAAGTAATAGGTTTATTCTAGTCCAGTTTATACTTATCTATTTCTTTATACACATAGTAATATACTCCTCACATAACTATAGAGAAACTATAGCAAAGGAAATATTTGAGCTTTCTTCAAAAGAGTACTCGCTAGTTGAGATGATAAGTGTAATAAAACTAGGGGGGTCAATTACATCCACGTATATATCCCAAAAATATATACGGCCACTCATTGCCACATTTATTGCCACGTGTACATTCATACTAACACTTTTCATGCTCATTAATAAAATGGTAGAGGACAAGAGGTTAGTAGTTCTTCTGGGATGCCTTCACATAATAGCAGATTCTTCAATTCTTCCAACAATTGATGCTGAGTGCTTGGCCATTTTGAACAGCAGAGGCATGGGGCATAGGTACAGCAACATTCGTGTGTTCAGCACACTTGGGCACAGTATTACATATATTATTAACATGGTAATACAGAAGCTCATTAACGACAAGAAGTTCCTCAGTAAGAGCATCCTTTTAAACACGCTTTTATTTGGAACTATTACTGTGGCATGTATATTATTCTGCATTATGAATATAGATGAAGTCAAGCATACAAAGAATGCAGAAGAAAGTGCAGAGGAAGCTGAAAAAAGAAGAACTTTAACGCAAACTCAAACAGAAAATAGAAATTCGCTATTTAACACTCTCTGCGGTGGTGTTTTATACCCATTCAAAGTGGTTATTTCAAATGCCAAGTTTATTTCGCAACTATTCAGCATAAACTACACAACGCTTATTCTCTGTGCAATGGGAAGTGGTATTTCTAGATCTTCTCTCCAGGCATACTTGAGTGAGTATCTTATGAATACCAGAAAAAGCAAATCAGACCAAGCATACATATACTTTGTGCGTACAATAGGAGAGCTATTTGTATGGAGCATTGTCATTTGGCTTGGTGACAGGGTTACTTTAGAAGCACTGCTGCCTGTGGGAATATCCCTGGGTGCAACTCGCTCGCTAATTTACTCTTTTACGCCACAGCAGAGCTGGATTACATACTACATGCCATTTATTGCTGAATTGTTCAAATCAGTATACAGCGCGCTGTTTATATATGTAGCTGTAAAACTAGCACATAAATTCTCAAAGCCAAACCAAAAGACACTTGCACAGGGAATATTCACTGGAGTGTATAGTGGGCTGGCACCATTCCTTTCTGGACTACTAAGCTATTATACCTTTTCAAACACTGAAAGAACAGATATCCAGAACAAAGAACGCCTATTCAGACTTGCAGGATGCTTTGGGGTGGCAGCAGCCACTCTGTCTACTACTATTTATATAAGAAAGTGGAGAAGTAAGAGTGCTATTTAATACGTAGCAGCTACCTAATAAATACATAGGTCATCTATTATTTGACTATTATTTAATTATTACAGAGTCAGCCCGAAATATCCAACGCCAAGAAAAGTAAAATTTATTTCTCATAGCAGTAGCATACAACAAAAAACTACTGGTTGCTTCAGAGAAGTTCGATTATTTTCTATGCCAACCAAAGAATGCACATAGAGTGAACCAAGTTTAATCACTATAATACTTCTAAAAACACATCCAAATTTTAGTAATTATCTGCTATTTGCAGAGCGTACTAGAAAGCTATTAAATTTTAACTTCTAAGATTTTCTAAACTTCAATCTATTATTGCTCTTAGTTACTATAAGTAATATACCACAAATTTATAAAAGGCATTCAATTATAAACCAAGAACTCTAATCCTCTTTATAAAGACATGCTAAATTATAGAACGGCCTACCACTTCTTGTGCATAGTACAATTATTATTTGCACTATACTATAAATAAAACCGTCTATTTCGTTACTTAATACAATAATCATTGCATACTATGCAACACCATACTTCAAGTTATTTCTATTACTAAATGTTTATTAACTGTGCTAATACATACTATAGTTCTATTATTTATGATTCTATGTTGTATAAATACACTTTTCATATGTTTATATTTCTGTATATTATTGTTTATATTAGATATCATAAAGTGTCTTCTGTATTCAACAACAAAGACAGTTCCATTAATTATCTCATATTCTCTCTTATTACAATAAAGTTCGCTCTATTTGTGTGACTGAGTTACTTCTAATATTCGGGTTATTTCGTATAGAAATAATTTTATTTGCAAGTATAAAAAGAGCTATAATACTTTTATACTCGTTTACTCTTCTCTTTTAAGTGTTCTTCAATCTGGTTTCTTATTTGTCTCTTCTCTTTCTCCTTTGATCCGCACTTTTTCTTTATTTTCTTATACTTGCACAGACTCATTCTCTTTTTTTGAACAACTTTCCCCTTTCTTTTGCTTAATACCCCCTGCACCATTAGCTGCTTTATATAAAAAAATGAAATATTTATTATCTTTACCATCAAAATTATCTTTTGTTTATTTATTTAGAATCTTACAGAAACAGATCAATCTATAATAATATGTCTTAGACTGAATCTTAAACTATTTGTGATTTATAAACATATGACGGAGAGAACGAGACAAGAAATAGATAATCAAATGAACAATATCAATGAATATTCAGAGGAAATAAGTGATGACAAGGAGGGAATAGAAGAATACCATGCCGACATGTACACAAATACTCCAGAATACCAGAAGAACTACCATACAGAAGAGCCCTACTCATTTAGAGAAGAGTACACAGAAAAGCCTTCATGGGGAGAGTCATTAGATAGATATGGGGAGTATCGGCCAGATGATTATAGAAGCAATGAATACAGGCCAGAGGACTACAGCAGAGAGGGCTGGCAGTGGACAGAAGAAAGAGAGCGGGAGAAACCAGCCGATCCATGGCCAAACACAGAGAAAAAAGCCAAGAAGGAAAAGAGTATGACCCGGAAGAAGTCTAAGTTCAGAGTGTGCACTAACTGCGGCACAACCACAACTCCTGCATGGAGAAGAAGCACCAGCAATAAAATACTCCTGTGTAATGCATGTGGATTATATCAGAGACTGCATGGGAGTAATAGACCATTTAGTGTAACACCCGATGGAAAAACAAAGGCAATTAAGAATAATATTGAAAAAGGAGTGTGTAGAGGATGCGGTGTAGTTCAAACACCTCTTTGGAAAAGGGGCAATAGTAATGAGTGGCTGTGCAGTTCCTGCGGCCTTCTATACAATAGAAGGGAGCGGGAGAGAGAAGAGTACACTCAAGAGTGGCCCGAGTATTCCCAAGGCGAAGCATGGAAGTATAATGAAGAGTACTCAGAAGGCGTTGGATGGCATGATAAAGGTGCCGGGCAGGAGCAGGCCATTCAGTATGAATATAAAGACAAGGACGCAGAAGCCAATTATTTTGGGGATGAGCGGTTTAAAGGATACTTTGGATACTATGACCAAGAAAAAGAGTAAATTGAAATGCCCAGAAACCTAAAAAGAAGCATATGCAGTCTGGCTGAAAATAAAGTACAATTAGTGTAAGGAATTTTCGGGTTATTATGGTGTAAAAGTTAATTTAAAAAATATGCAAAGTGTAAGAGAGATGCACCCTGCGCAGGTAGTGCGGCCAGAGTTTTTGCAAAAAATAACACACAATGAGTTGGAAAGTGTGGATGTAGAGGTTGGAAAACATTTACCACAAAAGGACTTTTCAGATATTTTTGCATGGAGAACTGTGAAAGGGCTGCGGATGATTGCTGATGTTGTATTTTATAGGAGGTATGTGCACAGGGCGATTGTTTTGGAGACGGTTGCTGCTATTCCTGGGATGGTTGGGGGGGTGATTCGCCACTTAAAGTCGCTTAGAAACATGAAGGATGACTCTAATATTAGAATACTTCTAGCTGAGGCAGAGAATGAAAGAATGCACTTAATGACATGGATGGAGGTAGCAAAGCCGTTGCTTATTGAAAGACTGATTGTAATGGGTTTGCAGGGCGTGTTCTTTAATGCGTATTTGCTGCTGTATCTTATTTCAAAGCGGACTGCGCATCGGCTAGTTGGATATTTAGAAGAAGAGGCAATTATTTCGTATACAGAAATGGTTAAGGAAATTGAAGCAGGAATAATTCCAAATGTACCAGCGCCTGAAATAGCAAAGAAGTATTGGAATCTACCCAGCAATGCTACATTATTGGATGTAACCCTTGCAATCCGTGCAGATGAGGCCACCCACAGAGATACAAACCATGAAATAGCAAATGAGCTGGATGGAATTGAGTGATTTACTTGTTCGCATATATCTATCCATCCACACGCATAAAAGATATGAAACGTGCTATTTGTATATAAGAGAATTAATTCTTTTACGGTAGTTTGTAAATAGGGTATTTTTAACACTATTTTTAGAATTAATTGGTTAACCCTTTACTATAGCAATTTACATTATTTTAGTATATGCTCGTTTTTAATAGAAGTATTGTATAAAGCTTCGTTTTTCGTGTGCATTTGCGCTTCAAGTTGACTGCATGGCAGATTATTTTAAATAGCTGTTTGGAAAGTCTGGCATAATCTTCCTAATTTTGTTGGTTTATGATGCGACACGTATCTATTCGAGTAAAGTGTATGCTTGTTGGCTTTTATGCAAGGGATGGGCTGGATTTAATTTATTCTTATTGGCTGCTTTGCATTACCAAGTGTAATAAGTGGAGAGAATCCCCTGAGAACTTAAATATGAGCGCATATTCCATCTGCAAGAAAAAAATACTGGGTCTGAAGTACTGGGCCATGGGATATTCTAAAAGTGAAAAATTCATTAGACACACCCTATCTAACTATGAGACAGACGCACTGAAAGAAGTAGGCCTTCTTATTTCTGCTGCATTCATGGATTCAATAATACTAAACCAGGCCTTAAAGATAGCACTCCAGCGGCTAGATGCATCTGACAGTGCCCTATTCCCAAAGCATGTGCAGTATTACAAAGCTCTTCTGTTTATTCAGAAAGTATGCATGGTAAGCAGTGTAGCAGAAAGTGAAGTGAAAAAACACCATGTTAAAATACTATCCTTTGCTTTTTATAGAAAAGACTGCTGTAGTCTGGATATAAGCATTAGAATATCTTCTACTGCTATTCTTAAGCAAATAAATAAAAGCAACACACCAAAGTCTCACACGCACACAACCTTTATAACTTGCCTGTCACACAGTTATATAAACGATGTACTAGGGGAAGTATAAAGAAATAATTTAGAAATTTAAAAGCGCTCTCTAACGTGTAAATGCTTTGGTATATTAGAGTAGACAAGTATATATAAGTAAATACACAATTCATTATGTAGATAGAGTGCATGGCCAAGAATTGAATGTACCAATAGGGCTGTTTTGATTAACCTGCAAGGAATCTACCAACTGCCATGTATAAGACAAAAATACAATCATTCTAAAATAGGTTTTAAATTCTGCCAATAGGTGCAGTTCTATATTTTGATTATTTAAGATATAATAGAAAAGAGTTTTTCGTGTATTATGGGCTTAGTTTTAAGGATAGTATCGGTTGTGCTTTTTCTTTGGAATGTCTACGGAGAAAAGGCAGCGCCAGAGGTCTTCGTTATAGATGGACATAATATATCTTGCATAAAAGAAAGTAATTTTAGTGGGTATGCTTCTCTACAGGTAATATTGGCAAAAGACCAAAGCAACTTGGTATTTGGGTCATATGTTCTTATGGTTTATATCATAGAATCACCAAAAATTGAAGTTGCCATGAAAGAAGCTGTTAATCAAGGAATCACCAGTATATGTTTTACTCCAGCAGGCGGCGCTGCCGGTTCTGATGGTATACAGATAAAATTAGATGCGCCGGAAGAGAAGAAATCAAGTCTGCTAATTCGAGAAGTACAGGCAGATGGTGTAATGGGGGCAGATCAGAAAATAAGAGCATTTGCGATTTCTGTAAAATAAAGTGCATGAAATAAATGGCGGTTTTTTGGTTTATATCACTGTGCAATTGCTATTATTTTATTTTTCTTAATAATAAAAAAAGAATAAAGTCCTTTAGTGAACATAAAAGTAATTTAACTAGAGAGCATAAATCTACATAATTAAAATATTAAATATACGTTGTAAATAAAAATAGAAAATCTTCCATACTGCTTTGAAATTATTAATATAGCTAGTGCTTAGTATACGTTTGCAACAAATCCAAACAATACCTTTTTATATATAAAGGAGCGGTATAAGTTATAATATAAAAATATCCCGAAATGTAAATTTCAGATTGTAATAAAAATACTTTAGAATATAATTTGTAGGGCATAAATAATATTTATTTTTAATAAATCATACACAGCTCGCATAATTTTAAATAGCAATTGACCAAACTCTGTTAAAGTTCACTGTTATACTTGTTCATACTGTGTTCTAAGCTATGTTTATTGTAAATAATTAGATGGGGCCTGTTTTAGATTAATTGGAGTTAATTATTACTGCCGACTTTATTTATACTCGCGGCATAATAAAATTTAAATTAAGTCCTGAATTTGAACTACATAATGTGAACTATATATGATTTATTTAAAGTAAGATATTATTTATGTCCTACAAACCATAAAATACCTGGTTTTTCATTTAAATTAAAAAAAGTAAAACAGAAATTTTACTATGAAGCTGATCAAACAGAAGAATGCTGTTTATCCATATATTTATGCTTGGTTGGTTCATTTACTGATTACAGCATTATATTCATCACAGGTCAATGGAAGCACACAAATGATAAACTATTCTCTCTGGGGCAGACCACTTGACAATTTATTGGTAAGGGATTTACACAAGGTAATTATATTAGAGGAACAAATAAAAAAAAAGCCGCATAATATGGATAAGAGTATAATAGGCGCAAGAAGAACACTTGAGCTTTTATTAAAAGTAAATACACAATCGGAAATATTAAGAATATTGACGGTTATAAACATAATAGATGAAAATATCTACCCAATTGAAAATATAAAAACACATGCAGACCTAATCAATAGGTTATTTGGTGTTGCAGAAGTGCTTATGGGAAATAATAAAGAGCACATAAGAAAAGACATTGCTGTTGATATATCCCAGGCAACAAATATTTGTTTACAGATAATAGTGTCTAACTTAATTGCTCGGCATATTTTCACTATTCTGCAAATATTCCCACAGAGGGATACACATTTAATAGATCATTACATATTTCAATCAATCAATCAGCAAAGCAGTGGTATGATAAATCATTCTTTTAATTCGCGTAGAGAGAAAACAGCTGAGGATTGTATTTTAAATTTTACTACTGTATACGATGAATTGGAAGTTATTTGTTGTAGGCGGATAAGAAAGGCATTTTCCAATCTGTCATTATATGAGCTAACACAGTATGTTGATCAGTATTTGACCATATTCCATAGATACAGCGGGCAGGAGTTCTGTGATTATATACTGCAGAAGGACTTGAAGATGCAATTATTCCAAGTTGTTTCAGGCAGGAATAATTTTATGTCTATACCTATAGATCCAGTTGAAGACATGCAAATACCTGTAGAAAGGAAATATGTTCATTCTATTTCTGAGAACAACATTCACTTTTTACAGAACGGCGAGGTGCCATTTAACAAGATAAATGCACCAGTAAAAACATATAACGGCGATGATTATTTCTCTAATCATGCTATATCATATGAAGTAGATAGAAGAGGATTTTATTCGCCACAGGTGGATAAAAATATATATTGGAGAAATACCAATAGCCTTAAAAAAGGAGAGTGTGTTGATTCAGAGTATTTGGCGCCATTCTCAAAAAATAGAAAGAGCACACTTTCATCACATATGACATCGCGAAATAGAAGTAATTCAGAAAGTACAATAACCAGCTCATCCCATACCTATTATTCAATTGATGCACCATCCTGCATAGCCCCGGATGTTTCATCTACTAAATTATACCCGAATGCGCACTCTTCTTGGAAAGATGAAGAATACTGCTATAGATCTTATAAAACAATGCCCCATAACGATTGTTTACCACTTTCTACAAAGAAAAAGTCTAAAGCAAGTAAGATAATTAACAAAATTTCATCAGCCTTTTCATTTATTAAAGGAACTGATCGAAGCAGTCGTGAAGATTCTCGATCAAAAACAAATACAAACCGTGGCAACACATCATCCAAATCACCGAGCGACTCTAAAAGATTATCAACAATAAGCTCTACAAAACGATCATCAAGTATAAATAGAAAAAATATTATTAGTGAACATAGAAATAATGCAGATAAATGGAATAGAGAAAGAAGTAGCACTTCTAGTGATGACACTATAGTAATAAGGCCAAGTGCATCTCGGAGAAAAGGCTGGATAGGTGAAAGAGCAAGGATAGAGATACCTGAGGAAAAAAATCCTGTTAATTATCCAGAAGAGCCCACTTCTTCTGTGAATAGCCTAGTAACTAAATCAAATAGGCCATGTTTAGAGCATAGTTCAACTATTAAAAAATCACCTCATATTATTCGCAGAGACGTTCAGCAGGAGAAGATGCATGCGCAAACCAGCTATAATTTAAGTGAAGCAAAGACCTACCCGCTACCTAAATTGACACTAACGTATGACCTATTAGACACAGACCATAAGCAGGAACCCAGAGAGAAAAAATGTCTTTCTACCAGTTCGAAGCAAAGCGATAAAGATCATGTGTCATCTCCACAATTTCCTTCTCCAAAGGAAAAAGAAAGTAGTAATTTAGAACAGTCAAGTATGCGCTGGCTAACTCGCCCAATAAATATAAAAGCGACTGAATCATATCCAAAACCAAAAAAGAATCCTTTAATATCAGAACCATCCACAGCGGATTCAATTGTGTACCATGATAAAGTATCAAAAGGCGAAGCTATATCACAGAAAAGGTCCCGACTAAAACCACAGGAGAGTTTGGATGATACAAATTATCAGAGACGAAAAAACTATTCTGATATGCATCTACATCCACACAGCGCCTTAAAGAACTCTTTACCATTTCATTCACTTGATGAAGCTAGTTCTTCTTCTACTAAGAACTTGGCTAATAAGAATGACTCCGCATGCGTTGATCTAGACCGTATAATAGAAGAATTACTGGCCAGTATAGCTAGCATAAAACAAACTAATACTTATTAAACAAATAAACCTACCATCAGTTAAATATAAAAAAACGGCAAGCCATTAATTAAAGGTGTTATACCAAACTGAACACATATAGAACCGCACAATTAAGTATAGATATAACCCGAAAAAAACCAGAAATAATTTCTATTCACACCTATATAAAAATATTTTAGGTTATTTTGGGATATTTCGAAAAAAATTATTATATACACAAAAACAGAATGATTTTATTCATATATCTTATGACTAATTTTTATTTTTCAGGTTGTTCTTTAGAGGCATGGCTCTTTTTAACCGGAGAAATGGCATGTGTTGGTGCCTGTGCTTTTTTGCTAGCTGCTTTCGGACTTACGCCTGGTTTTACCGCACTGCTTGTTTGAGCTGTTCTATTAATATCTGACTTCATTTGAGCTAGTTCCGTTTTGTACCGCTTAGACTCTGCATATAATTCCTCTACTTCTGCCTTCACTGCATCCAGCTCTTTCTTAAGGCTATTTCCGATTTCGCTTAGTTCTCTATTCTTCTCAGCAAGTTCATTTGTTGCTTCTTGGATCTTTTTTTCTAAATTTTTCTTTGGAATAGTATCTGGCTCTTTTAGTACTTTAAGTGAGCCTATTATTTTTCCAAGGGAGCGATCAAGTATGTGTTTTAGTGGGGTTTTATACCGTAAAATATGCATTAGCCAAGTGTCTAGCTGGAAAGTCAGAAGGCATACTCGGCACTTTCTTTCTAATCTGTGCTTCTGGCCATGCCCGTTTGTTTGACAGCCACACTGCGGACACGGTAGGTTTAAATAGAAAGTTGGAACACTTTCTCCCTCTTTAAGCTTTTTGTAGTACATATCTGCTTTTTCTGTGGCATCTTGGATAAATGACCTGTCCTCTTGTAGCCTCCTTTTTCCGGATTGCATGTTATTTATCAGTTCTTGTGTTGCATTCTCTTCCATTGTACTTTGATCTATCTCGCTGTATTCATCGCTTTCTGTCTTCTCATTATTTGGCATGCAAGAAATTTACAAATAAAAAAGAAAAAGTACAGTACAGAATATATAATATAAAACATAATTTATTACATGCAGCATACTGTGTATATACTTATCACAGCAATCTATGAAATATTAACACTCTATCTATATTTTAAAATCTATAGCTAGAAATGTATATTCTAATAAAATGAGAAAAATGCAATAAAAATACTGTGAAGTATGGTAGGTGTAAAACTAGAACATTTTTTATTTTTACCACGCATCACAGTTTAGAAAACACGTAATATTGATCAGAATAATCTTAGAACCACTTAAACTATGGTTTTATAAACGAGAAATTATTTATTGATGAAAAGCCCAGCGAGCAGAGAAAATTCTTTTTTGAATCGTTGTAAGCCTAAGATGGCGTATTCTCTAATATTTAGCTGTTTAGTTTGGGTATTAGCGTATTAATTAGGGAAGAGTGTTAAAACTGCAGAATAGTACTCTGCTATCTTTGGCAGTAGATCCTTTTCAGATAGTGTTTTTGGTATGTTACCCAGATCTTTAATCTCTTTCGTAGATGACAGAGTTAAAAGTGTTTCTCTTTCTTTGTTCAAAAGATCAAGGCATTTAGAGAGGCCTGCACCTCCGTTATTAGATAGAATATACTCTATCTCGTAGAAGTGCGAGGTAATCCTTTCTACTACACTATCCACAGTGTCTTCATACGCAGTGGTTTCGGTTTCCATGTCTCTTTCAATGTGCATGTCGTTAATCTCATTTTTAAGCGTAAGAATTTCTGTTGCCATAGCTTGTTTTTGGGTTTTAATAATTTTCAACTGTGCGTGTGCAGAGTCCAGTAGCTCTTGTGTGGCTAGGTCAGAAGTCTGCTTATCAATCATGTTCAAAAGTATTTCTATCTTTCCTTCTGCCGCCGCCTCTATTTCCAGATCTTTTCTTAGCTTTTCCACAGCAATGATTATCGCGGATGGTGAGTTCTGGTTGTTAACCGTTCCTTTATATGTGCTGGTATTTTTTCCTATGATTTCTTCCAGACTCTGGACGAGTGAATTTAGACAGGGCAGCTCATCTTCTGGGGATTTTGCGTTCTTATGTTTAAGCACTAGGTATGTGTCTTCTACTAAGGACTTTAATTCTTCCTCTTCAAGCAGTGAAATCTGCTCTCTAATGGTGTTTCTTTTTAGGGAATACTTTGGAATGAACTCAATGGTTCCATTGTTTTTTCTTCTTAATATTTCTTCCTTTAGGTCTTCACACACTTCGCTGAACTGCTGGTCATTGAAGAAAAAAACTTTCTCAATTGCTTCTTTCTTTGGGCCTTCAATCACTGGCTCTGGGTGTCCTTCTAGAAACTGCCTGAACAGATCCTGTCTTTCATTAATCTCTTCTGGGGTGGGTGGAGAATACATGAAAACACCAGACACAAGGCACTATATACAAAGTAAACAAACATAAAACCATCACTTATGAAACACTATGCGTTTTAAATTGCATTGGTGTCTTTGCGGATTTACTATAAAAGCCTCTAGTTTCTTTTAGTATTGATATATATAATCACATACCTATTATAAATAGAGAATTGCTATTGCAATAGAGCAAATGATTCGGCCTAAAAGCTAAATCATTACTAATATTATGGTAAACAGGCAATTCTAGTTAATAAACCCATATAAACACCTGAATAGTAAATTAGTTAAAAGCACCAGAGTAATATTTTTGTTATATATAATTTAATAGAAATTGCCCATTCGGCTACTATACTTACATATGACTAAATTTAGTTGAAGATTATTGATTTTTACTAGCATGCATGAGAAGTAAGAAAAAATATTATTATTTGTTGAAAGAGCATCACATATGGCCATAAGAAGAATATAACCCGAAATATTTTGAAAATTCGAAAGTGATTGATATAACAAACATTTTGTCTATTATTAAATACATCTCGAAATATAATGGAGTGTGTTGTATTTGATGGTCAGGAAGAATTATTTAGAGAATTCGGTGATGTTTTGTGTTTAATAAGAAATTCTGGCAGTCTTCTTTTATATTTTGTTTCTGTGTGAAAATATTTGAGCTAGATTTTTCTGCTGAGCAGTTTTAGTTTTATGGCAGTAAATATGAAAAAGGACTCACCGTTTATATCAAGAAGTATTAGAAAGCAACTGAAAAAGATGGAAATAACCAAGCTAACAGAAATACAACAGCAAGCCATTCCCTATGCAATTAAAGGGCGTGATCTTTTGGGGATTGCAAACACTGGGTCTGGGAAGACTCTTTCATTTTTAATTCCTGCAGCTGAGAAGCTTATTCCAGAAAAAGAAGTAAAGATTCCTAAAGTGCTAGTAATAGCACCAACAAGAGAGCTTGCGATGCAAACATCTCGTGTGTCGCAGAAGCTCTTTGCAGAGTATCCTGGGATTCGAACGGTTCTTTTTGTAGGGGGAACTAAAAAGGCAGATGAATTAGAACAGATGAAAAAGGGGTGTGCAATTCTTGTGTGTACTCCTGGAAGACTTTTAGACCATCTTAAATCCGGCCTTTCTCTACAGAAAATAGAGATGGCAGTCCTTGACGAATCAGACAGGATATTAGACATAGGATTTGAAAAGGACATGTCAGAGATTTTAACGTATCTTCCAAAGAAGAGGCAAACACTTATGTTCAGTGCAACAAACACGGACAATGTTCTCTGCAGATCCTGGCTATCAAAAAGATATAAAAAAGTGCAGGTAAAAATCGACGACAAAATAACAGCAGAGGGGCTAAAGCAGTCCTTTGTAACGTGCCCAGAAGACAAGAGGTTTTCTCTTCTCTTTTCTTTCTTAAAAAGAACTGAAGAGAAGGTGATTGTGTTCTTTTCAACGTGTGCTTCTGTTATGTTCCATGGAGAGCTCTTTTCTCTTCTTGGATTCAGTGCTGGTGTTCTCCACAGCGGGGTAAAGCAGGACAGAAGAGCAAAAGTATTTGATGAGTTCTGCGAAGGAAAAATTAAAATACTTTTTAGCACTGATGTGGCAGCACGTGGGCTGGACATTCCTAACGTAAGATGGATTGTTCAGTACGATCCGCCCACAGACCCAAAAGAATACATCCACCGAGTGGGAAGAACTGCTAGAGCTGGCGCGCACGGAGAAGCCCTTATGTTTTTATTACCACATGAGCGGATTTTCATTCAGTATCTAAAACATCTTGGGGTAGAGGTAGACGAACTCACATTCAATGAGCCCAAAGATATTTCAGAGCATTTTATAAAAACAATTAGCTCAAACTACTACTTAGAAAGAGACGCAAAAGATGCCCTGAAGGGATATTTACAGGCATACGCAGGGCATAAACTAAAAAAGGTGTTTGATGCATCAAAAATAGAACTCAACAAAATAGCCAAGTCTTTTGGGCTTTCTTCTATGCCCAAAATAGACCTAACTATATGCGCTGGAAAGTAAATAAAATAAAATGAATTTTATACAAAAAGAAGTTCTATATAGTTTCTAATCATTATATGCAGCAAATACCAATTTAGATATAACATCTAATCCATATAATATGCTTTTTAATTGATAAACAGTTTATTAATAGAATACTATATCTGGATACTTGGTAATTCCTTTTATTCAAACAAGGTGGGTGGTTTTTTCATTTACTTCTTCTTTTTGCAGAGTAATTGCTGTGTTTGTGTGAATGTGCCTGTATAAATAATAAAATATTCTGAAATATAAAAGTCTCTACTTTAAAAAACACACTGAAAATTAAAATGAAGGCATTAGATTTATTTTCAGTCTGAAATAATACAAAAGGTTACAATTCATATAAATATACATAAAAAAGATATTTAATGCGTAATCAATAAGAAAAACCAAATATAGAAAGAGCGCTCTGAAACATTTCAGTATATTTATACAGTAATTAATTAAATTTCTACCATACAAGAATACATTGAGTTACGCACATCTATTATTACAGGCATAACAAGATAAAAAGAAAACAATACAATACATAGAAGAATAATTCATAGTATAAAGAAAATAGATAAAAGTCACTTCTAAATAATCAAGAAATTTATTATTTACGCATATAAATGCAGCCTATTCATGGCCTTATTTCAATACAGGCTCTTTTTATGTTTTGTTTTTACTCTTTTCTTTTATATTATAGCCTTTTATTTGGACTAGTTGTTCTTTTTCATGTCTTGTATTTTTTGGTATAAATAATTTATGCGTGGACCTAGTGGGATTTGTCCTTTTTTTGTGCGTCTGTTGAATTTCTTCTTCCATTCTTCTCTCTCCCTTTGCTTCTTTTCTCGGATTTTGTTGATTCTTTCTAGCTCTTTCTGCCTCTCCTCCCTTTTTCGCAAGTTTTCTTTGTGAATCTCGTCAAGCTTTGTTGTCTTTTCTTTTTTTGGCGCCTCTTCTTCTTTTATTTCTATTTTCTCTTCCGCAAGTGCTGCCTTCATGCTTTCGTCTCTTATTCGGTTGACCGTTTCTTCCTCCTTCAGCTTTTTATACTGTCTCTGCGATTTCCATGCCATTCTATTTTTGCAGAAAGACTTTTCGCAGAAATAACTAGAGGGCTAGTTAGTGCTTAGCTTTGCTGCCCAAGTCTTTTCAACACTATTTCGTACCCGTCTGGTATATTCTACATAATTATTCAGATACAAATTCGATGCAACTGAGTTCGCAGGCGAGTTTGTATTTGGGTCGTTAAGCAAAGACTGTATACACAGAAGAGCCTGCCCAATTCCATATGCCGAATTCCATCTATTCTTAAGAATGTCTAGGCAAAGTTCCCCATTTGGATATATATTGGGATGGAACATATCAGATATAAAGGATATCTCTGGTGGATGCTGCGGATAGGACTCGGTGAATGATAGCTTTAGCTCAAATACTCCATCTTCAAAGGGAGTGTCCTCTGGGCCAAATATAACTGCTCGCCAGTCCATTATATCTTCTTTACTGGGGACTGCCAATATATTTTCAAGTGGTTCTTCTAATAACTTTTTCATATCCCGCATAAGCTTCCGTCTAGTGGGTGTTGACATAAAAAATACTTTTTTGCATTTCGGATATACAGACAGAAAGACTTTTCAGATTAAATCTAAGAATGTATGCATGGTATTCAAAGTTTATATGTGTATGAAAAAGAGAGCTGAGCACATGCTGTGTATAAATTAAATTTAAAGTTTATTTTAGAGTTTCGTATATAGCAGTCAATGTCCAGTTTAAATATAGACTATGCACATGAAAAGCTAAACTGCATCTTATCTTAAACATCCTAAATTACTTAGAAGTTTGCTGGATTAACAATATAAGTCTATTTTGGGCACAAACGACCAATCCATATATTTTATAATCATTTATCTATTTATACTATGCGAAAATTCAGTTAGAGGGCTCTATATGGGTGTGTGGACTGAAAATGCACAAACCGCTCTCAGATGTAGCCATGATTATATCATCAGCAATAAACTCAAAGTCTTTATAGTAGGCCTGCCCCTGGTGCACAAAGCTTAAGTACTTGTGGTACTCCCAGCCTTCAGTCTCTTCATAGGACATGTCCCACATAACAATTTCACAGCTGGAGGCAGAAGCAAATACTTCTTTTGTACTGAACTGAGTGTGGCTGATTGGGGACTGATGGAATTGAATAAGCTCCATTGGTGCCTCCTGTCTAATATCAAATATTCGAAGTGCTCCTTTATCATCGCCAGTAACAATCAGATTGTCTCCATTGTATGCTATAGAGTTAATATCACACTCATTTACTAAGTAAGACTTTGTTCCCTTGCATCTAAAATCAACCAAACTAACTTCGCGCGTGCCCACAAAGGCTTCATTCTCAGATATACTGGCAACTGTGAATATTTCTTTTTGGTTTATGTCTATATAATTAATTTGCTTTCCATCAAGGTCTTTTTGCTGTACAGCAAATGAACCATCACCGTAGAATATGCAGGATTTATAAAGAGAAATGCCATATCCACCTAAAATGGCCTTGCTATATACTGGGACAAGGCCTGTTGTATATATTTCTATTGAGTGATCAGAGATTGTATATACGTGGTCATTTTTAGCACGAATTCTGTTTGCTTGATAGGCTGTTTCCACTTTCTTTATAGGCGCAATGGTTCTTTTAGAGTCGCCAGATAGATTCACTTCTAAGTCGATGATAGAGGGGGAGGTGCCAGGAATTGATTGCTCTATTAGAATTCTCCCTTCTTCCTCTTTCATACAAACAGTTAGGGATGGCCAGTCTAACTGAATTTGCTCGTGTATTCTGTATACATTTTCTGTGTGCAGTTCCATTTCTTCTGGTTTTTGCAGAGCTTCATACTCCTCGTGGGAAGATTCGTCTGTTGAAGAACCATCTTCAATGGGAATTAGATTTTCTGGAGTACCGTTATTTTCTTTTCTTTCTCTTCTGGTGTTTTGCTTTGCCATATGATAAATTTTTTATTGCGGTGTTATATATGCAAGTATCCAAAAATTTGTTGCACTCTTAGATTTATAGACTGTGCTAGAAGAAAGAACAATGTATTAAGACATATTACTTTTTATGCATGTATATTTTAGCATATTTTATATGGGATTTTCAAATATTTTAGCAGAGTTGATATTTCATTAAAGCTTAATCCCCTAGTATTGCTATTGGATAGTAAAATTCTGATTATTCTATTATAGCCCGAAATGCTTCATTCTTATAATCGGCTGTGTTCTTATCAGAAGATTTGTGCTATGCAGTATTCGATAAAGAAGAGTTTTTGGATTCTATTGGACAATTTTAGAGTATTTTTATGTAAATATACTGAAATGTGTTGTGAATATAAGTATTTATATAAATGTAAAAATAGCTAGGCATAAATGTGCACTAAGGAATTAAGCATCAGCAGACAAAGAATAATAACAATCCAGCGAGAGTTTATTTTATATTCCATGCAATGCCATTGTATGTGCGGCCCTATGGATTTTCGGATATTTTTGTATTTTTTAGATTTTTGGTGTACTTGCCCGGGATTTTCAGAGGACAAATGTCTTATATTGGGCACGGCTCACCTTTTATGCACTTTACTAAAATATCCAGCTCTCTTTTGTGTCGGGCTGAGTTAACATTATCAGAGAAGAATTTTTGTAGCTTTGTAATATAATCGAGATTTTTCTCTATTAAGCCAATCTGATCTGGAGAGAGCATATTTATCTTCTTTTTTCTGCATAGAACAAGGATTTCCTCCATTCTCCATCCATTGGCATAGTTTATACTGACAGAGTCTATTGCTCTTTCTGGCTTATCTAATTTTAGCTTGTTTTTGACAGTTGACAAAGCAAACTTAAAACTTTCTCCGCACTCAAACACCTCCCAGTCTATTTCATCAGAGTTTTCTATCTCTAAATGAACTGAATTAAAGAGAAACACTTTATCAAGCATGGAGCTGTCTGCTCGGTCAAGCAGAATAATTAGCCACTGCAGGGCCAGTGGCAGATCAGATGATTGCTTCAAAGAGTAGTTTAGCAGCTCATCAATCGGAGCAGTTGCTTTTTCAAAGGTCTCTTCAGAAGAGCTTAACTTGCACTCTGTGTTTATATCTGTGCTGGTGGAAGGCAAAGGCATTAATCCAGAGGGGAAGAGCGGGGTGGCTCTGTAAAGTGAGGCTATCAATGGATGGATGGCCTCAAAAATAGCAGGGCTGCATATAACATCAACCCCTCCCATGACCAGTCCTGTGATATACTCTAAGGAGATAATCCTTCGGAAAAAGAGAGAATAAAATGCGTCGGCTATTCTTTTTCCAAATATAGTGTTTAAATCATTTGGTACATCTACTTCAGATAGAAGCACAAGCTCACCTTTCTCATTTAGAACGGGGTGGTGCTTAATTGACTTTCTAGCCTCAAAGTATGTTTCGACAAATGTTTTAATAGTGTCTTCTTTTTCTCCAGTAGCAGATTCCTTCATTTTAAGAAGTTTTTCAGGAACAGATACTAGCTTGTAGCTTTTAATTATTGTAGAAAATTTAAATACTAGGCTGTGGATCGGGATGGTTGGGCAATACTCGCACCCAAGAAGAAGGAATATATCACAAGCACACTCTCGTGTGATGCAATACTCCTCACAGGCGCTGGAAAGCGTCGCGTGCTGGATGCCAGTCACTTTCTTGTTTTCATTGGTAGGAGTAAATTCAAAATCAATAATTAACTCTTCCGCGCCAGAGAACAGGAAATAGTCAGTAGATCCGAAAAACATTGAGATGTATGCCCGCTTTTCCATATAAGCACCCTGTGCTGCAGCCAAGTATGGTGCATTTACTATTTCTACCTTTCCCTGCGATAGAATGGGATTAATCGCATTCTTTACTTCTTCATAGTCAAAAGCCACATTCCATGATTTTGCAGCCAACTCAAGCTCATTGTCTCTATAATATTTCCAGCCATTCTGCACAGACTCCATTCTTCTTTTCTCTGGGGCTTTTCTAGCCTTTAGTTTGGGCGATATTCCATTCCATATCCACACTATTCTGCATCCTATTTGGTCCATTGACTCCACCAGACTCTGCACAGAAGATATAACCTCAGCGCAAAAACCGTCCATTAGAATGCTTTTTGTCTTATTTATTGGGGTATACTTCCTCACAAACCAAGCTCCGTCAATTCCTATTGTGGCATTCTTAAGGATTGACAGACCGTATTTCTTAATGAGGTGCCGGTTGTTAAGCTCTCTCTCAAAGTTTCGAATTGGCATAATTTAAAATTAATGAATTTGATTACTAGTAAATTATATGGGGGAAGGAGAGGCATCAAAGAAGATAATCGTAGTGGGAGATGGCGGCTGTGGAAAGACCTGTCTTCTAATTAAATACACAGAGAATAGGTTTGAGAAGGAGCACAACATAACTGTGTTTGAAAACAAAGAAGTGCCCTACCTAGACAGAGTGACAGGAAACACGTACACGCTCAACCTCTGGGATACAGCAGGGCAAGACGACTTTGACCGTATTAGAAAGCTGTGCTATATAGACACGCAGCTAGTGCTTATATGCTTTGCGTTGAACCGGCCTGAGTCCTTTAAGAACATAGAGGGCCGCTGGAAGGAGGAGGTAGACCACTTCTGCAAGGACACGCCAAGAATGCTTGTGGGCCTAAAGGCAGACTTAAGGAAAACAGAAAGCGAAGACCTTATATCAGAGAGCATGGCAAAGAAATTAGCAAATAGCGTATCAGCAAAGTGTTATATTGAGTGCTCTGCTGCCACTGGGGAGAATGTGGATACTGTTTTTGACGAAGCAATGAACATTCTTCTAAACAGATCGAAAAAGAAAAAAGACAGAGGACCCGCCTGTAAGACACTCTAACCAAAATATTAAGAAAGGTAGGGATAGTACAATAAACTATTTGAAACAGTTAATTTTAAATATTCTTGCATAATAAGATGCAAACAAAATACCATGTAGGCATATCATGTGGGTATTAACATTTTAGGAAATAGCCAGGAGAAAAAGCATAATATTTATGCATTTATGCATTTTAGTGTGTTAGGCGAATGAAGCGTTTTTCTGATCATCTCAGGCATACTTGGCTCACTGCTAAACTGCATAATTGTATTTTTGTAATGCGGCTCTGTGTATTAATTTCCGGTATATGTGTATTTCGGATTATTGAATTATATTTAATTATTTCGGATTTCATCAAGCCATGTTTCTTTTTCTAATAACGGAGCTAGATGCTTGCTAAGCAAAGTATGTGCTAGAACAAAGTCTGGACCTGGTATATTTTTCTTTTTACTGCATTTTGTATTTTGGATTATATTGAATTATTTTTTGTATGCATCTGGTTTTCTGGCTATTTCTGTTTCTTATGAGAATTAAATACACAATAATTTTTATTCTTAATTGTAAATGGATGCAAATTGCGAGGACATCTCAGTACTTATAACCGAAAATAGATACAGCGAAATATTAGCACACCAAAAGGCTACAGAAGAGCAAAAGACTATAGCGCTGATAAAGCTAGATAGATATAACGAAGCACTAAAAACCTGCCAGAATAATACATTTGAGAAGGGGTACTGCTACTATAAGCTAGGAAGATACAAGGCGGCGCTACACACAGCGGGGAAGAAAAAAGGAGCAGACTGGACCACATTAAGATCGCAGATATTATATAAGCTAGACAGACACTCAGAGGCGCTGGAGGAGCTAAAGAAGCTAAAGCTGAAGGGGCCTATTTTAGTAAACTATGCAGGGAACGTGGCAATGGCGTGCGTTGAGAATAAATTAAAGTGTGATGGGCCAGAAGTAGAGGAGATTCTGAAAATGCTAAAGAATGAAAGCATCAATATACAGGCAGAGGTACTGTACAATCTTTCCTTTGCGTATCTGCCGGACAGGAAGAAGGCGCTTCAAAAATTAAAGGAGATAGATACGCCAGACAGAGATCACAGAGAACTAATTGCATCGCAGATACACAACATAGAAGGGAACCTAAAAGAAATTTCACCAAGTGTACTAAGCAAAAGCAACAGGTCAATCCACCGATACAACGCAGAGGGTATACAGACGCCATGTCTTCTTGACTCAATGAAGCAGTTCCAAAAGGATAACTACTATCAGAATAGAATAAAGCAGTACGGCCAGTCAAAGGATGTACCAGAAATATGCAGTATAATTGACGAGCTAAAGCAGAATAACACCAAGCCCATTGTTCGATTCATAAGCAAACTAAGCAGGAAGAATGCGCTGCGGCTGAAGAAAGTCTTGGAAGAAGATAATCTTCTTAATAAAAGCCTTAAGCGCATCATAAGAAACAAATGAGCACATAGCGTAAATAGGCAGTATCAGCACTAATAGAAAGAATTAACCCGAACTACAAGAATAAAACATTATGCATGAAGTGCATACAGTGCAGATATATAAATGGCTATTTCAAGAAATATAAAACCTAGAAATTTCTAAGTTATATTCTGTGCTAATTTTCAATAAAGATTAAAGCTTACTATTATCACATTACAAAATCTATTAACGCATTGTGCTTATATTTATATTCTGACTATTTTATAATTTAATCCAATTTATTTCTTAAATAACTAGAAAATGTGGCTGCGTCAATTTCGAAGTATATTCTGCATATTTAATACCTATTAACCATATGCTATATTAACTGCACTATTATTTTGGTTTGTATCTATTTTCAGGAATATTTTTGGCTATATTTATACAGAGCTAATTTACAGTTCTGACCGCGCAACAGCTGATTTGTTGGTAATAATCCTTCTTAATTTTTATCTATTTAGCTTCTTTAATTTAATACTCTTCTATTAATTACATTCTGTTTTTAATTTTTTATAATGCTAAGTGGAGTATTTCTTGTTTCTGTCTCTTCTATCCTTGTGTGGATTGGTACGCTAAACACCCAAACACACTCTATACAGAAGGAAAGTATGTCAATGGATGACGCAAAACTATTTCCGGTGATTGGATCATTTGTTCTGCTAAGTCTTTTCTTTGCTCTTCGCTATCTGCCAAAGAGTATTATAAATACGCTGTTTAGGGCACTCTTTACAGTAACCGGAACATTCACGGTGTATAAAATACAGAAGGTAATATATCACCAGTTCCGCCCAGTGCAGCAGGAAAAGGTAAAAGAAGAGAAGGTAAATAAGGACGTGCCAGAAAAGGAGGCCACGGGTAAGAATCAAAAAGAAACAGCCGAGAAACCAGTAAATGAAGGAGCAAGCACCAGCTCAGCCGGCAAAGAAGATGCGGTTGAGACCACTCAGCCAGCACAAGCCGCAATTTCTGGTACATGGACAGGTTTCAAAAATGAAGTTTATGATTCTATAGTAGAGATAAAGGAATGCGCCAATGTATATTTGAATGAGTTCAGAAAGCCGCAGTTTGCTGGTATGTTTGCAGTTTCCTGCCTAATTAATGCATGGTACTTCAAAACTAAGAGTATCAACTCTTCAAATATTCTTGCAAGTGCATTTGCTATTATGGGAATTCGGGAGATAAAGCCAGACTCAACAAAGACGGTTCTTGTGCTTCTTTCTCTTCTTTTCCTTTATGATATATTTTGGGTGTTCTTTACGCCTGTTATGATCGGTGTGGCTAAGGGGTTAGACATTCCTATAAAAATAGTATACCCATTTACTAGAAAAGGAGCAAGTATGATAGGTCTAGGGGACATTGTGATTCCAGGCCTGTTTTTGTCTCTTGCGCGCGATTTTGCCCATAAATTCAGTGCACCGCTTGTGTTCACATTTGGATTTGTTGGATATATTCTAGCGCTAATTGTTACTTTCGCAATTGTGTTTATTTTTAAGGCAGGACAGCCTGCTTTATTGTATATTTGCCCATTGATTGTGGCAGGTAGTCTTGTTGGGTGTGCAGTTCACAAGAAAACAAAAGCGTTCATTGATTATAAGGCAGAATAAAGCATAAGTTGTCGGAGTATATTCCTAGATTGATTCAAATTTAAATATTTATCTTATACATAGTAATGATTGACGGTTTTTGATTAATTTTAGATTACATCTAAGTATTTTTAGAGCAATTAGAACTTACATGGCACAGGCCAGCAAGTAGTCAATATAGTTTAAAGAATTCTATAACTGTATAAAGTGAACAGGCAAATCGGTTTATTATCATTTGGGTCATGGAGAATTATAGACTGTTAGATAATTAATACGCCAAAATTGAAGAAGTGCTTGGCTAAATGTTTTTCTAACTTGTCTGTTTGGATATATTTCTAATACTAAACTATTGCATTGTCCTGTATTGCTATTAAAGCAGTAGTGGTTATTTAGAGTCTTAAAAGGACTCTACTATGTATTCAAGCGCAGGGTCTGTAAAATGGTATTCATGTATATCTAGGCCTATCTCCACACTTTCTCTGATAATTCTGTTGGGAATATCTTTGAGTGCAAGGAGTGCGCTCTCTGCCTCTTTTGTATTAATGGTTCCCAGTGCTTCAGCACACTCGTGTCGAACCATTTCATGCCGTGATTCGTCTGCAAGAACTCTGGCTAGATGCTTAGCTGAGGCGGGGTGGGACATCTGCCCAAACACAAAGGCTACTTCATGCTCAAACAAGTCAGATCTATTCTTGTTGTTAAATCCTTCTGCGAGTACTTCAACTGCTTCTTCAGTTCCAATATCTCTTAGACCAAACATAGCAGTGTATCTTTCATACAGCGGCTTGCTTTCATCAAGATATGTCTTCTTTAGAGATTCAATAGACTGGTCCTTAGCAGAAAGTGCTGGATCAAGAGATCCAAATTCAGACTTTTTGGACCCGCCGTTTTTTATCAGCTCTGCGCCTATCTGGCATGTTTCTGAAACTGCCCTGCTGTTTGAGATAGCAATGTCTGCATATTTTCTTAAAAGAGGTTCATATGAGATGTCTCCAAAGGTTGCTATTGCTTCTGCTGCTTCATGGCGCACAATCTCATCTTCTGTGCCATCTACAAGCACTCGCTCAAGAATCGGGAGGGCTGTTCTGTTCTGCATCTGGCCCAAGACATACGCCAGCTCGTGCTTTAAAAGGACAGAAGAAGTGGTGAATGCTTCTGCAATGCCAAATACAGACTCATCTGTGCATATGTTTCGGAGTGCAAAAAGTGCTCTAAATCTGAGCTTTAGCGGCTCTTCTTCATTCTGTAAAATATTTGAAAATTTCTTAACTGCATTCTCTGCGGCTGTGCTCATTTTTGAAAAAAAATAATTAGCGAAAACAGTTTATTCTTCTATTTCTGCGGACTCTTGAATCTGGCTGGACTCATGGGATGGCTTATTTTTCGGCAGAAAAATAATAGAAGGCAGACCTGCTAAAGAAGAGTTTCTTTGCTGTGCTGGCGTGAATCTTTCAAAGTTTTTTACAATGTGAGACTTTTCTTCTATTTCATCCACCTCTGATGGCTGTTCTTCTTGTTCTTCTTCTTCTTGCGCCTCCCCGGAAAGAGAGAGCAGTTTGAACTTCTTCCCTGGCTTCTTACTCTCAGCCACTGATACATTTGTAATTAAATGCTCCTTTTGGGGGCCTTCTATCTCCACAGAAAAGTCATTCACAAGATTTAAGTCTGTGTCGACCGCAAGTAAAAGAGTTGGGCGCATGCACAGAGAAATGAAAGGAACTAGAGGATACCAGTGCCAGTACTGCGAGAACAGGATGGCACCGCACACGCTTTTTATAGAAAGGTCGCCTGACATTCCAAAGATACTCATGAACCCATTCTTTCCGCATGCATCAAGTAAAGAGCGGCCAAGAAGAGCACCAAACCGCGCGGCTCCGCTTTCACTCTTTCTTTTTGTCATGCTGTGCATATGCTTAACAATTCTTTTATAAAATGGATCATCTCTTGCATTCACCTGCATAAGTACTAGCCCGGCTCCAATGCTTGCGTTTTGTCTAACATAGGTGGTGCTATCGTACATAAGCACTTCTAAAACATCAAGAACCTTCTTGTTCCCAGTGCCGGCCAAGAACATTCCCAGGGTAAGCGCTACTCCGGACCTAACGTATGAAGAGTGGCTCTGTGCAAGAGGCTCAAGCACTTTAAAGAGAACAGGATCGCTTCCTAGGAGACTGTCCTTGTCCTTGCATGTTTCTGACTTGGTTGTAAGGATTAGACCAATGCTGAACACAGCAATTCTCTTAACATCATCAGATGAGTCTGTGCTGACCATAGAGAGGAGCTTTCCAACAACAGTAAGATTCCCAGTGCCAACATATGCTGCACCAAGAGCAAGCGCGCCTGTGTATCTAATGATTGCATTTGAGTCTGCAACGATTTCATCTAACAGGCTCTGCATCTCAGAGATAGGAGCTGTGCCAGAGGAGGCTGCAGTGATTAGCTGCAGGGCTACACTTACACCGACTGCCCTGGAGATCTTTTCATGCTCTGTATCTCTTGCGTATGTCAGAAGCTCTTTTATCAGCTCTAAGTTAAATATTCCAGCGCTCACCAGCCCAATTGCGTATGCCGCTGCCTCTGATGTGGTCACTGTGTCTGAGTACAAAACACTCTTGAACCTGTTGATTGAGTCTTCATCTCCAGTGCCCAGGCGCGTAAGACCAAGGCCCAGGCAGACGCCGTGCAGGATGTGATTTCTTCTGCTCTCCATTTCCGTATCAAAGAAAGTGCTCAAGAAGCTATCTGCAATTGATGGAGAGTTGACTGAAATAAGCCCAAGAGCAAATAACGCACCTCCACTCTCTGGGTCGTCCTTTTCTGAGCTCTTTATTGATGCCATTGGAAGATAATGCCGCAGCATCTCAAAAGGATCTTCGCTGTCGGTGTGAATCATACCAAAGGATGATGCCACAACAAACTTAGACCAGTTCTTTGCCTGCCGCATCCACTCTAGATTTTTTCTTAGATAGGTATCATTTGCTGTTTTACAGTTCATTATCCCGTTGCAGAAACTCAGAGACATATGGTTCATAGAAAGCTTTGAGCTCTGTGACTTTGACAGCTCTGCAAGCAGAGCAAAGTTTGCCTGGTTCTTTTCCGACAAGAACTTCTGATAGGTGGTAGACTGGAACTGGCCGGTCAGCAGCTTATGAACTGAGGCATGCTGTATGTCCTCTGAAATGCTCTGGGACATACCAGGCGCTTTGTCATGCACCAAGAAAGCCATGCACAATGCAACCTCGGTCCTTTCCTCTGCCAGATACTTTAAGAAGTCTTTCAGTTCCTTTTCATCCTTTCTGAATAAATATGCATCCAAAAGGTATCTGTAGAAGAACAAAGAATAGCTCTTATTTTTTCCAGTACTCCAAATCTCTTCTATCACAGGGAATATTTTTGAGTAAATTCGCGCTTGCTTGGCCTCTTCAACTAAGAATTTCATTTGCACATCATTGCAGAGAATTTGCATGTTTTCTTTTATGAAAAGATCAATCCCCTCTATGTTCTTTGTGGTTATGTGCAGTCCCAGTAATGAAAATACATCGTGTCCATCTTCATTCTTCTGAGACAGAAGAGTCTCCATAAATGCTTCCATTTCTTCCCCGTGGGCTCCCTGTGTTTTAATGTATTTCCTAATTATTCTGTTTTTGGATTCTTGGAAGTACAAAGAAAGAGTCTCGCAGTGATTCTCCGAGGCTTTAAACCACTCATTCCCAGAATGAATCATGTGGTGCACACACTCATCATACTGCTGCGTGTAGAAATATATCATGGATGAGATGAGGTGAAGGAGTTCCTTCTGTTCTGGGTCAGACTCTGGCTGAATATGCTGAAGTGCGCCCTTCAATAGGAATCCAACTAGCCCTACATTCTTGATTATCAAATCAATTGCCTGTTTCTTCTTTTCCTTGCAGTTCTGCAGTAAAAGTGCCTCTATAGTCGGTACAAGCGCAATTGCTTCCATACTTTAAAAAAACAAAACAAATTTAACTATCATGCACCCAACACAAAGTAGAACAAAAAGAGACCCCTGGCACTTACACTTGGCACACCCACTCTAAATACACATTACATGGCATCTGCTAAGCCCAGAAGAAGGGCACCACTGTATCTGATATTTTTAGATTTAATTTATGCTAATTGTAATAAATTAATGAAGAAACAAAGAGATGCAAGAGAATTACTGTGGATTTGAAGAAATAACTTAGAACGCCTGAAATAGTGTGAATAACCTGAAATAACTTAAGACAGCATGCAATAATCTTAAATATACATCCATTTACATGATATTTAAAACATAAGCACGGCTAGTTGTATGAATATACAGATGCATAGATGCATATACTAAGACTAATATAGAGCAATAACTATGTACGAATACTCATTTATTAAGTTATGATAACACCTATATTGAAGCCGATATATTTATTCTGTATATATGTTGTTTTTAGGGCCATCTGACTTCTATAAAGATTTACCACGCTTTTTACTTATTTGTATAGTGTGAACTATGCACTATTTATTAAAATATTAGTTATGCCTTACATATAGTATTCGCTGGTTTTATGCTCTGCCTATACATGCCTTGTTTTAATAATACTTTCTATTTTATTGCATAATTATCTATAAATAAGCACATAATGTTCTATTTTTAAAGATTTCTGCAATCTAGTTGCTGGTTCTATCTGAGAATTTGCTAAAGATTGCTGGGTATATCTTAGTGCGCCTTCCAATTACTTAGGAAAATTGTGCACACTTTAATATTTTTCTTGCTTGGTTATAAATGAATCTAGTGGAAATTGTTGGGGACAGGATTAAGAAACAAGTGCTTGCGCTGGGGCACTCTGAGAAAACCTGGCGAGTGCTGATTATTGACCAAAACACAGCAAAGTTACTCCACCACACGCTTCCCATGAGTGAGGTACTTTCTAGGAACATTGCTATGGTTGAGCGATTAGAGGATATGAGAGAGCGCACTACTGAGTTCAGTGCGGTATATTTTGTAAACATAAACAGCCAGTCTGTAAAGCAGATAGAAAAAGACTTTTCAAATAAGATGTACAGAAGTGTGTTTGTTGTTTCCTGCGCATATATCGGAGATAAAGAGGAAAGGGCACTGGAAAATCTGAAAAAGAAAGCAGAAAAGCTGAGAGAAAAGGCTAAAGATAAAGAGAAAGATAGCATTGACTTTATATACAAGAGCATTATCTTTGATTTCATACCAATTGCACCGGATGTCTTTCATGTGGAGACGCCACACTCATACTACACCTCCCGGGAGAAATACCTTGAGGACATATCAAATAAGATAAAAGGGATTTATAGAGTAATTCAGGTGAGGTGCACTGCTATTCCCATTGGGAGGTATGCGAAAGAGCTAACTAGTAAAATTGAGTCATCGGGCACAAGTAAGCTTGTGGTTGTGGAAAGAGGGGCTGATATGAACACTCCTCTTATACACACCTTTACATTTGAAAGCCTTTTGTGGGACCTGGGTCTGGCCGGGCCTGGGTACATTGTAGAAGAGAAGAAGGCCGCTCAGGAAGAAACACCAGGCAAAGATAAGGAAAGCGAGAGTGAAAGTGATGATAATGATGAAAAAAGGATGGAGATAAGTGAGGACTATAAAGTATGGATGGATGTAAGAACTAAGCAGCTGGTAGAGACACATAAGAAACTATCTGAATTGATCAAGAAAGAAACAAAGACAGAAGAAAAAGAGCAAAAATCAAATATCAAGCAGCTTGTTCGCGCAGTGCAGGAACTCCCTGCGCATACCCGGACACTAAAAGAGATAAAGATACTCATGGGCTTACTGGAAAAGTGTGTGAAGTTCTTCAATATGCCGGGAATAAAGGAAACTGCTGAGTTGGAGCAGGGGATATCTACAGGAAAAGACTTTAACGGCCATAGCTTCAAGCACGAAGTTACAAAAAAGTTCTTTTCGGTTTTAAAAACCGCGAAGCTTACGCAAACAGAAAAGGTCCGCCTCTATCTACTGTATATTCTCAACTACGGGCCTCTGCAAAGAAATGAAGAAGCCCGTCTGATAGAAAAGGGCCATCTGTCGCAGAAAGATTTAGATAGCGGGGAAAGAGTAAGAAAGTACATGGCTGAGCGACGGATAAAGCCTATGTCAAAGAGAACGCTTCCAATTGCCAGGCACGTTCCAATAATTGCCGACATTCTCACTGCTATTATTTCAAAGGATGCGCATGCATGCCGAAAATTGGAGATTCATCTGCCTGATGCAAAGGAAGTGCTTTCTGGCGAGTCTTTGCGCAGAAGAGAGTTTGTGTTTAAGACTAGCGCATCTACTGACTCTGCTCATAGAAAAGTCATTTTGGTATACTTTATTGGAGGAGTCTCAATTGCTGAAATATCAGAAATACGGGAAATAGCACATAATACAGGACAGACCATTTTTATTGGCTCGACTGACATATGCGCACCAAATAGTTTTGTAACCGTTCTAGATAATATGTGATTTATTCTTGCATTATGACCAGTCATCGCTGTGCAGCAGTACTTCTGGATGGTTTACTGCAAAGTAATTTGATATGCTTTTTGTTGCTTCTTTATTTCCACATATGTATATTCCATCCAGACTTAGCTCAGCACATTTTTTCTGTACTTGCGCTGCGTTTTTCTCTAAAAACTCACCCATTCTAATCGACAGGTGTGTCTGTGAATACACTACATGTACTTCTACATTTGGGCTTTCTGTTTTGAGCAGGCAAGCTCCTGTGTACTCAGATGGGTGCTCCTTTCCATGTGCTATACCCATCTTTACAAGAATGTTCTCCTCTGGCGACTTGCATCCATAAAAAAGAGTAAACTGACAGTCTTTTCTGCAGTTCCGGATAAAAGATATAAATGGGGCCACTCCTGTTCCTATTCCAAATAATAAACAGACAGTACTACCGCTTCGTAACTGAAATAGATTATTTTCTTTATGCTTTACACGATATATACAGTCCATAAATTTCTTTTGAATTAAACCCTTGTCTATCGTTCCTGCCCTATTCCCTGTGTTTCTCAAAAGGAAGTCTGAGAAGTGCCCATTTCGAACAGGATTTTCTGTGTTTGTAAGGATCCCTGCAACAAATTCGCAATCGCCATCTTCCCGGTTAATAAAAGAAAATGCGCGTGGCTTTATTTCTTTAGATACTTCTAATAGTGCTTCAAAAGGAATTTTTACCCGGAATTGTACTAAAATATCTATTAGAGTATTCCAATTTCTTCCCAGCGCAAAATAATCTGCACTTCCTTCTTTTGAAGAAAGATACTCTAACTGCTCTTTGTTTTTCTCTGCATACTGCGACAGCCTAAAAAGAGCCAATTTTGAAGGAATGGATGTAATGTCAAGGAAGTGCTTGAAATACTCTGAAATACGTCCAGAAAATGAAAATAGTAATGAACTGTCCCTGCACCGAATTCTTCGAAACTGCACGCACTTGTCCTCTTTGATATTGAACAGCTCCATGAGAACCTCTACAATTTCATCTGAGTTTGGTGCCCACATAAGCAGTGAGTCTCCTGGTGTATATTTCATTTTAAGACCATCTACAGTCCCTCTAATAACACACTGTCTTCCCCTATATATTTCAGTTGTATTTAGTTTGTACGTTTCTAGTCTGTCACTGGCATTACCACCATTACACTGATCGCTGTACGCATCTGTATACTCTACACCACTAACAACCGCGTCCTCTTTAATCTCAATCGAGTGAATTGGTCTTAATAGAAGTTTTTTTCTATCTTCTGTGTAATTTTCCAACATAACTTCTCTTTTCTGCCAAGCATTCATTAATTTTTTACTTTTCATTTCAAATAACTATTTTTATTTGTTCTGCGAATGTTTCAATTATACAGAGAAAGTAATATTGGAAAGGCTTTTCAAGATATGATTGAGGAGAAGATCAATTCCCAGATAATCACCCCTCAGCAGGGGAGTGCATTATTGGAAATGTTTGATATGGCCGTGGAACAGGTTTTTAATACAAGTGTGCATAATAAAATGAATTTTAAAGCCTCCATAATAAGTTATAAGAACTTTGCAGATGTATGGACATTTGTTGTAAAGGGATTTGTAATGACAATTGATGATAAAATAGTACGAGCAGATAGAGTAAAAATTGTTGCCTGCGATGCAAATATAAACAGTGAGAGAGCGCCTCGTGGAAAGGCTCTTGATAAGAAAAAGTCGTTCTAAGTTAAATAAACATTCTATACAGTGTATTATATTGCTGCTCAATTAAATGCAGCTATCCTAAATATTTATTATTCTGGTAGTGTGGCGTATTTTTTTTGGATTCTCATGGGGGTAGAGTAGTTTCTGACTATTTTTATTTTTAGTCATTGAAATACAAACTGGTTATTTTTTCAATTATTCTTTCTTGCCCTTCTTCTGTGGTGGCTGTGTGTCTAAGATCCATTATTTTTGAGACAAATTCTTTTAGTTCTGCCTTGTTAAATGTGCATATATCCTCGAGCGCTCTTGGTTCTTCTTTCTGCTGGGTGCTGCATATTCCATTTTTTAGAAGAAAATCTATCTTGGCTCTTTCCTTGGGCTCTCTTACCAGGCACCTTTTTATTTCTTCGGATATTCTTGCGTAGTTATTGTCTCCATCTTCCTGTTCTGGAAGTTTTACTGTATATTCTGGATCTAGTAGCTTCTGCATTCTTTGAACAAGATTTTTAAACTGCATGAATGGCGACTCCCCAAAGTACATTTCGTATAGAATGCACCCAAGAGACCATATATCACTGTTTCTTCCCATCTTTGTCTTCCCCTCTATTATTGCCTCTGGCGACATGTAATTTATTGTTCCTATCTGCTTTTCTCTAATTATGTTTGTTGTGTCATTCCTTATTTCTTTTGATATTCCAAAATCTATAAGCTTTAGTCGTCCGCTTACAAAAAGAAAGTTTCCTGGCTTTAAGTCTCTGTGAACTATCCTATGTTCGTGTATGCACTTTACTGCTCTGAGCATCTGTTCCCATATACTGACCATTGTGTAATTTTCATTGCTCTTTCTATACCCGCCTGGAAACCTTGCTTTTTCTATCTCTAGAAACCGGCATAAGTCAATATCTCCATACTCCATCAGAATAGCTATTCTGTCTTTGTTTATGTAGCTGTCTTTCAACGTAACTATTTCGTGCCTGTTTTTTAGCCGCTTCAGAAGGGATATCTCATTCGCATAACTTTTATACACCTCGCTGTCTTCTGTATCCTGTGATATTTTTATCTTTTTCAGCGCAAACACTTCATTTTTGTCTGAAAGAACCTGGTACACCTTTGCGCTTCCTCCTTTGCCAATAGTTCGTAGAATTCTCAGCTTTTTTCCATTTAGTGTTATTTTTTTTGCTGCTGAGAGATTGAAATACTTGTCCGATGCTGCGGCCTCTGCTGCTTGTGTTAGAACAGCAGTTTCTTGCTGGGCCTCCTTCTCTTCTACTACACTAGTTCCTATTTTAAAGTCAAATACTTTTCCTGTCTCTGTTATATTCCCATCCTTTTTTCTATCTATGCTCTGTTCGCTAGCCTTTCTCTTTTCACTAGCTTCATTGTACTCTGCAACCAGATCATTTCTACTCCTTTCTTTATACATTTCTGGGCCTTCTGGATTATACACCCTTCCACCAGATGCAGTAAATATGTTCTCTTGATCAAATAAAGGAACGGGATAGCCCATTGCTCTAACGGGGCCTCCTCTTCCCATTTCTATTTCTGAGTTCATACTTATATTAGGAGCGCCATCTAGAATGTATGAGTGATTCGCTTCCACATCTCTATCCTTTCTTTCATGCGAATACTCAAGACGCGCATTCTCTCTGCTCTGGCCATATGCATATGCGCCTCCCTGCATCTGTCCATTTTCTTCTCTATACAAATTGTTTTCATTAATCCCCCTTCTAGCTAAACCATCGGTTGGCGGCAGGTCTGGTGCATCTCTATACCCAAACACTGCCTCTCTATCAATATACCCTGAATAATCTGGATTTCCTCTACTCTCGCCTCTAAATGCATACTGACTGTCTCTATTCAAAATAGGCCCACTCTCCTGCGCCGCGTGCACCCCAGACATGCTCCTAGAATATTCTTCAAATGCCTGCTTCTCCCGCTGGGCGCACTCACGTATTTCCTGTATACTATTCTCCACCGTATCTGTGTACTGGCTTTTAGGTGTATCTGGATAGGTTATGGACTTGGTTGCATTGCTTTCCCTAGCAAGACCGACTGACCTCTCTTTAATCCATGCAATAATTCTTTCTTTTCCTATACACTCTTTGTACTGCAGAATGTCGTGGGCCAGCTCTAAAACCTTTGCCCTCTTGCTTTGGTCAATGGGAAGACGGCTTTCATAGCTAAACCACCCCTGCCAGAACTGCAGAAATCTCCAGAATTTACTTTTTAGCATTTTGTATACTTCTCTTATTTCCGTGTGTGCATACCCATTCCTCTCTAATGTATGGATGTATCCCTCCCACAAGGAATACGTCTTCTCATTTGCCTCTAGGTTTTTCTGAGTTGCCTCGTAGTACATCGATAGCTGCCGTGTGGCACTTGCGTTCCCTCTTTTCTGCTCTTCTATGTATGCAAGGATATCTTCTATATGAAAGAGTCTTTCCATCTATAAATAAAAAAGTAAAGTTCTCATCTTTTCTTTATTCTTTGCTGTTCATTAATTAGTAATTTCTTATGAACTGTCGCTGCTCTCTACTGCTTCAGCTGCCCTCTTCTCTTTTTCCATCTCAAATGTCTTTTTTAACTCTTCTGCGCTTTCTTCAAGTATTATCCCATACCTCGGCAATATTTCTACAATCTTTTTTATTTTACCTCTGTCTTTAGTTGTCATCATTGTAAATACGCTCTGTGTGATTTGGTGGTGGGTCATTAGATAGATTGTTTTGTCTGTGGCAGAATACGCCATTGATGACTTTGTTATCTTTTTGAGCTCTAGCAGATGCCCTTCCTTTATTCTTTTGCATAGGTCGCCATGCGTTAGAATGTATATCCACTTCTTACGCTCTAAATACTCACTCAGTTCTGTTGTGTGTCGGGAAACCAGGCTTTCCACTCTCTCAATAGACTCTACCACCTCTTCAATTTCTTTCTCTGTTTCTGTGGTTATTACGCAGGGAACTGTGATGTTTCTTTCTAGCGCAATGATAAATGCATTTCTTTTTAGGTGGGGAGCGCCTGCATATATTGTTTCGTGCCTGCGAGTGAATGCGACTGGGCTTCTTCCCAGGCCAAATCCATTCTTAATTGGGAGTGTTCTTTTTATCCCAGCCCTGGCTAGCTCCTGTGTACTTTCTATTTTGTATACATTGCTTACAAAGTAGTAATGTGTTCCCCTCTTCTCGTTCTGTGATATAATCTCTTTCTTGTCAATTGATCTTCTTATATTTACGAATATGAAGTACTCCTTTCCTTTTGAAAGAGCGTCCTTGCTCACATACGCATTGTATGTGCAGAGTATTATGCCGTCTATTCCTTTGTCAGACACTTCTGTTTTTGCATTTTCGTCAATTAAAGTGAACGTGTCCGTTGGAAATAAGTCTGTAATCTCTTTTTTCACTTCTTCCAGGTATCCCTTGCATGGGCTGTCTACTACTACTATGGTCTGCTGTATTTTCACTTCTTTTAACAGCTTTTGGTCAATTGAGGTGTCTTCTCTTAGAATCATGTCTCCTGCCTCATATGCTGGAACTTCTCTATGCCGGCCTTTTTTCTCCATAAAAAAAATCTGGCATTGTTTACATATTTACACTATGCATACAGTGCGTGTTGATGGCAAGAAGGATGAAAGTACTAAAAAGCAGAATGTGCTGGTAGATGAAGCCAAGAAACTTCTATCCATTTCAGTACCAAAGGATGAAATACAGGAGAGAGTGCTTAAATATTTCTCGGAGTATGGGTACTACAGTGCGTTTGTTATATTCAAGAGAGAAATAGGCTCAACAATGTCTCCCTCTCCTTTATTGAAGGAAAGAGAGGAAATACGCCTTCTTTCTGGAAATGGAAAGTTTTTGCAGGTACTTGCTGCAACACAAAAACTGCATCCGTGTCTTTTTTTCAACAGTCCAAGAATTGCCTTTGATATCATAAAGCAGGATATTATGGAAGACTTATACATCCGCATAGGATCAGAGGGCTGTGCTCTTGCCCGGGTTGAAAAAGAGCTTTCGCCAATTGTTCTGGAGAACACAGATCTTCTTCCTTGCCTTGAGGAATTAGTAAGCTCTATTCTATTCGGCGAGTCTTCTCCTGAAGAAGTCGTGGTTCAGAGAGATGTGATCTTTTCTAGTATCAATCATCTTCTTTTGATGTCTGTTGACTATGTCATGCAAAATTCTATTAAGGCCTTGTTAATGGGAATCTCAGTAGCTTCTGAAACTCCTGAAATAATAAATATTACAAAAGGGTGCAAAATGTTCCAAAATATACTGAGTAGTCTTTCTCTATAGACTATACGCAGAATAAACATCTAGTAAATCCTGGCTTTTGTATATATATCACTTTGCATACTTTGTATAAAATAAATATGTGTATATTCTCCGTGCTCCTCTGTGACAGAGCCCGTCTATGTATTTAACTCAACTTTCTATGGCATAATTCTACTTTAATTTGTATAAAACTATATAATATGATATGGTTTTTGCCATTCTTTTTTATAGAGTAAATTAATAAATTTCTCATTTTAAATAATAATCTGTAGTTTCTACTGTATCATATCATAATATAACCAAAGTTGTACATCATTAAATTATAGTATAGCGTGTTGTGTAATGTAAAGGTGTGTTTTTTTAGTGGTTTTACGCAGTATTCAGGATTGTTTCTGGTTTTTATTTATTTTTATATTTACTGTAAGCTATGCATAATTTATTAAAAATAAAATATTATTTATGCCTTGCATATAATGTGTATAAACATAAATTGTACAAAAAATTAGAAATAAATGGATGGTTTAAAATAAAATTAATGCAAAAAGATAAAATTAATTTTAACTACTATCAACTTCCCTTCAAACAGAGCAAACTGTCTAAAGAGAGCCCCACACTTACATGCTAACTATAACCAAGGTATTTTTTATTATATTCAAGAGATTGAAAGATTCTATGTGCTTTATATACAAATATAGCACACAAGCATCCTATAATCTAGTATATTGCACAGCGATTCATTATTTTATACGTAAGTATAAAAGAACGAGAAGGCACAGTTATGTTTGGCTGTGCTAGAATAACAGGATAAAAACAAGTATAACATTTGAAAATTCTCTTTAAACTCAATTTATTACTGCGCTGCTGCGCTGGCTTATATTTTACTTAGAAGCGGGTATGAAGTCATCAATTCGAATGATAGTTGAAGCACCATCAAATGCTCCAGATATGCCAGAGATTGATACATCCACTGGCTGCACCACATTCTCTTTTTTCATATCGTCTTCCCCAACTGCCTTTATAGAAACACCAAAAGTGTGCTTTCCTTGGCTGTGGAGTTTCACCAAATTCTCTACTGTTGTTATTGCATTTGCCCCCGTGTTTATAGCAAGCATTTCGGGTATAACAAGAAGTCCCTTGGCAAGCTCCTTTATACAGTAGTTGATTTTCGGGTTAGCAGATTTGTTGTATCTAACCATTTCAGTGTAGCAGAGAAGCTCTGGCACACCTCCTCCGTATGTCATTAGAGGCCTCTTCACAGCGAGTCTTCCCACATTGATAGCATCATTAAAGCTTCTGTCAACTTCCTCCAGAATAACATCATCTGTTCCTCGCAGAACAACAGTACACACTCCAGCGCCTGCAGAGATCTTAATGTGCCCTTCAAGGTCTTCCACGTGGTACTCTCCTATCATGGTGTTTTTTATCTCATTAATATCCACAACCGGTGTAAGCCCCATCTGCTCTACACAGAGCTCAATCTCTTTTCTCTCCACATCATCAACCACCATGATTCCCATTCTCTCCAAGAAGTGCAGGCCGAGCTCTGAAAGAGACTCTCTGATAATGCTCTTTTGCAGTATTATAAGATCAATCCCGCTTTCTTTTATTTGCTTGCACAGAAAAAGAACGTGTTCTTTCTCCTCTCGTATCACCTGCTCCATAGACTCATAGTTGTTAATTGTGATTTTTGCATCAATTGATGGCTTGGACTGCCCAATAGTGCACTGGAAAATTGCTACTTTCATTTTTCTTGGCACAAACTTTGTTCTTTTCTTCAGCGGCGCTGAAAGAACTATTCCCGCAACCATTTCAGTATCTTCCATGTTTCCCTTAATCTTTACCCTTCTTACATTACTTAGCCTTAGGTTCTGCTTCTGCTTGTCTGTGCTGTACTCTATTACCTTCATTGTCACCTCTGTTATCTTGTCAATGTATGCATTCACTATTTTAGAATTAAGGGCAATGCGTATGCAGTCCTTCACGTTCACATTTCCTTCAATTCGCGTTGCGTGCTTAATGAGCACATCTTTGCATAGATTCTTAGCCACCTCCATGGACTCTGCAATCACCACAGGATGCACTTTCCTGCTTGCCAGCTCAAGAGCCTGCTCCACCAAAGAGCACAGAAGCAAAGTCACACTTGTTGTTCCATCTCCGCTCTGCTCGTCCTGCGAGTGGGATATATTACATATCAGCTGTGCTATTGGATGCTTCATTTTCATCATTTTAAGGATTGTGCTTCCATCGTTGGTTATTGTTGTGTTGGTTCCCTGTGTTATCATCTTGTCCATTCCCTTTGGCCCTAAGCTAGTCCCCATTGTGGATCTAATTGACTGTATAACCACGCCCACTCTCTTCTTCACTTCTTCTGCCCTGCTTCCTTGCTCTTTCATATAAACGGAAAAGAATTTTTTTACCGAATGTATTTACATAGAAAGAACGCGCCAATCCACGCTTCAGTAGAAGTGTCAGAAATCATGCACAATGAAAAAATAACGTGTGTGTCGCTAGACAGAGAGCTTTACGGCGGGTTTATGGGGGGAATATATAGAACAAGTGTAGACACCCTCAAGGCGGTATTTAGAATAGACTCTCCTGTTTCTTTTATTGCAAAAGTTCCTGCTTGTGACCAATTTGGAGAGAAAGATACGCCGTGTATAAAAAGGAATGAACACAAGATAGAAAAAGTATTTTGTCCAGAAAAGAAGTGTGTGTCTCTTGAAGGGTATGCAATTGGTGACTGGGAGGGGCGCGTTTACTTCCAAGGAAAGAAGATACAGATGCCGTGCGGCTCGTGCCCAATAAAGTATATTTTCCCAACAGATTTTGGGCTAGTTATATGCACACAGGCAGAAATGTATTTATTTAGAAATGACACTTTTGCATCTAGTATATATATTAACACGTATCCTTTACATATTAGTTGCACAGGCAGAACCCTTATTGTAGTAACAGGGTACAGTGTACAGCACATTCAAATAGGCGAGCACGGGCTAGTTCGCGAAGAAGTAACAGAGCTTCTTCGGAATGAAAATCACACAGAAACCATCACATGCATATCTGAAAATAACCCGAACATTGCAGGAAGTATTGGGGGGTGGATAATGGAATTAGATGGCTGGGGAGAGGGGAAAAGCTATTGCCTCAGAAAGATTCATAGGGCATCTCAAGAAAAACTCATTGGTGTAGTTAGGTATGTACATGAAAATGAATTATTTTATATATGCGGTACTCCCAAGTCAGTGTATATTATAAATGAAAAATCCAAAACTGTTGCATATTCTGCTAATTTAACAGATGCTAGCGGTATATTTTCCATCCAGTTAAAGCACAACAACAAGCACATGCTAAGTGTTTTTGATAGAAATTTCAAGGTGTACACAATAGATTTGTTCTGTGTTTTTTCACCAGAAAATAGCAAAGGTGTAGCAAATAAAGACCCAATCAACACAACAATCAACACGTATGAAGAGCTTTTGAAGGAGCTTAATTCGGGTGTGTTTGATTAATCCTTCACCTATTTCCACTTATTGCTATTTGGGGTATATTTTTCTATATATTATAGTAGAGAATATTTTTGAGTTTTTTATTTCTGATAAGAATGCATTTTACTCTAATCATTTGGATAACCTTGTATTAAATAAAGTATGTGGGGGTCCAAAGCACCAAATGAATTTTATAATTAAATCATATGTGTATTCCAGCACAGCCTAGAATATCAAAGAGGTATTAACAAAGTAATCATATGCACGAATCACTTGATTATTTATAAGCTACAGCTAAGTATAAGAGAAATAAATTAATTATCGGAATTATCAAATAGATTCAGTTTAAAGGCATAAATACTGCGCGGATTTTGAGAATAATGCAGCAAAAAAACTGGATAAGTTTTATTCTTATATTATGCGTTTTAATGGTTAGAGAGACCTTTTGCAGTCGACCGGCTGCAGAGATAGATGCAAACACATCTGTTGCTTTTAATAACCCTGAAAAAAGAATTTCAATGGTCAATACTGCTCCAGACTCTGGTTATACAATGCCATGTGAGAACACAAGAGATTCGTCGTCTTATGATTTGTCAGGAAGAGAAAAAAAGAATTTTGTTGAAACACAGACAGTGCATAGTAAGAAATCGTTACTGTCTAACAAAGCAGCCATCTTTTTTATGCTGTTATTTCTGGTGTTTTTAGCTCTTATGCTTTATAGTTTGTTAAAGATTTTTAACAATGATACTAGCGAAAATCCATCAAGTGTGTTTAATCCTGAATTTATCTCTCCAAACAATTCTGTGAATGTGAACATGCTAGGTAATCAAACAGACCATTTGGACTTGGGCACAGCCAATACAACTGAAGCAGTTAATGCTGTGTTTAATTCAACCGATATGCCTATAATAAACAATAACACAAGCACTGAAGTAATACGCGGAAATATAACCGAAATGAATATGCCTTCTATTAATATGAATACTACTGCGGTGAATGAAACGAGTAAATTTTCTACTCAAATACCTTATATTAATATGAATACTACTGCGGTGAATGAAACAAGTAAATTTTCTACTCAAATACCTTATATTAATATGAATACTACTGCGATGGAAAAGGAAATTATAGGGGATATTGCAGCGGGTTCTATTAATATAACGACTACTCCGATGGCTGTATCTATAAATACAACCACTGCCGATAGCGCGCCCACAAGCACTTTCAAATCCGTATTGGATAATTAGTAGAGAGAGTCTAAAACATTTCTTCCTCCTAAGAGAATAAAAAGGATCTAATGAATCTTCTATGCCAATGCATAATCATTTGGTTGGTTATTGGCACAGCCATATGTTCTAAATAAACCCGAAAATCCTTTAATTATTTGTTCAAATCATTTATTCTTTATGTATATATAGTACACTGATAGAGGAAGGAAAGGCATGGGGTCTTTAAAGAATCTTCTTTTCTTCTTTCTTTTAAGCAGATCTGTCTAATTTAGTATTGCTAGCCGTGCTTTAATGGCTAAAAAGAAAGATTTATAGGCGAATTAAAGTATGCAAATTTTATTTTGCCTATGAACGGAGGACAACAGAACCAAAGCGGATATTCTTCCGGGTTTTATGGAACAAGCCCACTCCAGAGACAGTCGCAAGGGATGTACCAAGAACCATATGGAGGGTCTAACAACGGGTACCAGATGCACCAGCATCACGGCGGATTTGGCAGCCAGATCCCAGATAACTCACCTATTCGAATTCTTCCAAATGTACCAAATACTTCAATAGAGCCGTTTTCTATACGAACAAAAATAGACAATAATATATCAATTAGCAGTTGCTGTATAACTACACTGGATGCGTACAGTCCATACACGCTAGAAGAGCTTAGGTGTGCAGACTATGCAAAGGGAAGAAAAGGGACAATTATGCCCCGAACAGGATTTCACAGTGCGTATGGTGGGTCTAGCACCTACATGCAGAAGCCATCCGATATGATGGGATCACAGAGCATGTTTGGGCAGCCTAAGCCAGCAAGCTCTCCTGGATTTGGATCTTTATCGCAGCCAGGATATTCAATGCAGCCAAGAATGGGGGGGTCTAGTATGTTTTCTCCAACAACGCAGCCACAGAGCACATCAACTTCGAGCTTATTTGGGCAGCCAGCAAATACCGGAAACACCACATTTGGCCAGGCTGGAAATACTTCTTTTATGGGGCAGTCTTCAAACAGCTCATTTCAGCAGCCGCAGAGCTCATCAGGGCTTGGCGGGTTTAGAAGCTTTGGCCAGAGTTCAACTGGAATTCCCATGCAGCAGCAAAACACATTCTCGTCTGGGCTGGGCACACAGCAGAACAATGCAATGTCAAACAGCTTTTCAAACAACAGTATGCTTGGGTCAAGCCAGCAGATGAACCAGAATCAGCAGTCCCCTATGCCAGGGCAGCAGCAATCACTATTTGGTGGTCTTAGTGCAGGAGGAATGGGCAACAACACATCTTCAAACCAGACTAATACAGGACTTCTTGGGCAAAGCACTCCATCCGCCGGGACAGGCGCGTTTTCAATGGGGGGCATGGGAGGAGCATCCTCAAACACAAGCCTATTTGGGCAAAGCACTCCATCACAGAACACACTAGGAGGCGGACTATCTTCACAGCCATCTGCGTTTTCATCGTTAGGGGCATCTAGCAGTGGTCTAGGGGCTGGAGCAGCGACTGGTTCTACCACTAATAATGCATGGGGAAATACAAGCTCTCTTACATCAGGCTTGAATACAGCACCTAGCACTGGTCTATTGGGAGGAAGTTCATTAGGAGCACAAGCAAGCACTTCTGGTGGGTTAGGATCTTTTTCATTAGGGCAAAGTACTACTACAACGGCAGGGACAGGGACCACTGGAACAGGTCTTTTTGGAGGGCTTGGGGGCAGCAAGCCTGAGAACCAGACAACTTCCTCTCCTTTCTCTCTGGGAACATCCTCTATACTGGATAGCAAGCCTGCGTTTGGTAGCACTCTAGGAGGTGGTCTAACCAACAAGCCCCTTGAAAGCAGCTCACTTGACAACAAGCTGTCCGGATTTTCATCTTCATTTGGTGCAGGAAGCACTTCTCTCCTGGGCGGTCCTAGCGGAGGTCTAGCACAGGCGCAGAGCACAAGTTCTTTTGGAGCAGGCAGTGCATTTGGAGGCAGTGTTTTAGGAGGAAGCAAACCGCCAGCCCAGGCAAGTGCAGCAGAGGACCCGTATCTTATAAAATCATTAAGCTTTAAGGAGTGCGAAGACTATAAGAAGAAGTCTGTTATGGAGATTCCTATGCCACTTTTTAAGAAGGCACCTGTGACCAAGATTAAGTTCAAGCCTTCAATAAGCTTTAAGCAATATGTATCTACATCTGCGGAAGGAATAAAGAAAAATGCAGAAAAGAAAAAGTTAACAAGAGACACGCTTAATCAGATAGAAGAGAATGAGTATTACACAATTCCCTCCATAAGCCAGATAAAGAAAATGCCAATCAAGAAAATATCCGGGTTTATAGTGGGACGAAAGGGGCATGGCCATCTTGAGTTTCAGGAAGAAGTAGATTTAACTAATGTAAATCTTGACACGGTGCCAAGAATTGTGACACTAGACAATGGATATGTGTTTTTCAGCAAAAACAAGGATAATATTAGGCCGGGGCATGGAATAAATAAAGCAGTCAAAATATATGTGGAGAACCCAACTATATACAGCCACAGCACCGGGCGGCTGATGCCTCTCTCAAAGTCAGATCCTCTTTTCGCAATTATGAAAGCCAGAGTGATGTCAAGTGTTTCAAAAGATGGGAACATACACGATGTTGAAATTGATCTAGAAAAAGGCGTGGCGATTCTTATATGCAACTCTCTGTGGGCATAACCTAAACTTCATAAATAAACAATCTTTATTCTTCTTTTTATGTTTTTGGGGAGATGCGGTGTGATATATACAGGCTCAATCTCCGGTTAACAAAAAATGGTTCTATTGTGCATAGGACATCTATTATATATAAGTAAACATGCCTAACGGTATGCTGGGTGATTAGTATTCTAGTATAGAAAGCACCCATGACTAAAGATCATAAACACTATAATCCAAAATATAATTATAGAAAATACAGAAATATACGCGTTCTAATAGAATAATAGCATAAATTCACTGCAGGAGTAAGAAAAAACAGGGACAACAAAACATTAGAAAATATAAACCCATAATTCATCCAGAATTTAATAACACCCAGAAGTATTTAACACATAATTAATATAGATTTTTGGGTTATATCGAGTACGAAACAAATAGAGGCATAAAAATGCTTATATATATTATGCTAGGTAGATGCATTCTAAAAGTATATATACTTAAAATATTTACAAGATTTTAGCAGAGTTAGTTTAGTTTTAATAATTTTATAAAATAGTTAAATAGCATAAGTATAAATACAAATATTTATTACACAATAATTTACACAACCTATTTAATAATGTAGTTTACAATATTTAAATAGATATAATTATTATGAATTAATAGCACTGGCTTCGTCAGCACTAGAACTAGCACCACTAGCTCCGGCAGCACTAGCATTAGAACTAGCACCACTAGCTCCAGCTTCTTTAGTTTCAGTTTGTTCAGTTTGTTCAGTTTGAACAGCATCAAAAGATTCACTAGATTCACTAACAGAAGATTCACTAACAGAAGATCCACTAACAGAAGATCCACTAACAGAAGATCCACTAGCCGCATCCATTGCTCTTATTCTGTATATAGAAAGTAAAATTGCTATAAAGGATAAAAGTATTATTAATTGTTTGCTTGCCATGCAGTTTGTATTTTTTCTAGTATTTATTCTTTTTTACTAATTCCAGACTAGGCTCCATCATTTTTCCAGCACCAATCAAAAATAGTCTAGAGTATATTTTTAGAATAAACTATATATAGGCTCATCTACTTTTACTCTATGAAAAACAAAATATCCGAAACATGATAAAATATCCGACTAAGCTACTAGATCCAACCAAATATTAATAGAACATAGAGATAGGACAAAACGCATTTAGAATTACATAAACAACAACCAGGAATGATGAATAAAAATTGGGCAGGCTGTAGATCTGTAAATCTATACTTTTATAATTTAGAAAATTCTCTTGAAGCATTAAGAACATAAAGCATTAAGACAGAAAAATAATGCATCTTTTGACATGCACAGAGAGAAAACCTGCAAATTCTTTAAGGAATTCAGAAAGAGTATTAAATAGAAAATTAACAGGAAAGAAAAACTATGAATATACTATATAAGACATAAATAATACTTATTGTTAATAAATCATGACTAGCTCACATATAATAGCATTTATTAGTAGCAAATAGGACAGTTATGTAAAAATAGTAAGTTTGTCACCGTTCAGAGACCATGCCCCGATATCTACCTGCTTGCGGATGCATTCATCTATTTCATTCATGTCAAAGCGGCTGGCCTCTTGGTATATTGCATCCAGCTCTAATACTTTATAAGATCCGCTGCACCCGCCGGGCATTTCCATAATAATATCGTATATACTAATTGCCTCACACCCGAGAAGACGAAGGACTTCTTCAACATCTTGAACTGTAACAGTCTTTCTTCTGTGTGCCTTTGCAAGCGCTTGGGAGAATCTAAGAACAGAAAGAACTCGTCTGGCTGTCCCTGGGAGGCCCTTTCCAGGCATTTTTGCATCCTTTGCTCGCTCAAGAGAATATGCGGAAACTATTCTTTCCTGAACACCTGGGCCTAGGGAGGGCTCAACCAGCTTGCATTTATTTATTTCCAATGCCAGCTTTTCAAAGGGCATTACGCCTGAGATGGCGCCTTTTCTTTTGTGAACTCCTAGAATATGTTTGCATATTTCTTCATCTCCTTTTCCTGCTATGTCTTGGATGACCTTTACCGCATCAAATCGAGAAATAAGTGCGGTTGGAAGGCCTGCATTCCAGGCAATTCCCTTTTTCTCAACATATCTTCCCTTAATTGGATTTGCTGCTGCTAAGACAGAGCACCTTGCGTTTAGTGTTGTGTTGATACCTGCCTTTGAGATGCTTATTCTATGCTGCTCCATTGCCTCGTGGACACAGGACCGGTCGCTTTCATGCATTTTATCAAATTCATCAATACAGCAGATGCCCCCATCGCTCATGACCAGCGCACCTCCTTCAAGAATATGCTCTCCAGTTTCAGAGTCTCTTGAAACGCATGCAGTGAGACCTGCCCCGCTGGCGCCTTTTCCGGTTGTGAATATGCCCCTTGGCGAAAGCCTACACACTGCCTTTAAAAGCTGACTTTTTGCCACACCAGGATCACCAACTAAAAGAATGTTTATTTCACCACGAATTCGCAGCCCACCTTCTGTGCATGTATCTCCTCCAATGAGCATTAGAAGCAAAAGCTTCTTTATATCATCCATTCCTGATATTTCGGGAGCTATTGATTTTGCCATCAGATCAACTGTGCCGGGTGAGTTCTCTTCTCCTAATATATTCTCCTGTTGGTCATTCGCATTACTTATTTTATCCTCTGACTCGGCATCTACCGCACATTCTGCAGCCCTGTCTCTTGGGGCGACTGGCAGTGCAGATGCTTTTTTTGTAGGACATACATACGATCCAAGAATGTATGTGTCGCTCAGCAGGCCCATTCGCATTTTTTGAATACCCTCATTTGGCTTTGGAAGGAATATTCCAGAAACTGCCACTTCTGTTCCAGGAACAGCTGCGCGCACAAGGCCGTCATAAACCTCAACGTTAAGCGACCTTGGAACTCTTCCAGGCTCTACTTCTGATGAAAGCTCCTGGATCCGGAAAACTTGCTTTGAGCGGAACTTAGAGGGGCGAGTCTGCAGGTGCAGAGTGCCCTTTGTTCTCCCTGCGCGACACTTTTCAGATTGGCACTCTGAGAGAGGAAGGAAGGTTTCTCCTTCTACCTCCTGGAATACTTCAGAGGTGCACGAATCACACATAAACACAGCCACTGAAATAGACGGATGCACGTCTGATGCTTTGCTTATAATTCCCCGAATGCACACAAGGGACCCAATAATATCAGGGGTTACCTGATTGAAAGACAGGAAGTCTGTTCTGTATATGTTTACACTATAGTATCGAAGAATGCTCTTTGTGAGCACCTCAAACACGGACTTATTTGGATATCTTTCCATAACCCGAGCCTTTCTGTGCTCAAAGAACAAATCCTCCTTTGGCATTTCTATTTCCTCCTCCTTTAGCATTTCGTCCACAATTTCGTAAACAATCTCTCGGTATCTGCAAGTATTATTCAGAACCTCAGCATACAAGTCTGTATTTCCGTCTTCAAGAATATCAGCCACGTCTATGTCGATTGTCTTAGTTTTAGGAAGGGTCTTTATTTGCGCCATGTACTTCAATGTGCCTGCACTCTCAAAGGTAAAGAGAAACCTTCGCATTGTGTCTTTGCTCAGTGCATAGTCCTTCTCGATTCTATACTGCCGTAGATCCTCCATTAGAAAAAATAAAATATCCAGATTAAATCCCAGAAAAGCACCAATACATGCTATTATTATTTATAGGAAATTATGAAATCATAAAAGAAAGTTTAACCATAAATTTATATACACAGTATAGAATGTTTTTTATTCAAGCGCCTGGGCGCACTTCACTAACTAGAACCCCACAAAGGACAGCCTGCGAGAGTGCTCAAAAAGAAATATGCGGTATGTTTACTTTGGCCTAACAATGTATAAAGCATCTATTTTATGAAGAACTCCATTTATAAGAACTCCTGCGTCTGGGGCTGGCCCAAGGTCAATGGTATACTCCACGCCATTAATAGAGAACTCTGTGCCAACTGATGCATTTTTTGGAAGGTCAGAAACGGAAAGGTTCTTTGGCAGCTGGAAAAGAATTTGCATGGGGAAAATAAAAAAAAAGGCTCTTAGCAGATTCGAACCACTGACCTTTGCTTTACGAGAGCAACGCTCTACCCCTGAGCTAAAGAGCCTACACACGTGTTAGAAGCATATGCATCCTTTTATTTCATGTGGGTCTGTGTATAAATGAAAAGCAAAATAGCAAAATTCAAATGCATGAAGGAAAAAACTGCGTAGGATGCGAAGAGTGTGGGAGAAAAAAAGAAAGCAAAAAGATAAGCATAAGCGATGCGTTCCTTTCAAAAGCAAGATATACTAAAAGTCCAACGTACTACACAAATATAGGAGTTGATAGAGCGAGTGGCGTGGGTGCACCGCACATTCCCCCATCTTCTTTTTCTTCTCCATCTCATTTTGAATCTGGTTCATTGGGCGGGAGAGAGTCTGGCGATGGGCGCGGAAGAGATATGTACTTTGTGTCCAAGGAGAAGGGAGTATTTCCCTCTGAGGTAGAGTTTTCCAAGAAAATTCAGAAAATAGAAGGAATTTCCCCAGGGGGAGTGGGCTCAGTGATGAAAAATACAGGAAGAGAGGCAAGCTCATTAGGCGCGCCGCCTGTCTATCAGAAGAAGGTTATTGCTGTTCCCATGACAAACTCATTTTCTTTTAACAGTGTTCCCCCCGAGGACTCGTGGGAAAGAGGTATTTCAAAGAAAACAAACATACCATATGCACCCTCGAATAGTGCATTGGGAGGAAGCAGCGAGGGCGAGGTTTTGAGAGGAGCACACCTAGGGATGGGTGGATATGGGGAGAGAGAACCTTCTTATCAGAGCATCCATTATTCTTCTGTGTTTGATCAAGACAATGGAGGCATTTCTATTATGAATTCGTCTAGCACCGGGGTGATTGGAGGTGGATACAATAATGACTCGCCTATATCAGACCATCGCATGCATTCGTTAGAAAGCCAGGGAGGGAGCATGGGGCTTCACAGAAGAAGTCCTTCTATGCCCAGGCCGCAGGGTGTTTCTGGATCTGCTGGGGGAACATTTTCTTCTTTTTCAACACCAGATGCCTTTAACTATTTATCTGCTAATAGCTCTGCCACTAGCTGCAATTTAAGTATGGGAAGCGAATGCTCGCCTAGGTTTCTTCAGGGTCGCTCTAGCTATGCTGTGCGGGGTGAAGGCGCAGAGCCTATTTACAATACCCTGCGGCAGGAGCCAGGAGTACGGGCTGCATATAATCCATTAACGGACACAGCGTACCAAACAGCCCAAATCTCTCAGCTAAAGCATACAGTGATTCTTTCCGACGCTATTTTCCCGTTTATTGATTTCACGCAGGACTTCACAAAGCAGCATTTGCTAGTAAATGAGGCGCTGGGTCTTCCCAGGCTGCAGCCGCATAACATAGCACTAACAAAAAATATTATGGACATGGTTATTTCTAATGGCGGGCTGCAGGCAGTGGATGAGAATAGCATGTGGGGAGTGATTGTGAAGGAGCTAGGGCAGAAGACAGAAGACACGCACAAGCTTCGGATGTACTATATTATAGTGTGCTATCCATATGAGCAGATAATTCGCATTTACAAGTCTGCATCTGAAGTCCCACAGCCCATTATTATTGTGTACATCGAGCCAAAGAAGGCGGACATGCTACCTGAGATTATAAATATGCTTGGGCAGAAAAAGAAAAAGACAGAGGAGCGGCCTCAGATAAGTGCTAAGATTGTAGAGACAAGCGGTATTTTAGAAATATCTGTGGTCATGAACGAGATGTATGCAAGCGGTGTGCGAAACAGCCAGGAGCTAATGGAAACACTTACACATATGAAGTCATTTACGTGCACCTCTGACATGGTGGAGAGCGTATTTTCATGCCTGGACGTGGCGCTCATTGAGAAACAGCTCCGCGTGATTATGGTGGAGTGGATTTCCAAAAAGGTAGAAGACATTTCGTCAAAAGACATAGCAGATGTGGAAAAAAGAATTATACAGACCTATGAAGAAATTCTAGGGCAATGTGCGGATAGATGTATAGAGCAGCAGAAAGGAGGGGATACAGAAGAAGCAGATAAAGATGGGCAGGACTCTGATGAAAGCCAGCAGGAAATAACTGCGCAGGACTTGAGCAGGCAGAATGATAGCCTGGCAAAAGAGAAAAGACTCTGCATGAAAAATTATAGCGAGCATGATGGAGTATATGTGTATCCAACGATTGATATCTGCGAAGAACCCGCAGTGCCAAGCGGCGCGTGCACTGCGCATGAGCACTGCGCAATATACCAGCACAGCAGGTGCCCGTGCGGGAAGTCTCTAGTCAAGTTTGATACGCCTGCAGATATTTATTATAGCGTGCTTCTTTTTCTAGCCAAATCTAGCTCAGTGTCTGTGTCTATCAATACTATATCCCTCCTTGCTCGGTTGTTAGAAGCCATGCCAGCTGTGATGTTTTCTTTTAAGTACAAATACATATATAAGGCAATGATAATTCTATGGAACATTTTAAAAGACCAAAAATCTCGGAGCTTTCTGGAAGCTGGCAGCATGTGTGCACAGCTGGCTGAGGATGGATTTTCCAAGCTATCAAGAGAGGTTTCCAAGCTCCTGAGCTCACCGATTCTGTCAAAACAAGATATTTTGTCGATAATATCAAATGGACAGTTAGAGATAATTATGAAAATTGCAAATTCGCCGAACGGCCAAAGCATATTATCGTATACCCGGGTGCAGAGGCTTGCTGAAATATGGAGATATCTGCTTTTTCTGGTCTGCAGTAATTTCTTTTCCGAGAAAAATGCAGAATTTCTGGAAACTACTCTTACTTCGATAGATGGGCTTTCAGTATACTTGCGAAGCCACCTTGAGAAGTCAAGCGAGCTTTCTCAAGTTCTTGGTATTATGGAGATAGAAAGTGGCGGGTGGGTGCTAGATGTGCTTTCTTCTGACGTTTTCACAGACTCCGTCTACTTACTGTGCGATTTCATATTTTCAGCGAACTCCCTGGCCGCTGTACCGCACATTGGGCATGTACTATTACAACAATAAAATATTAACTTTATAATCTTCTTTTGGGTTATATTTATTATAGTTTTTTGCTGGTTCAACGCATATTTCTTGCCTTTGCATGTCCAGCATTGCATAGTACGGCAGATTTAAAACCCAGCTATTAGTATGGAAGAGCGTATTCTCTTATTTGGAGAACTAAAAAGTATGTAAAAACAAAGCAGATGAAAAAAGAACAAAAAAATGCCTTAAAGCATATAAACTTAACTGAGTAGCAGTACTTTAAGAGGGTCTTTCTTTTTTCATATATTTTTCTGCGCTTTGGCTTTTTTAGTATTGTCTCCAACATCGCTCTTTCCAGAGTTTTATCCTCCATTTTTAACACAAAATTAGAATTGCTGAAAATCTAGAGAGGACTCCATTAGTAAAACACTAAAAAGCAGCAGATTATGCAGAATAGAACTAATTTAAATATGAAAAATGTCGCAAAGTCATAGACCATTATTTATATAGGTAGAGCCAGTGCATCTGTATGATTCTTTCATTTACTTCCTACTTTATGTAGCAACGACCCGAAATTATTATTTGCCTACTATTTTGCATTTATGTATGGTTAGTCATAACCCGATATAACCCGGATATTCAAACATAATAGACGGTAAACAATTTAGAGTACCTTCTTCTATGTTTACTTTATTTATCAGATGTAGAACTTATAAGTACACGCCCAAAAATTAGCAAGCCTTCATATAAAACGAGTCATAACCCGAATAACCCAAAATTCTGGAAAACAATATACAGCAATCCCTTTAAATATGGAAATTAATTTTAAACCACTGAAAAATATAAAAAGAAGAATAAACACTCTTTAAACAGACATTTATTAATATCTAACGGATTATAAATAAATAGAAAAATTTATAGTAAAAAGCATTTCAGGATATTTTAAATTTGGATTGTTTTTATTAAAGTCCAAAGTGATTTTTTATATAATCAGCATTTTATAAATTTGAACTATTTATTAATTACCAGACCAGCAAGCTTGAGAGTTATGAATAAACTCATTGTCAAGTATTTCATAGTATGGGGTTATATCAACTGAATTTAGAGCAATTTTAAATGAGCTTGGCATTTCATTGTGTATGCTTGAATTAAGCAGAGTGGCAATGTCAGTGATCTCTTTTCTTGTTGGGATCGACTCTCCAGATAGGGTCAAATTATTCTTTATATATCTAGAAATTGGCAAAAGAATTCTGTTTGTTGTCACATAGCACAAATCCTCCATTACTCTCAGCACGCTCTGGTTTGCATTTTCTGCGTGTGTAGAAACAGTTGCTGCACACACTGGCTGCAGTGCAGTAGTACTATTTACATTGGTGTAGTCTATCTGGTTATATCCTATTGGGCTCAGTAATTCTACATATCTTCCATTCTGTATATAGCATGTGTATGCATTGTTCTCTATCATGCTATTGCAGTCGTTTAGTGCCAGCAGATGCCACTTGCTCATTATGTATGTAACTATGCACATAACCATGAAAAGAGTAAAGATGCTGCTTGTAGCTATGATTGCTACTAGATAGGTCTTGCTATTCCGGATAGTATTAATTATTTTTAAGCACTTCATTTTAAGCTGGAGAAAGGGTATATTCTTTTGTTCTACTTGGACTGGTGCATTTTCTATTTTATTATAAAACAAATTCTCACCCACGTCGTACTTGATCTTACTGCCTAAGAATGATTTATGTGTTGTTTTTCTTATATTGTATTTCTGTTCATGATTTTCTACGTAAGTAGGCCCAGATAATGTCAAACCCTCACTCGCGCAAAAACAGGCGGCAGTGCACATAAGCATATATATTGTTATCTTTATGCACATTAATATTCAGATTTACATTTTTCTGTTTATAAATATGCAGCTTAATGTATCATAAAATGCCAAATGTCATCTGCTTAATTTAAATATTTTAATTTATATTTTAACGTGTCTACTTTAAAAGTGCCACACTAATAATAGAAAAAGTCACTTTTATAAAATATTTAAAATATTGCTGACGTTTATACTTTGCACATAATCATAAATAAATAAGATTTTTTATATTTAATTATTCTGTGATATTTATTCTCTGTTTCGGGTTAGATTCGACAAACCACCAATATGCGGGGGGTTTTAGAAAATATTTATTAAACAATGATTTTTATAAATAGTAAAGGTATTTTCATTAACTTTCTTGGCACTACCACTAATCAATTTCATTATGTCATTAAATTAACTAGAGTTTGGTTAGCTTTTAAACCAGCAGAAAATATTTTTAATATTAAAAGGACGCAAACTACTATTTTATATTATGCAGATCTGGAGTTATTTCGCGTTATTGACTTTTTTTGAGTTTTTCTTTTAAATCCAATATAAAAATTATATAGCTTAAAACTAATATTATCTTAAATTCAATTAAAAATTCAAGCAAACTCAGTGGATCTTTCTTAAAAAACGCCAAGTATATTAATTCTATTCCAAGATATGCAGTCGATAGGTACGCCATAAAAAACCACGGGCAATTATATCGTTTGTATGGGGCATGCATGTTGTGCATTATATATATAGGCATCACTCTGGTGTGGATTGTGCGCATTAAGCTAACAACCGATATGTTAAACAGTAGCGCAAGAAGGATTGATTTTAGAGTTTGCCCCTGCCTGTAGTAAACCTCTGCTGTAATGTAGCATGAAGTTAAAACTAGAAACCCAATAATAAATAGCTCGCATGCATATGAAAATAGCATATATAGAGCGTCCCAAATACTTTTTTCCGGGTTAGAATCGGGGTCTTTTTCATCAAAATCTAAAGTAATACTTATTAACATCTGAGGAACTGTAAAAATGCTAATCAACAGTGTATACAGGCAGGCCAGCATGGCCGCGCACACTGCCAAGTTAAAAATATTTACAATACAGCCCCTCGGATTGTATATAATGCTTAAAATATGCATAATGTCAATTCCAAACACTGAAAAGGTTTTTTCTGATGAAATAGCGACTTCTTCTGAACATATTCTGCATAATTCTAATATTGTTTTTTCTATATTATTTTTTGCCGTCTGGTATATGAGTAAACCCTGCATAGATTCCTGGAGTGCGGCAATGTTCTCTAACATAGATTTAGATAAAATATTTTTATTTAAATAATAGATAAAACTTAAAAACAAAATCTATGCATGCTCTACAACTGGCTTTGTTTAAATATATTAATTCTATCTTCAGTAATAAATAAAATATTATTATTCTTTATGTGTATATTAGTTATATTCTGTGTTGCATAAATATTATTATAAATAAGCTGAACTAGAATAAATTTTTATTAACAGCTCTATTAGAAGTAATTATGAGTAGTACTGCTATTATTTATTATTGAAAAGCAAAAGAAATACTAAACTTAGAATAATATTGATAGAAATACTATGTAAATGAATGCATTTGATCATTTGATTTCTCGTTATATTAAGCTTTGTTATCAATAGATAAACAAAATATATAAAGTTTAATTTGTGTAATATAAGTATGATTTATTAACATAAAATATTATTTATGCCTTTAAAATTTGTAAAGTATGAAAATGACAAAAATAATAATAATTAAAAGAAAGATGATGCTGCTACTTGTTTCGTATATATTGATGTACATTCTGCCAAAGGAATTTGACACTTTTATTTGTGCTTCTAATGAGGAGGTTACATCTTCGTGTAGTAATATGAACAATAAGAGAAATAATAACTATTCTTCCGGCCAAAATTACCTACATATGCAACCAAGTGGATTTATAAATAATTCAAACGAATGCTTAGCATATGAGGAACAGCCACATAATCCATATAATGCACAAGATGGTTCTTTAAACAATGCTAATATGTTAACTAATAATTTGGAGAAAATACCAATTGAATTTCAATTTAATCCATACTATGTAGAAAATTTATATGCTAGTGACAGTTACAGGCCAAATTATGAACCGCCGCATAATCCATATGCTGTTTCAAATAGTTTGTTAAACAGCAACAGTACATTAACAGAGGGCTTTCCAGGATTGTCAAATTCAAATACATTTAATCCATATCCTATAGAGAATTACTATGATAATAATCAGTACACATTAAATAATGTGCAAACATACAATTCTTATAATATTCAAAACAGTTATTTAAATAATATAATGTCTAATGAGAATCCGATGGACCCCGAAATATCACATAGCCAAGTTTTTACAGGTATAAATTATCTCCCGAGTGAATGTATGCCATTTGAATCAAATAGTACTCCGCTTGCTTGTAATAATATAGAGCCAGATTCTTCAAATCCATTGCCATCTCTACAGCCTCTAAGCAGTAGCATCCAAAAAATGGAAAGCGTGGCCCAGAATTTAGAAAGTACTCAAGTAAGCACATCCACAAATAGAAAAAGAATATACATTAGTAGTAGTGATAGTGCCAGCAATAGTAGTAGTAATAGTGTTGATGACAATAATACTAATGGTGATAGTAGTAGTGATAATACTAGTGATAATGATAATGCTAGTGATAATACTAGTGATAGTGTTGATAATTTTTCGAAAATATCATTTATAACATCATCTATTAAAAATTTAGATAGCTATAAATGTCTTGTAACAAAATTGCATAATTACAAACTGAAGAATTTAAAGAGTGGCCGGAACCAAGAAAGTGTCTTTATGCCATTATATAGCCACTGCTCTATAAAGTATAAATCAAATATTTATCCAGTACTTAAAAAATCTATAAAAAATAATATTAAAAAATACAAAAATGTATGGATGGCTCTGTATAAAAGTAAAAGAAAAATCATACACAAAAAATTGAAGTTCATTTATTATCTAACCAGTTCTTATCTTAAAAAAAAAGAGTATATATTCAAATATTGCGATCTGTCATACTATCCTGGGCTTTTTTCAGACTTAAATCAAATGCATAATTCTTGTTATAGTATTTCTAAAAGATTTATACCAAAGAATAATTTAATTGTGAAATCCTATAGAAATATAACCAAACTTAGTGACATATATGCTAAAAGAAACATAAACCTTCTATGGCATGCAGAAAGCCTGCTGGTGTCGTACAACAACCAGATTTTATGGAGCTCATTTATTTGTGCGAGAGAAGTTGAAAAGGACTGGAATCTAAGGAGGCGACTGCTATTAATTCTATGCCTTCCCGAAATATATGAAGATCTTTTCTATATGAAGTATGAGGAAATTGATTTGCTGAGGAAAAGAATCATGAAAATTAACTCCAGCTTAGAATCTAAAAACAAATGTAATCAATTTTGTATTATAGAATACTTATATGGAAAAGTTCACAATAACAGTAAGATTATGCATGATTCATACCTAAGAATACTACAGATTAAAATTAGCCCTTCTTTACATATTCATACTGACATTAGTATGTATCAACTTGTATATAAGCTATTTGCTTATTTCTACAAATATTCTTTCTACTTATATAAAACCCATATAAATAACCATATAAATAACCCGAATTTTTTAAAACATAATAACAGTAATTGTTTACACATGAAAAATTATACAAAAATACATCCAGATGGTAAAAATGCATATCAAGGAAAAGGGGTTGTTTTAGAAACCAGAATTAAAATTTATAATATGACATTTAAATACAATAATACAGAGAATAATAATAGGGCATTGGATAATATAACAGAAAAAAAGGTATCTTATTATTATAATTGGAAAAACCGCATAGTGATATCTTATACACAGCACTACCACATCCAATTTGTAGATAACAGTACGCATTGCATGCATGTTATACATCTTCCATTTTTTGTGTCTACAAAGAATGGCACTACAGCGTATCACTATATACACACAATTGGGGAAATTGCAAAATATATAATAGACACATTCTATGCTGCGACTATAAATAGCAGTAAAAAACCGTGCTATAATGTATATCCATTTAAATACAGCAGGAA